GCGAGCCGCTGCCTGACCCGGGTATATGCGTGACACTGCCTGAACAATGCCTCGAAGCTCGGTCGGTCGTGGATCTCGATGGTGCGGTAGAGGTTGTGCATGGATCTACAATACCAAACCGCGCAGACTATCTGACTAACGCGACGGTGGTCAACATGCGCCTGTCCATCTGGTCGACGATGGCCTCGTAGATCTCAAGTGGAACACGAGAAGAGAGCACCAGTGGCAAGTTTTAGTTCCTCCGGACAACGTGAGCACGGACCTCTTCGTCCTCAGTCCATTCGAGCTCCTTGTCGCTCCACTCAATCTGCTCCAGTTCGTCCTCACTGTGTTGAACTGTTCATCGTTATGTACTCCATTCGTTATCGCTCTGCGCGTCTTCGCGCCAATCGTCCGCATGGTGTCCCGTCATCGCGTTGGGTGCAAGTCGGGCGTCCTCATGCGAAGAATCAGAACTTGAGTACACGGGCACGTCAAATGGATTTCAGTGAGAGGTGAGCTGGATGCACGGACGCCGCGCCAGTGGCGCCACAAGCATTGAAGAAGAGCCTCGGGCAAGCCTCGGGGTAGACCCGGGGCCCGGACCGTAGCGTATCAATGTAGGTCTCGCAGCCACACCACAGTGCTGTACTCGGACCCACATCACTTACGACTACGTCCAATTAAACCACGTCCGAGTCGGACCTAATCTGGACCCACCCGGTCCCACCGCCATCAACGTTACATGCTCCAAGAGGCTCCCTGCAACTGCTCGGGCAGCTGTTTACTTGAACATTTAGCTCTCTCTCGTCCAACTAACTCACAGCTCGCATATGCACCGACTGACACTGTGGCAGGGCCACGGGTTCACTGGTAAGTAGTTATCAAATGCGAGTCGCCGATTCGTCCAATAGCTAATATAATACGATCATCGATGCTACAGACGCTACACCTGTGAAATATGGGTAGTACGAGGACGGTCACTCACCGAACCTCACCATGCTCATGAGTCATGCCCTATACTCGCAGATACGTCAGTATGTCATGACGGCGTCTCCATGACCCGAGTTGGCCGTAGGTGCGCAAGCGGCCCATTAATCACAACAAGCTGTGAGACGCTGACCATATACCGACAGTATCGAGGCCTGCGAAGACCATAGCGAACTCATAACCGTCTCTCCATCGCACGACCTAGCGCTCCAAGTCCCGTTCAGATAATGCGGAGAATGTGGCCATGGTACGTCAAGACCACCCGTGACAGGACTCTGCGAGCAAGTCAGAGCATTCAGCGGTTGACCTCATGACGACCCACACCGACCTCGACGCACTCTCGCCATGACTTGCCCTCGTACCCTGAGAAGCCACCCCCGGATGAGCCCTTCGTATGGCCGACCAACTCTGCCTTCGCGCCAACTTACGTCCGATGTATACAGGAACCCGTCGCAAACTCACCAGGCAAACAACTCGAGCAGAGCGGTAGTAAGGGTAGATGTCAGGTAAGTAACATCATCTTCGCGTCAAACCTGTGGTTCCGTTGTGACTCGAACTCAATTCAGAGCGAAGCCTATCCCATCTTGATTGTCAACCGCATGTCGAATGTCGACGTCACGGTCGGTGTCTGGGCACGGTCAGCATTTTGCATCCTTGCGAGATATGTCACTCCCAGTGGCCGAGAACCTACCTATCAGCGACGGTCGGGACACGTTTATTGAGACTGGCTGTCGGGACACCAGGAGGCTATGCGCCACTCAGTCGACGTGAAGCATAGACTCGATCGTTCTCGCTCAGACGTTTGTGAAGCTGGCTTAAGCTGCGCATTTCAGTTGAGCCGTAGGTGACGCAGTACATCTGTACCACCGTTAAAACCATCGCCTGACATCACTGCTGGCGACGCAGATTCGTCCTCAATGCGCCGACATCTATGGACGGCAATGGGGTCTGAGGATCTCATCCATAGGTAATGCTCGGCAGGAGATCACTCAGGGAAGTGGCGGCCGCACATACTGACATGCGATTCCTAGGCATACAGCCCACCAGGCCTGGATCAGCACGACTCGCTGCCATTGGGATCCACTAGATCCGGCCACCCCCTGCGACGTCCCTCGTGTCTCTTAAGTGCGGAATCAGCCCAGTCGCCCGTTGCTTCTCACTCAGTGGACGCCACCACGCCAATATCCAACCCTTGTAGACCTTTCCGTACGGTTTCGTAGCATGTATGTCTGCCGTTTTCGCCATCGCTTTGAAGGTTGATTCTCCTAGCCTCACAGGTAGGAATGTGCTCGACATCCCTTATTGACTGCGACCTGCGCGTACGTCGCGAGTATGAACTTGGTCATACTAGATCCAAGTACAATTCGTTTGATCGTAGCGACGAGAAGTCCGATACATTTCACACCGATACACATGAGCCGGAACCGTATAGTACATCCGGTCATCGTCCAATCGCAATACATTGCAGCCATCGTAGCAAGCATGAGTTAATCGAGACAGTGAACCATACCGCGAATCCAAAGCAGTGTCCTTCTAAAGGAGCGCGACGACCGCTTGTGGACGACCGACTCCCTCGCATCGACCCGCGCTCCGTACGGACGGTGACGATGCTTCGTTGTCGCCACCTCCGTCTGTACCGATCGGATGACGTGCCACGTCACGAGGACTCCCGGGGTTGCTGAATGGCTGAACAGGAGACAAGAGTGAGACGGACGCATGTGGATACAAACGGGCTCACTTACGTTTACAATACTTCAACCGCGCACCCAGGTGACGTTGACTATGCCACGGGCGGACCATGGCTGAAATATGGCATGGAACATGGCCTGGAGCTTCTGACCGACGGTGTCCTTATGCAATACTGTCTGATTGGTCTGAGGGTACAGGTCCATCTTCACCTCGACATCCTTTAATTTGTCGAAGTATGGCTCGCTCATGACCTCGTGCAGGTCCCACTGGTTGAGCTCGTCGAGGACAGCGCTGGGTTGCTCATGGTCGAGAATGATGTCGCCGATGCGAACATGAGCCTGGACCTTGATGTGCTCAAGCTGACGGCTTCGGATGGCGGAGAAGATGCTGCGTAACTCGTATGTTGCTGTGGTCCACGCCGCGCCAGGCCCGAGCTGAGGCGAATATCTGGTATCGTAGCTGATGTCATTCAGCCCGAAGTCCAAGGATTGCAAGGCGGTGTTCTGCGACAGATCTCCGTGGCCCACTACATTGTGCATGTGCATTAGCGACGAAGCGTCTAAGTAAGATGATGGGGCTCTTACTAGGTCCATTAGGAAAATAGCACGTCTGGCAGTAACAGGACAATGATGCCCCTGCCGCTTCGAGGAGTTTATTAAGGGATGTCCGTGCCATGGAGGGATAGGCACACCGAAATGTCAGATCCGCAAGTGAGGTGCAGAGGCATGAACGCGCCATCCAGTCAACGAACATCGCCATGCATTCTTCGTGCACGAAGATGTCAAGGTATCGAAGACGCATGTGAGATGGTGTCCGAAGAAATGAGGCCCCCGCGTGACTGCCAGCAGCATCTTGCTGAGCGATCCTAACGTTTATGCTGATGTCTGTAAGCTGGGGGAAGGCAGACACAATCCGCCACAGCTGCGTGATGCTGTGCAGTTTGCAACCCTGAAGCGTCAACGACTTGACAGACTTGAACCTCGACAAGGCGAGGAAGAAATCCGTGCGGATGAAACAAAGTCTTCCATTTTCGATGTGAAGGATGCGTACACGAGGTACTAGACCAACGAGCGCGGACGGTAGTGCTTGAAGGAAGCTGTTGTCAACATTGCTCTTGTTTTTGCCGTAGTAGTAAGCTGTCCGATTGCAGCCCCCATCTACCACCAGCTTGCATGTGGTCGCGAGCCACTGCTTGACGCGTGGCGACGCGCGACAATGCTTGAACAGCATGTTGTAGCTTGTGCGGCTGCGAATCTCGAGATCGTAGTATAGTTTGTGCATCGCTCGACGATACCACGTTGCGCAGACAAGTGCCACAGCGGCGAACGTGGGCTGATACTCGATGGCGTCGATGATGAGCATGAAGACCTCGAGCGGGATGCGAGCGGAGAGGGCTAGCGGCAGGGTGCCTTGAAAACGTGCGTCCCACCAGTTTCCCCAGACCCATCTGCCGGCGTCGAAGAGCTTGCAGAATGTGACACCGACTCCACGGGCACTCGATTCGTCAACATTCGATCGCTTTAAGTTGACAGCCTGTTCATCGGCACTGCTCTGATCGACATCAATATGCCCGTCGGTAATCGATGGCGTGACTTGTGCGTGTGAGGCGTCGTCGGGGGAAGGGAAAAAAAGCTGAGTGAACACATCAGTCGGGATCACGGATGGGAGCAGGGTGACTGACGCTAGGCTGGAATTCGGACATCTGGGCAGTCGCACGCTATGGGACGCGACGTGAATGTATGCTCTGTGGGAGGAGACGCAGCCGTGAGCGTAAGAACAGGGTCGGTGGAGGCGCAAGCAGAGAGGGGGGCTCGAGGGGGTGGGGGCCTCGAGGACGAAGCGAGGCTATGTATTTGAGTATATGGGAGGGCCATCTAGAGTTTGAGCCACACGCTGACTGCCGTGACCTGGACACGCCGTTGCCAGTCAGGCTGTGCAGCGTCCATCGACTTGGCCAGACACGACTGCGACTACACATGAACCACAGCCAGCTGAGTGTGCAACTCGTGCAGGAGGCCGTCGAGGGTGAAGCAGGCGTGCATGCTCCTAACCCTAGGCGCGTTCTCCGACTCGGGCGATGGCGACCGAGCGGTCCTGTCTCGTCTCCGAGTCTCGACGACGCGGCGACGGCTTTGCGTCTGTTCTCCGCTCGCGTGACCTGCCCCTACGAGTCTCGTGAGCTCAAACGTTTAGTGAGTCCACAGCCGATGCATTGCACGGTCCTCTACAGCCGCTTTGCGCCGTGCCGTGCACTCACCCCATATACTGCCCTGCACCGGGTGACTGTACGTATGGAATCCCTTCTACCTCCTCCGGGAGAGCATTCCAGGACGCAGTATCCTCGGCGACACCGTAATCGCCAATACGTTTGGTCATGTTGTTCCCACTTCCACGCCGCCTCGCGCCGACTGTCCACTGCGGAATTCCGTTGTCCCGTATTTGCAGTACCATTTACGCTTCGCAGTTGCAGTCATGCCGCCACTTTCTGCCTAACTGACATATCAGAGCTTGTAGTCTCCTACGAGGCGGTGATCAGACACGCTGCGCGACCATATACCACTGTGCCAATGCATGCGTCTCGAACGTATTCTCAGACCCTTGGGACAGCCAATAGCACACGCACCGCGGAGAGCGGTCTTTGCGTGCGCAAGACTGTTGTCTATGCTCGCAGTGGTCCGTTTTGAGTAGCCAGAGACAAGGTATGCATTGCATATACCCGTGAGGCTGTACTCGTCCACCTACTATCATGTGCACCATTTCAGATATAATTATGTTGTAGTAGCGCACATGCGCACCAGATACGCACCGCATTCACCAGCAGCCTATCACCTGGTCCGAATCGTGCCCTAGACGAACGTGTGCACACGTGTCAGTCATGGACGGATGTAAGGCGCATGCGCGTAACTTACCAGAAGTAGTGAATCCAGAATTGAGGACGATGTTACGCATAAGTATGCCTGATCGCGTTTCCGCACGGGTCGCAACGTGATCATTCGCCAGGCTCATCTGGGAAGCCTGCAGGATCGGATAGGGTGCGTACCGCGCGAGCGGACTGTATGTAGATGTCCAGCAATTGAACTGCCTCCTGCCAATAGACAATGCTTATCTACGCGCTGGTGACGGACCATACCACGTTTTTACCGAACGGTCCCTGGATCGCACGTAGGCCTACCGCCGCGTCGGAAGCCCAATAGACATAGGCGCCGCATAGCTAGCTCGGTCAGACAGGAGCTCTTCCTGGACGTGCCATTCACCATCATCGAGTCAAACATCGACGCCCCGAACGGTGCCGAGAAGGACCGCCCGAAGGTGGAGCAACTGCTGCTTGTTAGTGATCCACACGACTCGCTTTCGAGCTTACGGACCTCTCACGTACAATCAACCTCGTCGCGCACGTCGATCCGGAAAAGTCCTTCTCGCGTTTGCGGGGCGGGGCGTCCAAAGCCCGTTGAGGCGATTCAGCTTCTCGATGGTGTCCGAGTGCTCTCTTGCTCTGTCAGGGGAGCTCAGCTTGACCCCTCTTGAATGGGGAGTTCGGGCTACGCACCGCGACGTTGGTCTTCGATAACGGCCTGCTGAGTGAATGTCTGACACTGACGAGACTCTCTATACCGACCTAATTCTGGGTGGGAAGTCGCAGCGTGCCTCTACGCGTGAGTCCCACGGGCCGCGAGTATCCTACCAGGGAGGACAGCGCGACGGAGCATTGCGCAACCGTAGAGTATTGAGTAACCCGAACAACGATGGAGGTTGAGACAGGCGGTACGCGACGTTACACGGTCTCGAGGTAGAGATCAGATCATACGGCAGATTGTCGAGAGCTCAACCGGGTGGCTAGAGTGGGAATGTTGCTAGGCGAGAAGAGATTTTCGCTGACGACACCGGGATGTGGGGGCTAGGAATCGCGAGGATCCAGATAGACGGTCGGCCACGCGTCTGTCTTGCGTGCTTTGGGTACAGCATTCGGATAGTCCGAGACCAACACGGACATCAGGTCGAAACACAACGCGGTTTCTGAATGTGTACACAAGCTTGAACAACGATCCTTGCAAGCGCGGGCAAGTGGGGTATCAGGAATCGGTGGTCTCCCAGTTCCCGTGCCTCTCGCCATCGACGTACATTGGTGCGCCAGAATATGACCGGAGGTGTTCCGTAATGGAGGTTGTGCGTCGACGAGTTCGGTAGTGCTAAACCTCGGGGCCGGGTCTGGGGAGCTACCATGTAGCGTCATGTTGCACCGAGAGTGCATGAGCTGAGCGGTGCGACTCAGTACAGAAGCGGTGCAAGTTGACAGTACGTGGAAGAAAGGTACCCGAGATGGGCCAGAACATATCGAACACTGGCACGACGACGTACAGGCGCTTGGATGAGGGTCGTGTCGGACAGCCTGTGAGACTCATCAGTAACAAATCGGCGACACAGCGATCACACGTACCCAAAACACATCCGCCGATGGCGCGCAAGCAACTCCAGCGTCGCATAGAGCATAACTCGGTGCTGAGAGCAAGACCTCCCGACAGCGGATTTGCGCTTCGGGCCAGAGTACCCTTCGTCGGCCCGGGCTACGATAAGCAGCAAGAGTTTATTTAGCATATGTCACCTAGAGGTCTCATCCGACGTACCATTTCCCTGACATTGCAACGTGGAGGACCGTGCCTCGTACCTAACCATGTAGATACATCCCCCGCCGCCCAAACGCAGTGGCGAGGTGTGCCTGCATTGCGAAGTGCGAGATGCAACATGGCCGCACGGTAGATTTATCGCTCTGCGATGCTTCGTCAAACGGCGGTGCCGATACCGTGTTGCTGCCTATTCACAGATTAGCGCATGAAGTATTCGGCATTGCAGGAGGGTAGACGTACTAACTCTGATTGCTGGGCATGGCACGTCGCATCGACGCTGGAATGAATCAGTCGACGCTACACAGCCTGTGCACTAAATCGAACTCACTGCATCTGATATGCTTCTCCGTGGATATTCCTCTTCGTGCTGCTCCTTCGCCTGCGTGTGGGCGGTCAGCATCTACCCTTCCGACCTCATGTTCCCTAAGTGTTGTACCGACGGGCTGCCGCTCCAGTACCATCTCAGGCTCGATCCGGTACAGGGCACATATATGAGATATGGCAAGTTCGAAAGACCTGAGGAATCTGCTCGTCAAGAGTCGTCGGAGGGCGAGCGGTGTCAAAGGTGTCAAAGATATCGGCAGAGGATTGGTCGCTGGAGACTGAGACGGGAGTCGTGGCGATCGTTGAGTCTCGAGAACATCGCTGCTCGCCGCAGTGGTTGGCCGCGCCGAGCCTTCTCTTAATACAACCCAGTACATAGGATGTTCATCAAGTCACGATGGCCTGGGATGCGTATTGTGGTCGCTGTTCACTGTGGTGAATCCGCACGTCGAGAGCAAACCTGTCGCGCCACGCCGCGCAGCTTCCCCGAGATTTCTCCGACCGCCCCTCGTCTCGGTCGTGTCCTCTTGGGCATCAGCTTCAAGCTTCAAGCTTCAAGCTTCAAGTTCGTGTTTGTCCGACAGTCGTGGTGACAACTTTGCAACCTGTCCTTTTCGGGTGTCCGCCTACGCAGCCGCATCCGAATTCTGGGAGAAATTAGCTCGCGCGCGCATCTCCCGTATTCTCACCCTCAGCCAGTCATCGACGACCGGGATTCCAACGGGTCTCCTCGAGTCCTATTCCGTCTCTTCCATGCGCCTTCTACAAGCTTGGACTGGAGGAGTATCTACGCTCCCAAGATCTCTCTGCATCTTGCGGCGAGAAGACGCGGCGTTATGGCTGACTAGCTGCCCATCTTGCGAGAGAGCAGGCGAGATAATCGGACGGAGGAACGGGACGCGGCCAGGGTTTGCAGACTTACTCAGGCTGCACGCGAGAGATACCTGCTGCGTCAGAAATTTTGATAAGCCGCACGCCAACTGCCGCGACCAGGACCTCACATGCTATCATGTTGTCAGTCATGCATTACTGACGCCGCAAGTGTTCGCCAACACGCCGCACTTGGTTGGGTATGACTCTACATGTGTGCTGCTTCCATTGAGTCGCGGCTAGCCGCGGCCAGCCTGATTGCGGTCATCATGATCCAGGTCGGAGCGGCCAGCTGGACATGTTAACTGCAATAGTGAGTACTGAGATACTGATGATCGATGGTCGCACCCAACCCACGCCCGTGACGACCGTACCGACGTGTTCCGCGCTGGAATGGGCAGTATCACACACATGGCTCGCCATGCTTATGCCGCGTAAGATGTCCGATCACGATATATGCCTTGGTAGTCCTGCAAGGACAGACGTCCTGTGTACCACGCACACAGACTGCAGAACGCTGACAGAGCACTCACCTATACAGGTTCATGCACCAATGCTGCCGCCACAGTCTCTCCACACGATCCGCTGCTATGTTAGCGTGGACGGCTTGAAGTCAACGTCGAGGGAATCGGTCCCTCGTCGGCGGTATCGTGGCTTTGAGTGCGACCCAACACCTGATCGCGAGCTGGCGGCTTCGGTTCGTGGAGGATGCCGGGTACTTCACGCGCAATTCGTCTTCGTGGTCCAGGAAGGTGAGAACTGGCATAGAAGTGCCGCAATGCGGTCAGGTTGACGTGACGGTCTACATCATGCAATTGTGTCAGCGTCCGGGTTTCTTGTCATGTATAAGATAGCGGCTTTTGACCATTTGCAAAGCGAATGTCGGATACCGGAGCAAGGATGATCTGGCCGCACCGAAGGGTCTGGGCATGTTGACCGACGCGATGCATGGCGACGATTCGGCTGTCGAAGATATCGTCAATTCGTCCAGGAAGCAGTAAAACGACAGAACGAACCTGCCAACGACGGAATCGTATCACGCATCGGGGTGCCTGTACCTCTTACGGTGTATCCGTCTGTTCGACCTGAATTGACGGTCCCACTTCCCACCGTGTGTCGGCTGTAGGGCTGCCGGAACCCGCGAGTTATACGTTCTCTAGTGGAGTACAAGACGTTGAAGGCTGCGGAGCCAACAGACAATCCGCTACAGCTGCGAGACGCCATGCAGGGCTTAGCGAATCTTGTCCAACGACGCGGCAAACGTGAGCAGCAATAGAGATTAAATGGAGTCGGGACGCACAAAAAGATCAATCGCATCCGCCTCCAAGCCATACACCACACGGCCGAGTACAAGGAGTAGTTCGTGCAGATGCCTCATGAAGTCGTACATAAACGGTCGAGCGGGTGTACGACGTGACCAGTTCGAGCGTCGAGCCAGGGCTTGATAGGCGGAGACGTTAGTAGTTAGACAAGAATATCCGGAGCGCGCGCAGGTTGAAAGAACTGTCTACCCACGGGAGACTACAGGTATTAACCTTTGGAGATCGCTGGTAACGAGTAATTGATCAAAAGATAGGGCTCCTCTGTTTCAGGTGTTTCGGCATGCTACATAGTGGACAAAATGGGGAGAGGACTACAAATGAACGCGTCAGTCATTCTGAGTCGCGCGACGGGGTGCAACAGACGGGTGGACGCGTACTTGGTTCCCGACGTCAAGTAGCCGGCACTTATTCTCGGTGTGCACGCATTACAAGCGCTACCAATCGCTAGGCCGGGCGGCACACGAGAGCAGCGGAGCAGTAAATCACAGAGGAGGTCGGCGGTCGTGTTGTTCGACGTCCAGAGCAACGAAGAGGCGACGCCACCGCGTGTCACTGTCTGCCCCGCCGAGATTCTTCCGAGCGTCTCTCCGCCACAAGGCCTTAAGGAGGACTGTCACTGCTCCGAGTGACGAGGAGCTTATGTACATCGAGTACATACTTCTGTTCTCACAACTCCAGCAAGCTCTCGTTTGGATTGCACTCTGACCTGGCTGGACGCTCGATACGCCACTAGTTGACGCGTGCATATCGGCGGACTTTCGTCCGCACACGCTAGCCACCGGCAGACACTTCTTCGCTGAACAACTCGGGCGGATTCTAGAAGGTCTCCTACAGTCCTGTGCGGCCATTGCATGACTATGCTGCTCGCTCTCGACGAGCTTGGACTAGACGAGGGATCTCGACTCGACGGCTCGAATGTTCTCTGCAGTCTTTGACGAGAAGACGCGGTGTCATGGCCGAGCAATGATACGTCCAACTTGATGACAGCCTGGGATGGTTCTCGAGGCGGACAATGCGAGATGCTTGGACAAAACGGGGAGTAGGTGAGTAGTTTTGATCACAGTGCGTATGACCCGGCGACTTCATGCGCGTCCGCGCACCCAGACTGGACGAGAGCAACGTGCTGACTGCGTTCAGTGACGACATGTACCGTGGTCGAGTTCCCGTACAGGGGCGGCCAATAGCTTGATCGTACCTGTTTGGAGACGCACGGTGAAGAAGCGAGCGGGACGGCGGGAAGAACGGAGAATAGATGAGCAAGTCCTAACTAATCATGTTCAACGGACTCCTTGACGCCTCTTCCTGTAGCCTATTAGACTACTTCCAAGAGCTGATCGCGTTGTACAGCATGCCTACACAAGTCAAGGAAGATTTCCGTGAATGTATGCACACGGTGAGTGCTGTTCCTCGCTGGATGCGTTCTTAGCGGGAGATAACTCGTCTTCCGAAATTCCAGCCACCGTGGCAACCCAGACCCACTGTGAACGACAAAAGAAGGTTCAAGTTACCTGATGCCCGTACTGGGCTCTAGGCATTCACTCCCAAACGAAGGCGACGCGTACCCAGGCGTGTTCTGAGGTTGTAAGCCTATTAATACTACCCGAAATCCTAGGAATTCCGCAAATGCTTGAGTAACGCGAACGGCGTCGCGGCCTAGCTTCGAGGTAAGTATATCTCCCCGTCTTGCAGCCACTATCAGCTCATTTGTATTTCTCAGCAACGATGAAGCCGAACGCATGCATGCGGATGTAGAACTGAGATTTTCCAGCCTAGCATCGATTCACTCTTTCGATCAGGAACGTTCGTACGGTTGTTGTTGCCGATGTATCGACGCTGAACCCACAGCCTACCAGGGGCGCAAATAGGCCACTGCTGGCAATCGCGACCCGCTGTCTCGTTTTATTCACTCATTGGTTATCCAGATGTAAGACCTGTAGAATCTCCCGCATCTGCCGGGTATGAGGACGGTCAGTTTGTTACTCACCCATTGAACCTTGTCGTACTCATTCCCATTTCTCACACTTAGACCCGTCCGTAGATCGCGATAGCGCCTCCATTAACTCGTAGGTACGCTCGTCATCCCCCTTACCTGAGAGGTCGTGGAACGCTAACTGCAGACCGCCGTTAGCAATTTTGTCGGCGACGCTTACAGCCATTTCTCAATTGCGAGACTCGAAATCATGAGTCCTAGTCAGACAATCCCGGGACTACTACATACAGACGGCTTGTCACCGGGCCCAGCGGAGCGTGGCTGTACGCACTGCGCACTTGGTGACGACGCACACCGGCCTAGACATTCTGTCGCTCTGGTGTGCCCTCGTACCCCACCGAGAACTTCCTCCCCCGGGCGAGGTCTTCGCATGCGTCCGATCGTTAGTCACGTCACTCGACATGCAGAGACGGGATGGTGACTCGCTTTTCCAACGAGCACTGCGCCTATGATCCTACGACGATTTCATCCGTGTATGCGGCACGCCCAGCATGCTCTCATCTCGCACGTAGGTTAGTCGTCTCTGAGTTCCTTCACTAACTGTGCCTGCGCTCTGCGCGTTCGTCCTGCCATAGTGCTCACTGCTATGCAACATCCAGATGTATACTCATCCTGATTGGCAGCGACGAATCCATATTTCATGGATACGAATACAACAAATGCACCTCATAAAACCACACCGATAGGCTTGAACTCGGTACGTACCGCAGCCGTTGGCAGGCTCCATGCAGAGCGCATCCAAGCATACAAATTTTCGTCCGAGTGCACTATGTTTCTCAGCTCAAACCGAAATCTTCCACCCTTTTGCCCTCTTAGTCGCTGCCGCAATGCGTACTCGCACTTCAGTTCGAGAGGGCGCTACGAGAGCCAGACGTGTGCCCATATTATTTGCCGAGATGTTCGCTCTCCTTGGCTCGCTGCGCGTAAGTACGTCATGAACATGAACATCATGACGATACTGAATCGAAGTACAACAGTTCGTTTCGATATCATAGCAGCCCAATCAGGTTCATCAAGTCGGATTGCGTAGTACAGAACCGTGCGCCCGATGTTGCATATCTAGTAGATGCAAATATATCGTACAATCAACCATGTCCAGAGACGGAGTCTTTCCACTACACATCAATCAAGAAAGGACACATTTGAGACGGATAACAATGACCATGCCCCTTGTCCCTTCGAATCGTCCACCCGCGGAAACCGAGAGGACAGTGCTCTCGCACAGTAATCCAACGGCATCGCGGGAGCCAGACGAATGTCAGTATAGGGACGGCATCTCGTTGTCGTTCACTCTGCCTGTGCCGCCAGCGACTCTAGCTGACCGCTCCGCTGTTGCCGACGAGGAAGGCTTGAGGCAAGAACAAGTCAGCATGAGGTGCTGGATGATCCTAGTGAAGAGCGAGCTCACTTCAGATATGTAGAACCATTCCAGCATGTTATGCAGGTGTCGACTATGCCGCGATCAGACCATGGCCGGAGCAAGCCACAAAATACAACCTCGAGCTCCTGAGCGATGCTGTCCAGATCCAACTTGGTCTGATCAATCCGAGGCCATATCGTCATCTTCACTTCGACATCCTTCAATGCGTCGAAGTATGGCTGGCTGATGACCTCGTGCAGGTCCCGCAGGTCGAGCTTCTCGAGGACAGCGCTCTCACCCTCGAGAACAGTGTTGTCATGGATACCTTGAACGCGAACCTTGATGTGCTCGAGCTGACGGCTTCGGATGGTGGAGAAGATATCGTGTAGCTCGTCCGCCGCTTTGGTCCAAGCCGCGCGAGCCACCTGGAATTCGGCCTTGTTGTCGATGTGATGCATTTTGATGTCCAAGGATTGCAAGGCGGTGTTTTGAAACAGGTTTCCGTGAGTCACTACATTGTGCATGTGAATCAGTGGCGAAGTCTGTACGCAAGACAACTTACGGGCATTATCATAATTAGAAACGTCACCGAACCTCTCGCAGAAATGAGTCAACGATGCCCCCACCGTTTCGAGGAGTTGGTTAAGGGATGTAAGTGCCATAGAGCGCTGTCCTGACCAGATTGACAGATCCGCAAGTGAGTTGCAGAGGCCGGAGTATGTCATCCAGTCAAGGAACATCGCCATGCATTTATCCTCCACGGTGACGTCAAGGTATCGAAGACGCATGTGAGATGGTGCCCGAAATAGTGAGGTTTCCGCGTAACTGGCAGCACCTTCCCGAGCGAAATCAACATTCATCGTGAAATCTGTGAGCTGGGGGAAGGCAGACACAATTCGCCGCAGGTGTGTCACATTGTTCAGTCGGCAATAGTCAAGGGTCAACGACTTGACAGACTCGAACCTCGATAGGGCGAGGAAGAAATCCGTGTGGATGAAACGAAATCCTGCACTGCAGATGTACAGGATGCGTACACGAGGCATCAGACCAGCGAGCGCAAACGGTAGTGCTGGTAAGACGTGATTGTCACTTTGGCTCTTGTTTCTACGCCGCGGGGATTCCACGCTCCCGTGTTCACCCTTACCCTTTTCCTGGGCCTCAAGGTCGTCCTCGTGCATGTCGCTATAGGCATCCCGCTCGCCGTCTGCCACCAGCTTGCATGTGCTCGCGAGCCACTGTTTGACGCGTGGTGATGCGTAACACTGCTTGAACAGCAGGTTGTAGCTTGTGCGGCTGCGAATTTCGACGGTATGGTAGAGGTTGTGCATCGCTCGAGGGTGCCATGCTGCGCAGACAAGCGCCGCGACAGTCAATGTGGGAGGATACATCTCGTCCACGACGAGCCTAAAGACCTCGAGCGGGATGCGAGCGGAGAGGGCCAGTGGCAGGGTGCCTTGAAAACGGGCGTTCCACCAAGGTCTGCATACCCGCTTATCGCGGTGATCCTCAACAACCCATACATAGCTGGATTTCTCATCGCTCTGTTCATCGGCACTCGGTCTCTGGTCAATCTGTTCATCCGCAAGACTCTGACCGGCACCAACATGACCGTCGGCACTCGATCGCATGACTTGTGCGTGTGAGGCGTCCGCGGGGGCGGGGGGAAGATGCTAGGTGAACGGCACATCAGTTGGGATTCGGGATTATGATGGACAGAAGGCGACCGACGGTAGGCTGGAGATCGGACATCTGGGCACTCGCACCCCGTACGACGTGGATGTATGCGGTATGAGGGGAGCAGCAGCCGTGAGTGGAGGGGTGGGTGCAGATAGCGAGTGGACCTCGAGGATGCAGCGAGGCCATGTATACGAGTACTTGGGAAGAGCTGTGTGCGAAAGTTTGATGAGCCGGGCGGAGACTGCCGCGACCGGGACCTTTCATGCCATGGTCAGTACTTCGTGCTTCCAGCAGTCGTCAACATGCCACACCAGGGTCCCGGATAAGCCATCACTGTGGGATATCCAGCGCCGAGCTGCGGCCAGCCTGAGTGCGACGCAGGCCCCTAACCCTAAGTGGGTTCTTCGAGGTTGGGTCTTCGATTTGGACTGAGTCGTGGCTCTCTGCGTCGACGTCCCTTCTGCATCGGTGTCGCTCAATCCGGATCTCCAGCTGTCTCCCCTTCATTCAGACATTCCCATCAAAACATGAATTCATTGCCGACCGCGCCACATCACCTTCAACGAGACGGTAATCAGTCTCCTTGCCACGGGCAGGCGACCACATCCGGGGCATTGAATGTATGCGCCCTCAAGTCGTCTTTACACCTTTGAAATACGAGCCGACGGAAGACGCGCCGCGGAGAGTGGTGTTTGGGTGTCCGAGGCCATTGACCATGCTTGTGGTGTCCATATCAAGCGATGAAATTTGTAGGCGAGGTATGGCCTTGTGCACTCGTCGACCTACTAGTATTCGCATTCCTTCAAGTAGAACTACACGCCGCGTCCACCAGCAGGAATTCAACTACATAGCCGGAGTCATGCCCTGCACGAACACGGTCAGTCATGAACGAATGCGAAGCGGAGGCACTTAACTTACCAGGAGAAGTGCGAATCCGCGATTGCGGGCGATGGGGTGCATGTGTATGCCCCTGTTTACACGCGGATCGTAACAAGACATCGAAGGCTGCAGCACTTGCTAGGCAAGTCTAGGGCAAATGCGAACCCAGAAGAGGTTCGTACCGCGCGTGCGATCATGAAGATCCAGAAGAGTGGACACCCACGAACAAGCATGCTAGTGACGGACCATTCCACTCTCGTGGAGCGTTCGATAGACCGCACGTAGGCCTACCGCCACGTCGGAGGCTCAACCTAAGCACTATCACCAGCCCGGTCAGATAGTCACTCTTCCTGGACGTGCTACTCACCGACTAAGAGGCAATCCTCAGCGTCCCGGACATTGTCAAGAGAATATCCCGCCCCGAAAGCGAAGCGACTAATGCTTGCCAGCGATCCCCACGACTCGCGTTGATACGTCCTGTTCGTGTTTGCTCGAGCCGTACGAAGCTTGTTCACGGGGTTTCGCGCCTCGTGGTGTCCGAGTATTCTCTACCTCTGTCAGGGAAACTCAGCTAAATGTTTCTCTCCGAATGGGGAGTTCGCGCTACGCACCGCGAGCCTGAGGTTGGCGTGCTGATTATTGAGAATATCTCACACTGAATAGACTTCCGCTGCAGCGATTACTCGCTGGACCGGACTTGACCTGGACAGATCCATGTGCACGACGTGAATGCCCATCGCTGTACGCAGGCTCGTTAGATCCGGCAACACATAAGTTGCTAGATCCACGGGATTGGTTCTTCGTGCGATCCGCTCCGCCCTGCATGCACTCGCAGGACGCCCGGACGATCGTCCTCGTCTTCTCGACGGTTCAGACATTGGTGGTCGCCGAAGAGCCGCCCAGGAGCGTCATGGGATTTACTCGTCGGCGTTGTCGTGGTCCAGAGCGCGATCAAGTGCCTGATCTTGATGCGCGCGAGCTGGTGCGCTTACACTCGGGAGAGGGTTCTACGTAGCTCGTGAACACATCTGAACGGCCTCTATTCATGGTTCAGGGGTTCAGAGTGCATGCAGCGTTAGATGACAGGTCGCCGGGATGATCTGAGATATGCGTGCCTGTCTTTGCGCCCGGATTTTCACGCCATACGGTCGACCATCGCTTTTGACCGTATTCAGAGGCGGACGACAAGTTAACGTCGGCCTCGCTGCATCGAGAAGCCTGTTGATCAAATCAATACATCGCGAAGATCTGTCTGTTCAAGAAGCCGTCAGGGAAGGACACATACTAGCGAGCACGGACCTGTCCACGATGATCCGGAATCTGCGCATCATCCTCATACAGCTGAAGTCGTAAGTTTCCCTGCACCTGTCATTGAAAAGATCACGCAACCGCGGGTTGATGGTCCTTTGGGACAATGCATTCGCTGGAAAACCAGAGATCTGAATTACCGCAGCTGCAAGACGTTACTGAGCGCGTACCGAATCGGGTCCGACGGCGTGACAGACTTGAGTAGTTATAGTTCTTGAACGGGGATGAGACGCACAGTAGGGTAACTTAGCACCCATTCGGCTCCGAGATCCGCACGCTATTAACTGTGCGACAGAGTGAGACACGTCGCATGCGCCCGGCGGGAGCGCGATGAGGCCTTCGCGACGTCCGCTCAGGCACATCCACAACCAGGATGCCAGGAGACCGAGCGGGTGAGCGGTGAAGAAGGGAACGCAGGTGACCTACCGAGAATTGGGGCTCAGCGTGGGATGTCTGCAGAGTGATCGTGGAGAGAGACGTACCAAGACAGGAAAAGGATTCAGCGGTCGGTCCAGGCTGCGTAACGCACTAGACAATGTCCCGCTTAAGAATGACGACCAAGAGGCCTGCGGACAGTGTCAGCGACGGGTGAAAGTCACGTCCGGTGAATCTGCAACATACTGACGAGGTTCACGGTGCATGATAATGGGGCCTACGATTTGGCCATGAACGGCCATACGGACGTGCGGATGAACAGACATCAATTTGATCGAATGGTCTAGATATGTAGTGCGTTAGTTCCATATCGCAGTCGAGGGGAGTACACGTACCTGGACCACGTTGGCCTATGGTACACGAGCAAAACAAGATAGACATACTTAGAGCAACAGCGTGCTGTTGAACAAAATGCCCTGTGCCACCATCACGACGAGGAAAGCTTGTCGAAGCTCGATCTGCGATGTAGGAATGTATGTCGAGGACGTGGTAGACGACTCGATGTTCTCGTGGGTCGTGATATCAACGTGTCTGGGTGCGACGCGAGACTTGGAGGATGTGCCTAGGGCATGTGAATCTGATTAGATGAGGAACAATCTCAGAACGAAAGACACATACAGTGGAGGATGTTTGTTCTTTCGTGGTGGTCGTAGTTCGAAACAACGCGTTCACCCGATCTCCTTGTCCCGCACGGAGCGGGCGCTGTACCATATCAGAGCCTGGTGGTTGTCGCAAGCGGGAAGACTGGGCACGCGTCGAGGAATGAGATGCGCGCCCGCGGTTTCCTTCGTCGATTAAAGTTCATCGGCGACACGTTGATGTGAGAATAGATGTTTGGTGAGATCCCTGCTAGTGTGGCGTTCGAGAACATGGGAAGTGACTAGCCAGACCATCGTTCTGCCTCCAGAGGACATAAGTGAGGGATGCGGGAAGCAGTGGCGAGTTACTTACAGGGAGGTCGGTCATGAAGCGCTAGGTTATTATGCTCGTACAGGACCAGTAAAGTACCTCGGTTGGCCTAAGAAACGTTATGCCCCTGCGTGGCTAGGTGCGAGGAGCCGCGTGGCTGAGGACTAAGGCAGCTTCAAGCTCGTGTTGCGACATTGCAACAAAACAGATCGCAGTGACTGTATCGCACCGCGTATGCCCTGCTCGTACAAAGTGTGAGGTGTGCGGATAGTATGGGGCTACGTGCAGGCGCACACGAGACAGCGCGAAATCGATCGAAAATACCAGTGGCGTTGGACCAAAAAAACGCAGAAACTCATGCGCTCGTCACGGTTCCTGCATATCCTGCATATAATTTTGGACAGAAGCAGACTCACCACACGAACGACCGCAAGGGTCTCTATTTGATCACATCACGTATACCCAGGTACCCTGTATCGCCACGCTCCGCTCAGAATACCGGCAGATGCAGATGCAGCACAGTTCTCGCGCTCTGGGCCTCAGGTGGTAGACCACATATGCAGCCGGTCGCTTTAGCTCAACGACGGACCTCTCGAGCAGTTAAAGACATCAGGCGTCGGGTTTGAAGCGTTTAACAGAGAGATCGTGACTAGGGGGGCTCAGAGGCGTGATCCAGTTGGAGCGCGAGTTGTGTTGGCAGAGTGCTTAGAAAATCAACGTTCAAACGTTCATGCAATGGTGGACGTCGAGAGCAAAGCAAAACCGTCGCGCACTGGTGAAAATAGGCCGAGATTCTTCCGGCCGGCGCCTCCGCTGCTCTCGCTGCTCGATCACCCACTGGCAAGCATCGTCTTTGACTCGATAGGTCGATGGCTAACGCGTCACAATGACGGTTCGCACTCGCTTGCAGCTGCCAGCTACTCACATAATCCAGAGGATCAACATCCCGATCAAGCGACACTTACGGCTAGACGCTCCCCATGACAAGGTGAGCTGGCCCCCGCGCGTCCAACCACCCGTTCAGCCCACCATGATCACATCCATTCTAAAGGTGACCCCCTTCCCTTTTTGACGGCTTTATTCTCCTTCTGCGATGTATTGAACAGTCCGTATGCGTGTCACGGGGTCTGTCTTCGTGTTCCAAGAGCTCAACAGGGCCGGGCGGTCGGCTCTTCTTAAAGTGCCACGCTGGCTGGCAATACTGCAACATGAAACAGGTGGATCGGAGGGGGAGGGATAGCGGAAGAAGCAATGCCGATATTGTAGGTGAGTGATCACTGCGAATATGCAATCAAGCCGTATGCATCACTGCTGATTGGTACACGTCCAAATCTGATCACTGTGTCGCAAACGTGACGGGGAGTTTCCAGCTTCGTCGGATTACGGGAGCGAGCTCTGCGACTGTATGCGTCACGGTTGCTTTATTTCAGGTGCAATTCAACTTCTAGGGCACTCGTTTTGTCGCTCAGTCATGCCGTTCGCACGCAATATTCAATCAATACTGTGGCTTCTAGCCGTCTAGTACGTACTGTCCCGCGATACGAGTGGTAGCGACGCGGAGCAAACACTCCGAGGAGGTATACCCGACCTCGTAGGTGCTACGGACAAGACATTCACACAGGTCTGACGCACGCGGGATACTCAAAGAAAGCGACGTACTACGCGTCGGGCAGAGTTACCTGTCCCCTTCGTTCCCAACGTCCGGACAGCGGGGTCACCTGCGCGTGACGCGAGTATTCCATGTATCGTCCTGTGCGACGTGCATGCTGGTGAGGATCGCATCCTTCACGCATGGCGGTTTCATGACATACGCGCTCACCTGTGTGTTCTCCAAGCAGGCGAGGGTTCTCGACACTGCGGAGTTCTAAGATTCACTGACATTGAACCTGTGCTCACAAGTAAGTACCGGCATCGACGCACCTGTCTTTCATGTCGCTAGTCTTGACGTCGCGGCCTCGCAGCTGCGTGACTCCAACTATCGGCTCCTGGTTGTGACCGCCGTTCATCCCGCTTCGAGCGAGAAGGGGCTCGCTCGGCGCATCCCCAACTACAGGAATGGACGTAGGAGATGATCCAGGGAAGTGGCGGCCGCATCTCGGTCAATGTACTCCCGTGACGTACCTCGTGTTGGCTAGGTGCAGTACCAGTCCAATCGCTCGTTGCTCAGTGAACCTCACTACTCCAACAGCCAATCTATCTTTGTAGATTTCTCCGTACGACATCACAGCGTACACGCCCGACGTGTTCGCCGTCGCTTTGAAGGCGGTCCACCTCGCGTCGAGTGCATGTAAAGACCTGACTTTGTGCTGTCAGAGTCCGGTCAGTGACGACGCGGTGAAGGTGCAGCAATATCCCCATTGCGCAACCGAGCCATCGAATCGAAAATCGCTGGTCATCAGACGGCAACGTACGGTATGGTCGCCATATCCAGCGAAGATCTAGCAGGTGCGTCTACAAGCGCTTCCACGGCTTCTCGAGAGCTCTACCTCATTAGTTGCATAGTACGTCTATCACTCAGAGTGTTGGCACAATCGCTTGGCGGGCTTGGGGCCAGCAGTGTTCCGCCTGATCGACGATATCGACGTCTCGATGCGCACGTAGCCTCGCGGGAGGTTCTTCGGCGAGGCAACTCGCGCTCGCCACTCCCGGAGGGCTCTCACTCAGTAATCGCTCACCGCTGACTCCCTGGACATTTTGACGTCTACGCCATTTGCTCGCGCCAAGCATGTTGAGGCTCCTTCCTTAGCACCGTTATGCAGTAGATACGTACTAATCAGCATCCCGATGAATCGAAGTACACTTTATTTGTTCGTGGCGACGGGGAAGTCCGATACAGTCGATGTACAGTACATCCGGCCATCGTCCAAGCACAATACATTTCAGCCATCGTAGCAAGCATGAGTCAATCGAGACAGTAACCATACCGATCCCGGGTCACCTCCGTACCAAAGCCAAACTGTCCCTCTAATGAGTCGGCCGATAGTGGTAGATAAAATGGAGTCAAATGAGCCCTTGTGAACGACCGGTCCCTCGCATCGACCCGCGCTCCGTACGGGCAGTGATGATGTCTCGTTGCCGCCACCTCCGTCTGTACTGACCGGCTAACCTGCTACGTCTTCGGCATGAGGACTCCTGGGCATTGCTGGATGAATGAACGGGAAACAAGAGTTAGACAGACGTGTGCCATGTGTGCACACGAGCTCACTCACATTTGCAATATCAATAGCTACTTCATCACAGCCAGGTGATGGCGACTATGCCACGGGCAACCCATGGCTGCAATATGCCATGGAACATGGTCTGGAGCTGCTGACCGATGCTGTCCAGATCGATGCCGTCCACATGCAACCTGGTCTGCCAGTGACGGGTCAGAGGCGCCAGCACGATCTTCACCTCGACATCCTGCAATGCATCGAAATATGGCTGGCTCACGACCTCGTGCAGGCCCCGCAGGTCGAGCCCCTCGAGGACAACACCGAGCTTCTCAGGCTCGAGAATGCTGTCGCCGACGGGAACTCGAACTTTGACCTTGATGTACTCGAGATGACGGCTTCGGACGGTGGAAAATATGCCGTGCAACTCGTTCATTGCTTTGGTCCACACCGCGCGAGGCCCCTGGTCTTTGGCCACGCGTTCGATGAGTTGTAGCTCGAAGCTCCAGGATCGCAAGGCGGTGTTTTGCAACACACTTCCGTGAACACCTAGTGCATTGTGCATGTGCGTTAGTGGCAAAGCCTGTAAGCAAGACAAAGGGACTCTTACTACGGCCATAATTGAAACCGTTACTTAGACGGAAACTGACCAACGACGTCCCCGCGGTTTCGAGGAGTTTGTTAAGGGGGATCTGTGCCATGGAGGCAACCTCGGGGCTGACTGTCAGATCCGCAAGTGAGGTGCAGAGACCTGAGTGCATCATCCAGTCAGAGAACATCGCCATGCGTTCATCGTTCAAGTTGACGTCAAGGTATCGAAGACGCATGTGAGGTGGTGGCTGAGATAATGAAGCTCCCGCGTAGCTGGCAGCACCTTGCTGAGCGAAATAAACATACAACGTGAGATCGGTAAGCTGAGGGAAGGCAGACACAATCCGCCGCAGCTGCGTGATGTTGTTCAGTCCGCAGTTCCGAAGTGTCAATGATTTGACAGACTCGAACCTCGACAGGGCGAGGAAGAAATCCGTGCGGACGAAACAAAGTCTTGCACGGTAGATGTGAAGGTTGCGTACACAAGGCATCAGACTAGCGAGCGCGGATGGTAGCGCTTGCAAGAAGTGATTGTCACTATTGTTCTTGTTTCTACGCTGCGGGGATTCCATGCTTCCGTCTTCGTTCGAGTCCCTCTTGTCCTTGAGAATCTCAAAAAATGCATCCCACTGCTCGTTTGCCACCAGCTCGCATGTGCTCGCGAGCCACTGCTTGAGACGTGGTGACGCGTAACACTGCTTGAACAGCAGGTTGTAGCTTGTGCGGCTGCGAATCTCGATGGTGTGGTAGAGCTTGTGCATCGCTCGAGGGTACCATGCTGTGCAGACCAGCGCCGCGACGGTCAATGTGGGAGGATCCATTTCGTCGACGATGATCTCGAAGACCTCGAGCGGGATGCGAGCGGAGAGGGCCAGCGGCAGGGTGCCTTGAAGCCGGGCGTTCCACCAGGGTATGAATTCCCGCTTCTTGCGGTGATCCTCATAAATCCGTGCATAGCTGGATTCCTCATTGCTCTGTTCATCGGCACTCGGTCCCTGGTCAATCTGTTCATCGGCAAGGCCCTGACCGACATCAATGTGATCGTCGGCACTCCGTCGCACGACTTGTGCGTGTGAGGCATCCTCGGGGGCAGGGGGAAGATGCTAGGTGAACGGCGCGTCAGCCGAATCGGGATCATCATGGACAGAAGACGACCAACGCTAGGCTGGAGATCAAACATCTGGGCAATCGCTCGTCCCTACGAGCACGCGACGTGGATGTATGCGCTATGGGGGGAGGCCCAGTCGTATGCGGAGGAGTGGTGGGTGTGGGGGCGCAAGTGGCAAGGCAGCCTCGAGGATGCACTGAAACCCTGTATATTAGAAGAGCTGTGTGCGAGAGTTTGACGAACCGCACGGTGACTGCCGCCGGGGCTTTCCATGCCATGACCGGCAGTCATGCTGCCAGCATTCGTCGACGCGCCACGGATACTGGCCCGGATATTACTGCTTGAAAAACGTGAACCCACTGAGCGGCGGCCCGCCTGAGTACAGTGTCATTGTGCGATGCAGCAGCGGTCGTCAGTCAATTCCCCCAACCCTACTAACTGCGTTCTCCCCACTCTGACTCTGCGCCTGCTTGCCACCGCTCCCTTCGAGCGGCGTCGGCCACTCCATGAAACATTCATTAGCATCGATATCCAACCTAATATCCATTCCCATTGCTACATGTGAGCTGAATACGTCTTCGACGAGACGGTGCTCAGTCTCCTCGCCACATCCCGAAAACCCTTTCAACATGAGCGGACGGCATACGCACCTTAGAAAGTGGTGTTTGTATGCGCAGGGCCAAATTTCATGCTTGTGGGTGTTGATATCAAGCAACAGAAGGGCCCTCTGCACTCGTTCGCCTACTAGTATGTGCATTTTCTCCCGTAAAATTACACCATAGTAGTGCACTAGCGCACCAGTCACACACCGCGTTCACCAGCAGGCTCTCACCTACATTATCCTGAACGAAAATAATCAGTCATGATGGCTTTGAACTGGAGACCCAATAACGTACCGTAACCAGTGTTGGGACTCACGATTGACCTCGATGGGGCAATGTATGACCCTGTCTACGCGAGAAGGGTCGGAACATCCGCCAGGAAAGTCTAGGAAGACAGCAAGTCAGTACCGAGCGAGTGGATCATGAAGATACAGCAGACGTGCTAATGACGGACCACCCAACTCTCGTGGAACATTGACCGGACTCGGATCGCGCGAAGGCCTACCGCCATGTCGGAGGCTCACTCTAAACGCCATCACTAGCTCGGTCAGACAGTCGCTCTTTCTGAACGTGCTACTTACTGATGAAAAGACAAGGGACCGCGTCCCGTACACTGTCAAGAGGGATATCCCGAAGGCAAAGCGGCTCGGACTACCGCTCGTCTGCGGGCCACACGACTCGTGTTTGAGCACACGGACCTCGTCCGTATAGCCAAACTCGCTGCGCACAGCTGGTCGCTTTTAAGCAGTTCCGTTCACGTTGCCGGAGCGGTACATGTGAAGCCTCATCAACCGGATCGGCGCCTCGGTGGCGTCCGAGTCCTCTCTGGCTCTGTCGGACAAGCTCAGCCCGACCGCTCTCGAATGGGGAACAAGAGCTACTCACCGCAACATTGGTCTTCGACGACGGTATGCTGATTGAGTACCTCCTCACATCTACGGGAGTACCCTTCGCGCTGATCCTCCCATTGGGGGTCGCCGACCGGGCTGCCTGGGAGCGTCGCGGGTGTTCAGGTCCCCTCGGTGCTGCTGTTCCTACGTACGGCCAAACACCTGATGCCGATGTGCGGGCTGGCTGCCTTGAACTGCGGTGAGGGCGCTGCGTAGCCCGAGAACGCGTCCAGACGATCGAACCTGGATCGAACGTCACGGGTACGGTATGGATCTGACAGTGGCGAGTGACTCACCGAACGACGGGTCCTCCGAGCCTCTGACGGTACCCTGTTTCCAGCTCTGAGCTACAGTAAAATCTCTCTCGCGTCGCATGTTTCGCCTCATCTGTGGCTTTCGGGTCCCCGGGTGTAGGTCTGTAGGCTGCGGAGCATCGCGGGTTGCAGTGGATACCTGGGTGAGTCGCCTAGTGGTGGAGTAGCTCACGATTTGGAGGGAGGAGGAGGATCCGGAGAGGAATCCATTGATGTTCAGTTGGTGCGAGGTACAATATGTACGCCGTCAGAGTTGAGTTTGCTGGACATCGAGATCGGAGGAGGGAGCAAACCACCGTTCGCGAAGCCGCCGTGGTCAGCCACGCCGAGGTTCTTCCGGCCGAGCGCCTGTTCTCTCCCGCTTTCAGCACTTGCCCCGAAATTTGAACACCCTCTCAACGTTCTTTGTGTGTATCGCGCGACGCCCTTGGAAACTATGGCAATTTGTTGTAGCTAGATCCGCGATTATACACAACTTGCTCGCTGCTAATGCATGCACCTCGGCAGGACTCCGCTAGGCTTGCGCGCATCCTCTACATTGAACCGCTGCACCCTCCGCCGAAAGACCGGTGCTCACGGATCTCTTCGAGTCCTTTTCCAGTGAACAGCCTCAGAATGCTGCGTTAATTCCGCAACCATCGCATAGGAGAAGGATACATACTCGCCAGTTCTGTTCGTGTCCTGTGGCAAGAGGACGCGGGACCATGGGCGAGTAGCTAGCTCGTCGTATAAGCTTGAACGAGACGAAAATAGCGGAAGGCCGGATGTCTGTCAGGTGAGTAACCTCTGCTTCTCAGTTGACATAGCTCATCGTGCGGTAGTGCATCAGATTCATTCTCGGAGCGTAGTTCGTCGCCAAACGAGTGCACGGCGTGTCCGAGTCTGCCACTCATCTCATCTCACTGTACCATTTAAAAGGTCGTGGCTCGAGCGGCGTATTGAGGCTCGAGCAGTTCAGTAGGGAAGCATCTGCAGTCAAAAAACAGGTGCGAATGCGACGCCTCACCCAACTTCGGCCTACTCACCTTCGTCATGCTCGATCTCAAGCGTCTCTTTCGACGCATCGCGCGACCAGAAGCCCGTGCGGCAAGCGAGCTCTCCCCCATCTACGTCTGCGAATGGATGCCGGGTCATATCCCCATCTCAAGGCCGTCCGTGACAGCTCAGGCCGGCTCTTAGCGCACCAGTGTGCGCCGGTCGTGGATATCCGCCCTCGCGCGCGCGCCCAACATACGCTCGGCTCGTAAAAACAAGGCGAGGTGAGCGGTTCTTCTGTCCCGCGAAGTGCGAGTTCTAAGATTGCTTAGGCAGCCCGGGAAGCGGAAGGAGCCTCTGAGGCCTACGGAGTCGATGATGGTCGCCGTTCCCAGTGTAGAAGCGCCACGGACGTCTAGCGGGCCAGGCGAATCGTCGACGTTGTCAGGAGGGTAAGCCAGTGTTCCTTTATACCGATCGTGTACTCACCTTCGTGTCCTAAAGTGAGGCGTGGAACCGGAGTATGGCTAATCGGTGGATATATGGTCCTGGGGCGTTGGGGTCAGCGAGCTGCTCATCGGAGAGGTGCGTTCGCGTCAGACATCTCATGTCTGCACAGGTGATAAAGCGTGGCGTCCAGGTCTTTGGAGGTGTTCATTCCAGCACGCAGAGTAACGTAGGCGAATCACGCAATGACGCTTTATCGCATATGGCGGATGCCGAAGGCGCGTGTAGTACCTGGTTGATCTAGTACGAGGGTACGCCTATCTTGTTCTTTCTGCATTGACACGTCCTGACAGTCCTCAGGCTCTTAGATGCTCTCAGAATACCCGAACGAGCGGATGGACATTGCTAGTATCTCTAGGTATTCCGGCTTCGACCAACCTATGTGAGTGGTTGACGCTGCTTCGGTGGCATGTCGCCTCGCTGACACGGGATCAGGGGCATCAAGTGGAAAGATGTCTTGCGGAAATGAACGAGGCATGTTATTGCGTAATTGGAACCCCTTTCTGTGCTGATATGAAGATGTAGCTATTAGGACCGCCATTCCTCTCAACGCCGAGAGTCTACCCTCCCGCCTCACAAACACCGGGCCTCCCAGAAGAGCCTGAAGTCATGAATGGCGTCGATTCAAAGCGGAGTGCCGTGCGCAGGATGTGCATTTGACGACGCCGACGGCACCTGCGTCTGGCGATATGGTACATATGGCATACCATAGGTGCGTTGTTATACCCTAGACACGCGAGACGTGCTCAAAATTGAAAAATGACACAATACAGGACATCGAGCCTCGGCTTGTACAAGATTATCGTAATGTCATCTTAATCTCCTGTCACGCTCGAGTTTCGTGTACTTATCGAGGCCGTGCGCTGTTCGACTGGATCCACGGACCGAATAGCTGCCGTGGCGGTGCCGCAACACGTAGGTGTGTTTCCGTAAGAGGAAATCGCTCTGTCCACTTTGTCCGTGGGTATAAGGTTTTGTCACCCTCCTTCGCGCGTCCCTAGACGCCTATGTTCGGATGGAGGGGGCGTGGCGAGGATCAGTGCTCTCGTCGCCTCCCACTATCATGAGGGTCGTGTTCGCTTCAGCATGGCTCGCGTTTCTCAGCACTGTTTTCTTGACGGCCTTTGTCAGCCCAGAGCCGGTTTCAGCGTTCGTCACAACCAATCCTGCAAGGTGAGTCTTAGAAATCCATACGGTTTGTCACCGTTGAATGTCGCTGACGTTCAATCCCAGGAACACCTTCCGTGAACTCAAAGACACAGCGCAAGATGGAATGAACGGTGCGCTTGCACCCGCCTGTCAATGCATACTGAACCGTAAGCGATGCCACAGATGTTGTGATTGACCCCGGTCTACGACTTGATGACTCCGAAACGCTCAGTCAATTCTGGAAAGACGCACTGTCGCTTGGTCAGCGCGGCCAGGATTACGCAGATTCCCTGATTTACGACGTTGCCCACAAGGCGGATCCGACTACTGCCGTGCGACTTCACGGCATCCAAAACACCCTGCAAGCCATAATCCATGGCACGGAAGACCTGAAAGCGCTGATCGTCACACAAGTCCACGACGAATCGTTTGACGATTTCCAGCGTGGTATAGAGAACATCCTGGCGAACATCTTGGAGGAGTTGAAAGACCGGTTCCCTCCGCCTTATCATGCCCCGAACCACGCAGAGCGGGAGGGCAATGTGACACTGGTCGTCAACATCACAGAGGAGGCCCTAATCAAGTTTGGCGTGGAACATGGGATGTCGGAGGAGGAATTCAGGGTGCGCCTTGACCCGATTATGAAGAACGTCGAAGAGGTCATCGTTGCCATCGGTCAGTCGTCGTATCGTCTCACATCGTCGTGATCCCACATTGTACCATTGCCAGGTGATTTGGCGGAACAACACCCGTACTTGCTCGAGACCTTGCTCGTCTCTGGTGTCATGCTTATCATCCCTGAATCCTGGTTCCTTCGCCCGTTGCTCCGACTGTTCGGGATGTCCCCGAAGGTCCCGTCCAAGGTAAGAGTCAACCTCTTCACCGTCTCGATGCAATTGTACGAGGACATGCTATCCCCACATCGTTGACCTGTTCACAGGTTCCGTGGTGGCTTGGGCCCAGCGCACGTTCTTTGGCGGAACTATCCCGAAGGGGAGTTGGTTCTCGTATCTGCAACGCGCAGCTATGGGTCACTGGGCGCGGAAATCGATCAAGAAGACCATCCTCGGTTCTATCTTGGGTGGCATTGGGCTCATTGGCGCCATATTCGCCAGCTGTGGCTGTGTCTGAGATTGCTCAGGATCCATTATCTCAAGCGCGGTATATGCGGCCCGACTACAGTGACCCGTACCATACAAGAAGAGTCGTGCATGTTCTTGCAATTAGAGGTTGGGTTCATTGAGCCACGCAGTTGAAATGCCGCGTTCGTCAGCTTCCCAGACTCACAAAGTGGCCGCTCGGTGCGTATGTAGCATGCGAGCGCATACAAACGGGGATGGGGGCGATATCCTCGGAGTCGAGGTACACTACTTGTTTCGCGTTCTCGCTAGCCTAAGGTTGCGTGAGCCAAGTAACGTCGGGCGTACGTAGTCTCTTAGTCGAGGACAGCAGAGCACGCGCCATCATGATCCTTGTCCGGAGGCAGAGTCGCCACACCCAGGTGCGTCGTCCGTATCAGGAAGGCATATTAATGCTTCTGTTGTCTGCGGAAATAAGGTTCCGTCGACGTGAGCTTCCTTCGTGCGTCCCTTGACGCCCAGCTCCTCGTATTTGAGCTGAAGGGCGTGGCGGAAATGAGATCCCTTCTTGTCACCACCCACCATCATGCGTGTCGTATTCGCCTCAGCTTGGTTCGCGCTCCTCAGCACCACCCTGCTAACCGTCCTCTTCGGTGCCGAGCCGGTATCAGGATTGAGCTTAGCGAACCTTGGGAGGTAAGCATTTCTGGTTCGTCTTCGCGGGCGTCGGATGCCACTGATAAACGATAACAGCAACATATTTGGCGGATAAAAAGACGCTGTTGACAAAGCGCACGATGGCATGAACAGTACGTCTGCGTCCATTCAATGACTGCTTTGTTTGCGCGTGAGGCTCAGCGGCTGTACAGAGGCGCTTTCTGACGCCAATCATCATCTGGGCGAGCTCGACACTCCAGAACAATTCTGGGAGCATATGCTCGGCCATCATGCTCAGGACTACGCGGCGTCTCTCATCCACGAAGCTGTGCAAGAGGTTGACGCGACCGTCGTCGCCCAGCTACGCCACTTTCAATACGTGATACAGGTAGTCGTCTCTGACACCGAGCACCTGAAAGAAGTCATTGCACAAGCGGGAGACAAGCCATTCGACGAGATTCAGCATGGTATCGAGAAAGTGTTCGCAGACCTCCTAGAGGAGTTGAAGGAGCAGTTCCCCCACCGGACCAAGCGCCGGACCATGCAGAGCGCAGAGGGAACGTGTCTCTAGTCATCCGCAAAGCAGAAGAGGCTTTCATCAGGTTAGGCGTGCAACACGGGGTGCCAGAGAACCAGCTTCGGACGCATCTCGACCTGATCGTGAAGCACGTCGAGGATATTGTCGTCACTGTCGGTTAGTCTACCTCGTCGTAAGCCCTCATACCCTACGCTGTGATCTCACATCTTGCCAGGGGACTTAGCGGAACAACATCCCATCTTGCTCGAGACTTTGATTGTCTCCGGTATCATGCTCATCATCCCAGAGTCGTGGTTCCTCCGTCCTCTGTTTGGGCTCTTCGGCATGTCCACTGAGGGCCCCGTTGCAGGTACGGAAGAGCGTCATCGTCTTGTATCAGATCACAGCATGCTCACATCGTGGGTCTACGCAGGTTCCGCGGCGGCTTGGGCTCAGGGCCGCTTCTACGGCGCATACATCCCGAAGGGCAGTTGGTTCTCGCACCTGCAGCGCGCAGGCATGAAGGGCGCGTCCCGGTGGATCTGGTGAAGAAAGCTGTAGGCGGTTGCATTCTGGCTGGCGGCTTGTTCGCGGGAGCCTGAGATCGCGCGGCACTTATTTGTTATTATCCATTGTCTGATGTAGTGTATGTGGGCCTACTTGTAAATCGCACAACAACTGTATTCGGATTCAAACCGATGCTACCACGGAATAGACCTCGATATCAGGAGTCTCACTGGCAGCGCACACCCCCTATGCAGGGTGAAGTGGCGCTGGCCGGGGCTGAAGACGTCGATGAGTCTGTCAGGGATACGAGCACGGCGCGCGTGCACGCGTCTCTAGCGGACATGTTCGGCGATGTGCAAAGTCACCGCCATAAGGATTGACGAGCGTGCGACGAATCATACTTTGACGTGCGGATCGCTCATGGACAGAGGTGACGGTGTTCGCGGCGTGGCCAGTGTGGTGTCATTAGAGCCGCTGAAAGCGTACGTATGTCAGTGAAACCCGGAACCACAGGGATCGTATGCGCTTGCCTCGAGGTGATGTTGCTATCCACGGGGTTTGCGGTCGGGTCATAGGTCTCTACGGAGTGTTGGTCGTCCAGCAATTCCCGGACGTACCTTTCCATGTTCAGTCTGCGTTCACAGCAGAGCCGAGCATGAGCGAGTGCGTCTCCGCTCGGTAGGAGAGACGATTAACTCACAAGCCGCCTGTGCAAGATCGACGTAAGTGCCTGTTGCCGCGAAGTTCCTCCCTGAAAGCGCTCACCGGACGCCTGGACGACTTTCCCTCGTCTTCCCGCCCGTCCGGATTGGCGTCGCCGACAGAGCTGTGAGCGTCGCGTGGTAGGCCATGACTGGCATGAGAGCGTAAGTCGATGCATCGAAGCCAGGTACTTGGGCTTGAGTCGGAGGTGCTGTGTCCAAGAGATCGATGAGCCGCATAGCTCACTGCCGTAGGTGAGACACTGCATACCGTTATTTGCCAGTCACACTGCCAGTGTTCGTCAAAGCGCCGCATTAGTCTCGGCGTGGCGACATGTAGCTTGGTGTGTGGTCGTGCCAACGCAAGAAGGTCCCGGTGAGGAGGACCCCGTCCCTAATCCTAATTGCATTCTCGCGAGGTAGATTGCACCGATGACGGAAGCGGTCGCTAGTGCTTGTTCTTGGGCGTTGTCCTGCGTATTCTGTACTGTTCCCTGAAGGTCGGCCCAGTAAACCGTGGTGATGCCTACTCACAGATCGGAGAGTGAGGTGTTCGGAGTACACAGGTAAACGCACGAAACGACCGTCGGACGTAGGCTATGCAACACTCAAGCGGGTAGTTAAAATCAGGATAGCGACGACCATCCAGGTCTCTGGTGCCCGATGATGACGCGTCGTATTTGCACTGAAAGGAATCAGCCGACGCTACGTAGCCCGTGAAGCAAGTCGAACTCACTGTAGCTGAGCGGATGCCCTACATCGTGCCGCTCCTCAGGGCCCCGCGTGTGAGCCAACCTCTACCCTTCCGCCGGTTCCACGGTTCAGTCGTCAATGAGCGAGTGGCTCAACGGCCTCACAATCCGGTACAGGACACAAACTTGTGGTCGATCACTCCGATGGGTTGCAGGCCCTGACAACCGTCTTGAATAGCAACAGACGTTACAATCGAGGGGGGCGTATCAGGCGGATGTGAGAGAGCGTTGGTCGATGGAGACTGAGTCGGTCGACGGTCACGATGGTCGTCTGTGCGCACCCGCCGAGCTCAGGCTTCTTCCGAGCTCCTCTCGTTGTGAGCTATTGCATGGATGCCTCGACGCCCTATAGTTGCGGTGACTCGGGGTATTTCAATCGACAAAACTGTGGTCGTTCCAGAGTGTCATGGTAGTGAGTACCGACGAGCAAAGCCAGCGTGCGCTAGGCTGCCCCGCCGATATTCCCCGACCGCTTCCTCTCTCGTCTCAGCCACAGTCCCGTCGCTCCTGTCTCTCCTCCAGAACCATCCCTGATGCACCTGCCGGGCGATAAGCTGGGTCCACTACCATCGACCTTCCTCGTTCTCTTCACCGGTGAATATGATTACATCCCACGCCTTCCGTGTTTGCTGGGCCTGGGCGAGGCTCAAATTGACGAAGCGTTCTGCGAGAAGATGCGGCACCGTGGAAACTTAACGCATATATGCACACAGCCCTCGATGAGAGCGTGATATAAATGTACGAAAGGGACAACAGGAGCAAAGTGGAAGGGAAATCGTGCGTCAGGTACTTAAGTAGATTCTGCTTACTTGCGGGAATGACACGTCGCCGTCAGCCTGGTGTGTCTCAGTGGCGCGTAAATTCAAAATTGATCCAGTTGTCTGTGTGAACTATCGACAAGCATTTGTGAGGTCAGTCGATAGGAGACGTTCCAGCTGGCCTCTGTCATGACCATCAGGTGCGCTGTTTGCACATTAAACCATTGTTCGACCATTTACCGATCGTGCAGATCTCTCCGTGATACCGTCCTGTCGTTCCTACTTGCAACAGTCGATTTAGTCATCCCAGTTGGTACGGACGCACGTTACCTCCAGGAACACTGACAGGCTGGTTGTACACTTACAGTGAGTAGCTCTCATTGCGCGACCTAAGCCTCTCGCTCAAACATCGCCTACACCGTCCCGGCTTCCTATACTAGCAAACTGATGCATGCGTCCGGTGAGTGCCCAGACCCTACGCCGAGGTCGACGATGCCTCACCATTAGCGCGCCCTTTTACTCTGCCAGATTACACGACGGCGACCTTTCCGGGGTTCATGCGCTCAGGGGAGTTGGTCGAGTCATTGTTCGATGAGACGGCAATCTGCACGCCCGACAGCATCTTAAAGGCCGTGAACCCTCTCAGGAGACTCCCGGTGTGTACCCTCCGCACATTGTCAACGACGTAAAGCAGTGACCAGCAGGTGTACCGGACCTCATATATCATTTATAGCTGCCTTGAACTCCCCGATGACTCGAGCCGGACGTACATACGATGCTCGAGAAAGGCGATGTATTCCGATTTTTGTCAAGCAGAGGTACTTATGCGCTTCCTCACCCGAGGTCACTCCGCTGCGTTGCTAAGCGTCCCATCGGACAGTGAACCCATCTCTGCGTGCCGCCCGCATCCAATGCTCGCCATGCGACGTCTATGCTGGTGAGCATCGGAAGCAGGTGTGCGTGGCGGTTCGCGTCGCCCATGCTCATTGTTGCTCTCCAGGTGAGAGTTCTTGATGCTCCGGAACCTGTGGGGTGCACTGACAATGAACTTGCGCTCACAGGTGCCAAAGTCGACGAGCCTGTGCACGCCGCCGCTGGGCTCATACCGCGGCCACCTGAATTCCGCCGGCAGCTCCTGTTCGCGAGAGCCCTTTCCGTCTCAATTCGAGCGAGAAGAGGCTAGTTCAGCGCATCCCCGTATCAGCAAAGAGGTCAACAGCAAGCGATCGAAGCAGCATCACCGTCCTGGTCGACCGGGCGATCCCATAGCTCAAACATTCTCAAGACGCATGGGGTCCGTCACCCCAGATGTCGGTGTACAAGTACTTAAAAGATGGAGAGACAGGGCGGAAAAGGCCGTGTTCACGACATCATCCCGTCGCACTACGACTTCGACGAGACTGACTCCTCCAGATCCAGCAGTACGTAGATGTGACATGTATATAAATCAGCATCCAAAGAATCAGATACACTTCTGATATCGTAGCAGCCGGAAAGCGTAGTATAGAACCGTGGGCCCTCAGCACCCGGCGGTTCATATTCTAGACACACATGTATCGTACATTCAACCATATCCAGACAAGTCACCGTTTGTCCGCTGTAGTGGTATGGATCGATCGAAAAAGGTCACACAGCTGAGACCAATGTCCATGTCCCTCGTCCCTTCGAATTGGTCGCACGCGGTCTCCCATAGCACACTTCCACCCTAATCCGACGGCATCGCGGGAGCCAGACGAATGTCGGTAGGTATAGGGGCGGACTCTCGTTCTCAAATGGGGGGGAGACTGCAAATGAGCGCGCCAGTCATTCCGAGTCGCGTGACGGGGTGCAACAGACGGGTGGACGCGAACTTGGTTCCCGACGTCAAGTAGACGGCACTTACTTATTCTCGGTGTGCACGGCATCACAAGCGCTACCAATCGCTAGGCCGGGGTACACGAGAGCAGCGGGACAGTAAGTCACAGAGGAGGTCAGCGGTCGTGTTGGTCGACGTCCAGAGCAACGGAGAGCAACCTGTACGTCAGCGACGCCACCGTGTCTGCCCCGCCGAGATTCTTCCGAGTGTCTCTCCGCCACAAGAGCGACGGGGAGCTTACATCGAGCACTTCTGTTCTCACAACTCCAGCAAGCTCTCGTTTGAATTGCACTCTGACCTGGCTGGATGCTCGATACACCACTAGTCGACGCATATCAGCGGAATTTCGTCCGCACACGCTAGCCACCGGCAGACACTCCTTCGCTGAACAACTCGGGCGGATTCTAGGTCTCCTACGGTCCTGTTCCGCCATTGCACATGACTGTGCTGCTCGCTCTCAACGATCTTGGACTAGACGAGGGATCTCGACTCGACGGCTCGAATGTTCTCTGCAGTCTTTGACGAGAAGACGCGGTGTCATGGCCGACTCGGAGCAATGATACGTCCAACTTGATGACAGCCTGAGACGGTTCTCGAGGCGGACAATGCCAGATGCTTGGACAAAACGGGGAGTAGGTGAGTAGGCTTTTGATCACAGCGCGTATGACCCGGCGTTGTGACACCACTCTCCTTCATGCGCGTCCGCGCACCCAGACTGGACGAGAGCAACGTGCTGACTGCGTTCAGTGACGAAATGTACCGTGGTCGGGTTCCCGTACAGGGGCGGCCGGTAGCTTGATCGTACCTCTTTGGAGACTTGCGAGTCGCGACAGCGACGAAGCGAGCGGGACGGCGGGAAGAACGGATAATAGGTGCCAGTGAGCAAGTTCTAACTAATTATGTTCAACGGACTCCTTGATGCGTCTTCCTGTCGCACAGCACGTCTCCACAAGTTAAGGAAGATCGTCGTAGATACATATATGCACATGGTTAGTGCTGGTCCTCGCTGGATACGTGCTCAGCGGGAGATAGCTCATCTTCCGAAGTTCCAGCCACCCGGATCCGCTGTCTAATGTACGTACTGGGTTCGAGGCATTCACTACAAAAGAAGGCAACGCGTACCCAGAACTGTTCTGGGGCTGTAAACCGATCAATACCACCTACAATTCTGGGATCTCCGCAGATTCGTGAGGGAGGAACGGCGTCGTGGCCTAGCTCCGAGATAAGTATATCTCTCCCGTCTTCCAGCCACTATCGGCTCGTTCCTACAGCTCAGCGACGATGGGGCCGAACGCGCGAACGCATATATGCAGATGTAGAACTCGTGTCTTCCCGCTAATTCACTTTTTCGATCAGGAAACGGTTGTTGTTACTGACTTTGACGACGAGCCCGCAGCCTCCCAAGATCGCATATAGGTCACTGGCGTCGAAGGCGAGCCGCGACTTGTTCTGTCTGAAGGCTGATTCTCAACAGTGAGCCAGGCGCAACACCCATGAAATCTCCCGTATCTGCTGAGTGCGAGGATGGTCAGCTTGATGCTCACTCACTGAACCTCGTCGTGCTCATACCTTTTCTCCTAGACCTGCCATCCGTAGATCGTGATAGCGCCTCCGTCAACTCAGCGAGCCGTAGGTACGCTAGTCAGACGCCATACCTTGAGAGAGTTTGGGATGCTAACCGCAGACCATTCTTAGCGAGGCCGGTGACGCTCGCAGCCGTCTCAAAATCGCCGGACTCGAAACTGTGCGTCCACCTCAGACAATCCCGGAACTCTGGTGCATCCAGACCTGAATGGTCCTATCGAACGAAGTGGATGTACGCACTGCGCACTTCGTGACGACGCACACCGACCTCAAGTGATGGTGCCGAAATATACCTGCTCAAACGGCGCCGACTGGTATCCTCACGATGATACTGATGCGCCCGACCTTATCAGGTACAGAGCGCGTCCTGTGCGATAACCCCAGGTCTAGCACGCAACAATATCTGTCACAGGCCATGGACACTGAGGGACGTCGATCCGCGGTTGGCTTCGCTCCTACCGGTCGCCCGTCGGCATTTTTTTTCCTTTGCGGCAGTCCGAGCTGCAGCTTTCTCCCGCTCTCTCGTGCTACCCCGGTCGGAGCCCCTCACGCTTCTATGGCGCCGCTGTCTAACGGTCAGATTCGTACTCATTGTACTTGACCTTGATTGACCTGCTCTTTTCGAATATGTCCAATACAATCAAGTACCAATACCCTCGAGCCCAGATCGTCGATGTATAGTACACGCGGTCATCGTAGAGTGAATAGAGATGGTTTCCATAACGGATCCGAGTCACCTTCATACCAGACCCAAGCCAATCATCCTTCTACTGAGTCCGCCGATAGATAAAATGGAGCCGAACGTATGACCCCTCGCATCAACCCGCCGCGTTCCATATAGGCGTTGACGATGCACCGTTGCCGCCAGCCTCCTTCGTTTGTACCGTTCGAACGACGTGCCACGTCTTGCGTGAGGATTCCTGGGTGCTGCTGAATGGCTGAACGGGAGACAAGAGTTAGACGGACGTGTGCGCGAACGGGCTCCACTCACGGTTACAAGATCAAAATCGCGCATATTAGTAGCAGGTAACGTTGAGTATGCCACTGGCAGACCATGGCTGTAATATGCCACGGACCATGAGCTCGAGCATCTCACGGAGGCCGGCTGCATCCACGAATGTATAGGGGTAACACAACCTGTACATCTTCACCCCGACATGCTTCAATGTATCGAAGTGTGGCCGGCTCATGACCCCATGCAGGTCCCGCAGGTCGAGCTCTTTGAGGACAACGCTGGGCTGCTCAGACTCAGAGTCGAGACGTATGGCTTCGCAGCCAACCCAAGCATGGAACTGGATGTGCTCGAGCTGACGGCTTCGGATAGTGGAGAGGATGCTGTGTAATTCGTCGATTGTTTTGGTCCAATCTGTGCTCTGAGGCTTGTTGTAGCCGCATTCTATGGGACACAGGCGGACGTCCAAGAATCGCAAGGCGATGTTTTGCGACAGATTCCCGTGAATACCTACATTGCACATGTGCATCAGCGGCGAAGTCTCTAAGCAAGACAAAGGGCGCCTTACGGTCATTGGTTCCATCGATCCTCTTGTAGTAATAGGGCAATGTACCAGGTTCACAGGTCCTCTCGTAGAAACTGTACAATGATGGCCCTGCCGTTTTGAGGAGCTTGTTGACAGGGGACGGCACCAGAGAGGGACCGTCGGACTGAAACTTCAGGTCCGCAAGCAAGGTGCAGAGGCCTGAATGCATCATCCAGTCAACGAACACTGCCATACGTTCTTCAAGTTCGCGCATCGTTATGTCAAGGTATCGAAGACGTATGTGAGATGGTGCCTGAATTAGCGAGGCTCCTGCGTAACTGGCAGCAGCTTGCCGGAAGAACCGAACATCTATCGTGAGGTCTGTAAGCTGAGGGAAGGCAGACACAATCCGCCACAGCTGTGTTGGGTTGTTCAATCGGCAGCCCCAAAGCGTCAACGACTGGACAGACTTGAACCTAGACAGGGCGACGAAGAAATCTGGGCGGATGAAACGAAGTCTTGCATTCCGGATGCGAAGGGTGCGTACACGAGGCATTAGACCGGCAAGCGCGAACGATAATGCTTGAAGGAAGTGATTGCCAGTATTGATCTTGTTTCCATGCTGCGGGGATTCTATGCTCCTGTCTTCATCCTCCGTCTCCTCGTCCGAGTCTTCCATACTCCCCTCTTCGTCTTCATCTGCATCGTCGTCCTCGAAGCTATGCCTGTCAAGGTACCTGCAGTAAGCCAAATTGTCCTGCTCGTCTGTCACCAGCGTGCATGTGCTCGCGAGCCACTGCCTGACGCGGGGAGATGCGTGACAGTGCTTGAAAAGCATGTTGAAGCTGGTGCGGTCGCGAATCTGAACGGTGTGGTAGAGGTTGCGCATCGCCCGCGGGTACCACAATGCGCAGACCAGCGCCACAGCGGCCAACGTAGGCTGATGCCTGATCGCGTCGATGATCAGCATGAAGACCTCGAGCGGGATGCGAGCCGAGAGGGCCAGCGGCAGGGTGCCTTCCAAACGGGCGAACCCCCACGTGGGCCTCCATTCATCGGTATCGGATTCTTCTTCGCTCTGGTCATCGTCACTCCGATGTCCACTGGCACTCGATCCATTGACATCCTGTTCATTGACGCTGCTCCGACTGACATCAATATGTCCGTCAGCATCCCAGCATGCGTGCGAGTTGTCGTCGGGAGGAGGGGAATAAAGCTAAGTGAACGCATCAGTCGGCGGAGTCATGGACAGAATCAAGTATTAATAACTGACACTAGGCTGGAGACCGGACATCTGAGACGCTCGCACCCTAGGGATATACGACGTCGATGTGTGTGTTATGAGGGAGGTGCAAACAGTGAGGGGGTCTCGAGGACGCACCGAGGCCATGCACACAATACTACAGTACTTACTAGGGAGGCTGTGATGAACCGCACGGTGATTGCCGCGAGTGGGAGCTTTCATGCCATGGCCAGCCATGCTTCCAGCATTCGTCAACGCACCGCACTGGACAGGGTACGTATGCCTGTCGGTCGTTCCATTGAGTCGCGGCCAGCCTGAGTGTGCGATGCAGGAGGCCGTGTGCGTGACGGCGGGGACGAGATGTCCCTGCGGTTCGCGACCCTGTGAGCGTCCTCTTCAAGATGGATGGACCAACTATGCGTAGCGCCCCTCGCCTCGGAACCTCAGGCTCCGTATCGCCCTCGACAACACGCTGCTAATCAAACCTCTTGCCGCTCTCACGAAAGCGCCTCTGGTATCGACCCTAGCAAGGCCCATGTCACGCCTACCCACACGCGGACGTCACTAATATGGCACGTTTTTGGACTTGCTCGACATCCCTTGTTGTCGGCGACCGGCGGGTACAATTTGTAACGATACCATCTCAAAGCACAGTGTGTTTGATCGTAGCGATAGAGAAGTCCGTTACAACTACCGTCGTAGCAAGCATCAGTCGATCGAATTGAAAAATGTACCGAATCCGAGTGACCTCCGTACCATTGCGACCTCCGTACCAATGCCAAAACAACCGTTCGTCCACCGAGTCGGCCGATAGATAAAATGGAGCCCGACGACCGCTTGCGAAGGGCCCATTCCCTCGCACTGACCCGCGCTCTGTACAGACGGCGATGAGGCCTCGATGCCGCATCTCCATTTGCGCCGATTGGGTGGTAATGGGCCACGGCTTCGGCATGGGGACTCCCGGAGATCGCTGAATGGCTGAACGGGGGACAAGAGTGAGACAGACGTGTGTATACAAATGGGCTCACTCACAAAGTCTCACATTAACGCATAGCCGTGCCCCCAGGTGACGGTGACTATGCCGCGGGCCGACCATGGCTGCAATATGCCATAAACCATGGCCTCGAGCTTCTGACCGCTGCTGTCCTCATGCGACTTCGTATGACCGTCCCCGAACCCCAGGGTCATCTCGACACCGACATCATTGAGGGTGTCGAAGTATGGCTGGCTCATGACGTCGTGCAGATCCCGAAGGTCGAGCTTTTCGAGGACGTCGTTGGGCTGCGCAGGCTCAAGAGTACTGTGCATGACCTGAATTCCAACGGCGACCTCGATGTGCTCGAGCCGACGGCTTCGGATGGAGGAGAAGACGCCATGTAACTCGCGTGTTGCCTCAGTCCACGCCGCGTGACTCGGACGCCTCTGGGATTTATCATCGTGAGTGATGCGATACAGCCTGAAATCCAAGGTCTGCAAGTTGGTGTTGTGCAGCAGATTTCCGTGAGGCCCTACATTGCGCATGTGCATCAGTGGCGAAGTCTGTACGCAAGCCAAAGGCAGTCTTACAGGGATCCAACCCATAGTGATCCTCGTCAAAACGGGTCAACGATGCGCCCGTCGTTTCCAGGAGTCGGTTCAGGGGTGTCGGGGCTGGGGTGGAATAGTTTGTGGAGATTGACAGATCCGCAAGTGAGGTGCAGAGGCCTGAGCGTGTTATCCAGTCGAGGAACATCACCATCTGTTCATGTTCCACGCGGACCTCAAGACGTCGAAGACGAGTGTGAGATGGTGCTTGAAATAGTGAGGCTCCCGCGTAGCTGGCAGCATCTTGCTGAGCAAAATCAAGATTTTGCACCGTGAGGTGTGCAAGCCGGGGGAAGGCAGACACAATCCGCCGCAGCTGCGTCACGTTGCTCAGTTGGCAATCGAAAAGCATCAACGACTTGACAGACTTGATCCTCGACAGGGCGAGGAAGAAATCCGGGCGGACGAAACGAAGTCTTCCATCCCAGATGTCAAGGGTGCGTACACGAGGCATCAAATTAGCGAGCGCGGACGGTAGTGCTTGTAAGAAGTGACTGTGACTCTTGGTCTTGTTGCCTGACGGCGAGGATGCAGATGGCTCGATATCCTAATCTCAGGGCTGTCTTCGTAAGCCCATCGGAGTAAGCACTCACCTCATGTACCACCAGCACGCGTGTCCTCGCAAGCCACCGCTTGACGCGTGGTGACGCGTTACACTGCTTGAATAGCATGTCGTAGCTTGTGCGGCTGCCAATATCGATGGTGTGGTAGAGGTTGCGCATCGCTCGAGGGTACCATGCTGCGCAGACCAGCGCCGCGGCGGTCAATGCGGGAGAATCCATCTTGTCGATGACGAGCTCGAAGATCTCGAGGGGGACGCGAGCGGAGAGGGTCAGGGGCAGAGTGCCTTGAAAACAGGCATCCCGCCAGCGTCTGAAGGTCCGTGTTTCGGTGTATTTCTGGACAATCCATTCATCGGCACTGGGTTCCTCATCGCTCTGTTCATCGGCGCCCGGTCCCTCGTCATCCTGTTTATCGGCACTGCTCTGACCGAGATCAATAAGATCGTCGGCACTTGATGGCATGACTTGTGTGTGTGAGGCGTCGGGGGGAGGGAGGAGATGCTAAGTGAACGGCGCATCAGTCGGGAATTGGGATCATTATGGATAGAAGACGACCAACGGTAGGCTGGAGATCGGACATCTTCGCACTCGCACTCTACGAGCACGCGACGTGGATTTATGAGCGGAGGCGCAGTCCTGAGCGGAGGAGTGTTGGCGGTGGGGCCAGAAGTAGCGAGGGGGCCTCGAGGACGTACCGAGGCCATGTACTTATGTATATGAGCATTTGCAATTGGGAAGAGCTGTGTGCGAGAGTTTGATGAGCCGCACGGTGACTGCCGCGACCAGGGCTTTCCATGCCATTGCCGCAGTCCTGTCCATGCTCCTAACCCTAGCTGCGTTCTTCGAGGTGCGCTCGATTTGGATAGCCAGCTGCAGCCTTCGGTGAGCCTATCCCGGTCAGTTGCGAGACACCCCGCTTGCGTTCGCTGGATCGCCTCTGCAGGATGCCTAGCATCAAGACGATCCGGTATGCTCCGGACGTCCGAATCATGGCCATCCTTCCCCTTCCCTCTAGGTGGTCTTCCGCCCATGACATCTCCATGCCTCGCACGCATCTTCTTTGGCCTCGTCGAATCGGCCCTACACGGTCTCTTCTTCGACTCGGGAACCCGCGCTACGTATCACGGTGGGAGTCCTCGACGGCAACCTGCATATCAAGTGTCCCCCCGAAAACTCATCTCGTGTCGAACTACGGCCGAGCACCGTCCTTGTCGTGTCGCCGACATTCTCCATCCTCGCATGCTCGGATTCTCTACTGTGCGTCCGTCGTCGGTCTCCCTAGGTGTCTCGGGTTCTCTCTACGCACGCTGTAGATTGTCTTCCCGCGAACACAATTCGTCTTCAAGTTTGCGACACTAGTGCAGCTGCGCTGTTCGCGTCCTTCGACACGAGATTTCGGCACCATGGTTCATCGCCCTTGCAGATACTCAATGAATGAATCCTCCTCATGCTCCGGAGATCCTCCAGTTACGCATCGCTGATGCCGTGCCGAATTTGCGGTATGCGACGTCTATCAAGGCATACACTATCTGCGGACTTAGCGACTATACGCGCGTCCGGTGCCTCTCGTCAACGCGAAGTGTACCGCACGTTCACTTCGTTTTGACGTCTACGTAAATGCTGCTCATGCGCAAGAGCCGGAGGGTGTCCTCGACCTCCTCCCTGATACCGAGCTCGACCTTGAGCACGGCGTTCTGGAACGTCATCATGGTGAAGCCGCTGGGGTTCCGAATACGTGGCTGCCACCCGTCCGGGGTGCGCTCCTCGAGGAGGAAGGGATACAGGTTCTTCCCGCCCGCCGCAGATCGTCGAGCCGCTGGAACGCGACCGGCGTCAGTGCAGTCCAAGTGGGAAGCGCGCAGACACGCACTTGGAGGCACTGAAGAGGCTTGTGGACCATCGCCTGGCTGTACTGGCCGTTGCTGGCCTTGGACTGGGCGCACCGCTTGCCGAGCATGCGCGAGAGGTCGCCAGTGGTGATGTCGCCGCCCGGGCCTGTCCCGCTCTCGAGGAGCTTGATTCGGAGATGCGGCGCGGGTTTCGGCTGGTCGGGGTTGTGGAACCCGTGTGTCAGCTGTCGTCGTATCGATGAATGTGTGAAGGGGACGTACTGCATAGGGACGTGTCGTGTTCGACGCAGTTGTGCGCACTGAGATCGATCTTGTCCGTCCAGTAGTTGCGGTTCAGCGCGTCTGCAGCGTGATGAGTCTGACCGCGAAGCTGACGTCTCCCGGACTCTGATGCTGAGCTCGCGGAAGGTGATGTTGCGCCCGTCCCGAGGGAGGCCTGACCGCGCCGAAGCTCAGTAATCGCGTATTGCATGTAGTAGGCTGCGCACCGTGCTTCGCCATGGTGTTCAGCATCGGGCAGCAGCTCCGGCTGTCCGTGTCTTTCGGAGGGATGAACCGTGGCCAGAGCCCACCCTCGCCCGGCCGGCCTTCTGGTACCACACGGCTTTCAGGCAGGAGCGGTGCGAACGTGTTGTACAGAGTTAATGCGAATCCCAGGCGAGTAGGTGGACGGGGATGATGACGTTCGCGATGCCGTAGATGAGGCCGACGCACAGTCGTGTTGCTGCGACCGCTGCAAACGAGGATGTCATGGCGGTAGATAGTGGTTAACGTGGGGGCGGGGTAGACGTGAGCGGGGTAGATGCGGTCGCGGCGAGTCGGGCGTGACAGGCGACGAGGAGAGGGCTTATGCATGCCCGGGCGTCGTAGGCACCCGACGGGGAAGCTGTCCGCGAAAGCTGGGACACATACCGCAGAACAGAAGCTGTCCAGACGGTGGGCAGCTGCATCGGGGTATGGTTCCTGCGTATGGCAGTGCGCTGGCCCGTTCTTGTCTGTTGTTGGCATGGATGTCCGTGAATGTCCAGAGCCGCACTCGAATCGGGCGGAGAAGCGTCTTGGGACGCTGTGATCCGCCTGCTGTCAAGTGCCGAAGGTCCTGCGCTTGACACAAGCTTAATCAGATAGCGACACATGAGAACAGCTAACTCACGTCCACAAACTCCACAACTGCGTTGAAGCGCTCCACGCAAATTTGAACACGCCGCGGTCGGACCACAGCTAGATCAAGTCGTAGAATCGCCTACGGGCCATCGATGGGTGCCATCGCATTCCACCCATGTATCTGTTTGTGCCACTCGCGCAGAGCCATGATCATCTCGACTCTCCTTTGTGCGCTGAAGAACGGCTGCTCACGAGCTCGCGCAGGCTCCACACCCCGAGCTTCTCAGGGACGCCGTCTGTGTCAGCGAGTTTTTTCTGGCGCTGTCGTGGTCCTGGAACCGGTCCCGTACTAATGGTCTCGATGTGCATAGCCGGCAGCTTTCACTGGAGAAAAGACGCTGTGAAACCCGTCCATGAGTCCGGACAAGTTGGAAAGCGATCGTCTAGGCTCCGGGAAGGTTCAAGGAAGCGTCACGGAGTGCTGCGATGCAGTAATGCGGAAAACTGATGTGACGGTATACTAGAGGCACTTGTGTCAGCGCGAGAATGTTAGAAGATAGATATTCTCGACCAGAAACAAAGGCGTAGTCAAATTTTTGCCGGCCCAGCCGGCGGTGGCTCACACAGCACCACAGAGCATCTGCACGTATATGCATGACTCTCGTAACGCAGTACTTGCGTGTTGGATAACAACAGACGTTCGACGAATGCACTGATATGCAGGCCTATTGGAAGGCCGTGGGTCGATGACTCCCTGCCTGCCTATACCTCTGGGACCGACTAGACAGAGACATAGTCCGCTGCGCGAAGTCATTGTGTGAGCGTGCAGCGAAGCCAATATAATGATATGTCAGATTCTGAGCTAGAACAACGACATGGCTAGAATGGACTCGAGACGCACGAAAAGATGGGACCCAATCGCCTCGAAAGACTCACCTGTGGTATATCTCACGGCCAAGGTTTATAGACGGCGCATGCAGATATGTCTTGCTCTTCAATTGGTCGAAACCAGGTGACAATCAGAAGCGAGGAGCCCGCGTGCGCCGGGTCAAGGTCAAGGTTTGACGTGCGGGAATGCGTGGTACTGGTTGTACAGCATGTCGAAGCTGGTGCAGACAAGACTGAGACAACGTATAAGATTTTAACGTGAAACTTCGAGGGTGCATACTGCACATACCTACGCCGCGTGGACCTAGCGGATGACGACCTCGAGCGGAGAGGGCGAGTGGAAGGCAACTTCACAGGAAAACGACACAAGTGTTCGCCAATCATTCCGCATAGCGTAGTCTCGCAGGACTCGGCGAAAGGCTGACGACTGTGTGTTAAGTAGGCACACATGACGGCCCAGGGTTGCAAGAGATGGCGAACACGAACCTGAATACCCCACGTCACATAGGTGTTTGCTACCTGCGTCAGAGACTCTACAGGCCCTTCATATCACCCACACGGCGGGATCGGTGAGAGCAGCAGAGGAGGAGGAGGGCCCCAGAGAATAAGCAAGAGGTCGCGTTGATCGACGTCCAGAGTCAAGATGGAGGAGCGCGCGGCCGTGCCCACCACTGAGATGAGCCTTCGAGCACCTCTTGACCACGCTCGCTGAGTCACGTCATTTCATCTCTTGGACATCTCTTGGACACCCTCCAAGCACTCTCAAAGCACTCTCCAAGGACGCTCTGATAACCAGTCTTCTCTATAGCTACGGCGATCGGATACGATGACGTTAATTCTGTTGAATCTTGACTGGATGTACCGCCCAGGACTCAGAACTCAGCTCGCGCACATCTTCCGGAACCGTTTCCCTTCAGGCTCCGTCGCACGAAGAAAGCCAATGGTCTCTAGTTCGAGTACTATTCTAGTGAGCATGTCTGAGTTCCATGTCTTCTACGGCCTTAGCTTGAATGATACATATTTGTCAGCTCTGAGGCTCTGCACGTTCTGCGACGAGGAAGACGTGGAACCATTGCCCGAGAAATTTTCCGTAATCGTCTAGCCTGGTGCCAACTTGAGAACCGTCGAGAGAGACGAGAAGAACGGAGAAAGTAATGGTTGTCAGGTATGCAAGTGAGCTCCTCTTCAGCGGATACAGTTCATCGTCAGGTAGTGCACCAGCCTCTATCCAAGAGCTTAGCCCGTCGCACCGCGTGTGTTTCCTGTGCTCTTCCTGTTCGCCAGGTGAGGATGGCTTGCTTGCCTCGTACCTCACTGACCCGCCGTCACGCTAGCATGCCCTTCTCAATCCTCGTAGATCTACGCTTGCAGTATCGAGGCTCCGACATCAACCCAGTCTTTCATCCATATGAACATGATCCACCGCATCTAAAGAGTGTTCGACCGTGTTCGCTCAGTAGCAAGGTCGGCGACGACACCACGAACCTGTACTCCTCCTCAAGGACGATCCAATCAGAGACTGGTGAGCTCCAGACGATGTCGTATACGCACGGGATGCTTATAGGATCTAGTGAACGAATACTAGGAGGTGCGTCGACGCTTTCCACGACTTCTCTCGAGCTCGGTGTGTGTTGGATGAGGTAACTACTCCGAAATGCCTGCCCGACGGAGTCGATTGCTTTCGACGTGTCATTGAAGCACGCGAGACTCTCGTGTATGCGACTCGCCGCTCATCATAGAGGGTTTCCTTGCGCTAATTGCTTGGCGCTGAGTGTCTCAATCTACTCGTATCTGCTCATGCGAGGAGTTCGAACGCATCCTTTCGTGAGTCAAACTCAAACACATCGAGCATCGTCCGAGATGGTTGATTGCGTAGCCCAGCAGCCTCTTGTGGGCAAGCTATTCGCTCCCATCGACCCACGCCCTGAGGATGCTGCTGGGGACGATGCCTCTGTATTGCCACCTTGGTTCGTGCCAATTGGGTGACCCGCCACAGACGCTGTCAGCCTGTCAGGACGGCGGGAGACAGAAGTGAGACATATGTACTTATGTGCATACAAACGAGCTCACTCACGTCTACAATGTGCAGAGCTCATTGCAGTATTATATCCATCGGGTGACGCTAACTATACCGCGGTCAGACCACGGCCGCAGTAACCCACGGTACACGGGTGCGAGCCTCCGACCGATGTCATCAACCTTGCTGTCATCCAGTACTCCGAGTAGGCCCATCTTTATCTTGACATCCTTCAGCATATCAAAGTACGGCCAGGCCATGACCTCGTGCAAGGCCCCCAAATCGACCTCCTCGAGGACGGTGTCGAGGTCCTTGTAATCGTGGTCATAGAAACCAAGACTAGACTTGATTCCAATGTACTCGAGCTCATGGCTCCGGACGGTGGAGAGGACACCATATAGCTCGTCCACCAATTTGACCCACGGTTCAAGCGACCGGTCGCCGTATTCTGGGCAGATGTCGTTCAGCGTGAATTCTAAGGACCGCAGTGCGGTGTTTTGCGATAGGTTGCCGTGATCATCTCCACCTACATTGTGCATGTGCGTCAGCGGCGAGGTCTGGTGACTAAGTGACAGGGCCTCTTACCGTCTGGGTCAGGCTCAACTTCAGGCCCTGTGCACCATTCATGATACAGAGTAAGGGATGCTCCTGCTGTTTCGAGTACTTTACTCAGGTTCTCCATCAAGTGTTCGACTTTACACGGTATCCAAGGCCTCAGCTCTTCGAGGGATGTAAAATAGCCGGAATGCATCATCCAGTCAATGAACGCCACCATCGAGTCGCTTCCGACATCGATTTGAAGGTGCCGAAGACTTGGTGACTGAACTAGTGTGGCTCCCACGTAGCAGGCAGGACCTCTGAGTCGCTGCGTGAGATCGATGCGAGTTATACTGAGCTCCGTTAGCTTAGGGAAGGCACAGATGATATGCCGCAGCTGTTCAACATTATTCAGTTTGCACTCACGCAGGAACAACGACGTGACGTCCTTGAAGCGCGACAGGCCAAGGAAGAAAGTCGGTTGCATGAAACGAAGGTTTCCTCCTGTGATGCGAAGGGTGCGTACGCTAGGCACCGCGTGAACGAGCGCAATGGGCAACGCCTGAAGGAAGGGATGGCCTTTTTGATTTTCTTGGTAGATAAGTTCATTGTCGTCGGCCACTAGCTCGTGCGTAGTAGTGAGCCACCTCTTCACACGCGGAGACGCGCGACATTGCTTGAATAACATGTCGAAGCTCGTACGGCTGCTGATCTCGACGATACGATAGAGGCTGCGCATCGCTCGAAGGTACCAAGCCGTGCAGACCAGCGCGGCGGCTGCCGAAGTGGGTTGATCCATCCCATCGATGATGAGCCCAAAAACCTCGAGCGGGATGCGAGCGGAGAGAGCCAGTGGCAAGGTGCCTTGTAGTGACGATGAAGGTTCGCGCCACGAGTCGTCGCTCAATTCATCGGCACTCAGCGAACCCTCGTCACTTTGTGTGTCATAGTCGGTACTGCCCTGACTATCGCCAGTCTGCCTATTGGCTTTCTGCTGCGTAACTTCGAGTGCGCTTGCCAGTGGCACACTTGCGGCAGAAGGGGAAGAACACTGCTTGTGGACGTCAGTTAGGTCTTCGCACGAACAGGAGAGAAACTGACGCTAGTCCGCATTTTGGATGTCATTCAGGAAAGGCCGAGGAGATATAGAAGGGACATTCCGTACAGTTGCGGCGCATGCGCTGGGAGTGGTGACGCAGTCGTGAGTGGAGGCGCAGTGTCAGGGCGGACGTGGTCACTTATGCGAATTCCTTGCATGGAACTTGACTAGCTTGACAAAGCAAGCTGAAGCGGGAGTCATTACTCCTAACCCTAATCGCGTTTCTCGAGGCTCCTTCTCCTCCTGCTGGCACATCAAATGTGCGACCACTGGGCACCGATGGGGGTGCTGCTTTCAAGAGGGCTGCCTGAGAGTGTCAAGTGTCTTCAGTGCTTCTGTAGTCCTGAGTCCGGCCCAACCCCTGATTGCAATGTGCGCAACTGACAGCTTCGGACGAGGGCGTTGCGTACTAAAGCCTGAGAACGCATCCCAGACGATAGGTCTTCTAACTCAGGGTAGCGATGAGTGTGATGTAGAAGCGCTGCGACGAGATCGTTGACTTCATGGTCTAACAACGCGTACTCCTGTCAGCTTCTGGATTGCGGCCGCGTGACAGACAGACTCTTGACCAGATCCAAGGGCGTATGTCCAATAGTGGAGGAAGTTCGGCCTGGTTACTGTTGACCTGAAACGCTGCGAGGATTCGAGTCAGATCGCTGAGGGAAGGACAGATCATAGCGAGCACAAGTCTACCCAGTGATTCGTACTCCTCCTCAAAAGGTCTTTGCATACCATTCTCGTACTGTCGAGTTTGTACGTTGAACTGAAGGCGATGTTTGGAACGGACCTTCAAACTTCAAACGTAACTTGTGATGCGAGCAACGCGAGTATGCGAGATAGAATTAGCAAAGCTGGGAAGCGACGGTGCGTACTACGTTACCTGGTATGATCACCGCAGGCTGCGCTGTACGAACGCTCGGATATGAAACCGAGACTCGCCATACAGCGCGATGTCTGCATCCGAGTTGGCGTGACGATGCCATGACTGCCGCGGACCTGAACAGCTTGCTAAGACAGCATCAGTCACGCAGCTGTGTACCATCCAGAATGGACGACCGAAGGGAAGTGGATATGACGCTGACGACTTGAATAGAACTACAGCATCATAGTGGATACGTATCGTTCCTATCACATAGCAGCAGCTCGACGGAGTTCGGGAATCAATGCTGAGGTACCGGAGACGTATGCTACAGCCAGATGTTAGCTGAAAAGGCGTGGCTCCCGCAGAGCTGGCAGACGCGTGCTGAGCGAGATCGATGACCTGCAGGGTGAGATCTGTGAGCCGAGGGAACGCACAGACGATCCGACATAGCTGTTGGACGTTGTTCAACGTGCACAGCGTCAAATCTAATGAACTGATGGATTGGAACCGCGACAGGGCCAGGAAGAAATCTGGGTGAAACAAAGCTCTCCCGATTGAATACGGAGGATGCGCACGCCAGGCAGCGCACGGACGAGGGCAAGGGGTAGCGCTTGAAGGAAGCGATGACTGTTCTTCCTCTGTTTGCCAGACAAGGAGTCTACGCTGCCGTCTTCGCCCTCGTCCTCTCCGGCAACTAGCTCGTGCGTGGTAGCCACTACTTGACGCGTGGAGACGTGTGACACTGCTTGAACAGCATGTCGAAGCGTCTGCGGCTGTAGATCTCGACGGTCCGGTAGAGGTTGCGCATAGCCCGGGGGTTCCACGCTGCACAGACCAGCGCCGCGGCAGCCAATGCGGGTTGATTCATGGCGTCGATGACGAACCCGAAGATCTTGAGAGGGATGCGAATGGCAAGGGCCCGTGGCAAGGTGCCTTGAGAAGAGACAGGTTCCCTCGAACCACCGTCGCCTTGTTGATCAGCATATGGTTGCGCAGCTGTCGGTTCATGGTCAACCAGTCCATCGGCAACCTGTTGCGCGACCGGTGCGCCTGGCGCATCTTCGGCAGAAAGGGAAAAACACTGTACAAACGCATCAGTCGGTGTCGCGCAACAGAAGAAATGAACCGACGCTAGAATGACTATCGGACGCCATACAGACACAGTTGCATCCCACGGGACGTCGCCGATGTCCGTGACCGGTAGTGCAGCCGTGAGTGGAGTGCCGTGGGGGTTGAGGAAGAAGGCGCGGGCGCGGGCGCGAGAAGCGAGGGTGCTTAGAGGAACGTACATCCGGATCGTATTTGAGGACTTGGGGAGATGATGTGCCACAGCCTGCCATCATCCGTGACTATGACTTGCCAGCGTTCGTAAGTACTTAAAGACTCCGGACTCGAGGGAACACGACCGTGGGCCTTTGCAACTAAATGCTTTTTATGTTGTGAGTAGTGCTGCCTGAGTCTACGACGAGAGACCACGGCCGACGTCGTGAGGCCGTAGAAATTGAAGCAGGCGTCCGTGCTCCTGACTTCAAGCACGTTCTCAGAGTCTGCCCGATCTCGTCGACGCGACATCTAAAGAATCAATACTGAAAATTATCTCCCTCGTCAGCTAGAGCAGACCATTACGACCACTGCGGTCTACGCAATGTCGATATGTGCGGTGCCAGTGAGACGACGATAGCCAGACGAACCTCCGCGTGCGAGATATCTCTCTGGCCCTGTCCCGATCACTAGTGGCGGTAACAATTCGTGACCACCGCCTGTGCAGTTTTTGAGCATCAGGATGCCCATAAGTTATGCTGCGTGTTGAAGTGAGACACACAACTGTCCGCGCTGAAAGTTTAACTCACGTCCGCCACCGCTGTCATCTCTCGGCGTTGGGAACTTGGGTGCGGCGAGTTGCCGTACTATCTTCGAGTCCTTGAACACGGCTACCGGGAAACGAGACGGGAAGCGCGTCTGGGAATTACTCGATTCAATCAAATGAGACGTAGATTCAGGACACGTGTGAGGAGACGTACGCACAGTCCGGACGCGAGCGTAAACTGCGAGGCTTCCAGGTGCGAGCAAGAAGCCTAACTTGTACAACTGGACTTTGATATTCTCGGTATCTTCTCGTGAGTGGATCAGTATTCGACAACAAGGCGCGTGAGCAGTTGTTGCAGGAACATCTGTCGGTGATGAGTGAGCTTCATCTGGCGCGAGAAAAACATCTGTGAGCGCTTAAATGCCAGTTAGTATGTAGTGATGCAATGGGCATCGGTATGTCTCTCCTTGGCTCAACGCCTCCAAAGGAACGATAGCCCTTACTTTCGTCGCGGTGAGGCGCCCTCGGTGGTGGAGTACGACACGGTATGAGGGACGGCTCGAATGCCTTAAAGTCATGACGACAGCGCTGTACGGGATGGATTGGCACGGATGTCATATGAAGATGTCGCAAGAAAAATGGCCATGAGCGGTTGGACGTTCTTTCGACGCTCGTCCTTCAAATCCCGGGGCGGGCAAGACTGAGTGAGACCCCGGATCCTGAGCGCAACGACTCGCCAACAAGGCACAGCGAAGCACGTCCGAAGAACCTGGATGCCTATTCAGTAAGGTGCGACAGTAGAGCGGAACACAGAAACTCACGCCGGCTGGAAGACGCTGTACGGAGGATGATCGAGGAGCATCGAGAACTAACGCACATGCGGCAGATATATCGGGCGAGGATAACAGATTCATCTGTCGCTGAGAAGGAAGAGTGTCGATCGCGTCGGACGAATATACAAAGTACAATGGTCTACCTTTACCTGGCGTCCTTTCCGCCAGCCTAAATAAGGTTTCTTCTCTGACCCACCCACCCACGATCGCCAGCCGCTCTTCCCTGGCGCGTCCGCCATCGGCGCGCTAACCTTGTCCACACCTGCAGGAGCGGACGACAGAGCGCTCTGCGTAGCAGGCGCATGCATACTTGCGGCTGCACCCGCCGACACGCTCGACACTTCAGACGGTGTCGGCTACTTCTTGGACTCTGCGGGCTCCTTCGCCTGCGCCTCGCGAGCCACACCCTTCCCGCTTCCGAACACACCAGTCCACTTGCTCGACTTCGCGTTCATCTCGTCCTCCAGCCGCTGCGCCTCCTCCGCCGCCTTCAGCCGTTCGTGGAACTCCGCGCGCTCTTGCGCCGCCTTCTCGAGCACCGTCTCGTTCTCCGCCTGCGCGCGGGCCTCCTTCTGCTGCTTTGTCTGTCCGAGAGCGTATGCCCCGATCGCGAGAGCAGCGACGGTCGACGCTTGCAGGCCGACACGCGCCCGCATCCAGTAGTTCATACTCAGCGACTCGCCCTTCCGCATCTTGATGAAGGACATGACGAGAGCAACGACGGTGGCGGTAGTCCCTGTAGAATCCTCAGCAACGAGACTTCCACTATCCGCGAGCGAGACGCACCGATGGGCACGAATGGGTTCTCCTTGAATTTGCGCGCGAACTTGCCGCTCCACGTCTCTTGCACGATAACGCCATCCACAATGTAGAGGCCTGGATGGTCCGCAGTGTTTGAAAGTGGTCGCGAGCTCATCGTTGTACGAATAGGTCGAAGGGGGCTCAGAAGTCGCAGCCTGCCGTGCTTATGTATGCTGAGAGTGGAGCCTCCGAGCACGAAGGCGGCCGGTAGAAGCCAGGTCCTCCGGCGGCGTACAGCGCTAGCCTTAAGCTAATTCCGCAGATGCGACAGCCCTAGCCAAGCCAGAAAGCCGAGATGTGAGCAGAGGATTGGTCGTGAGTTGGCCATGGAGAGCACTTCCCGAATGACGATCGCAATACGGTACAGAGGTAGCTTCCGCATATGGTAGGTACGGCGCCGCGAGTCCCGGGACTTCCCGGGCTGGGTCCGGGATCAGCCGGGGCCGCCACAGCGATGCTAGGCGCTGGCTAGGCGTACCTCGGTGACATCATCATGCGCGCCGCGTCCCTCTTTGCCACCACTTGCAGCCCAACAAGACGCGTCCCCAACATGGGGCAGCGCAACATACTTAGCTTGCCTCCAACGCTCACCTCGACGCGCGAACTGGTTCAAATCCTGTCCACAGACACTCTAATACCCGCGCATCCTTCGGCAATCCCGGAGACGCGTACTCAAGTCTGTTGAGACATGATGGAGAACCTACCCATCGACACCTCTCATCCGGCAGTGAGAGACTACCTCGCGCTGATACGGTGAGCAAGTCACCACATGCCTCAGCACCGCGAGACTCACGCTCGGCGGACAGGCTGCAAGTGCTCACCCCGCTCTCGCTACTCATCAACATCGCGACGGTGATGGTATGCAGTACGATACTGACTCCGGGTCTTAGTACGTCAGGTATTCCTCTTGGAATTTGTTTTGAATGCTCATGTATGCGCCATTGTGACTTGCGTATAGGCGAGATATCGAAGCTATACCCAGCGACTATCGCTCCGAACCAGAGCCTCATTTCCATCTATGTCACGCTCGTCTATATTGGCCAACTAGGCTACTGCGTCCTGCTCGTGTTTGCACGAAAACCAGAAACCAAGGTGCGCCTGCAGAAAGTGACGCGTGGATGGCGATGCTAAAGTATATGCGGCGTAGGCGGCGATGGTGAAGGGTGTGGGCATGCCGCTTGTGATTGCGAACTGGGTGATGGCCGGTTGGGCTATAGCCTGGGTGAGTACTACTTCCGATCTGTGTTGTGACTCGACATCGAGGCTTCACAGGTTCTGCAAGCCTTCGTCGTCGCGACGGTGGCACAAGGCATTTTGTTCGTGTTGTTGCTCTACGCCAACCTCGTTCTACTCGTATACCATAGGCCGACGTGGTCTAGGTATGTATATTCCCCTCGTCTGCGAATTCGAACTAACCGCGTTACTTTCTCAGACCATTCGATGTACTGTTCATCCATGCGCCCGTACGGGCGTTCATGATCTGGCCATTCATGATCATGTTCCCTTATACGCTCTTGTAAGCATCGCCACCGCGCCACTTTCCGTTACACTGATTCATACTCTAATCATCTAGTGTGGCCCTCGGATGGACGTTCTCACCTGGCGAGCCTCAGCATTACGCACGGCATCAATGGCCAGGCTTCATCATCATGCTCGGCGTGAACCTCGTTGGTACGCCACAGCCTCTCCGCACGTCGCTCTGAACCGTCGCTAACGCTGTCCGCAGGCCTGCTGGTCGTCGTCATCAGGCGTGACGTCGTCTGGTGCATATCCGCAGCCTGGATGTGCGCGTCGGTATGGAGCCGACAGCCGAAGCCCATGCCTGTCTGGGTATGCCTCCTCCTCTCTCACTCCGTAGTCACCCCACGCTGACCCCCGATTGTCGATAGCTCACCTGCGTGCTCTTCACAATCGCCCACCCGCTCGGTCTTGTGGTGTCCTGGTTGTGGATACGCCTGCGCGGACGGCGCGAGGGCCGCATCGCGCTCCCGCCGGACCAGGATAGCCAACCGCAGGGAAACGGGCAGGATCAAGGACGGCCTGGGGGCCCGAGGGAGGTTGACGCGGAAGCTCTGTGGGGATGAGTTTGGTGTATGGAATATGTATCGAGAACGAGGTACCGTTTAATTGCCTCGACGAATGTCATGCTTTTCTCACTGTGGAAAGGAGTAGCCTTGATGATGATGATGTAGCGACGTCGGTGTTCTGCGTTCCCGTCGCTTCGGAATGAATACGGCCCTAAGGCCTAAAGACCAATGTATGGCATGCGAGCGACGACAGCTGGTGGCTAATCTCCTTGAAGGATCGTCACGAGAACGTTAGCCTCGATTGCAACAAGACTAGACGAGAGGATAGCCGCTTCAACAACTTCTCAGGCTCGTACGTACGAGTTGCAGAACTAGACAGCACACAGACTGGCCGTGGTCTAGAACAGTCACATTCTTGTCGAGAAGTCCGGCATCCCGACGAACGCTCGCAGCCCAACTCGGATGTCCTGTTACGGCGGTTAGGCATGCGGCTCATCAAATCCTCTGGCACAGCACATCTCAAACACTCAAATGGCGCATAGTCTCGGTGCGTCGTCGATGCCCTGTTGATACCTGAACGTTGAACTCTCACCGCTGCTCAGCTCACTGGGTCTGAGCGTGTATCCGCACGAACCAGCATGGCGTCCGATGTTCAGCATAATGCTGGTTTACTTCTTGCATTTCGTCGTGCGAGATACGTACACGTAGCATTCTCTTCCTATTGTCGAAGAGGAGACGCGGCCGTACGCATCGATGAAGGGAGGGCCCATCCTGGCGTTCTTTGTCCCATTCCACCACTGTCCCCCACAAGTACTACGTTTGCCTTCTCACATGTACTCGACCGAGGTGTTCAACTCGTCCAGCTTCAGCGGCGACCAGCGATGCTCAGCTGCACACAGACATACGTTCGGGGACCTAAAAGTCGGCCATGAAGCGAAACCTGCGACCCAAGAGACGTCTCGCCATACTTAGCTGGAAACAGGGTGTCGTCCGACGCGGGCGACTCGACTACAAGGCTAGCAAACAGATCGAATATTCATGCATTCGACTGGAACAAAATAATAGGAATGCAAAGGCTCGAAAGGACGCTATAGGTACGTCTACTCTCAGTTGACTCGAGCGCGACTCACCGAACGACCCCAACTTTGACACTCTGTTGGCCCAGGTCTCTAATGACGGGTCGACGTGACCTGGCCTCTCTTTGAAGCTCGTGTCTAGATCCGAGGTGAGAAATACGCTCATAGTTGGGGCAAGTTCAAGTTGGGAGAGGCACTCGGGAGTTGGAGGAGCCTCAGCGTCGACCAACACGGCGCCAACGCTGTTTTCCTCTCGACGTCCATTAGCTCCACTCCGCGACCTGCGAGGCCTGCTAGATCTCAATCTATAGTTAAGACGGTTCTGTCGACATGTCCTGCGAGTGAGGTGTCTAGTCTGGATCTTTGGAGGCAAACTACGGGCACCCTCGCCGACGCAACAGCTGCAGACCGCCGCGCCCTGGCGACGCTCGATTGTGAATCGATGACCGGGTTGGTTCGCACGCGGGGTCCTGAGAAGCGATACGGAGTAGGGCATTCTAACAGCTACAGTACTACAGTGAGTTCGACCCGATTCACAGGCTACGTAGCGTCGGCTGATTTCTTTCAACGCAAACGCGACATGTCATGTTCAGCGACCAGAGACCTATCAGAGTCGTCGCCAGTTGGCAACAATCACCCGCCCCGGAGAGTCATCAAGCGTGGTGCATTGAGCGTGAGCTTTGCCGTCAATAGCGCGTTGTTGGGCATCGCCGGACATATTTATGCGCTGTCGATGGTTGGTCGCGCTTGCGCACTGGCAGGACGGACCAATGATGTCGTGTATGAGTACAAGCGAGAACAGAGAGACAAGTCGGTCAGTGCTTTCCTCGAAGACTACAGTGAGCTCAGGAGCACGGACTTCCGCTTCGAGCGCGGGCTTTATGGGTCTTCACTTGGCCTCCCGTCCGTGTCGCAAATTCAGACTGGTCATTGCCAAACATAATCATAACAGGCAAATACCGGCGACGGACGCTGGCAGTAGGGCATGTCTCGTTCTTTCGCGGCAGTCGCCGTGCGGTCCATCAAATGGATATGTACAGCATCTCACAATGACTCAGATACACGGGTTCGGTACGTCCTCGACGCTCACTCATCCCCCTTGACTTTGCATTGCTTTTCAACTTACGGCCGCATCTCCGTCCACAGCGATCCTAAGGCACAGGCACCTAGATAACTTGAATGACATTCGATCTGCAGCCTAACGTAGGTCCCCATTTCCTCCATCGCGCGGGGTTCAGCTGATGTGTTCCTGTCATACAGTGTCCTTCTCTTTCAGCCGGCGTGTCATGCGTATCACTCGCGCAACGGAGAGCCGATGGGCGGATTGACAAAGTTTGGAGCAGTGGCGATGAGCGGAGCGGTGAGGACTCAAGTGCCAACGAATTTCAATTGGAGCTACGACGACCCGGGAAATGCCCGTCTATAAGGCGCTCTGCCGTTGGCTCTGTCCACTCGCATCCCATCCGAGATCTTCGAGCTCATAATTGATGAGATGGACCAACCCATGTTACCCGCCGCGGCGCTGGTCTGTACAGCATGGTACCATCGGGCCATGCGAAACCTCTACCAAATCGTCCGGATTACAAATCACAGGTCCTTCAACATTCTGGTCAAGCAGTGTCGCACGTCTCCACGCGTGAAGAAGTGGCTTGCTTCCACACGTACGCTAGTGGCCGACAGTTACAAGACCCGGCATATCGGTGACCGTGACCCGGGGAGCTCTGATTTTCTCCAAGCGGTACCCCTTGCCCTCGTCCGCATGATGCCCGGTGTACGCGTCCTTCGCATCCAGTTTGCGAAGCTTCGTTTTGTCCATCAAGAGTTCTTCCTTGCCCTATCGCGATTCAAGCCCGTCACGTCGCTGAGGCTGTATGCATGCATACTCAGCAACATCACACAGCTGCGGCGGGTCATCTGCGCCCTCCCCCGGCTTGCGTACCTCACCATACACGTCAAGCTCGTTCAGCGGGGTCCTTCCAGCTATGCGAGGATCTCTCCGTTTCAACCACCATCCGACATCCGTCTTCGGCACCTCGATATCGATGTTCAGACAGACCTCATGATGACGGTCCTTGACTGGATGACGCGTTCAAGCCTCTGTGCCTCACTCGAGGATCTGACGGTCACGCTGTGGGATCAACCCCTGCGGAGCCTTAACGAAGTCCTCGAAATGGCAGGAGAATCCTTGACTCAGTACCACGAACGGTGTCCCGGGCGTGAGCTCGACTGTAAGAGTTATCTTGCTCGCTAGACGTGGCTGCTAACTTAAACACGTAATTGTAGCTCATGGCAACCTGTCGCACAACACCGCCTTGCAATCCTGGGAACTTGAGCTGGATGAAATCAGCCCCGCCGCCGGAGAGAAGGCGCTGAGCGCGTGGTTCAAAGTCGCAGACGAATTACACTGCGTCCTCTCTACCGTCCAAAGCCGTGCGCTCGAGCACATCGAAATCAGGGCCAATGTAAGTTACTACCCTGATGGCGCTGGCGAGGAGCTCGGCGTTGTCCTGGAGCAGCTCGACTTGCAGGGGCCACACGGAGTCATGAGCGAGCGACGCTTCGACGCACTGAAGGCTGTCAAGGTGGTGAAATACCTACACGGTCTGCAGGATCAGAGCGAGGCGGATGTGGACGACATCGCTCAGAAGATCGACGTCGTGTTTCGTGGCATACTCCGGCCGTGGTCTGACCGCGGCATAGTCAGCATCACCCCGCTACGCTGAAATCCGCTCTGAATATGATGAACGTGAGTGCGCTCGTCTGCATGCACACACGTATCTCAATATTTTCCCCAGGCTCGCCGTTCAGCGATACCTAGAAACCGTCTGCGACGACCAACGGCGGTGCAGGCGGCGCTCGAAGAGAAGCTAGCGACTCGCTCGGCTGGACGCTCGTGCCGGCCGCAACTCGCATGTCGGGCTCTGCGTACGATTGTGAAACACTCAGGTAGGTATAAAAATGATCGATATATGGAGCGAAGGCCAAGAAGCAAGGAGGAATAGCTCGAATTTTCGTTCTCGACGCAAGAATGCGCACATGCCGCGTTCCCGGACGTCATGATGGTGAATGCAAGGAGAAGTCTTGACCCACCGCCGTCTGTCTAGCCTACGGGCGTTGAGATGAAGGGCATGTGCCTGCGGCTCCATCCCCGCGCTGAAGGTGAGCACGATTTCCTACAATTGGGAAAGGTGCGGCGTACGGGCATCTGGCCTGCGAGAGTGGAATTCTGAGTGTAGGCGACTCAGGTCGTGGACGCGACAGCACGAGGATGAAGTGTCGTTGGACTCTAGAGCGCGGCTGTAATTGCCAGTGAGCGCGGGTCTACGTGAATGGCGTCCGGGTCAGCATAACGAGATGTCGACGGAGAGTGCAGGCTGATTCAACGTCCGCGAGCGGGGCACCTCCAAGTCTGTACATCGGTGCGGATGAGGTGGGCGAGTCCCTCAGTGAGCCATTTGAAGGCCTTCAGGACGAAGGAACCGCAAGGCTGAACTTCGGTGAGTCGGATGTGTCGACGTCGGACTAATACTGAACAATAGAGTGGATGCAGTATTGGACCTGGTCGTCGGCGCAGGATGCAAGAGCCTGTGCAGACGACTCTTGTGTCGGAGAACGCCACGCCATCGCGCATCCGCTGGTTCCTTTGGTGCCATGGTTATGGATGCGGCTGCGCGGACGTCACGGACGCCTCGTTACACTCACACGACGCGTCTCTTACTCTGTATGGCGTGCGGATCCCGAAGCCGAAGGGTCCTAGTTACCTTCCTGTGCGTTCCGACTCCGTTCAAGCACTCACCACAAGCGACGTGGCAAACGCGTCCATGAGCTTAGTCACCCGCTCGCGCACATCGAGCTCAGGGGTTGCGTCGTGCTCAGATCCACGACAGCGCCGACGAGGACGCCCGCCCCCGCGACGCTCGAGGAAGCTATGTCGGCGCACTACAATGGCTGGACATACATGCCCGGACAAGCTGGCGACGACACCTACATTGGAGACGCGCCAGACCTACGTCCAATGCAACGAATTTTCGACAGAGGATGGTACGTTACCAGCGCACGGACGCTCGTCGTTTTGCGGATGGATGCTCTCCTGGATCTCCACAGTCCATCCGCGCGGTGCGTACCCGTCCATGCAGTCCTCCCATACTCACCAATTTTTGTCAACGGGCTCCACAGCGCGTTCGACCTTTCAGAACATCGTCACGACCAGCGCGAGACACGATCGGGCCGTAAGAGCCTGCTCGACCTCAGCTCGAACACGGGTCTGTAGGACAATATTGATCAGATGCAACGGATATGCGGCTCATCGATGACGAAAAGGGGTTTTGCATTGCATAATACACTGGGATTTTGGAAGGAGGGGTCTGAGGCGGATCGGAGCCAAGGGGATACACGCCAGCAGCGAGCTCTGGAGGTACTACGCTCGAGTCACGTGGAGCGGTCGGGTTCGGGATTTGAACGATGCATATCGAGGGAGACAGCTGGGGGAGCGGGCAACATCGAAGAGAGCGGGCTGGGGCGCTGAGACTCAGAGCAGGCGGCGACAGTGAGCGCCTCGAACGAAGTTAGGGTTAGGGGCATGGGCCGCCACAAGACCGTTGTCACGGCCTCCTGCGTCGCACAAGTACTCAGCTGGCCGCGACTCAGTGGAACGTCTTTCGAGCAGTCGTATCCCGGCCAGTGTCTGTGGCGCGTCGACGAATGCTGGCAGCATGACTGCCCGTCATGGCATGGAAGGCCCCGCTCGCGGCAGTCACCGTGCGGCTCATCAAACTCTCGCACACAGCTCTTCCTAATATACATGGCTTCGGTACGTCCTCGAGGCCCCCTTGCCACTTGCACCCCCACCCCCACCACTCCTCCGCATACGACTGGGCCTCCCTCATAGCGCATACATCCACGTCGCGTGCTCGTAGGGACGTGCAATTGCCCAGATGTCTGATCTCCAGCCTAGCGTTGGTCGTCTTCTGTCCATGATGATCCAGATTCGACTGACGCGCCGTTCACCTAGCATCTTCCCCCTGCCCCCGCGGACGCCTCACACGCACAAGTCATACGATCGAGTGCCGACGATCATATTGATGTCGGTCAGCGCCTTGCCGATGAACAGATTGACCAGAGACCCAGTGCCGATGAACAAAGCGAGGAGAAATCCAGCTATAAATGGATTCATGAGAATTACCGCGAGAAGCGGATATGCAGACCCTGGTGGGACGCCCGTTTTCAAGGCACCCTGCCGCTGGCCCTCTCCGCTCGCATCCCGCTCGAGGTCTTCGAGTTCATCGTCGACGAGATGAATCAGCACACGTTGATCGCCGCGGCGCTGGTCTGCTTAGCATGGTACCCTCGAGCGATGCGCAAGCTCTACCACACCGTCGAGATTCGCGGCCGCACGAGCTTCAACAGGCTGTTCAAGCAGTGTCACGCGTCACCACGCGTCAAGCAGTGGCTCGCGAGCACATGCAAGCTGGTGGCAGTCGGGCGATGGAATGACTTACCCATTCTCGACGACGTCTCTGACAGCGAGCAGGACACCGAAGACGCGAGTGTGGAATCCCCGCAGCTTAGAAACACGAGCAATACTGACAATCATGATCACTTCCTTCAAGCACTACCGTTCGCACTCGCTGGTCTGATGCCTCGTGTACGCACCCTTCATATCGAGCAGGGAGAACTTCGCTTCATCCGCCCAGATTTCTTCTTCGCACTGTCGAAGTTCGAGTCTGTCAAGTCGTTGACGCTTGATGTCTGCGAACTAAACAACATCACGCAGCTGCGGCGGATTGTGTCTGCCTTCCCCCAGCTTACAGACCTTAAAATGGTGGTTGTTGGTTTCGCTCAGCGAGGTGCTGCCAGTTACGCGGGAGCCTCACTATCTCGGGCACCATCTCACATACGTCTTCGATGCCTTGAGGTCGATGTGCATAATGAACCCATGATGATGTTCCTTGACTGGATGTCGCGCTCAGACCTCTGCGCCTCACTTGCGAAGGTGACAATCTTGTCACGTTATGCCCGTAAGACTGCCTTTGTCTTCAAGCGTACAGATTTCATCACTGACGCACATGCACAATGTAGTGACTCACGAAAACCTGTTGCAAAACACCGCCTTGCAATTCTTGGACTTCAAGCTACGTGACATCGAACACATCATGGCCGAAGACGAGGGGCCTCGCGCGGCTTGGACCGAAGCAACACGCGAGTTACACGGCATATTCTCCACCATCCGTAGCCGTCAGCTCGAGCACATCGAGGTTCACGTTCGAGTTTACGTCGACGACAGTATTCTCGAGTCTGAGGAGCCAAGCGCTGTTCTCGAGAAGCTCGACCTGCGGGGCCTGCACGAGGTCATGAGCCAGCCGTACTTCGACACATTGAAGGATGTCGAAGTGAAGATGACGATGTGGCCTCGGACCGATCAGACCGAGTCGGATGTGGACAACATCGGTCAGAAGCTCGAGGACGTGTTTCATGGCTTGCTCCGGCCATGGTCTGATCGCGGCATAGTCGACACCTCCTGCGTGTGGCGGGATGATGGGCGGAGACAGTGGTCGAGGTGAGCTCGCTCTTCACCATGATCATGCGTCGTCATCATGCTGACTTGTATCGCGTATACGACGTGATGGAACGGCGGCGAGTATCGACTCGGCGCGACGCAGGTGCTTGAGGGTCGGGGCGCAGACCGGAGAGCTCGGGAGGAAAACTCTAAGGTAAGCATTGGCTTTGTCTATCTACTTATACACGTACAGGTACTGATCTGATACGACGGCGTCGGACGGCGCACGTCGCACACGGTAGCCTCGAGGCTACCGTCTAAGGCGGGCGATGTACAGCCGGCGATAAGCGCCGGCGCGAGCATACGACGAGGACCGCATATCGGCCTCGAGTCTAAGGTGAGTTCTGTTAGTACAATTCTATCTACACGGATCTAACATTCCGACACTCCCCCTCAAACCTTCGCCAGTCCCATCGCGGCTGCGAAGTGTTTGCACTTCATCGAAGGCAAGGCCTTCGTAAGGATGTCGGCAGTCATCTCCTCCGTAGGGCAGTAGGATAGCTCGATCTTGCCCTCCGAGATCATGTACCGAATGAAATGGTACCGTATGTCAATGTGCTTCGTTCGCGCATGAAAGCGGTCGTCCTTCGCGAGTGCGATTGCCGACTGGTTGTCAGAAAGGAGAGGGATAGGTCGCTCGGGTCCACCAAAGAGTTCATGCATGAAGGAGCGAAGCCAGATGGCTTCCTTGCTCGCGTGCGTGAGCGCGACGTATTCAGCCTCGGTCGTCGAGAGCGTGACAAGCTCCTGGCGTTTCGAGGACCACGAAACCACGCCACCGTTGAGCATAAAGACGTACCCCGAAATTGCATGCCTGCCCTCCGTGCTCCCACCATCTGCATCCGAATAACCCACTACCTCGTCGTCTCCAGTCCCTCCGAGAACCAACCAGAGGTCCTTCGTACCCTTGAGGTACTGGTAAGCCCGTTTGAGAGCATTCCAGTGTGCGAGTCCCGGGTTCTGCAAGTACTGGCAGATTTGCCCGACTGTCGCAGCGAGATCGGGTCGAGTCGCGACGACGAGCCACATAAGCGCACCGGCGGCTTCGCGGTAGGGTTTGTTTCGCATGAGTGCGAAATCTTCGGGAGTGACGGGCGACTGGTCCTTCGACAGGCGTGTGTGTGTGTCCATCGGCTGAGAGAGCGGCTTTGCGTCAGCGAACCCATATCGGTCAAGTATGGACTCGATGTATGCGCGCTGGGATAAGGCGATCGTGCGACGTGCCCAGTCACGCTTGATCTCGATGCCGAGTAGCCAGTGAAGTTCGCCGTTGTCGGTGATGTCGAGTTTCGAGCTGATTTCAGCCTTGAGACGGACCAGATTCGCAAGCAGTGAGCATACAAGTGTCATGTCGTCGACGTGAACGAAGATGATGTCGATGTTGCCGTCTGGATGGCGGCGGACGAAAACGGCGTGATCATGCTCGATGCGGACGAACTTGAAGCCTAAGAGAGTTGCTTTGAGGACTTCATACCAGCGACGACCGGCTTGCTTCAGTCCGTAGATTGGGACACGTGCTCGGATCAGCTGGCCAGGCTTCAGGCCATCGAGCTTGATGAAGGGCGGTGGACGGAGGTAGATGCGCTCATCGTCATTGAGCTTGCCATAGAGGTATGCACTCTTGACGTCGATCTGGTGGGTGTGCCAACCCTTGCGAGCAGCCATGGTGAGGATAGCGCGGACAGAGGTCAGCTTACAGACAGCTGCGAAGGTCTCGTCGGAGTAATAGTCGATGCCGTCGACCTGGGTGTAACCCTGAGCCACGAGACGAGCACGGTAGGAGTTGATGCGATTCTGCGCGTCTCGCTTCGTGCGGTAGACCCACTTCGTGCCGACTTCATTGATATCTGTCATGTCGTCTGGCGGATCCTCAAAGACCCAGCTGTTGCGAGAGATGAGTCGACGAATCTCGTCGTACATGGCCTCGAGCCACTTCGGCCAATCAGGCCGGCGTCTCGCTTCAGCGACAGTGCGCGGATCGAATCCGAGAGCTTCAGACGTAGCAGCCTCGACGAAGTATGCGATGAACTCCTCAGAAGGGAAACTTCCAGGTTCAGGAAAGGGTGGTGCATCAGCGACAGAGCTTACAGCTCGTCCTTCTAAGATGTCGCGAGCCTTCGCACTCGGTGTGCGCTTGCGCTTTCCAGTGACAATGTCGGGATGAACTGGCTCGTAGATTTCGCCAGGCTCAAGAGAAGGTTCTGGCTCGAAGATGTCTGTGTCGTGCTCAGGACTCGGAGAAGGGTCCCGGTGAGCACGCTTCGCAGGAGGCTCTGCCGCGTCGTCATCATTGATAGGTCCAATATCAACATCCAGCTCCCCCTCGACGCGCGGAGACTCTGAGCTGAAAACAACATCGCGCTCGACACTGATCTTGCGCTCCTCAGGCCAATAGACACGGTGACCGTTGGACGTGGGATCGAGCCCGAGCCAACGAGCAGGTTGACCGCGTGCGTCGAGCTTCGAGGGTGCATCAACACGGACATAGACGATGCAACCCCATGGGTGCATGTTGGAGACGTCAGGTGGATGCCCGTAACGAACTTCATAAGGCGACTTTCCACTGAGAGCACGCCGAGGCGTCCGGTTGTAGACATAGGTGCAGTATCGTAAGGCTTCACCCCAGAGCCATTTCGGCAGGCCTGACGAGATGAGACAGGCTCGTATGCCATTCAGGATAGTCCCATGAACGCGCTCGGCAACACCATTGTGCTGTGGTGTGTCATGGACAGTGAGCTTCCGCATTGTGCCATTTCGCTCGAGGTAGACAGAGAAGTCGTTGGATAAGAATTCGCCACCGCGGTCGGATTGGGCGACCTTTCGGGAGTAGCCGAGCTGAGTGGTGAGGCGAGAGTCGTAGGCAACATACTTCGCAAAAGCTTCACTCTTCATATGCAGCAAGGGTGTGTCTAGCCAGCGGCCATGGTCATCAACGAGGGTGAGGAAATAGCGACAGCGGTCAATCGTCATGACGGACGCAGGCCCCCAAGTGTCCATATGGACGTGGTCGCCGAAACGTTCAGCTCGCGGCGACTCGCGCAAAGGCGCAATCACAGCACGACGAGCCTTCGCTTGCAGGCAAGTCGGGCACTCGGGCTTGTTATAGTCCGTGACGACAATCCCATTGATACGACCCGACTTCGCCATCTGCTCAAGATATCCGTAATTTACGTGGGCCAGCGACTGGTGAAGATCGGCAAGGGACATGCGTCGAAGCGGGGTGGAGGCAGCGTTGGCGTCGGCGGGTGGGGGGTGATAAACACGGTAGAGGTTGTTCTCGCGGGGGATGACACCGATGATATCGTAGTTCTTATTGCATATGGTGAGTTCGCCCTTTTCGCCTGACCAATAGTAACCTTCGCTGTCGAGACAGCCCAGCGAGATCAAGGTCGCATGCATCCCAGGAGCATACAAGACATTTCGCAGCTTGGGCCATATGCACAGCGCGAGTGAGACTCTCGTCCTCCGTGTACTTCCAGGTCTGGCGAATCAGCATGTCGCCTTCGCCTGTCGCATGGAAGACTTGCGAGTTCGCAGCACGGATAGGGTGCGGGGTGATGGAGCGGAAGTTGACAAGGCGGTCTCGGTGTGGGGTCATATGGCGAGAGGCTCCAGAGTCGTAGATGTCAACGCGGAGACCCGAGTCAACAGCACCCGAGTCGTCAGCAGCAGCAGCGACGGCAGGAATGGGCGAGAAAGCAGAAAGCTCGCACTGCTCCGCCAATTCGGAACAGTCTATCTCGACTCGCTCAAACGCGCCAGGGGCAACCTCATCCGAGATCGCGCTCCACACCTCCTCGATGAAGGCGGACTGAGCCTCCGAGGCCATTGCAACATTCGGCGTAGCAGCCTTGTCGGCCGAGGACCCAGAAGCCTGCGCTGTCGACGCGCTCTCCTTTGGCTTCGCAGGTCGACGCTGGCTCGACGCGCTCGGACAGACATTCGCGCGGTGGCCCTTGCCTCCGCACTTGAAGCACGTCACGTCCTTGTCCGAGGACGCTGGCAACGTATCCTGCGACTTCCCGGAGGCTCCCCCACGCCCACGTCCTCGACCACGACCTCCGGATCTACCACGTCCGGATCCGCGGTTCCCTCCACCACGGCTCGTTGACGCAGTCATCGCGGTCTCGGATCGCTCGCCAGCCTTCGGCTTTTGAAGGTTGCGGGTATCCGCCTCGGAGCGTAACGCGGCAATGATCTCGCTCGCAGTCACGACGCGCGGGGTCTGGCCAGTGGAGAGGGTCGAGTTAAAAAGGGTCACAGCTGTGTTGAGCGCAGTGACGATGTGAGAAAAGGAACGGGGAATGGAGGTGGTAATGGCATTGATGTACGTCTTCTCCTCAATTGTCGTGCCCATTTCGCCGAGCTCCTTCCGAAGCTGAGCGAGCTTGTCTAGGTGCTGCCGGACCTTTCGCTCGTCCGTGCACTTCAACGAGAAAAGACGCGCCTCGGTCCAGGCCTCGTGAGCAGCAGTGTACTGCCCAAACTCCTTGTCGAGGTCGGTGAGTATCGAAGCGACAGTGGTGTTGTCGTCGTATTTGACGAAGATCGCGTCCGGTAGCTTCTGCGTAATCGCGTTGCGCATCTGCGCGTGAAGCTTCGCGCTGTCGTCATCAGGCGCCGCGGTCAAGAGGTCGTCGCCATCGCAAGCACTCGCAGCAACACGTACACGCCGAATCCACAGGCGGTAGTTCTGTCCGTCAGCAGCAAGCTTCGGGACCTCCGAGAACTCTTTCGCAACGGTCGTAGACATCGCGCGACACTGGACTCGGATGGATGGTGGGGGGCTGGGTGGTGGCGAGGGCGAAGCCGAGGGTTCGGAAGGTTGAGGTTGGACAGGGGCAGGGGATGGCTCGCGGATAGAGGATGGAGAGCTCGGAGACGAACCAGAGGTGAGTTCTTCGTCCGAGTCGTCGTCGTCTGGGAAGGGTAGATCGCGGCGATCGTACGGAGGGAGGTCGTCGAGCTCGGAAACGGTGTGTCCGGTTTGCTGAAGGTAGGCGCGAGTGGCTCGACGAACGGTGGTGACTAATGGAACGGTCTGCGGGTAGGCGAGGAACTTTGCTGGCATACAGGGGTCCGAAAATGGGACAAAAAGCGCACGAAGATAGACCCTAAGCTCGAAGAGCGGGGCTCATAACCTATCGCGTATACGACGTGATGGAACGGCGGCGAGTATCGACTCGGCGCGACGCAGGTGCTTGAGGGTCGGGGCGCAGACCGGAGAGCTCGGGAGGAAAACTCTAAGGTAAGCATTGGCTTTGTCTATCTACTTATACACGTACAGGTACTGATCTGATACGACGGCGTCGGACGGCGCACGTCGCACACGGTAGCCTCGAGGCTACCGTCTAAGGCGGGCGATGTACAGCCGGCGATAAGCGCCGGCGCGAGCATACGACGAGGACCGCATATCGGCCTCGAGTCTAAGGTGAGTTCTGTTAGTACAATTCTATCTACACGGATCTAACATTCCGACAACTTGGCCTTGCCTCAAGCCTTCCTCGTCGGCAACAATGGAGCGGTGAGCCAGGGTCGCCGGCGACACAGGCATCCTCAGAGTGAATGGGAACGAGAGGCTGTCCCTATCTGGCTCCCGCGATGTTGTCGGATTAGGGTGCGAGAGTGCTATCCACTCGGTCACCGTGGGCAAACGAGTCGAAGGGACGAGGGACATGGTCAAGACTCAATGTTGTTGGTCTCAACTGTGTTCATTCTCGATTGACAGTAGACGAAAGACTTCGTCTCTGGACGTACGATACGTTTGTATCTTGGATATAAATCGTCGGGTACTGAGAGCGAACGGTCTACTTTACGCTTTCCGACTCGGAAACATTTTCGGGCTACTAAAATGAAACATGGTGTAGCTGATTATATTCACGATGAATATGTATGTGACATCTACACCTTGTACTATTGGATATGGAGGGTCTCTTTGAAGTCGCAGTGTGACGGGAGGGAGTTAGTACCGAGAACAGGCCCTTCCCGCCGCGTTAGCAGACCTCTGTGCTGATCTGGGGATGCGCTGAACTAGTCCCTTCTCGCTCGAACTGAGATGGACCCGCTCGCGAACAGGAGCCGACGACAGAAGCCAGGTAGCCGCGGCATGAGCCTAGCAGCGGTAGACACAGGCCCGTCGACTTTGTCACCTGTGAGTGTAAGTTCATTGTCAGTGCGCCGTACAGGTTCCGGAGCATCGATAACTCTCGCCTGGTTGGACAGCGACGAGCGTGTGCGACACGAAACCACCACACACGACAGGTTCTGATCCTCACCAGAATAGACGTCGCATGGCGAGCATTGGATGCTAGCGGTGCGCACAGGCGGTTTCACTGTCCGATGAGACACCTAGCAACACAGCGGAGGGTCCTCGGCGGAGCAAGCGGATAAGTACTCCTGCATAACAAAGATCGGACGGAGGTTGGTCTTGATGGCCTTCCGTAGACGTGGGGAGTTGCTCGATGAGCAGATTGTCGTCTGCCGTGAGGTGTAGCGCGAACTTCGAGTCGAACGAGAAGTCGGGCTGAGCCGCCCTTGGGGATGAAGAGGACGGGTCTGGCTCGGAGGCTTGGATCAGCAGTAACGGAAGACCACCGAGAGAGGAGGGGAGGAACGACCATGGTGTCAGACGCATACCAGATCGTCTTGAATCTGTCGTACGGTGCCGAAGGTGAGACTGGTACTGTTTGGCAGGGTCGGCCTTGTCAAGCTACGGACTGAGGGTCACTCCGTGGGTCGACTGTGGGCCACGTACAATTGCCACCCTCGAGCTCTGGCAGTAGCCGATCGACGCGCTCAAAAGGCATATGTCGATAGGCCACGCACTCCATCAGTTCTACTAATTCGATATCGCGACCGGCGTGTTCATTGAACTGCAAGATCGATTCTGTGAGATTCGAAGTCCGGATAGGTATACTCGTCTTACCTTGGACAAATCGCGACGTCGTTCCTCAATCAGTCCTTCGTAGATGTTTGGTGACGTCGAAGAGAGGCACTGAGCTACGATGTTGGTCCTTCCGAGCGCAAACAAACGTTGGTTAGTCGTGACCGTTGTGCGCCGAGTAAGGGGTTTCCCAGGTTGAGAAATGTGTTCTAGCGGTGCAACAGAAAGTAAGGTAATCCTTGCCTGGAGTACTACAAAATAGCCGCGATAGAGTGGCGATCGACATCCTATCCATGGAAGGGTTAACATCGTAACATGTTGGAACTTGTTGCGTGCCGAACTTCGTCTCTATGTGTTGGTCGACGTCAAGAACTTACTCACCCGACACGCATTCCCTTGCGTCTTACTCCTGTCGTCTCTCTCGCACGTCTACTGCATGCTCCCAGTATCCAGCGTCACGTCCTCCCGGGAGAGGTAGTCGGCGGTCACATAGCGTCTTCTCGAGAACGCAGTCTACGTTTCGCGACGTATAGCTAGCCTAATAGTGCCAGAACGTGTGAGGTTTGTAACACAGACGTATTGACTGAGGGACGAGTGAAGGAGCTCTGCTTACCGAGAATGAGACTCGTCGCCGATAGAGACGAGCGACGCGATTGTGGCTGATCATGAGGCGAGACAGGGAACCGTCAGAGAAAGCTCGGCGAGGCTGCTCTGGTGCAGTGTCTTCTTGTTGCAGAACGCAGACGGTTCTTTTCGAGTACGAAATACAAGGCCGTATAAAGCGCGTGGCACAGATGCGATCACTGAGATAGGAGTTGAGGAGACCACTGGAGGGAGCTTGGGGAGGAATAGTTCTGTCTGGAGGTACAGTATGTAGCGTACGCGAGCTGAGTTCTGCAGCCGATGGACATTCGCTAACTCAGAGTGTGGTGAGAATCCATCCAAGAGAGGGTGCAGTTTTCTCGAGGGCTTGCGCAATGAGAAGAGGAAGGAAGAGGATCATATGCCAGAGACACAAGAACTGGACGAGATGAAGGTCGAATACAGGGTGGCATGTGGCGGAGACTCGGCGCCCGGCCGTCCCCGGTGGCGTCGCCGCCTCGCTCGATGCTCTGGACGTCGACCAAGACGTCGACCATGGCATTACGACCGACCTCCTTCTGCGTCACAGGTTGTTCTTGGGCTGTTCTCCTCCTCTCTTGCAAATGGGCCGACATTCGTGCATCTCAGAACGCTTGTGTCGTCTCCAAGTGCACAAGAGGTCAGCCGTGTGAGGACACAGGTTCGTGTCTGCCCGTCTGCCAGTTACAGCCCATCGCGCAAGCAGCTAACGCATTCATTAGCTTTCTCCATGTCTGTCAACGCTGTCGCACGCAGTAGATTCCAGAGAGGGTGTTGTATGGTCCTATCGATCATCTGTTGCGGTCTTGTTCTGCGTGAGGCCCTCGCCCTCGTCAGTACGGGACGAATAGGCCGACCTTGAGTAACGCGGCAGCGTTAGACTGTGGTAAGTATTCGCGCTTGATATTCTGATACACACTGCGGACAACCCGGATTGTGCGAGGCGCTTACATGGGCCTAACATTGCAAGAGCGTGTATATTAGTAAGCCACTAAGTGAAAATCCCTAACATGGGAAGTACATGCCTAGAACATGACGCGATTTCGGAACATAGGAAGAACATAGCACTTACATTCCCGATTTTGGGAACATTCGAAATGTTAGCCCGAACAAAGGAATACCATTCCCTATGTTACGAGCTCCGACTTAGAGCCGTAAAAATATACACGCCCTTACAATGTAAGTACCATGTGAGCGCTTCGCACAACGCGGTTCGTCCGCAGTGACATCTCGCTGGCCCTGAATTGCACCAGCCAGCTTCGATCACAACCTTGAGAAACTGAGGTACAAGTACTACCTCTCGCACTCGGTCACGCAGTATACGGTGAGCGAAGCTTTGAACGGATTCACTCTATCCTTCTGTGCGTCCCGACTCCACTCGAGAAATGTTGCCTTCTCTTTCTGTTACATTGTTAGGTGTGGATCGCCGCACACTGAGTATCATCTCGCGCCTGCGGCCGATCGTCCGTCTGCACCATATTGTCACGCGCGCCGAGGCCTATGGGACTCGAGCGTGACTAAATGGAAACCCCTCCTCCTCCTCCTCCCCAGTATCTTGCGCCGAACTAGAGTCAACAGCCTCGAGGGGAACTCGCGGCCCCGTGACTAGGGTCTATGGTCGACTTGTAGTGTCCGCACGAACTCGTGAACAGCCGGTCTTCAGCACGAAGACAGGAAGTGGAAAGGAGTGACGTCCGTCGGTGTCCCGTTCTTAGCAGTGTGTTAGTTCTTCCTATGCGCAGACGTGCCTTACATCGTGTCGAAACAGGCTACCAATCGGCAAGGCGTGGACGGAGCGTCACTATGCTCATGGCAACGCAACAGAGCTCACCACTCAACATGAGTCGTCGTAACCCTGTGCCTCGCCGACGAACGTCACACTGAAACGGGAAATCGCGGATGCGTACTCCGATTTGGCCACGCTCGAAGACTGCCATCCGCGCTCGTATACGGCACCCGCCCGTACGTACCAGCCAATGAAATCGGACCTGCGTGTTCTTTCGAACCAGCGCCCTTCGCTGTATGCGTCTTTTGTTCTGGCGTAGTGCCTTGTCTGATTAACGTGTCTCTAGGCACATCCCCCAGACCTGTCGTCGTGCCCAGAGACGCGCAGACACTGAGACAGCGCCGCTCGCTCGCTTGAACCTCCATGCCAACTCCTAGGACTAGAAGGGCGGACGCGGGACCGGCTCCCAAGAGAACCAAGTTGCGTCTCGCCGACCTCGTACCACGCTCCCATGCCACCAGCAAATGTACCATCGCCTAACGACATTGGAGTCACTCCTTCGGCTCCTCCCCGATCTGCCGCTTCCCATTGAACACGTTCTCAAGGCGATACTGTATCGCGTGTCCACACTGCGGCCCGTCGTTACGTCTAGCGTCAAGCCGTGCTACTCATGGCATGTCAGGGCGTATGTATGGTTATGCGATTTCTCCGCGGCACTCATGCTCCCTTTCCGCAGTCCTGCAAGCCAATGCCGTACCCCGCGACGCTCACGGCTCTGTCGGCGACCCCAATCTCCGGACGGGCGGGAAGACGAGGGACAGTTGTACGGGCGTCCGGTGAGTGCTTGCAGAGAGGTCTTCGCGGTAACGACCGCTTACGTCGATCTTGCAGCACGGGGAGGTGCCGCAGGACGAGACAGCAAGGCCGCCGCTGCGAGTTGGCTGTGGGCCAACAGAGTCCCTGGATGGGCGCCTCGAAGAACGCAGTTAGGGTTAGGGCAACTGACGGCCTGCTGCGTCGCACACTCAGGCTGGCCGCGGCTCAGTGGATTGTCCCACACTCATATCCGGGCGAGTGCGGCGCGGCGACGAATTCTTGAAGCATGGCTAGGACTGGCAATATGTGAAATAAAACGTCCCGGTGAGTTGCGGCAGTCACCGTGCGGCTCATCAAACCCTCACACACAGCTCTTCCCAAGTACTCAATAGCCTCGCTGCATCCTCGAGGCCCCCTTGCTACTTGCGTTCCCACCCCCACCACTCCTCCGCTCACGGCTGCGCCCTCCCTCATAGCGCATACATCCACGTCGTACGGGGTGCGAGTGCCCAGATGTCCGATCTCCAGCCTACCGTCGGTCGTCTTCTGTCCATGATGATCCCGATTCCCGACTGATGCGCCGTTCACCTAGCTTCTTTCCCCTTCCCCCGAGGACGCCTCACACGTACAAGTCGTGCCATCGAGTGCCGGCGACGATCATATTGGTGTCGGTCAGAGTCTTGCCAATGAACAGAATGACGTAGGACCGAGTGCCGATGGGCAGAGCAATGATGAATCCAGTGCCCATGAATGGGTTATCCACAGATACACCGGAAAACGGACCTTCAGACGCTGGCGGGACGCCCGTTTTCAAGGCACCCTGCCGCTGGCCCTCTCCGCTCGCATCCCGCTCGAGGTCTTCGAGTTCGTTGTCAACGAGATGAATCCCCCCGCATTGACCGTCGCGGCGCTGGCCTGCACAGCATGGTACCCTCGAGCAATGCACAACCTCTACCACACCATCGTGATTCGCAGCCGCACAAGCTACAACCTGCTGTTCAAGCAGTGTCACGTATCACCACGCGTCAAGCAGTGGCTCGCGAGCACATGCGAGCTGACGGTAGACGAGCATTGGATTCACATTGACGACGAGTACCACTGGGTTGACCTTATGGCCCAGGAAAAGGGTGAGGACGAAGACGGGAGCGTGGAATTCCCACAGCGTAGAAACAAGAGCAATAGCGACAAATCCTTTTTACCAGCACTACCGTCTGCGCTCGCTGCTCTGATGCCTCGTGTACGCATCCTTGACTTCTCCGGTGCAGGACTTCGTTTCATCCGCACGGACTTCTTCCCCGCCCTGTCGAGGTTCGAGTCTGTCAAGTCGTTGACGCTTTCCTTTTGTGACCTGAACAACGTGACCCAGCTGCGGCGGATTGTGTCTGCCTTCCCCCAACTTACAGACCTTACGATGATGTATCTTAACTTCGCTCTGCAAGGTGCTGCCAGTCACGCGGGAGCCTCACTACTTCGGTCGCCGTCTCACACTGGCACGCGTCTTCGATACCTTAACGTCAGCGTGCATGATGAACACATGGCGATGTTCCTTGACTGGATGGCGCACTCAGACCTCTGCACCTCACTTGCGGATCTGACACTCGTGTCAAACATCCCCCGGGGCTACATGACAATTACACCCCTTAACCAACTCCTCGAAAAGGCGGGGGCATCGTTGACCCGTTTCTACGAGAGGTTCTATAACGGTGAAGCCCATAAATTGTCTTGCGTACAGACTTCACTACTGATGCACATGCACAATGTAGTGTATCACGGAAACCTGTTTCAAAACACCGCCTTGCAATCCTTGGACTTCTTGCTGCATGACATCAATCACACGCCCAAATACCGTGACGAGGGGCCTCAGCGCGCGGCGTGGACCAAAGCAGCAGACGAGTTACACGCCATATTCTCCACCGTCCGAAGTCGTCAGCTCGAGCACATCACGTTCGACGTTTACGTTAACGTCAACGACAGCATTCTCGAGTCTGAGGAGCTAGGCGCTGTCCTCGAGAAGCTCGACCTGCGGGATCTGCACGAGGTCATGAGCCAGCCATACTTCGACACATTGAAGGATGTCAATGTGGAGATAGAACTGTCAAAACTGTTGTCTCGGCCCAATCAGACCAAGTGGCATGTGGACAGCATCGGTCAGAAGCTCCAGGCCATATTCCATAGCATATTACAGCCATGGTCTGCGCGTGGCATGGTCACAGTCACCTGGAGGCGCATCTGATATTGTAAATGTGAGTGAGCCCGTTTGCATACACACGTCTGTCTCACTCTTGTCTCCCATTCAGAAACACCCAGAACGTCTCATGCCAAAGACGCAGCACGTCATCCGAATGGTACAGACGTAGGTGACGGCAACGAGGCCTCGTCACCTCCGGTACGGAGCACGGGTGTCGGTCGTCTGGCTCTCTTTTATCTATTGACCGACTTAGTGGAAGGACGGGTTTCTTGGCTTTGGTATGGAATTGACTCGAATTCAGTACGGTAACTGGTCTGCATTGACTTGCGCGTCCTGCGATGACTGAGACGTGCTGCGCTTGGACGATGACTGAATGTACTACTACATCGACGACCTGGGCTCGAGGGTATCTATATGCGACTGTAAAGGACTTCTCAGATCTATCGCTACGATCAGACGAATTGTATCCTGTTTCGGATCGTTATGTCCATGTTCAAAACGTCCGCGCAGGTCCCCGACAGTAGAGATGTCGAACTGGTCCAAAAATGTTCCATATTCGTAACAGTACGCGGACGGCCAGAGGGTTCAGAAGACCTAGCGTGAGCGACGCCTGACGCGTGGCTGAGACCGAGCTACCATGGACGCAGATCGTCGACGCGCTCGTGCTGATAGACATGACGAGGGCCTTGCTAGGGTCAATACGAGAGGCGCGTTTGTGAGAGCGGCGAGAAGCTTGATTAGCAGCCTGTTGCCGAAGATGATATGGAGCCCAATTCTGTTGCGAGACGAGGGAGAACTATGAGAACTGGTCCGTCTGAAGAGGACGCTCACAAAGTCACAAACCGCAAGGAGACGTCTCATATGGAAAACCCTACGGAGAAGAAGTGAGACAGTCAATATATATGTCGCATGTCACGTCGATCATCTCACCGCTGACGGATCTAGGGGCACCACCGGGCGAACGCGACCCGGACGTCTCGAGAGTCAACCAGCTGGGCTCAACAAGCTTGAGCGCGCGTGGATAAGGTCCTGGAAGTCGAGAACGTGACGCCTGTATCGCCTTGACGCACTACAACTTTATGGGCTGCGAAATACGGGCTCATTTTGGGCGAGCGAGTGTCCCTGCAATATGACGAGATCAAGGACATGCTAGAACGGAGGCTCCTCGATGAAGTTGCATTTGCGAGGAATTTCGTACACAAGAATGAAGCGTCGAGAGGAATCGATCCCTGTCGGAAAGGTAACGCGGAGTAGCCACCTCATCCAGTGCACATCAAGTGATGTTGTCAGTGTTATGACGCGTGAAAGCTCGAGAGCAGTCGTGGGAGGTGTAGACGCACCTGCTGATGTTCATCCGCTGGACCCAGTAGGCATCTCGTACATATACGACGCCGTCTGGAACTCACGACGTCGCAGATTGGAGGCCCGTATGGAAAGGGATACAGGTTTGCTGCGTCATTGTCGACCTTGCTCCTGAGAGAATGCGGACAGTGGTACACTGTCTTGAGATGCGGTGCATTATGTTCGTGCCGGCAAGACTAGTTTGATGTGGGACTCGGGAGCCTCGGTACTGAAAGATCAGGTCTACGAAGATCGAGACGGGCATACTAGCATGGGAATCAGTGAGGTGTAAAGCAAACAAGTCGTCCTCACCTGGCAAACAAGAGAAATTCCATAGGAGTACTACGTGGCTTGTGAGTCGTCGGATTCACTAGTCTTCACCGCCGCGAGTCAACTGGCACGGTAGATGACGAGCCTCCCTGCAAGGGTGGAGGTTGAATAGCAGTAGGTCGGCCGCAACTGTCATTTCAGTTCCCCGTAACGATGACTGCAATGGAGATCAGTAGGTCGTGCGCATACTGGATCTCATTGCCGTAAGGATGGGTCGGCCAGCTGCCTCGGCGGTAGTGATATGTATAACCGAGAAGTCGGAAGACGCGACAGACATACTCACCTTGCCTTGGGCGAGACCACGATGTCATTCACGCCCCAGAAACGTCCACGGAGGTGCAGGCTAGACCATACGCTATGATGTTGGCACACTCGAGTGCGAACAGTCGACAGTTGGAGCGATACCCCCAGTAACGGTCGCGCACAGTTTACCGACGTCGACACAGGAAGACAAGAGAAGCGTGCTCTGCCATATGTACTTCAGAGCTTATAGTACCATATGAGATGGGGACAGCGCTCACCGTGCTCAAGCGTCCACTGCGATGCGTTCGGCGACGAACTATGCTCTGAAAAGGGTTCTGATGCACTACTGGACGATGAGCATGTCCACCGAGAAGCAGAGGTTACTTAACTGACAGACACTCATCCTTCCGCTGTCTTCGTCTCGTTCAAGCTTATACGACGAGCGACTCGTCAATGGTACCGCGTCTTCAAGCTTCAAGTCTCGTCACGGAACAGACAGAACTGTCGAGTATGTATGCTTCTCCCATGTGATAATTTAGGATGCGCGCAACACAACAGTACGCACTAGAGCAGGACTCGAAGAGACCCACTTGGTCGTTTGGCGGAGGGTGCACGGTTGCGGAGGATGCGCGGCCCGACTCGGAGCCGAGTTACGCGGACGTGCATGCTGTCGCAACTTTCTTTCGGGGATACCAATCCCCGAGTATTGGAATGCGCATTCCTATTCTGGTAGAATGATAAGATTACATTACATTGCCGAAAAATGGTCTGCGGCTCTTTGCAATGGCAGCTCGACGATTGGAAGATCGGCGGTGCATTCGGATGCATCTCGGATCCCCAGCGGAGATTGGTATGCGATTGCAGTCACCGTCTACGAGATACCAAAGGGAGAACAACGATTCGATAACGATAACAATCGCCGATTGCCATCGCATTGCGCCGGAGGTACTTCAGCGATCGTCCTCGCATCGCCGCATCGCCTCTCCCTGCTTTGTCCCTCCGTCCCGTCTCGCCATCTCACCGTCGCCTCGTCTCCTTGAACATGTCTGTCCCTCCGGACACACGGAAGATATGTCCTCTGTGCTCAGGAGGCTATAGTGCTCGAGGCTTCCCAGCGCACTACCGAAAATGCGAGAGGGTGCATGCGAACAAAATCCGCGACGAAGAACTAATGGAAGATTTGAATAGGGCACATAATCAAGGTGTGTGTAGTACTCTTATCTTGGGATGAAATCTATTGAGAGAAATTGAACATGTAGCCCAACAAATGCAAATGAGGAATGTTGAGCAGGCAGTTGCAGAGGCCCGAGGTATATATCAGCCTGATCATTCAGGTAATAGTACATTTATAATCCTTGTATCTGTTCTAGTATGCTCAACTATAATTTGCATTTTGCTCATCATAGGCATTCCTATGGAGGGCCCTAGCTATGTCCCAGAAGATGGACTAGACCCTCAGCTTGGTGAGTACAAAACACTGTGGCAGTCAGTATTTTGACATGGTTGTAACTTACTTTCATGTCAGGACAGTATACAGGGACTGACAATAGGGACATGTTTTTGCAGGAGAATGAAGCCCCATGTATGGCTTTATAATGTTGTATTGTCAATTGTAACCACTCAGCACACACAATAGGTCCCTATAAAGTGGGTGATATCAAGACTGTGTACCATCCCAGACTAGGGAAGGAACCCTTGATTCAGTCCTTGCAAGAGTACAATACTGGAGAGACAAACTTGAGGACAGCACCCCTAAGCACAGACAAGCCTTGGAGGCCATATGTCACCCGTTGTGACTTTGAGTTTTCAGAACTTGCACTTAGTGCATGTCTCAACAAGGAGCACATTGAGGCTTTCATAAAGCTTATCCAGACCATTGCCTCTGGTCAAGATAAATTCACAATATCCAGTAACTCAGAGCTTGTTGAGCTTAGAAAATCAGCTTCAGTCCTGTTGACCCCTGTGTGTGATCATAGTACTTGTATCTGAGACCAATTAGATGACTGACATATGATTCTACAGTTCCAAGAAATGAAAGTCACAGTTGACTACAATGGAGAACCCCATGATTATCCTATCTGGGGTCGTGATCTTTGGGATTGGGTCATGGATCAACTCAGAGATACCAGGTTGACTCCTCACTGGGTCTGGGACACTGTGAGGCTTTTCAGGTGGAATGGGGTTGGATGGATGCGCTTTAGACATGAACCATGGACAGCTGATTTGCTTTGGGATGTTCAGGTTTGTAAAAGAAATTCTACAAAGTAGTTCAAATTAAGCTGAGACTTTTACACAGACAGAATTGCCAGAAGGTGGAACACCTCTTGGGCTCATTGTCTATGCAGACAAGACAAAGCTTTCCAGTTTTGGATCAGAGAAGGGATACCCAGTCATTGCACGTTGTGCTCAGCTTCCTGTGGAAATTCGCAATAGTGATGGGATAGGTGGTGGTGCAATTGTTGGATGGCTTCCAGTGGTAAGTCTCTTAATGCCATGCCATATGGAAACTTTAATTACTGTGTATTTTCAAGGTTGAGGAAGGTGCTGCTGAAGATGGCAAAAGAGACTATGTGGACCACAAGAGGATTGTCTGGCATGAGGCTTTCTATAAACTGTGCAAGAAGATGGATCCTCTCTCCAAAACTGGGTTCCAATGTGACCTTCCTAACCTCAAGAAATTGTTCTTTCCATTTGTTGCAATGTTGGTTGCTGACTATGAAGAACAGTATGTCTTTCAATCTCAATAAAATCATCTAACTGATTCAGTGATAGATGTGTCATGGCAATGATCCGTGGAGGTCACCATAGTCTCTGCAATTGCCCCAAATGCCTTGCTGAGTCTAAGAATCTCTCCCTACTTGAGATTTGTGCACCATTGCGAACTGCAGCTAGAAGTCAGGAAGTTGTGGGGCTAGCTAAGAACAGGAACAAGACAGAGGGAGAGGAGCTACTCAAAAAGTTTGGTCTGAGAGGATTAGCAGTGGGTTATTTTGTGCTATTGCCAAAGATCTCAGCTCATGCATTGATAGAATGTTTTCTGGAAGATTGGCTACAGTGATCCTCATAAAGCCCTATCTTTTGACAAGCTACATGCATATGCTATTGGCTTATTTGGGGATCATCTCTGGCCAGAGATCATCAAGCTGGTCAAGCTTCTGGGTCGTCTAGCAATGGGGATGGTAGACAAGCAGTGAGTCTTTATGTTACTTGAATACATATATATATATATATCTCACATTGCTCTGGTAGAGCTGATGAATTCCCTCGGTGGAGAGGTCTTGCCCATTTCAAGCAAGTTGTTGCAATCAACTTCAATGATGGATCCAAGTTTGAGGATCTGTCCAAGGTATATGAATATTGACTATGTATATGCTGTGTCTTATCATTGTACTGCAGATCACACCATACATTGTGCACAATGTCATTGCTCAGATCCATGGCAGTGAAGGCTACCTCTTGCTATGCCTGCTCCGCAAGTACCTGGAGCTAGACATGTACTGTTCATTTGCAGTGCAAACAGATCAGAATATTGCTGCAATAAGGGCTAAGCTGCTTGAATTTTCTCAATCCCTGAAGGTCAGCACAGTCCAAGTTGCTCATGTTATCTCAGACAATTAATGACACATTCACTATAGGAGTATCAGTCCAAGACTGGCCCAACTGGGAAAAATTGGAACTTTCCAAAGGCACACAGTCATCAGCATGTCCCAGAGGATATAGAAGCAAAGGGGGCCACTCGCAATTTCAACACAAAGCCAGATGAAAAGATGCATGGCTCTGTCAAGAAGACATATCTCCGACGCTCAAACAAGCGGGATGTAGCATCACAGGTGAGAATCTAATATACTACAACAGTTACATGTCTGTGAATATTGAGGACCAATTCTTGTTGCAGATCCTGACAGCAGACCATGATACAGCTGTCGCACGCATAATCCGTGCCAATATTGAAGATTATGATGAGCTCAACAACCTTGATGGCTCAGAGGAAGATGCAGATGAAGATGACATAGATCAAGATTCTGGACCCACACCACCTCAGGTCCAGAAATCCAAAGCAAAGTCAAACCTTGCTTTTGGTGATAATCTCATATTGGGAGCACCTCAGAAGCCTACCACCATTGCAGATTTCACAGCATCCAATGAGATTTACAAGGATTTGCTTGCTGACCTTGCTGCTCTACTCAAGTATATGGATTACAAGACTCCTGAGGGTAATGACATTCAAGTCACTCCTCAGGATGAGGTTTGTACTCCAGCATAAGTTATCATAGGTCATTGTGCTCATTAGCATATTTCAGGTTATTGAATATCGATTCCTCAAAGTGCACTATCAATCCCTCGAAACATGGAAACAGAGCACTGATTACTTGCGGTGCAATCCAAATTTCTATGGACAAGAGCGCCGTGATCATGTCCTCATGGATGTCGAAGACGGAGAGCTTTTTGGACGTCTTCTCTTCGCATTCACATTCTCTGTGAATGGGACAAGGCACCCTTTTGTCATCCTCAAACCACTAGATGGAGAGATTACAGTAAATGACCGGGACAAGGACCTTGGGTTCTATCGGCTCCGCTCAGGAGAGCACGATGCAGAGTTATTTCCCGCTGAACATCTTGTACGAGGTGCATTGATTACATCGGACCCCGGGAATCACCAGGAATTCTTTGTCGTAGATCACGACCCCGATATGTTTTGTCGTCTCAATGCTCTGCGTAGTTCGCGTTTCGGGGTGTAGTACTTAGATCTGTGGGAGACTCAATCATTATCAATGTGCCTTGAGATTGTGATACTATTGCACTGACTCGTATGACTCGGAGCTCGTAGAATACAATCACTTGTGCATATGATCTTTGAGTCGATCTACGTGCGCGCATTCCCTCGCGGAACATCTGAATGCACGCCGGGTTGGTGGAATCGCAGGGCGACGAACCGAGGTGCGACGTACCCTGTCTCAGTCCCCTCAGACCAATCATCGAAAATGTCAGATTTGGGCTGCGCCGTTACCAGACGTGGTAGATCGTATGGGTAAGTCGAGTGGCTTGCACGGGATCGAATGGAGAGGCGGTTACCAACCGATACGCCCGTATCACCAGCGGGAGACATACCAGATCTCTGGTGATGTGATGCTCAGCACGCAGCGATTCATCCACGCAGAGGAACCTACCTCCATCACGTCACAGCCCAGCAAGTGGGCGGGGTCTTCAAGCGAGACGGGGCATACTTTGTAAGCAGTGTGATAGCCGGCATCCAGCTGTGCCCATGCCAGTGGTATACATCGCGGGCGAACGCTAAGCATAGACCGCGGGATGGTGCGCTGCGAACCAACTTGCGGCCCGATTCTGGATCAACTGCCTGGCACCGAACTTGGACTGGGTCCGGGCAGATGAGGGAGGTCATGTCGACGTGCCGGTCGACTCGCTACTGACGGCGGCGGTGGGTGTGGCTGGGATAGGTCCGAATGAAGCAGACTGTAAACTGAGTGCCGACTAGATATCAATGCAGAGGGGTCGTTTGTCGAGGTAGTGTACCGATCTTGAACTCGAATGCTCGCTCTTTGCCTTCGTCGTGATCATCTTCTCCACCTGGCGCATCTCCGAGCCCGCCAATACTGACTCGCTCGACTTGAAGAGGCCCATGCTCGCCGTGACCACTTGTACGGTCGAGCCGGCTGGAAGGTCGGTACGGGTGGGAGCGAGCCGGGACTGTGATCATGATGGGGAGACGGGTGAAACGAAACGGCTTATTATCAGAAAACTACACGTTGTGTAGTACTTGTGTACTGACCGTTCTCGTCACCTCTAGGCTTACCCTAGATACGACCTCATCGACGGACTCGGACTCCGGGAAGTGGGAGATCGTGTCGGCAACTCTGTCCAAGTCTCACAAGCCCCTGCCTTCGTCAACAATGACACCGCGTGAGAGTATACATACACACCCCTTTGTCGGTCTCCCAGTTCTCTGCGGACCCAGCAACTCATGGTCACCGGTCGGACCACGACCAGTTGTGTCGCAGTTCATGTCGTGCGGGAAATCCCGCGATGCACCAGTTGACAGTACCAGCCTGGAGGAAATGTAGAGAGAGATGTATAGAGAGAGATGGGGTCGACTAGGTTGCTCGTGAAGGTGGGGATGCAGGTGCGAGACGTCGTTCGCAGGGTTCGACCAAGGCGGGTCGACCAGCACCGATCGATCATTGGTGAGTGTGATCGGTGGGCTGAGGAGAATGGCGCCCGTCTCCCACTCCCATCCCACTCCCATCCCACTCCCAGTCTACTCCCGTTAATATCCTCCTTTACGCCCGCTGCTCCCTCTCCGTCTCGTCACCGTGCGTTTTCCTCCAAGTCCTGGCAAGGCCCGTCGATCGTGTCCCGGATTAAGCCCTCCTACCCGTCTTTGGATCACAGCAATATGGCGGAGACATCCGCAGTCTTCCGTCTGCAGGTGAGCGAGACCCACCAGTGGCGACTACTACACGCGAACGCACGGTTGCTTTGGCCCTTTCGGGAGGCCGAGTGATTAGCTGCCCGTTTGTAGAAGATCGTCTCTGCTGGTATGCACGCTCGACTGCAGCGCGGCTGCGGATGTCTCCCTTCGCCCACGCATCCTTTCGCGTAGTCACCTGCCCGCCCGCCCATTCATTGGCTCTAGCACGACACCCATACCATCCGCCAGCCCGCCCCATGTCGTGCCCGTTACACTCCCTGCACTCTATCTCTACCCGCTCAACGCCTCATGTGTCCCAAAACACGCTCGTCAACAACCTGCGCGTCAAGATCGGTCGCCAGACGAACGCGAAGACCGTCACCGCCGAACGCAACGGATCCTTCGACTTGTACGTGCCGATTGGTAGGAGCATGCTGGGGTTCGGGAGGAGGGCGGAAAGGTACGTCGCAAGGCAGGCGGCGCGCCGGGAATAATATAATCTCACTCATTGCATCACATTCCCGGACGCGTGTAGATTTACATCAAGGACGTCAAGAGTTCTAATGGAACGTTCATCGACGGCGACAGGCTGAGTCCTGAAGGGCTCGAGTCTGAGCCGTTCAAGCTCAAGTCCGAAGACATCGTCGTACGTCCCTCACCCGTCGATAGCCAGTGTCCCTCATGTTGAGACAGGCATATTGCACGTCAGGAATTCGGTATCGACATCGTCGGCGAGGACAACAAGACCATCATACACCAGAAAGTCGCAGCGCGCGTTCTCTGCGCACTCAACGACCTAGATGCACAAGCCGCCGCACGGGCAGAGGCGCAACAGAACCCACCCAGCTACGGCACTGTCGCGGGGAAGGCACCCGCCGGAAGTGGCTTCAACTTTTCAAGCCAGCATCAACCCTCTGCGAACGGCGTACCGGGACACCAGTGCCGCCCTTCCATGCCGCAAGGCTTGGTCGATATGGGTGGCATGGGCGGAAACGTGCGCCCGCCAGGCAAGAGTGGCCTCACTTTCGACCATATCCTGACCTGGATCCAAGGCGAGCTGCAGTGAGATGCATGATACGCTCGGGGGCAATCTGGTGCGTCCTCTTTGGAGCCAACTTTGAGGACGACGACTGAAGTAGCCGTGATCAGCCACCTAATCTCCCTCCTTACCCCTCAGTCCTTCCCCCGAGCCAGTTCCACGAGACCCAAACGTCGCTCGCTACTCACGTCGAGAAGATCCGGACGCCAGAAGACAAGCTTTCACAGCAAGCTTTCACAGCAAGACACTATCAAGTGCGAAGTGAGCACGATGCGCGAGCTCATGGAAGAACGTCAGCGCGAGATGGAGATGCCTCGAAGCCTCAGCGTGCGGAACTGGCGCCATAATCAACCGTCCGAAGAACACTACATGTCCGACGATGATGGCGCTCGACGCATCAATATGATCGTCCTACAGGAGCTGGAGAGGGTGGATGAGGAAGATGAGGAGCAGCCAACTGCGGAAGACGACGTACAGCGGAGGCGACGGAGAGACGAACTCGACCGGGGACGCCAGAGCCGACGGATGGGTATGGTCGAGGACGAGGAGCAAGAGCAGCGCGATCGCGCTCGCCGTCGCCGTTGCCACCACCCGCACCAGTGACTGTCGCCGCACCGCCGCCGCCGCCGCCTCCGACCGCCGCCATCCCCGACGAGCTCATGGAGCGCCTCAACACGCTGTCGAAACAACTCGAGACAGCGCTTGAGTTCTCGCGCTCGCTCGAGGCGCAACACACTATGGCCCAGTCCACAATCCAAATGCTCGAGTCGAAGGTCACTTCGCTGGAGAGCCTTGTCCACGACACGCAGTCGCAGGTGCAAACTCAGGCGCAGACTACTGAGCAGCTCGCCGAAGCTGTAAAGGCGGCTGAGACGCCACCCCAGGGACCTCCACTGTCATCTGACGACCGTGACCGCGAGTCGCTGACGGAGATCGTGAACGAATGGAAGAAGAGCGTCGAAGGGTACTGGACTGGTACGGGAGGAGTGGACGGAGGAGCGGGGGCGGTTGCGTCGCGTTGAACTTGGTGTTTGCTAGGTTGCCTGTTACCCTGCCTGGCGGCGGCACTCCCGCTCCTATATCACGGCTCAAGATCTTCCGTACCTGCTCGATCGACCTCGGATTATGCTCTGAAGATGTCTGACTTTTCTAGTATCACGCCCTCAACAGGGCCGCCGCGGTCACCTCTGTTTGGCACCGCGACGTTCTCAACACCCTCACCAACTCAAACACCCATGTCTCCATCAAAGCTTTCTTCATCCATCCGTTCTGGTGGGTTTCTACCCAATTGATCCTGTTGGTAACTTAATGTCTGCGTAGCCACACCAATCGCATCGTCGTACGACAGCGATGACGCCTCGTCAGGCCGACAGATGCGCCGAATCGTTGTATCACCCTCTCCGATATCAAGAGACTCCGACACCTATGCGTACGAAGAAGACTCAATGAGGGACGCGGCAGAAGTGGAGGCCGAACTTGCTCAAATCAACGACGATATCGACGACTTCCTCTCCGAAGTTTCGCGAAACTCCTCCAGAGACGCTTCCACCTATACATCCTACACTGGGCCGTCTACATACACGTCTTACACCGGCCCTTCGACGTATACTACACGCACGGACAGTGTCTCAAACGCTGGATCTGGGACGTCTGGCAACTTCCGCGCCGCAGCGGGGCCCATGCCTACGACTGAACGCGGACCGCGAGTCCTCAGCACAATCTCGGAGCACACAGAAAATACACCATCGAGACCCTCTTCGTATCCTTCCGCCGGTGATGCTAACCGGCTCTCAGCCCACATCGAAGGCATAGTGTCTCGTTCTCGCTCCGCCACGGAACCGTCTCAAACGACGCAGCCTCCGCGTCCGCTTCCATCAACTCCCGGCCCCAAGGTAGTGGAGCGTATTGCATTCTTCGAGGACCGTACAGCGGCATCATCTGGCAGTCCCGGGCCATTCTTCGGACACGCTAGGACGGGCTCGGCGCCGTCTGCCATTCGGTCTCCTAGTCCTTACACGACGACACAGAGTCGCTCAATGCCGACATTGAGCAGCACAGCTTATGGGTATGGTAGTACAACAGGTTATGGGAGCGCTTCATACGGCTCTCGGCCTTCGTCGCGCACGGGCTCTGCGGTATCGTACTCGGGCCCCAACACCACGATGTCCTCGATGCTATCGCCGCCACCTCGCGCGCACAGTGCGCTCTCTTGGGACTCTTTCAATCCCACGAGCACCGAGGCGACGACGCTCACTACCCGCACGCCCGTCTCCGCTACCACTTACACTGCGTCAGGTATGGGAACCGGGACATACACCAATCCGAATTCCAATACGTTCTCCAATACACTCTCAAGCTTGGACCCGACGACGACTACCCAGACGACGAGTACGCTTACCCCACGCCAGATGACACCGAACGACCGCACAGCGTTGAGCCAAGTGCGCAACGTGATTAGTCGGTGGAAAGGAGCGCACACCCTCGATGTGGAAGTCAGAGCATTCTACGACGTCGCCATCGCCTACCCAGAGCGATGGTCTCTTCAGCATCCGGCGCAGGGCCAGCAGGGGCAGTGCGAGACTGAGAGATCGTGCGCTCCAGGCGGCAAACAGAAACAGTGGCAGAAGGGCGAGCGACCCCGTCTCGATGGCTGGCCTGGATGAGAGTGGCAGCGGGGATCTTAGTACTAGCGGGCTGCTTCCGCCACCGTTCGATATCAATGAAATGGGACAGTACGCTGGAGCCACGGAGACTCAAGAGGTAAGCACATTCGTCATATACGAACTATCATCGTGTGCTCATCGTCGGTACTTAGCCGCTTCGCATTGGTCTCTTGTGGTACCTCAATGTGCACGCGCCGCCCTATAGATGGCAGCGCTGCCAGGCCCTCCTATACCCGCACATGCTACTGCTCTCCTGGATCGCCGCGGGTGGTGGCCGTGGTATCGTTACCTTGGATCTGTTGAACTCTACGGAAGTGCAGTCGGCCAAGTCGCCTACGCATCATGGTGCGCAGGAGGATGTCGGGACGATGGCCGCGATCATGCAGAGCCAGAACGCGAGTACAGGCGTGGAGACGCAGTTGGGCGAGGCTGAGCTGATGCAGACGCTTAGCCCGTTCCACTTGCACTACAGTGACGGTATCGAGAGGCTAGGAACGGACAGTCCGAGAGAGCGAGTTCGTTGAGTCAGCGCTATTTGGTACGTCCTTGCCTTCGACTCAGCAGTTCTTACTTACACCGGGATGCAGGGATGTCCTTGATCGCGCGGTATCCATTCCGGACTGCTCGGTCAGCGGCTCGCCGATTGGATCGGTTCGTACTATGTATACGTTCACCAGCACAAGCTCCTCGCCCTCAGGGACCGCGTCGGGATCTGCGACGACTCGCTACGTCCCTCACATCGACACAATGCCAAACATCTCGGACCTACAATCAATCTCTGGATCCAGCGTTCGTAGTGGTATGTCGCGCAGGCCGTCACTTGCATCCGCCCATCGCACGCGTGCCACAAACGACTCAGCCGTTTCGAATCAGGCATTCCTATACCCCGGGGATCCGCGCGTGATTGGCCCAAGCCGAAGCAGCTCCATTCGCCGCACCAGCTCCATTCGCCGCACCAGCTCCATTCGCCGCACCAGCTCCTTGACCGACTTCGACGAGGAGTTTGCGTCGGCAGTTCGCGCCCGGGATTGGGCTTTGATCTTGGTTTAGCAGGGGGTGTGCCCGTGGGCGATGGCTCGCCCATGACAATTTCGAGTGGACAAAGGTTGGGTCGCGACGTGTACATGTCCCGCCAAGTGTAGGGAGGGGAAGTGAGGGAGCGCGTAGTCGTGCCTCCGACAGCGCGACGTCCATCTCCGACGATGTGTTCTTCTCTGCGACTGGACGATCGCGGACCCCCACGTCCAGCCTTTACTCGTCTTCGTCGTTCACAAAGGGTCTGACCACGACAGACACCAGGACAGGCACCGGCCTCGGCACTGACGAGACTGTGGTGGACATTGTTTCTGGGTCGGGCACCAACATCGTCGCGTCGACCTTGTCTCTCAGAGGCACGACGTCCGCATTCATGCTTGGTGACTCGCACAGCGGTTCAAGCGGCCTGCCGTCGACGTCACCTTCGCGCGGCGACCTGACTCGGTCGAGGTTTGTTGCGTGTCGAACTCTTAGGAGCAGCTCGCGGTCGTACTCCCCCTACAATCAGAGTAGCGAAGACACATCTGAAAAGGAGAATTCAGGGAGCTACACCCGACCGCGAGTCGATCGTCCACTGAGCACGCTGGAGACCTACACCAGCTCACACATTCCAGCGAGGTCTTACGCCCCTACGCCGTCATCTTGGTCTTGCACGCGGTCAACAGATGATTACACTAGATCTTCGGACGAGCCTAGACCGGACAGCGAAGTGGCGAGATCGATGCAGTCAGCGACGTCTATACCGTCGTCGCCTTCCGAGTCAATAGCACCGACGCCAACGACAATCTCTCTTCCTCCGAGTGCCCCTTCGCCTACTATTATATACAATACTCCAGTCTCTACTGCATCCTCTATCTCCATTGACTCATGTGTTGGGGCCTCAATCTCTTTTGGAATTCCTACTGTTGATTGCGCAAGACGATGTATCCACCGAGCTGGGACGACATTCGCGCGCATGCTCTCGCATCTGTCGGCAATCTAGCACATGTTCTGGGCGCGGTATGTGCTTTCAATTGTGACTCGGTTCGTGCAGCAACACGCCAATCGCGCCCCGAGTCGTGTTAACCACATCTCGGACAACCCACGTAAAGATACGCGCACGTACTGCCACGACTACGGTCACCCTTAGTCTGTGCGCTGTTACTGCGATACTTCTTCATGCCTCACCTCTTCTCAGAAGTCTCGTTGCCGCCGCAGGATGGGTTCGCAATCGAATTGCTGACTTCCGCCGACATAGCCATGAGTGTTCGGCCTTCCATGCTGATGGTCCAGCATCGCCAAAGTCTTATCAGTGAGAATCTACATGCGTAGTCGCAACGTCAAACTACATCGATGAATGTGAGTGTGTGCGCACATTTAACACGTCGAGGCTCAACTGACAGCTTGGAGCTCGCCCATCCGCATCACAGGCCTATTCCGCTTTACGCTGCTAGTTATGCCAGGCCCCCGCCAACCTAACATCCACTCGTCGAGCCGCGTCGATGGCAGCGAAGAGAACTATGATCTCGCCGTCAGCGGTAGTTCGGACGAGGCACAGTCGGGGACTCAGACTAGGGTGACGAACGCAGCCTCGGGCTCCCTGGCGTCGAACGAGTGGCTAGCAATACCCATACCTGGCCCAGGTGCAACCATTGAACAGTACCGACAGGTAAGTCAGTTGCTTCCGGTGTGACCGAATACTCAGTATACTGTTGCATAGTGTCTCGTGTTATACCAGCTGGAAAACACGAACTTGCGAGCTGATCTTCAACGGGTTCAACTCGAGCTCGGGACGCTGAAAGCCGATCTACGCGCCGATGGCCTTCAAAACCGCCGCAGTTCAAAGGGTAAGGCTGGCATGCCACGCGACGATGACATGGGGACAGCCGCGCGCAAGTACGCTATCCTCGTCTCACCTTGGCTGCAGCCACAGGCCTTCAGTCTGCCTAGCCGTCCCGACATCGACCCACAGAGCAAGATACGGTATACAAACCCCGGAACGATGCAGGCCGCCGAAGCCGCCGAGGTGTACGACATTGTTCCTCAGCGTCTGCATCCTATCCTCGGGAGCAACGATTCTACTTACTCGCAACAAGTAAGTAACCATCCACGCATTGTGTGCTTATCAGTATTCACGCCAGCTCAGTTCCGGACAGATGTGCAGCAATCACGATCCAACGCTCTCAACACCGCACTAACCTGTGCAGGTCAGATCTTCAACATGCCGCAGGAGCGCTTTGCTCGCACTGGGAGCTACGATCGCGCAAAGGATGCTGCGATGCAGCAATTCATCCGCGATGAGAAGGGCCTTTATGGCCTGCTTGTGCCGGTGCTCTATCCGGAGGACGATATGCGTATCAACAAGGTCTTCCGCAGTATCTACGTCGCGAAAGTGAGTACTTGTAGTAACTCTTCATGTTGTACTTAGAACTGGACTTACATCGGATTAGATAGCGAAGGTTATCCTCTTCGGACCACAGTCTCTTTCGCGAGAAGGTGGTGCACCATCAGGCAAACCACCGATTGGCAGGGCGTGGAAAATCAAGGTCCCGACAGATGGCTTGATTGCCTTTGCCTCAGTTGTGGTTCGTTCCCTACTTCTGATGCGCAGTTGTCGATCTGATACCCATCGGAAGGCACGGTACATTCTATCGCCTGATACCCAATTGTCGAACGAAAGCAAACCTGGTAACAAGACGAAGATCTCCTACTTCGACGATTTCAATAACTACAAGCACATGCTGATCTTCATGGAGGAGTCGCGAAAACGCAAGCTTGTCGAGTTCTACCTCGAACATACCTTCGATGTAACTCCGGAGCCGCGAGACACAGGGTCCGCTACGACGAACCCGATTGGCACGCGTGAAGCAGCCTTTGCCAGTGCATTGCAAGCGGTCAACGAGGCCAGTTTCATAGCTGATTCAGACGATGATGCTGAAGGCGCAGACGACGAGGACGAGCCTGATGATCACATTCCCTCCTCTAGCGCGCTGTCCCAGCTTACTTCGATCTCGTCGCACGCCAGCTCTCTGTCTAACGCCTTCGATGGCCTGGTGATCGGCGAACAGGCTGCTTTTGTTGAGGCTGCACCGGCTGGATCATCAGGACACGTCGCGCTCGCTGGACCATCCTACGCTGTCGCACCCACTGGGTTCCCATCATACATCACATCGACTGTACCATTGCACGTCGCCGCATCAGCTGGGCCGACACGCGTCGCATCACCTGGTCCACCCGGAGTAGTCGGTGCCATGTCTGGTGTAGCAACACCTCCTGGAGCTGCCCCCATTCCATCGTCCAGTCTGGCACCCGTCGCGTCGCCGACTGCATCTACCCCTGTCGTAACCCCTGGGTTGCCCCCATCACTAGGGCGGGAGCTCCGGGACCGGCGCCGGCCCCTGCGCCCAAAAAGATCCGCGCAAAGAAGAACAAGGGTAAGGAAGTGGATCGTGTCCAGCTTCAGCAGACTACAGATGCCCCTGCGGCTACCAGTACGGTTATGCCCGCTGACTCGGCGGCCGATCATGGTGGTACTGCTCCTCGCACTCTGCGAACGCGAGCCGCGGTTGCGCGGAATCGTTGACGTCTACTTGCGGCAAGGGTGTCCAGTTGTCTTTGATGTAGCTTAATTAGTGCCATTGCTCGCTGACGTCTTGCTGTTCCTCGTCGTGTGCTGTTCCTCATCCGTCGTCGTGCGCTGTACCTGTTAATACTTGATCTGAATAGTATTGTGGTTAGTTGAGGTTTGTAATGGCTGAAGGACAAAGATGTCGTCATATTCTAGGGACGTTTATACCATCCATGCCCAGTTAGCGTAGCAGTATGCACCCCTTTACTATGAAACCAAGGTATGAGTTATCTAAGTCGCGCGTTCGAACCCTTTTCTGACCATCTCATTAATAGACGCCCATACAAATGTCAAGTAACCGTCAGTAAGCGTGTAACACTAAATACTAGTGATGTAATAGTGAGTTCTAGTGATCTGTACTGAGCATAAATACTGATACCGTTAGAACTACAGTAGTAACTTGATAGTAGTAACTGACGGGACAGTCACTGCGCGTAGACCGGGACACCGTGAAATAGTATGAAATTTTGTCATTGCCAGTGAACCCTTACATATAGAATTAAGACCGATACGTATTCATATGACATTCGCGGCATTGCAATGCATAGGATTGGCTTCAATCCAATGTGTCTTATGTTGATTGGTATGCGATTATAATTGATCGTCTCGAATTGGGTTATACGTTGCGCAATTATAATTAACAGTCTGAGATTGGAATGCGCATTGGAATGAGTTCGCCTTCATTAACGCGCATTGGATAGCCATCAGCGTCTACCGCAATTGGAATCCAATACAATGCTATTCAAACCCCGTAAGAAAGTTGCGACAGCATTAAGATATGCCCAGCTCACTTTCGACTACATCACGTGCACAGAAATTGGGCGCTTTACACCGGTTTGGCAGGCAGAAGTACGAGAAATTATGTTACAGATATTCTACGGGACATGGGAGAAAAAGGGAGACTGTCAATTTGTAGTAATGAGGTATCTCTCAAGGTTGACAGTCGATTTTAACTGCCACGATGTCTGGGAATGAGAGTCAGTGACGAAATGTGCTCGAGAAGGTTTGATTACCTAATCACTGGGATATTGGGATATTCCCGATTGAGCGACATGGCTGAGCACCTCCCTAATGTCTCCAAGGAACAAGCGAGCTCGCGTCGGCCTGAAGAATCTCGGTCACTGTGCAGTGAAGAAGGAGGAGAGGGTTGAGGTCTTGGATGTAGAGAAAGAAATTGTGAGTTCATTGTTCATATTGTATCAACTCGACGCTGTATACTCACGAGAATGGGCCCGGGATAGGTACCAGTTACACCCATGGATATAGAGAGCCTGCCAGTGACTCTAGAGGAGATACACAACAGGATGGAACAAACATTTGTGGAGATCACACAGCCTACCTGGTCGTCCCCATCGAGAAATGAACCCTCCAAGTCGATCCTCGTAAATGACTCACCGAGGACTGCATCAGAACGCGGAACTGCCTCGCTGCCTACACCCGAGTTGGACGTGCACATGGCAGATAGCAATGAGCTTATCGAGGGCAATTGCTCCAAGTCGCAGGCCATGCAGTGCGACAGCCCGGCGCCTGTGCAGGACGAGCCACCAGGCGATGTTCCACGCGCTGCGATGAAGCGCGCACTGTTTGAGCCACCGCCATCGATCGAGGAAGCAAAGTTAGCTCACCGGGACCTGAGTGAACTTCTGCGGCCGAGGCGGAAGAATGGGAATGGATACTTGGCTTTTGCTGGTGGTGACAAGCTCCAACGGCGAATGGAGCAGATCAAAATGTTCTTGCATTTCTTTGTGAGTGTCGACGAGTCTGGGCGGCACATTGGCTGGGCGGCTGCCTCGCTCAAAACTGCTCAGGCATGGGAGCAAGGTCCGCACCAGGCGCGGAAGCTTCGAGAATGGACGCGCAACTTCATGGAAGACCATCATTGCTTACCGTTTACGCCCGAGGCAACATGGAAGACGTCTCTTTTGGAGAAGCCTGATCTGAAAGAGGCAATCAGCGAGCACCTCCAAAGCATCGGCAAATATGTACGTGCCATGGACATCGTCGAGTACATGGCAAGGCCAGATGTTCTTGTCACATATGGCCTAACCAAGCCGATAGGCCTCTCGACAGCACAGACGTGGATGCACGCACTCGATTATCGCTGGACGAAGGATCCATCGGGTCAATACATCGACGGGCACGAGCGCGCAGATGTTGTGGAGTACCGAGATAAGGTGTTCCTGCCCGCAATGGCAAGGTTGGACCGATCCACGCGAGACTTCATCGATGGACACACCGTGCAAGGCCCTGTCCTGCCAGATGGGACTTTCCGGCAGGACCCAGGCACATATAATTGCCTTGTTGATGGCGTCCCCCTGGAAGGCTTCGAGTCTCAGCTGCCGGATGAGGCCTTCCGGTGCAGTGGGCCCGAGTTTGACGTCCAACTGTCGGATGGGTCAACTCGCCAGGGTGTTGAGATTGAACTCACAATGCCAGATGGATCGATGCGGCGGGGAATTCGAGTCAATATCCCTGACAGTGGCGCCGAGGCTGCAACTGCAGCCTCGGGCAGTACTGAGTCAACTCCACGGCGGCCGCGGCGGGTGATCTTCTGGTACCACGACGAGTCGACATTTTACGCCAATGATCGCCGCCACACTCGCTGGGTCCTCAAATCCGAGCGGGCAACACCACGTGCAAAAGGTGAAGGTGCATCACTCATGGTTGCCGACTTCGTCTCAGCAGACTATGGGTTCTTGCGCTCGCCCGATGGGAAAGAGTCCGCGCGGGTTCTGTTTCGCGCAGGCAAGAACCGAGATGGATACTTTACCAATCAAGAGATCATTGACCACGCGACACTCGCCATGGATATTCTCTCGCGACACTATCCAGATGACGACCATGTGCTCATCTTTGACAATGCACCCACACACCTGAAGCGTGACGACAATGCACTGTCTGCACGTCGCATGTCTGCAAAGCCCACTGCGCCCGGTAAGCCCCTCTTCGGCGTCGATGTTGACGCAATCGGCGAAGACGGGCGCCCGATCTATAGGCCCGACGGCAAGAAGCAAAAGCAGCGCGTACGAATGGGCGATGCTCGCCTCCCCGACGGCCAGCCGCAGTCATTGTATTTCGATGATAACTCGGAGCGGCCAGGTGTTTTCAAGGGAATGGTGAAGATTCTCGAGGAGCGCGGAATTGATACTTTGGGCAAACGAGCGCAGTGCGCCGACTTCAAGTGTAAGCCACCTGCTCTTGACTGTTGTGTCCGGCGCATACTGTACAATCAGCCGGACTTCCGTGACATCGAGAGTGTGTTAGAGAAGCAGTGTGGGCAACAGGGCTTTCAAGTCTTGTTCCTGCCAAAATTCCATTGCGAGCTCAACCCCATCGAGCAATGCTGGGGCTTCGCCAAGAGGGTATACAGGAAGTGTGCACCGTCAAGCCTAGAAGCCGTTCTCGAAAAGAATATGCTCTCTTCGCTTGACATCATCCCATTGGAGTCAGTTCGAAGGTGAGTCTGCTTTGACTTCGCACGAACTTCGCTTTTTCTGACACATCATGCCTGACTATGCAGGTTCTTTATTCGCTCACAGCGTTTCATGGACGCATACCGTCGCGGGCTGTCTGGCAATCAAGCCGCCTGGGCAAGCAAGAAGTACCATGGGCATCGGGTGCTTCCGAACAGCATCCTCGATGATCTCGAGAAGGCTGGGATCTCACGGATGTAGCTTCAGACTCTCAGTGCCTCGTCCCATACTGTTATTGTGTATATATTAACCTCTCGCACATCTCGCGGTTTCGCAGCCCAACATCGACGACCCCTTATCATACATGTCCTAATCCGTACCCCTAATCCTAACTGCGCGCTACTGACTTATCCCTCGTGGCACGTGATGGTTTTCTGACGCCCATAGTCGTCGAAAGTGAGCTGGGCATATCTTAGCAGTTAGCAAGTTGTGTATGTGTCGCGCGTCTGGTTGGACGACATAGCGTCTGAGAGTGTCGCGCGACGCGTGTTGATATTAATGTGGTGGTATCCACCGAGGGTGTCAAGACAAGTGCAGAAAACGCTTCCAGTCAGCGAGGAGGTACGAACAGGCGCTCGTAAGCATCTCGGAGGAGCGGGCCGACCACCACGGGGCGAAGCTGAGAGTCGGGGCTTGCGAGGACGGAGAACGTTGACGGCGGTGTATGAATGGACGCGACGAGGACATAGCGCGGACTGATCCTTTCCTGTGAACACGGAGATGCTTGATGTTTGAATTGCTGTCCAGGGCCACAGAGCATTACCGTCGTGATATGTAGCGCAGGGTCCCGAGTTGAAGAGGTCGTGCTGAGTTGCTCCGACAGAGCTGGGTGCGTCCGAAACTAAGCATCAACAGAAGACCGCCCAGATGGGAGGGAAGAGACGACCGCGATGTCCGCCAGATCGTCTTGACGTCGACGTACGACAGAGAGGCCAGTTCGATGAACGCGGACAGGATATCTCGGAGTCAGAACGACACAGAGTGGACCGACAGGGTATACGGCGTCCGTAGTCACGCCGGTGGACCCTGTACAGGGTATTCCCTCCAGAAGACGTTCGGAAGGCCGATTGTTGGCTCTTCATAGGCGGGCAACGGGTCTGGAGAGGACTTCTGCGCAAGCAAGTGCGAGCTCGTGAACGTGCTTGGATTGATGCCCGTCGACGTACCGGCCCTTTGTGCAGTCCGTGCGACAGAGCGACGGCGATCGAGGAGAAACGGGGAGTGTCGCCTCGGTGCGCAGACTCTTGTAGCTGGATCCTGATGCTCTGCCGGAGGTTCGCAGTCCTTCGCTGGTACGTGATCTGGCCGTCCTTGTAGCCCGCCCAGGATGCATGGATCCGGAGCCGCTGCCGGTCTTGAAAACTGAAGTCGACGCACAGCACGGAAGACACGGGCATGGCGGCGTACACGTAGCATGTGCCCCGTCATTCGCGGATCCACTGCGGGACGTCCCTCCGCTTTGAAATAGATGGGCGGGGATGCGGTCGCCTGGGGCACAACGTCGATTCTAAGTGAAAGCTCACCGGCGAATGTGAAACACGGTTGCCTGCGCGATTAACTATCAAAGAAGTGCCGTTATACATGGGGACTGGTATGCGCACCGTGCTTCTCGTAGCCTTTAAGCTCCGACAACTACCAGCCTGAGTACCCCTGCTGGCACCACAGCAGGCTCGAGAATGAGCGCGCCGTTGGCTCCCCTCAAGGATCCTAGGCTTCACGATCCGTATGTTCGGCTCGTAGGGCGCAGTTGTCCGATGAGAATCCTACCTAGTATGGCTGCATCTGTGATGCGCAGAGTGTCAACGTGAGCAGAGCACTGACAGGATTGTGACAGAGGGAATTAGCAGAGGGCACCGGAACGAAGTGGAAGAACTGGCGGTCTGTTGGCCAGACGATATCAGTTGAGATGGGCATGCGGCGTCGTTGACGACACTTGAGACAAAGTAACTATGTAGCGCTTTGGCGTCACGTAGTCCAGGATCTTGGAAGGAGAGGTGCGCTGTCCGGTGAGGCGGATCGGAGCCAAGGAGAAACACGCCGGCAGCGAGCTCTGGACTGGAGGTGCGCCGCCTGGGCTTCAATATAACATGAGCGGTCGGATTGGCACGATGCATATTGATCAGGCCAGCGAATGCTGAAGGGGAGACAGCAGGGCGAGTGGGCGACACCGGGGACAGCGGGGAGCAGGCGCAGTCTCAGACCGAGGCTGCAGCAGGCCGCAGACTCAGAGACAGCCGGCGACCGTGAGCGCCTCGAACGAAGTTAGGAGGAGGGCATGGGCCGCTGCAAGACCGCTGTCCTCCTGCGTCGCACACTCAGGCTGGCCGCGATTCAGTGGAACGTCTTTCGAGCAATCGTATCCGGCCAGTGTCTGTGGCGCGTCGACGAATGCTGGCAGCATGACTGCCGGCCTTGGGAGGGGGGCCCCGGTCGCGGCAGTCACCGTGCGGCCCATCAAACTCTCGGTCGACACAGCTCTTCCTAATATACGAGGCCCCCTTGCCACTTGCACCCCACACCCACCACTCCTCCGCCCACGACTGGGCCTCCCCTCATAGCGCATACATCCACGTCGCGTGCTTGTAGGGACGTGCGATGTCCGATCTCCAGCCTACCGTCGGTCGTCTTCTGTTCATGATGATCCCGATTCGACTGACGCGCCGTTCACCTAGCATCTTCCCCCTGCCCCCGAGGACGCCTCACACGCTCAAGCCGTGCGATCGAGCGCCGACGACCACATTGATGTCGGTCAGAGCCTTGCCGATGAACAGATCGACCAGGGACCGAGTGCCGATGAACAGAGCAATGAGGAATCCAGTGCCGTTCATTGGACTTTCCAGGGACTCGACAGACCACGGATCTTCAAACGCTGGCGGGACACCCGTCTTCAAGGCACTCTACCGCTGGCCCTCTCCGCTCGCATCCCGCTCGAGGTCTTTGAGTTCATCGTCGACGAGATGGATCCTCACACGTTGATCGCCGCGGCGCTGGTCTGCGCAGCATGGTACCCTCGAGCGATGCGCAACCTCTACCACACCATCAAGATCGGCAGCCGCACAAGTTACAACCTGCTGTTCAAGCAGTGTCACGCGTCACCACGCGTCAAACAGTGGCTCGCGAGCACATGCGAGCTGACGGTAGACGAGCCGTGGGATCCCTATAGAGACGTGCACATGAACAACCTTAAGGCCCAGGAAAAGGGTGAGGACAAAGACGGGAGCGTGGAATCCCCGCAGCATAGAAACAAGAGCAATAGTTCCAAATCCTTCTTACAAGCACTACCGTCCGCGCTCGCTGGTCTGATGCCTCGTGTACGCATCCTTCACATCTCCAGTGAAGGACTTCGCTTCATCCGCACGGATTTCTTCCTCGCCCTGTCGAGGTTCAAGTCTGTCAAGTCGTTGATGCTTTTCGATTGCCAACTGAGCAACGTGACGCAGCTGCGGCGGATTGTGTCTGCCTTCCCCCAGCTCACAGATCTCACGATGCAATCTGTTTGGTTCGTTAAACATGCTGCCAGTTATGCGGGAGCCTCACTGTTTCGACCACCATCTCACATGCGTCTTCGATGCCTTACCGTCAGCGTGGATGATAAACACATGGTGATGTTCCTTGACTGGATGTCGCGCTCAGACCTCTGCACCTCACTTGCGGATGTGACAGTCCGGGTCGATAATCCCTCCATGGCACTTAGTACACCACCTAACCAACTCCTCGAAACGGCGGGGACATCGTTGACCCGTTTCTACGAGGTGTTCTATGGTGACGGTGAAGCCCGTGAGTTGTCTTGCGTACAGACTTCACAACTGATGCACATGCACAATGTAGGTGCTCACGTAAACCTGTTTCATAACACCGCCTTGCAATCCTTGGACTTCTTTCTGCGTGACATCAAACACACGCCTGAAGACGAGGGGCCTCGCGTGGCGTGGACCAAAGCAACGGACGAGTTACACGGCGTATTCTCCACCGTCCGAAGCCGTCAGCTCGAGCACATCGGGGTTGACGTTGCGCTTGACGTCGACCTCAGCATTCTCGAGTCTGAGGAGCTAGGCGCTGTCCTCGAGAAGCTCGACCTGCGGGACCTGCACGAGGTCATGAGCCAGCCATACTTCGACACATTGAAGGATGTCGAGGTGAAGATGCACCTGTGGACTAAGCCCCATCAGACCCAGTCGGATGCGGACAGCATCGCTCAAAAGCTCCAGCCCATGTTCCGTGGCATGTTGCAGCCATGGTCTGCCCGTGGCATAGTCACAGTCGCCTGGAGGCGCATCTGATATTGTAAATGTGAGTGAGCCCGGTTGCATACACACGTCTGTCTCACTCTTGTCTCCCATTCAGAAACACCCAGAACGTCTCATGCCAAAGACGCGGCACGTCATCCGAATGGTACAGACGTAGGTTACGGCAACGAGGCCTCGTCACCTCGGTACGGAGCGTGGGTCGACGCGAGTGTCGGTCGTCTGGCTCTCTTTTATCTATTGACCGACTCAGTGGAAGCACGGGTTTCTTGGCTTTGGTATGGAATTGACTCGAATTCAGTATGGTAACTGGTCTGCATTGACTTGCGCGTCCTGCGATGACTGAGACGTGCTGCGCTTGGACGATGACTGGATGTACTACTGTACATCGACGATTTGAACTCGAGGGTATCTACATGCGACTGTATCGGACTTCTCTATCGCCACGATCAGACGAATTGTATCTTGTTTCGTATCGTTATGTCCATGTTCAAAACGTATGCGCAGGTCGCCGACAGTAGGGATGTCGAACTGGTCCAAAAATGTACCATATTCGTAACAGTACGCGGACGGCTAGAGGGTTCAGGAGATCCAGCGTGAGCGACGGCGGACGCGTGGACGCAGATCGTCGACATCGTCGTGCGGGTAAGGGTGAATGAGGCCTTGGATCGATACCAGAGGCGTTTTCGTGAGAGCGGCGAGAGACTTGACTAGCAACCAGTTGTCGAAGGTGATGGAGCCAGAGGTTCCAAGGCGAGGGGAACCACGTAGTGGGTTAGTTTTGAATAGGACACTCACATGGTCATGAACCGCCGGGATCCGTTTGGAAGACCCTAGGGAGAAGAAGCGAGACAGTCACTATATCTCTCACGTCACGGCGATCATCTAATCGTCAATGATTTTCAAAGGCACCGCCAGGCCAACGCGACCAGGACGTCTCGAGAGGTAACCAGCTGGGTTCAACAAGCTTGAGTGCGAGGATAGGGTGCTGGAACCCGAGAGCCTGCATCGTCTTGACGCACTGTACCGTTTTGGCTTGCGAAATGCGGGGTCTTCGTGGGCGAGCGAATGCCCCTGCAATGATGAGATCGATAACACGCAAGGACTGAGGCTCCTCAATCGAGTTGCATATGCGAGGAATCTCGTACGCATAAATGAAGCGTTGAGAAGATCGATCCCGTCGGAAAGGTGTCGCGAAGTATCCACCTCTAGCAACGCACATCAAATGATGTTACCAGCGTTCACGCGCGAGATCTAGAGCACAGCCCAAAAGAAGTTGTTGGACGTGTAGACGTATCTGTTGGCATTCGCTCGCTGGACCCGGTAGGCATATTGAGAGTACACGACGTCGTCTGGAGCTCACCGATCTTTGATTAGGACACCCGTGGGAAGAGGAGTACACGCTCGCTGTGTCGTCGCCGACCTTGCTACTGAGACAACACGGTCAGTGGTACATACACTGTCTTGAGACGTGGTGGATAACGTTCGTACCGATACTGGACTGGGTTGGTATAGGAGCCTCGATATTGCAAGAACAGGTCTGCGACGGTCGAAACGGGTATACTAGCATGGCAGCGGGTCAGTAGGTGTGAAGTAGACAAGCCACCCTCACCTGGAGAACAAGAAGAGTACGCTAGGAGTACTACGTGGCTTGCCAGTCGTCAAAGTCATTTTACAGCCGCGAGGCTTAATCTCATCGCCGAGAGTGAAATGTCAGATCGAGAAGTTGGAAGACACGACAAACAAATTCACCTTGCCTTGAGCGAGACCGCGATGCCTTTCACGCCCTAGCAACGTCCACAGAGGTGCAGGCTAGACCTTACGCTATGGAATTGAAACGCCCGAGTGAGAACAGTCGACAACTGGAGCGATACCTCGAGCCGAGTAACGGTCGCGCAAAGTGTACGGCTTGATACGGAAAGACAGAAGAAGCGTGTTCGGAGAAATTGTGAATCAGTACTTCATAGCTTAGAGCGTCGCATGGGATGGGAAAAGTGCTCACCGTGCTCACAATTCCACTGCGATGTCATGTGCCACGGACACTCGTTCGGCACTCTGCAAAGGAGTCTGATGCGCTCCCGGACGATGGGCCATGTCCACTGAGAGCTAGAGCTTATTGACCTGACAGACACTCGTCCCTCTGTTGTTTCCGTCTCGTTCATATGACTCGCCCATGGTACCGCGCCTTCTCGTCACAGAACGCAGACACAATTGTCGAACTTGTGCCCTTCTCCCGTGCAATGATTGTGGTATGTGCACGGCGAAAGCGTGCTCAGCAGAGCAGGTCTCAAAGAGAAATGCCTATGAGCAACCGTCGTTCGGAGGAGGGTGCAGCGGTTGCGGAGGATGCACGCGAGCCGAGTCCCGCGGACGTGCATGCGCATATGCATTAGCAGCTAGCAAGTTGTGTATACATCGCGCGTATGGTTGGACAAGGAGGAGTCTGAGAGCATCGAGCCACGCGTGCTGAGATGGGGCGGTATCCACCCAGATCAAGAACGGTGAGGGGGTGTTCAAGACGGACGAGGTACGGACAGGCGCTTGTAAGCTCGGAGGAGCGGGAGCGGGCCGGCCATGGTGGCGTCGCCGACTGCAGGTTGCTCCTCCGAGTCCTCTTTGACCACCGCGACCGCGGACCTCCGCTTCGATCCTGCTCCCCGCTACTCTCGCTGCTCCCGTTGGCTTCCTTAGGGACTTAAGCACTTACGCTATGACCGCGCGGGTAGCAAGTGTCGCACACACGACGGTGGGGACCCAGGTTCGCGTCACGCACATTTGTTGCAGACCTCTGAGTTCACCGTCGACGGGATGTCAGAACAGACGGCCCCGACCTTGGTCAGTATGGTTGCCACGACATTCATGTTTATGGTGCCCTCACGCCGTGTATGTGCAGATCTCAACACGTCGTGAACCTCGACCGCATCAGCCTCGGCATCGTGTCCGAGCGGCGCCGCACATCTCTGCCCAACAGGCCCGCGCTCGACCGCGCTCCCGGTGATCGCATCGCACCAATCTCGCCGTCAACATTAGCATCTGCGCGCGCTGCTCCTCGCCTTCCCCCACGTGGTGTATAACGCACAAAGCTTGAGCCACACGGAGATCGCCTCCTGTACGTTCCGTTTCCATTCGCCGCGGCCAAATCCTACTGTCATTCAGTTAGTCACGTTGCTGAATTTGATCCAGTGTACGCTGGATGACTTTTCATAACTTCCTCGGATTGTCTGCTCGTCCAGCCATCCCTGATATCTCGCGATTCGCCAGACGATCATCACGCGCCCTTCTAACAGGCCTTCGAACGTCGATCGTAGATCAACGCAAGTACGACTTCAGCCATATGAGGACGACACTCTTGGTCACCATTGGGAGGTTCGTTCTCGCTAGATGTCTTTCACTGCACGATTTAATGGTATGTCTGACGGTTCTCTTGAACAGCACATCCTCGCGGCGCGTCGCGTCGGTCAACGAACCTCTCGACGCAGCAAGGCCTTCCTTGACCCGCCGACACAGCCTGGAATCTGGTGGAAACCATCCATCTATCGCACCACCGGTAGTTCGGACGATGTCACCGGTAAGTACGCGTCGGAGATCATCACGCCAACCTACTACCTAACGCTGCATTCAATGTAGCACTCCGGCATCGCATTCTTCTGTGCCATGAACCACCATGAGTGATCGTCCGAGCGTGTGGAACAGTTCGTAGTATACCCTCCGCTATGCGAACCGCCAGCTCGCGCGCATCGAGATCGGGTGTTGGACCGCACTCTGATTCATCCAGCGCCAACGAGGACTTACATTGAAGCCCCGCGACGCTCCCGGGAGGTTCGGTCGGCGACGCCTAATCTCTGGACGGGCGGGAAGCCGAGGACGATCATCCGAGGGTTCGGTCAGTGCATGCATGCAGGGGCTCCTCACGGCTACTCCCGCTTACGTAGATCTTGCAGCGCGGGCTGGTGTGGCTGGACCTTCGGATTTGGGCGTGCAGGGACGACGATGTTTACGACGCTGTGCGGACGAATGAGATTCGGGTGGAGTTCAACCCTACAGAGGACCAGGGCGCGTAGTACGTACTGCATTCCAGTCAATGTGACGAGATTCCGATGAGCAGGCCGTCGTCGAGGCGTGAAGGATGATGTGCAGCCCGAGGTCGCAGTTCAAGACAGATCGAGCTGAGCACGGAGCCGAAGAAATGCGTCCGGTTGTTGAACACAGAAGGAGGCCTTACATGGACGGAAGATATCCAAGGGGGTGGGCTTCCACAGACGTGAGCGGACATCGCGAGTCGAGTGGCGGTGCTCGATAAGCTTTGTCACGCGAATGAGGTCCCCGTTCCCAGCAGCGAGTTGTGTGGATAGTCGGTAAGTAGTGATCGCCTTGTCTTCGTGCTGTACCTCCGGGCAACGTCCCGGGCGCTGATTGCACTCTTCATAGGTAAGCGGCGCGACCGGAGAGGGCTCCCGTGACCCGTCACGATGACCTAGCGACAACACCTACTCGACGCGGCAGGCTTATGTGCGATACAGCGAGCGTTCGACGAGAGTGGGATGGTACGTCATCAGCACGTAGAACTTCGTCGCAGGTAGTACCGTGGCAGCGCTCTTGGATGTTCGCAGTCCGTTCGCGTGGTACGCACTCGTCATTGCAGTTCTTCCACACTCACCGGACTTAGTGAGCGTTTCACACAGCGCGATCGACCATCCTCGTCCCAATGCGAGAGACGATCGGAGAGCCCCCTCGACCTCAAGCCCGACAGCCGTTCCCACCCGGACGACGTCGCGCACCGCATACCTCGGGACCTCGGAGACCTGACGCTGCAGCGTGATGCCGATGTACGACCCCTGTAAGGACGACGTTGCCAACGGGCTCGATTGTAGCTCCTCGTTGCGGCAGGCCCGCGGGTAGTGTGAAGGGTGGGCGACACCGAGGAAGGCGGGAGACAAGCCCGCCGTTGGCACTCTGCTGTCCAAATCGAACGGGAGGCCGCTGAGGACTGGGAGCGTCTCGAAGAACGCAGTTAGGGTTAGGGCTGAACACATGGCCTCAGCCCCTGCCCTAAGGCTTCTGCATCGCACGGTCAGGCTGGCCGCGACTCGGTGGAACGTCCCACAGTCATATCTGGGCCAGTGTGGCGTTTCCAAGAATTCTGGGGGTCGCGGCAGTCACCGTGCGGCCCATCAAACTCTCGGTCGACACAGCTCTTCCTAATATACATGGCCTCGGTACGTCCTCGAGGCCGCCTTGCCACTTGCACCCCCACCCCCACCACTCCTCCGCATACGACTGGGCCTCCCCTCATAGCGCATACGTCCACGTCGCGTGCTCGCAGGGACGTGCGATTGCCCAGATGTCTGATCTCCAGCCTAGCGTCGGTCGTCTTCTGTCCATGATGATCCAGATTCGACTGACGTGCCGTTCACCTAGCATCTTCCCCCTGCCCCCGAGGACGCCTCACACGCACAATTCGTGCCATCGAGTGCCGACGATCGCATTGATGTCGGTCAGAGCCTTGCCGAGGAACAGATTGACCAGAGACCGAGTGCCGATGAACAGAGCAATGAGGAATTCAGTGCCGATGATTGGATTTTCGACAGAGACATCTACAAATGGATCTCCACTGGCAGACGATGGCGGGACGCCCGTCTTCAAGGCACCCTGCCGCTGGCCCTCTCCGCTCGCATCCCGCTCGAGGTCTTTGAGTTCATCGTCGACGAGATGGATCCTCACACGTTGATCGCCGCGGCGCTGGTCTGCGCAGCATGGTACCCTCGAGTGATGCGCAACCTCTACCACACCATCAAGATCGGCAGCCGCACAAGTTACAACCTGCTGTTCAAGCAGTGTCACGCGTCACCGCTGGCATGCGTCAAGCAGTGGCTCGCGAGCACATGCCAGCTGACGGTAGACGAGCAGTGGGATTACTTTCGCGACGTGCACAAGGACGAGGCCCAGGAAAAGGGTGAGGGCGAAGACGGGAGCATGGGATCCCCGCAGCGTAGAAACAAGAGCAATAATGACAAATCCTTCTTACAAGCACTACCGTCTGCGCTCGGTGGTCGGATGCCTCGTGTACGCGTCCTTCACATCCGCAATGCAAGACTTCGTTTCATCCGCACGGATTTCTTCCTCGCCCTGTCGAGGTTCGAGTCTGTCAAGTCGTTGACGCTTTCCTTTTGTTACCTGAACAACGTGACACAGCTGCGGCGGATTGTGTCTGCCTTCCCCCAGCTCACAGATCTCACGATGCAAGATGTTCAGTTCGCTCAGCGTGCTGCCCGTTACGCGGGAGCCTCACTATTTCGGCCACCATCTCACATGCGTCTTCGATACCTTGACGTCGACGTGGATGATGGAAGCATGGCGATGTTACTTGACTGGATGTCGCGCTCAGACCTCTGCACCTCACTTGCAGACCTGACAATCACCTCCTCCTCCGAGTCCTCCTCCATGGCAATCACACCCCTTAACCAACTCCTCGAAACGGCGGGGGCATCGTTGACACGTTTTTACGAGAGCTTACCTGACGGTGAAGCCCATAAGTTGTCTTGCGTACAGACTTCACTACTGATGCACATGCACAATGTAGGGTCTCACACAAATCTCTTGCAAAACACCGCCTTGCAATCCTTGCACTTCTCGCTGCGTAGCATCGGCCACATGCCCGAACACGAGGGGCCTCAGCGCGCGGCGTGGACCAGCGCAGCGGACGAGTTACACGGCATCTTCTCCACCGTCCGAAGCCGTCAGCTCGAGCACATCGGGGTTGACGTTACGGTTTACGTCCACCACAGCATTCTCGAGTCTGAGGAGCCAAGCGCTGTCCTCGAGAAGCTCGACCTGCGGGACCTGCACGAGGTCATGAGCCAGCCATACTTCGACACATTGAAGGATGTCGAGGCGACGGTGACGCTGATGCCTCTGCCAACTGGTCAGACCAAGTCGGATGTGGACAGAATCGCTCAGAAGCTCGCGGCCATGTTACATGGCATATTGCAGCCATGGTCTGCTCGTGGCATAGTCACCGTCACCCGGTTCTGAATTCGCGTATCAATACTGCAAATGTGAGTGACCCCGCTTGCACACACACGTCCGTCTTACTCTTGCCTCCCGTTCAGCCATTCGGCATCACTCAGGAGTCCTCGCGCTGAAGCCGTCGCCCGTCATCCGATCGGTACAGACGAAGGTGGCGGCAACGATACCTCGTCACCGCCCGTACGGAGCGCGGGTCGATGCGAGGGGATCGGCCGTTCAAACGTTCGCAAGCGGTCGTCTGGCTCCCTTTTATCTATCCCCCGATTCAGTGGAAGGACGTTTGTCTTGGCTTCGGTATGGGATTCACTCGGATTCGGTATGGGCACTGTCTGGACTGACTTATGCTTGCTACAACGACTGAAATGTGGTGCGCTTGGACGATGACCGAATGTACGATACATCGATGTTTTGGGCTCGAGGGTGTTGGTGTGTGATTGGATCATGCTTCTCCGTCGCTACGATCCAACAAATTGTGTTTCGATTCCCTATTATCGTGTTCGTGTCCATAACGTACACGTAGGTCAGTAAGAGTTGTCGGTCAGCAATCAACACCGCAGCGCGTGAGCACTCCCCAGGGCGAGGGGCCAGTCACGTACGCAAGGGACCTCCTGCGGGGCCGTATGCATGATCGAGACAGTCAAGCGATGATGATCCACTCATCCCGAGCGCACCAAATGACACGACCGATGTTCGTACGTATGGCCCGAGGAGTTGTTTTCGAGAGAAGCCGGGAGCAGGTTACAGACGTACCCGCCACAAGGTCAGCCGATTGTTGCGACGTGAGCATAGCAGACGTGCATGCTATGATGCCGTGCGGAGAGGTCTACAAAGATTGGTCGGCGTGGTGAGGTCCACTGAGCGCGAGACACATGATCCAACTATTTACGCACCTAGCAAACACGAGGGACGTCAAGAACTCTCACCTGGCAGGAGAACACAGGGTGAGCCTGTGTGACGTGAAACCGCTGTGCGTGAGAGGATGTGATCCTCACTAGCATCCGCGCGCAGGTGGCCCCGCTGGCGGATTCTGATGGGACGTTTAACAATACAGCGGAGACTGGAAAGGATGAGACAAGTACCTCTAGTCGACAAGGAGCGCATCGCCTTTCCTGAGTATCCTGGGTGCGTCAGACCCGTGTGAATGTCTTGTCCGTGGCAGCTACGAAGTCGGCTACACCTCTGAGTGTCTGCTCAGCGTCGCTGCCAATCAAATTGCGGAACAGTACGTCAATGGCTGGCAGCAATGAACTGAACCTTGCGTGCGCGAACGGCACGATCGAGCGACAGGACGAATGCCCTAAAGGTTGAATCTCACCTGAACTAGAGCGACCGTGGCGCATACAGTCGCAGAGCCCACTCTCGTAGCAGAGGCAGGCAACTCCCCGTCACACTCTCGGTCATGTTTGCGAGACGATAGGTGTACAGGCTCGGGTCTGGACATGTACCAATCAGCAGTGATACATACGGTTTGATTGCAGTGATGGCTCACCTACAGTATCGTCATTGCCTCTTCCGTTGTTCCTCTCTCTTCGTTCTATCGATTTCATTTTGCAGCATTGCCAACCAGCGTGGCACGTAGAGAAGAGTCGAGCGCCGCGTTGGGCCCTTGGAAGTTGGAACACGAAGCCAGACCCCGCGACACGCGTACGGGCTGTTCAGCATCGCAGAAGGGACACAAAACTGTCAAATCTGAAATGGGGTAAACCTTCGTATGGATGGGATGAGGCTGGCTAGTAGTACGGGTGGTTAGCTGTGGTTAGATGCGCGAGGAGCCTACCAATTGCAGAGTCGCACACCTTGTCATGGGTAGCGTCTAGCTGTGAGTATCGCTTGAACAGGCTGACTTGCACGTTGACCCACACACTGGCTACAGGTACTAGCAGCAAAGCGAGTGCAGATGGTCATTGCGGCAGGCTGGCATCGACGCATCAACTCGACTGCAAGTCCGAGTAAAGACTTGTCAAAGACGATGCCAGTGCTTTACCGTTACCCGCTAGTCCGTGGATGAAGATCCCGCGCCACACGCCTCAGCCACCTCGCGTCTCGCGGCCGTCGCCTTCATGCAATGCCCAATACCTCGCTCGAAACTCATCGTATGGCCTCGGCGACCTCATTTTCGGAATCTACGCGTCAAACGCTACTCAGGCATGTTGTCAGAAAGGCCAAATCGAGAGGCAGCTGCGCGCAAGACCCCACAAGAGTCCGGACGAGTCGGCGAACACCCGCACGCAGCGTAAACGGCGCGTGCGTGTCACATATCGCATGTCGGGAGGCTGGAGGGTGCTATGAGTGGTTGATTGAGCCAGGGTTGAAGCTGTTTGTATAGTGAGTCTTCAATGCTAGTGTTGTTGTTCTTTCGTCCCTCTGTACTCACGCGAGCAGTCCCGGGCTTATGGGATACTGGTTCGCCACATTACAAGTTACGTCGCACCGTGACACTAAGTATATTCAATCTTCATATATGTACAGTCATCTACCCCCTGGTGAGTCGCTACCCCCCCAGTGGGTCGACTGCCTATCGCGGGTGACAAGGATAAATCGGGAATGTAGACGCCCGGGGATCGCTTCTTATCTCTCAAGCCCGACGCGATGTTCGCGGCTTACCGTTTGGGGACTATTGAATGTAAACAGACCCGTCTTAATGCATGCATAGTCCGAATAAATGTCTAGACTGGTACTTCGAATACATGAGCAGCCTTTTGAGACTACAACAGTACAACAAAACCAGAGGTGTCGGACTAGGACTGATTTAATCCTTATATGTATATATTGTACCCTACAGCATGCTCATGTACAGTACATTCGTTGTGGTAAATGTACACTAATTGCTCGTTGCCCTGCAAGCCATGCAGATTCTAAGCCCACTCGGAGGTGACACTCCCGGTAGACTCAGTGCGCGCGACGCGTCCCTCGTTATCTCGGAGTAGATAAGATGTGGATTACCAAATCGGGCTCTTATCACCCGCGATAGGCAGTCGACCCACTGGGGGGGTAGCGACTCACCAGGGGGTAGATGACTGTATCACTGTCAATATAATATTACTGCTTGTAGGAAGTCCAGCCGAGCCGATACAGTGGTCTTCATGACTGTTGGGTATAATCTCACACCTAACAATCAAATGGTATTCTACGCTGTATGTAATAGTTCATGAGTGCATCAAGGGTCTACCATTGCATCAGTACCAAGGCCTGGAGCCAAGATTCACGACCATTGACAATTGCACACGGTACAGTATGTGCACCCGAGTGATGAACTCACTTGAACGGTCTTGACTCCTGAGCTCGAGTTCTCCGTGTCCGGGACATACTATATGTCGGAATGTTAGATCCGTATAGATAGAGTTGTACTCACAAAACTCACCTTAGACTCGAGGCCGATATGCGGTCCTCGTTGTATGCTTGGGCTGTCGCTTATTGCCAGCTGAACATCGCCCGCCTTGGGCCGTAGCCTCAAGACTACCGTGTGCGACGTGCGCTATCCGACACCGTCATATTTGATCAGTACCAATGTACATGTATAAGTAGACAGACAGAAATACGAACCTCGTAGTTTTTCCCCCGAGCTCTCCGGTCTGCGCCCCGACCCTCAAGCACCTGCGCGTCGAGTCAATACTCGCCGCTGTTCCATCGCATCGTATACGCGATACTATAGTTCAGTCACCCTACAGCCTACCCTGTTCTCCTGGCCCACGATGTAAGTATATACTATGGCACTCACGCGCCGTTTACGCTGCGTGCGGGTGTTCGCCGACTCGTCCGGACTCTTGTGGGGTCTTGCGCGCAGCTGCCTCTCGATTTGGCCTTTCTGACAACATGCCTGAGTAGCGTTTGACGCGTAGATTCCGAAAATGAGGTCGCCGAGGCCATACGATGAGTTTCGAGCGAGGTATTGGGCATTGCATGAAGGCGACGGCCGCGAGACGCGAGGTGGCTGAGGCGTGTGGCGCGGGATCTTCATCCACGGACTAGCGGGTAACGGTAGTGCTTGGTCGGAGCAGCGGAGGCGCCGACCGGACGAATCTCGGCCTATTATTCCACCGTCGCGCGACGGCTTTCAAGTCCTCAATGCTCTCGACGTCCACCGTGCACGTTCATATTCTACGCACTGGCAGTACTTACTTGGTCACACTCTTGTCAACACGACTCGCGCTCCAACTGGATCACTCCTCTGAGCTCTCTTCGCCACGGACCACGGTCTCTCTGTCGAACGTTTCCTGTTGTCTTGAATTGCTCGGGAGGTCCGTCGTTGAGCTAGGGCGACTGGCTGCTCAGCATGGTCTACCACCTGAGGCCTGAGGCCCAGTGCGCAAGAACTGTGCTGCATCTGGCGGTACCATGAGCGGAGCGCGGCGATGCAGGGTGCTTGGGTGTACGTGATGTGATGAAGTAGAGTCCCTTGCAGTCGTTCGTGGGGTGAGTCCGTCTCGGTCCTAATGTATGCTGCGTTATCCGACGTATACGATGCAGGATATGCGATCAGCCATACTTTGCCATGACGAAGCATGTCGCAGTGGAGATGGAGCTCAACGTTCTACGGGGTTGGAGCAAGGCAGACATAGACGGCATTGGTCGGACGGTCGTTACCGTGTTTCGACGCTTGCTCCGGCTATGGTCTGACCGCGGTACAGTCGATATTACCTGGGCGTGTAACAATCACTCTGTTGTTCTCGAGCGACTATAAATGACATGCAGGCGAGTGCACTCTGCTTCGACGCAAGCTTGAGCCCTTGCTCATTCCCGTGCTGAACTGATCGAGCAGAACACTTCCTGATGAAGACACACCCGTAGATTGCTCCCGTAGTTCTGCGAGTCTCATCTAGTTTCTCTGGCACAAGCACTTCAGCTTCAGCGTCATTTCGTGGTCAAGGATCTGGACAAGCGCGACATAGAGAAATTCTGGACTGCGTGGCTGCGTGACTAGCAGTCCCTAAAGATGTTCAGGATCTTGGTAGTCCATCGTCACGCCAACTCAGATGCAGATATCGCGCTGTATGGCGAGCCTCGGTTTCATACCAGAGCATTCGTATAGTGCAGTTTGTGAGTCATACTAGGTGCTGTAGTTCGCCCCGTCGCTTCCCTACTTTGCTGATTCTATGTTGCACACTTGTGTTGCTCGTATCGCACGTGAAGCTTGAAGCGTGAAGGACCACCCCGAACGTCAGCTGTAGTTCAACGTACAACCCCAACAGTACGAGGATGGTATGCAGAGACATATCGAAGAGTTGGACGAATCACCGTGAGTAAATTCGTGCTCGCTAGGATCTACTATGTCCTCCGTATCTGATGAGCTCTTGAATCCCCGCGACGCGTTAGGTCAGGCAGCGGACGTCTCGATGCAACCAGGCCGAGCCTGCTTTGTTATTCGAAATCTGCCCCGGGCCAGTACGTGTTATTGGATCATCATGCCAACGACTGCTTCGCAACGCTTCCGTATCACACTCCTCACTACCCTGAACCACAGATAACTATTGTCCGGACGCGTTCTCAGGCTATGCAGTACCTCGCCGCAGTTCGAGGACCCCAGGACCCGGTCGAGCAGGAGGACTGACGCCAAAGATACTCCTACAATGCGGGAGATACTTAATCAGCAGGCCGTTGTCTTGGTGTGGTGCGTAGCCTGCTCTTGAGATGTCAAGCTGAACTTCCCCGACAGGGCGCCATTGGGGCCCTAAATCGCCTGGCGGTGCTTCGTACGTACGGCTTCCGCAAACGCGAACGGGATTTCTCTAAAAAGCAAGAAGCTGTACCTGGCGAGGATGACTGTACGGACGAGGTCCGTAAGCTCGAACGCGAGTTGTGTGGCCCGTAGGCAAGATTCGTTTTCGGGCTATTTTTCTGTCGGGGACGCTCACCCTTTAGGTTGGCTCTTAATCGGTGAAAAGCATGTCCAGGAAAAGCTCCTGGCTGGCCGAGCTGGTGGTGATGCTTGTATTCACCTTCCCCGACGCAGCAGGCCTACGCGCGATCCAGCGAACGTTCCATACACGAAATTAGTATGGTCGAACACTAGCACATCTGTCCCCAGGTGGCCACTCCGCAGGTTCTTCATGGCCCGTGCGCGCGGTACGGACCCTATCTGGGTTGGCAGCCTCCCCGGGACGTGTTCCGACCTACGATGTCTTGTCTCGATCCGCGCGGAAACAGGACATATATGTGCCCAGCGCCCTCAATGCGTAATCAATCACTGCTTCTGGTAAATTATGAGTCTCCGCTTCACACCCGTCCATGACTGACCGTTTTTGTTGAGGAACTACTCCGACTGTGTGGGCTGGAGCATGCTGGTGAACGCGGTGTGTAACTAGTGCGTCCGTGCGCCACTACGGTGTAATTCTACATGCAAATGCACATGCTCATATGTGAACGACTGCAGAGGGCCATGCCTCGCCATTTGTGGCTTAATATGGACACCCGGGCCCACACGCACGGCCAATAGTCTTGCACATATAAAGACCACTTTTCGCGGTGCGTATTCCCTCGGCGGTCTTAAAATGACTTGGAGGGGCATACACTCAGAATTGGGATGTGATTGCCTCGTTGCCGTCGTTCCATATTCACGGAGCGCTCTTGGGTCTGCCCCCCTTCCCCGTTGTCCCTTTCCTTGCCGATATGCCTTGAAAGTACCGCTCTCATCGATGCCCAGCGGTCGCGCATTTGATGTGCCACCAGGACTTTCTCTCGCCTCGAGAGACGCGGTTAGGGTTAGGAGCGCTGACTCCTGCTTCAGCTTGCTTTGTCAAGCTAGTCAATTCTATGCAAGGAAGTTGCACAAATCGCCATGTCCGCTCTGTTACTGCGCCTCCATTCACGACTGCGTTGCCACTCACAACGCGCGCGCGGCGACTGTACGGAATACCCTTTCTCTTCCTCCTCGACCTTGCGTGAACGTCGCCCAGAATGCGGACTAGAGTTGGTTCCTCTCCTGTTCGTGCGAGAACCTAGCTGATGTATACGCGCAGTCCCCCTCCACCGAAAGTGTGCCACTGGAAAGCGCACTTGAAGTCACGCAACGGAGTGCCAATGGGCATCTTTGCAGTGGTCAGAACAGTACCGATGATGACACAGACAGTGAAGAGGAATCGAGTGCCGATGATAGGTACTGGCCATGGAGCCCCTGGGACGACGCCCGCTTTCAAGGCACTCTGCCACTCATCCTCTCCGCTCGCATCCCGCTCGAGGTTTTTGGACTCATCATCAATGAGACGGACCAACCCACTTCGGCAGCCGCGGCGTTGGTCTGCACGGCTTGGTACTCTCGAGCGATGCGCGTCCTCTACCATGAAATCCAGATCAACGACCGTACGAGCTTTGACATGCTGTCCAAGCAGTGTCGCGCGTCTCCGCGCGTGAAGAGGTGGCTCGCTACCACGCACGAGCTAGTGGCCAAAGACAATGAATGCGTGTTCAGAACAATTGCGAGAGGCCCTCCATTCCTTCAGGTGCTACCCATTGCACTCGTTCATGCAATGCCTGGCGTACGCACCCTTGACATCGCAGGAGGAGATCTTCGTTTCGTCCGACCGGCTTTCTTGGTTGGCCTGTCGCACTTCAAGGCTGTCACGTCGTTGTTCCTGCGCGAGTGCAATTTGAACAACATTGAACAGCTGCGGCGCATCGTCTTTGCCTTCCCTAAGCTGACGGACCTCAGTATAACCCATATCAGTCTCACTCAACAACTCAGAGGTCCTGCCTGCAACATGGGAGCCACACTGGTTCAGTCCCCACGTCTTCGACGCCTTCGAATCGATCTCACCACCGAATCAATGGCAACGTTCGTTGACTGCATGACACGCTCAGGCTGTTTGACCTCCCTCGAAGAGCTAACACCTTTGATGGACAGTAGATACGAATACTTTGCACATGCCATGAGCAAAGCCCTCGAAGCCGCAGGGGCATCCCTAACTCTGTATCACGAACAGTGGGCAGGGAACGAATGCGAAACTGACGGTAAGAGTACTTGTCAACTCCCACCAGACCTCGCCGCTGATGCACATGCACAACGTACTATGTATGTAGGTGATGATCACGGCATTCTATCGCAAAACACCGCCCTGCGATCCTTAGAATTCACGATGAACGATATCAACCCAGACATCGGAGATCGGGCACTTCTCTGGTGGGTCAATTGGGTGGACGAGTTATACGGTGTCCTCTCCAACATCCGGAGTCCTGATCTCGAGCGCATCAAAATCCAATCCAATCTTGGTTACAACACAAGCGACCACGATTACAAAGAACTGGACATTGTCCTCAAGAAGGTCGATTTCGTGGCCTTGCACGAGGTCATGGGCCGGTCATATTTCGACGTTCTGGAGGATGTTGAGGTAGAGATGGGCCTAATCGGAGTAATGGATGACAGCATAGTTGACGACGTCGGTCGGAAACTCAGACGCGTGTACCGTGGTTTGCTGCGGCCATGGTCTGACCGCGGTATAGTCAGCGTCACCCGATGGATATAACACTGAGATTAGCTCTGCGCATTGTAGACGTGAGTGAGCTCGTTTGTATACACACACATATATCTCACCCCTGCCCCCGCCATTCCGATAGGCTGACTGCTCTACGGCAGGTCACCCGATCGGCACAGCGGCAATACAGAGACATCGTCCCCAGCAGCATCCTCGGCGCGCGGGTCGATAGGAGCGACTGGCTCGCTCACAAGAGACTGCCAAGGCTGGATGGATACTCAATGCGCTGGACGCGAGACCTGCCAGCGGTGCTGATAGCTCCGGCGAGTACGGTTGTATTATCACTTCCCTCTTTGACTACTTAAGCCCATCGCTATAATTCAACGAGACGCACATAAATGTAATCAATGCGCGGGCTTCACGTCAACGAAAGGCATAGACCAGATTGTGTGCAGTATCACAAGAGTATGCGTTTGGATGCCCCGCACGAGCAGATATGCGAGTCAATCAAGTCACTCAGCAGCGACCGATCAGCGCAAGAGCCCTCCGTGACGAGTGGCGTTGAGAGGAATGGACCCCGTCGGAAAGGCGAATCGGAGGAGACGAAGGTTCGGAGGAGCCACTTTATGCAGCGTACACCAGGTGACGAAGCCAGCATTCGCGCGCATGGGATCCAGAGAAGAGGTTGAGAGAAGCCGCGGAAGATGTAGACGCACCTAGTATTCGCTGAATCTGGCTCGGAGGCATCTCGTACGCATACGACGGATGCAATGAACCTATAGGTTACGCAGCGGCGCACTCGTTCTCATTGCCACATGTATCGGTTGGCGGGCTCTGCGTCGGTGGTGATGAGCTGAAAGACCAAGTTTCTCGAAAAACAGGAATACTCGCCAAGTTGCCTTGGGCGAACTTGTCGTGACGCCAGTCGTGCCCCAGGACAGTCCACGGACGCGCAGGTGACGAACATTTATGTTCAAGCTGAAGAGAAGAGCCCGCTTGCGTACCTGACAGCCATTGTCTTGTCCAACCTTCTCGTCTCTTCTCTCTCGAGGCTTCTTGAGTTGTCATCAAGCTGGACCTGTACGGAGAACTGCTCGGTCATGGTGCCGCGTCTTCTCGTCGCAGAACGCGGATAGGGCTGTCAAGTGTGTATCCCTCGCTCAAAGCAAGTTCGTGGAAGACGTGGAGCAGGAGTGTGCTCACTGGAATAGTAGTCGAAGAGCCCTCATAGTTCCCGTTGTGCGACGGAGGGTGAAAGGGTTCCGGAGAAGGAGCGCGAGCTGAGTCCTAGGCCGCGCATCCAGGCAAGATTTAGCGGAACGTTATCATATCCGATCGCTGTAGGTATAGAGGGCTAGGTATCAGAGGGTGCGTGGAGGAGATTTGAAGAGTACTTGGAAAATACTTGGCTCGAAGAGGCCTGAAGAGGCCTGAAGAGGCTTGAAGAGGCTTGTAGAAGCATGAAAAGACTTGCAGAGACTTGAGGCCTTGAGGAGGGCGTGAAAAGTGCTCAAGCCTCAAAAGACGTGCAAGAGATGAAGCGACTCAGCAAGCGCGGTGAAGAGGCGCTCGACCGCTCCGAGTCCACTGTTGTTCTCAGTTCTGGACGTCGACCAACGCGACCCCGCCGACCCTCTCTCCGACCCAACTTTTCGCTGTTCTTGCGGATCCCGTTGGCCTAGCGACTCGCAGCACCTGTACCATGTCCACGTAGGTTGCAAGTGCCGCCGGGACCCAGGTTCGCATCCGTAGTACATCTGTACATTGTAGTCCGTCGCGCGGGCCTCGACTGACGCGTTCGTTCTTAGCGTGAATTGGCCGTTCAACCTTGTAACGCGACCATATAAAATGCAGGTATCCTTCTATGATATGAAGTGTCTACCGCGAAATGCATCATCGGACATACGGGTTCATCGTCTACAGAACGAACAGGCGGCCCCGACAATGGTCGGTACGGCTGCCACGGCATCAATCTGCTTGGTGCTCTCCATGTACGTACGGCTCTCAACGCGGGCTCTCGACTGCGCGGCGTCGGCTTCAGCCTGCGCGTCCCGTCCAAGCCGTGCTGCACCAATGGCATGTTCGACCATTGGTTCGACCCATCCTTCTGCATGAGCGATGGCCAGCTGGGTCATCCCGAGGTCCAACTGTGCTCTCCTCGCTGAGGCGCTGATGATCTACCGAACCCTAGTATCTTGCCGGCCGTCGACGCTCTCCAATGCTGTGGGGAGGGTTAATACTTGCGCCACCCGAGGCCACTCCAATACCTGTGTGTGCGCTCACAGCTGCGCCCTCTCTTTAGTGCATACATCCAGGTCGTGTACGCGTAGGTTGTGAGTGCTTCGATGTCCAAGCCCAAACCTAGCGTCGGTGATCTTGCTTTTGTCGATGCTCTCGACTGATATGTTCACTTAGCATTTCCCCCCTCTCACCGGCACCGTCTCACACGGACAGGTCTCGCCATGGAATATCGACGGGACTCTTGACGTCGATCAGAGCAGTGTCGATGAAGAGAACGACGAGGTATCGTGTGCCGACAGACCGAGTGCCGACGGACAAAATGCCGATGAACAGAGCAACGAGGAATTACGCGCCGATGAATGGACCTACGACGCGAGGATGACTCCAGCACCGCAAGACAGGTCTTCAGAGACTGGTGCGACGCCCGTTTTCAAGGCAACCTGCCGCTGGCCCTCTCCGCTCGCATCCCGCTCGAGGTCTTCGAGTTCCTCATCGACGAGATGGATCCTCCCACATTGGCCGCCGCAGCGCTGGTCTGTGCACCATGGTACCCTCGAGCGATGCACAACCTCTACCACGGCGTCGATATTCGCCGCGGCGCGCGCTTCAACATGTTGTTCAAGCAGTACCACACATCTCCCCGTGTGAAGCAGCGGCTCGCAAACACATGTAAGCTGATAGTAGATGAGGTGAGTGCTCACTCCGACGTGCGTATGCGGACGGCCCTGAGTACCAGGAAAAGGATGCCCTTCGTTTCATCCGCACGGATCTCGTCCTCGCCCTATCGAGGTTCAAGTCTGTCAACTCGTTGACGCTTGACCAATGTCGGTTGAACAAGATCACGCAGCTGCGGCGGATCGTGTCTGCCTTCCCCCAGCTTACCGATTTCACCATGCATAGTATCCAGTTCGCTGAGCAAGGTGCTGCTAGTTACACGGGAGCCTCGTTATTTCAGCCATCATCTCACGCGCGTCTTCGATACCTCGACGTCAGCGTGTACGAAGAACGCATGCCGATGTTCATTAACTGGATGACATGTTCAAGTCTCTGCACCTCGCTTACGGATCTGACAGTCCGGTTTGACGATCCCTCGATGGTACAGACCCCTCTTCAAAAACTCCTCGAAACGGTGGGAGCATCGTTGACCTATTACCGCGAGGACTACGATATCAATGGCCGTAGGAGTCCCTTCATGCTACTTATAGACTTCGCCGCTGATGCGCACACACAATGTAGGTGGCCACGTCAATCTGTCGCAGAACACCGCCTTGCGATTCTTAGACTTCGGGTCGCATCGCGTCAAACACGAGGGCGAAGATCAGGGGCAGGGCGCGTGGACCAAAACAACGGACGAATTACACGGCATCTTCTCCACCATCCGCAGCCATCCACTCGAGCACATCGAGTTCCGCGTTCACGTTAGCTTTGATAACAGCATTCTCGAGCCTGAGCAGCCCGGCGTTGTCCTCGAGAAGCTTGACCGGCGGGACCTGCATAGGGTCATGGGCCAGCCATACTTCGACGCCCTGAAGATAGTCGAGGTGAAGATGTACCTGGTGCCTCAGACATACTGGGCCAGTACCCCGAGAGCTTGCGACATCGTCGATCAGAAGCTCGTGACCATGTTCGGTGGCATTTTGCAGCCATGGTCTGCCCGTGGTATAGTCAACGTTACCTAGCTTACTAGTATGATCCTTTGATATTGTAACCGTGAGTGGAGCCCGTTTGCGCGCACACACTTCCGTCTAACTCCCGTTCAGCCATTCAGCAGAACCCAGGAACCCTCACGCTAAGACGTGGCGGGTCATCCGAACGGTACAGACGAAGGTGGCGGCAACGATGCATCGTCACCGCTTGTATGGAGCGCGGCGGGGGGATCAGTCGTTCACAAGCTGTCGTTCGGCTCCATATTATTTATCGGCTGACTCAATAGGAGTACGATTGGCTTGGGTCTGGTATGAAGGTGACCCGGATTCGGTATGGTTACCATCTCTATTGATTCATGCTTGCTACGATGTCTGAATGTACTATAAATCGACAATCCAGGCTCGAGGGTGTCGGTATTTGATTGTATTGGACATGCTGAAACTCGAGACATAAGAGCAGGTCAATATCAAGTTCAAGTACAATGAGTACGTATCTGACCGTCAGATAGCGGTGCCATAGAAGGGGCTCCAACCGGGGTGGCACGAGGAAGCGGGAGAAATTTGCCTCGCACTGCCGCAAAAGAAGAGAAATCGCATGTCGACGGGAGACGTACTGTAGGAGCGAAGGCCAACCGCGGACCGACGTTCCTTGGCGTCCATGGCCTACGACAAATACATCGCGTGCCAGACTTGAGTCACTTGAGGTAATCGCACAGCACGCGCTCCGTACCTACTAAGGTCGGGCGGCATCAGTATCGTCGTGAGGGTATCAGTCGGCGCCGTTTGCTCCCGACAACTGAAGCAAGTATGTCCCGGCACCATCACTCGCAGATGCTTGATATGGTTCCATGCGGCACGAATCACCCAGAGAGGCGACCAGAGGACGACTGCACAGTCGCATCCGAATTGCAAATTCAAGTTGGTAGGGCTTGTCAAAGAGCGTTAACGTCCTGACCAATGAATGGTTCGAGCGTATAAGTAGTACTTACCAGCATCGTGAAGGGCACGAACTTCTACGCATCTTTGACAGTACCTGCCAGTGCGCTACTGGTACGTAGCGCTCGCATACATTGTCCGCTTCATCAGTACATATCCGAAAACGCGGGATTGAAGGCATGCAGCACATCTTTCAAGGGGCGCGATGAAACGACTTAGTCTGATCGGCAAGGGCAGTATCCTTTGTTTCTTTGTCTGGTGCAGGGCGAAGCCCTGTGTCGGACTGTACAAACGGGGGAATCTAACGTGAAACAGGCGAGGGCGGCAGTCATGGGGAGGACACCGGGAAGACAGTATCGATATCTTCATATAGGTATCAGCACCAGCTGGCAATGAGGGATTGTATCCGTCCAACCTTCTCCAATATGGACGCAACTTCAGCTTCTAGTTTTTCGATTGCCTACACCGCAGATCATGGCTGGACACCGAGGTACACATCCGTGGATGACCTACGGCTCCAGGAACGCGGGATCAAGCACGTGCGCGTGCAATTCGTCGATTACTCGAACACGGTGCGCTTCTGGGTGCTGCCCGTCTCGTACTTCAAGCGCGTATGCAAGCTCGCGCGTCCGAGCATGACTCTGTCGCCCGTCGCTCTCGCCTTCGTCGGCGTCCGGTTCGCCAGCGGCTTCAGCCGCATGGGCGAGTGCCTGTTTGCGATAGACCTGAACAGCTTCCGCGTATGCACGTACGCACCCGGACACGCCGTCGTCTCGACGTGGTTACAGGAGAAGGTGCCCTCACCGACCGGTGCGCTCGCGATCCCGCTGTGTCCGAGGACGATGCTGCAGAAGGTCGTCGACGAGGCCAAGGAGAAGGCTGGCCTGACGTTCCTGGTCGGCTTCGAGTCCGAGTTCGTTTTGCTGAAGAACGCATCGTCACCGCCCGAGCTGGTGAACAACGCAGGATGGAGTTGTTCCGCGGGGCTTCGCACGGGTGCAGTCGAGAGCTCTGTGCTCGACGAGATCGTCGAGTGCGTCGAGGAAGCCGGCATCGAAGTACATTACATAGTCGGAGAGGCTGCCCCTGGACAGGTATTCGTAACCGATTCTCTCAATATATATAATTGGCTCACCAGTCATCCTTGTCTCCAGTATGAACTAGTGACGGGTCCGATGTCCCCTCTTGACGCAGCCGACGCTTTGGTGTTCACCCGAGAGACCATCTACAACATCGCGCATAAGCACGGGCTCCGTGCGACCTTTGCTCCGCGCCTGCTGGCTGATAGCAGTGAGTACCCAATAAACCGAGCAATGAACTACGAGGTGGACCAGTCATGCTCACTAGCGTTTCCATAGTCGGCAGTGGCGCGCATATGCATTTGTCGCTGCACTCGACCGTCCCATTTACAGGCCCGGACACCCGATCAGACGCCGCGTTAGCACCCGAGCTCACACCCACCCAGCGCTCCTTCCTCCAGACACTCGTCGAGCACATCGCTTCCCTGAGCGAGCGCGATCACACTGCCAACCAACGCCTCCTACAAGCGCGTCGAAGACGGCATCTTCTCGGGCGGCACGTACGCATGCTGGGGGTGGCACAACAAAGACGCTCCTGTGAGAATCTGTGGGGACGGGCGGGCGAACCACTTCGAGGTGAAGACGATAGACGGCACGTCGAACCCGTATCTTGTCTCGGCCGGCATCTTGGCGGCTGGATTGGAGGGCGTGTTGAACGGGGCGGAGCTGAAGACGGGGAATTGCGCTAAGCCCGCGGCGCGGATGAGCGAAGAAGAGAGGAAGGCGGTGGGGTTGGAGAATCCCCGTCGCTTTCCCCGGACAGTCAGCGACGCTCGGCGGATGCTGGACGAGGATCAGTATCTGAAAGAGGCCCTAGGCGCCGAGTTCGTGGGCATATATCTGGGAGTGAGCAAGGTGAGTCAAGTTCCTCGACAGCGGAACAATGTACTCACGAGTGCCTTCCATGACGCAGTTGTTAGAAGAACATATGACACTGCCTACCGAGGAAGCGACAGTTACCCGTCTTGTCGAGACCTTCTAGAGCACGTCGCATTCTTTGGTCCAGATTAACAGAGAGGGACACCAGTTCAGGAAAATATGCATAAGGCTTATCATTGCGCTACGTCGATTGCTGCGATAGTTTGGGATATCACGCTGAGACGACGACGACCCGTTGGCACACAGGCACAGTTGATGGCGCTGTCCACGGAAGAAGCCAGTGCTGAACACTTGACAGAAGTCTCCTAGTCGACACGAGTATCACAGCTCGTTCCTCGTAAGTGAGCTTGACCTACACAGCTTGGAGAGGTTCCTATATGCGATACTCCATAGGCCTGATATTGCTCGTCCGGGTTAGCGGCATGCATAAAGCACAAGCTCACGACCTTACTGCCGCCGGATCGTCGGTAGTATGCAACCAGACGCGTGATCGTCTCCTCTTCGCTCGGAAGTTTCATGTACTCCTCCAACAACTGAGAGACGCGTACTAAGCGTAGGTCACCCCACAAACAAGGCATGACGCACCTTGTTCACGGCTGCATATTTCGTCACGATCTCCTCGCCCAGCTTCTCACTGAGGTACCGATCTCTCTGCAGCAGCTGCCTCGCGTCACTCACCGTCCACGGAGACGAGTTCGACGTCCCGTCCGCCGTCTTGATCTCCAAGTGGTGCGCGCCCTACGTGCCGCGCAGCCGGATCGGCGCGTCCTTGTTGTCCATGTCCCAGCAGGCGTACGCGTAACGCCGGCCTAGATACCGTCGAGCATGCGCGCGTAGGACGCGGAGGTGGGCAGCGTGAACGCGCAGAGGGAAGGCAGTTGCTCGAGGATGCCCTGGAGGAAGGACCGCTCCGTGTTGGCGCGAAAGCCGCGTCGGGCTGCGTGTCTGACGCTGGAGACTTGCCTGAATGGCCAGAGAAGTGTAGGTTCGCACCGTTGTCACCTGCGGAGGACGGATGCTGCGAGTCAGGCGCGCCCCGTGGTGGTCTGTTGAGAGGAAAGCTTACAGTTGTCGGCGTGCAGCTGTGGGGCGAACGTAGCATGGAGGCCATCCGTGCTGGCGACGTTGTAGATGGTCTCTCTGGTGTGCACAACTGCGTCGGCTGCCTCGAGCGGGGACAGAGGGTCGGTGACAACTTCGAACTGTCGGTGTCGCGTCAGCATACATATTGCTAGAACGAGCTGCGTGTAAAGGCTTACCTGTCCAGGAGCCGACTCCGCGTCTATCATCTGCAAGTCAAACCCTGCCTCCTGCAGGTCGTCTGCGATCCCCATCAATACGGTATTCCCCACTACAACTGTCCAGAATTTCGCCGAACACGACTAACCGCCATCGACCACCGTTACGGGCTTGGGAGATATCGCGCTCAGGAGTATAAACTCAGACTCAAAGCCAGCGAGGAAGAGTCCGGCCTTGGCCTGAGCCTCGTCGACGATGTGCTTCAGCAATGTCCGCGGACACAGCGGGTTGGCCAAACTGCCGTTCGGAAGCGGGGCCTTCTCCTGAAACCAGCCCATCACCACCGCCTGCCCGGGGGCGTACGGGCACAGACGGAAACTGTTCAGGTCGATGACATAGAGATGCTCGCCCGTCCCGTTAAACCCCTCGGCCGCGTTGAGTCCCACCAGTCCCAGCGTGACATGAGATAAGCCCACCTCAGGGCGCGCCGTTTCGCAAAGTCTGGTGAAGTATGAGACGGGGAGGATACGGAAGCGTACTACGGTGTTGACCAGGTCAACCCATTGCACGCGCACATAGGCGACCCCTCGTTCTGCCAGTCGTAGAGCGTGCACGGACGCGTACTTTGGCTGTGAAGCCTGTTCAGGCCTGTAGACGACGCCGATTTACGACGTGGTGGGAGATAGTCTGACTGAGTCGTAGGCAGGGGCGACGATTGGGTGTTGCTGCGAGTCGATGCCTCCTCCGAGTCGCGAGGCTCGCAGACGACGGTGACTGCAACTGAACTCGGCGGCATCTCGGCGCGCCACCTGGGAGACCTCGCGCCAGCCACCTCGCCCGTAGACCGTCATGCTCATTCCAGTCACGCCTGTCGCTACGCAGCTCGTAGCGACTGGCAGAAAGCTAGCAATACCTCTACGTGCAGCGTCTGGCGTCGCCGTAGGCCCCTTTCCGCTAGTGCCCAGCAAGCTATACGTCGCCTCAAGCACTCTCGGTCGCCTCGCGGGAGCATCTTCCCATCTCACATCGTGGGCTGTACCCGTTGAAAAGGCGCATATGACCGCTGTAGCGGGCATGGCAGATAAGCAGGGTGGGTGGAAGAGACAGAGGCTAGTGTAGCAAAGCGTGGGTGGCAACGCAGCAGGGCGGTGAGTGTTCCTCATGAATGCACGTCTTCGCGTAACTCGCCCCGCCCGTCTTGCAGACGCACACTATACGCTACGGCGCCGTCCACCGCGCTTTCGCGCACGCCCGTTAATTCAGGTCTGCTGCTTGACCGTCCACATCATGTGAAGGAAGTTACACATGAATGCGACTCTAAGTAGGTGCACCTATGTACATATCTTGGGCTGTTGTGTTTGTGGGCAGGCTCGTACTGCGCGCATTCACACTGCACGACCGTAACCCGTAACGTCGCTACAGTTGTTGTTGAACGTTAACGACGTTGAACGCTGAATCTCGACGAGCGGGGTAAGTGCGGCGCCTTGACGAGCGTTAGCAGCGTAACCCGGCGATCAGCGTGCGATTCATCAAGATTTCGGGGCACAGCCTCTGCTAGTCACATATACATGGCCTTGGTGCGTTCCTGCATACATAGCTACTCCGGGATAGCATTGTGCGCGATCACCACCCTAGCGATGGTACCTTCCAAGTTTCGTATGCTGCGCAATCCTAGCTCATGCATTCGGGTAGCGTTTGTCTCCTCCCTTAGGCGACATGCCATGCACACAAGTCGCACAACGGGGTCCAGATAGGCTGACTTACGACGACGGATCGGGTGCCGACAAACGGAGCGCTAACGACTCGAGCAGACTTGTCTCTGTGCAGAGCGGCAGCTTGCTATTGACCGCCGATGCTGCTCGCTTTCCGCTCGAGGTCTTCGAGGACATCATCGACGCAATGAACACCCGCACGTTACTTGCAGCGGCGCAGGTCTGCGCAGCATGGTACCCTCGAGCCATGCGCAACCTCTACTACGCCATCGAGATAAGCGGACGCAGAAGCTTCGACATCCTGTTCAAGCAGCGTCGCACGTCTCCTTATGTCAAGCAGTGGCTCGCAACTACGCGCGAGCTGCGAGTCAGAGACGGTAGCACCATCGCTGTTCAAGTTGGTGGCAGAAATCCTCGCTTTCTTCACGCACTCCCCCCAGCCCTTGGCCACGCACTGTTCAGAGTGCAGCGTCTTGCGATCAGTGGGCTGCGTGGTGACGAGCACCCGACATTTTTTCTTGGCCTGTCGCAGTTCTCGTCCGTCGTGTCACTGGAACTGTCCCTGTGTTCGCTGAACCACATCTCACAGCTTCGGCGGATCATATATACCTTCCCCCTGCTTACAACACTCACACTAGAAGATATCCAAATCGCTCCGCACGATACTGTCAGTTCTGTGGGGGCATCCTTTCGGTCACCATCTGATGTGCATCTGCGCCATCTACATATCACTGCGCACCGGAAGCCCGAATTTATCGACTGGATAGCGCAGTCAGACCTCTGCGCCTCCATCGAGGATCTGACAATCTGGCTACTGGTACAAGACGAATCCGCGCGGCAAAGCGTCGGCGCACTACTCAAAAGCGCGGGGTCTTCCTTGACTCAATTACAATCTCATAGTAAGGATTCACCTTTCCTTGCTCCTCCGACTTCGCCGCTGACATGCATGCTCGGTCTAGTTGTCCACGGCGACCTAGTGCACAACACCGCCTTGCGATCCTTGGATCTCTATCTCAATAGCGTCCCTCTCACGGCAAAAAACCAGGGGCTTAACACGGACAAACTAGCGCGCCAGTTACACGGCGTCCTCTCCACCGTCCGAAGCCACGAGCTCGAGCACATCGCCATCGCGACAAGCATCCACTGCAACAAGAAGGACACCATCCTCGCCGCTATCCTCGAGCACCTCGCATCCGCCCTCGAGCACCTCGATCTGCGGGCCCTGCACGCGGCCATGAGCCAGCCGTGCTTCGACGCGCTGAAGGCTGTCGACGTGAAGATGGACATGCGGGGTCTGCGGATGGACAAGGGGGGCCTGCAGCGCCGCAGCAAGGCTGAGGTCGAGGAATTCAGTCGGACGTTCGAGGCCATGTTCCGGGGTTTTCTCCGGCCGTGGTCTGACCGCGGTATAGTCAAGCGCTTCACCTGGGTACGAATGCCGTAGACGTGAGTGAGCTGCTGCGCGTGAACGGGAAGATGTCTTACCTCCTATCCGTGTTAGCCGTCTGCGCCCCATGGCTTTCGAGACAAGCTCGTTTGCTCCGACCGGCGGTGACTCGTAGTCGGGACGCTGTCTGGGGTTTGGGAACTGAACCTGTTGGTTACAAAGCGCCAAGTCAAAGCAACCGTTTTGCCTGGACACAACGAACCGCGCTTCGCCGAATAGCGATCACTGTCCAGAAAAACATATGACATTGGATAAGATATGAGCATACTTTTGGGTTGATTAGACATAAATCATGATGAAGAAACGGAAAGCCTATCATAAGGAGAGAACTGGAAACGGAAGAAAGCGATCAAGCAAAACGTATGTAAAGCAGATCAAAGCAGAGGAGTAAGACATCTACATCTAAATCAACTGCGTATTGATTTGTGCCCAAGATTCCGCCCGGCTGCAGGCAGAGGCCTCAGACTCACCCGGGGTTCGCGTCGCCTTCAGGTATTCTTTGTACTGGTCCTTCTCCTCCTCGGTGACACTCGCATCTTCGTGTGTGAGCTGCTCAGGAGGGCGTTCTGGGAACAGCGCAGAAATATACGCGTAGATGCGCGGGTCTCCCCCATCCAACGCCGGCGATACGATGGTATACATGCGTACGCGGGCGCGGGGCTTCCAGCCTCGCCGAATGGTGGGGACGCCAAAGGCCGCGCTGACCGGCATCGAGATCATCGTCAGCTCGGGACAGAGCTCTACGATGTGCTGGAGCGCCCCGAGAGGCGGCTCTGTGCCCACGCAGAACGCGGGCATGAACTCCAGATTCTGGATGCGCGGGAAGGCCTGCGCGATCGTCCGGATGTCGCTCGCGGTGAGCGCGAAGCTTTTGGCGTAGACTATCAGGTGGGTGAGCTGATCGAGCTCGAGAAGGGGACGCAGGATCTTCAGATTGATGATGCTGGGTCGGCAGCCGTTGTCCTCGGAATCCATGCGCCAGCAATGGAGCTCGACTTGCGCAGGGACGATGTGAAGGGCGCCTTTGTCAATACGGCGAGATGCTTGATTAGCATGTCGTTTTCATACACTTCTGCCGTGATGTGTATGCCAAGGTTCGCCAGGGAGGTCGAGCCGAGCTTTTCCAGCAAGGCCAAAGATGAAGCATCCAGGGCTTCGAACTGCAAGGAGAGGTCTCGGACGGACGGAAGGCACCGAGAAGGCAGGGCGGAGACAACCATGTCATCCAATGTATACCAGTTCGCCTTGATGTCGACGTATTGCAGGGAAGCCGATTCAGCGACCGCAAGGAGGACGTCGTCGAACAGCGGACTTGTGCACCTGAACTCGACAAGCCTCGCCGTGCGGACGAGATCCGCAAGCGCGACGCTCACGGCGACGTCCAGGGGTTCGCTCGGGTCTCCAGTGAGCCTGAGACGGCTCAGCTTCGGGCATGTGCTCCTGACGACATCGAAAATAGTGGCCATCGGCTCTCTGTCTGTGAGCGCCATGTCCAACGATAACTCCTGCAGAAGCGGATTGGTGAATAGCTTAGGCTTGAGCAGCCTCGATACGGCAGGCCTATGCTCGGTCCATGCGAACGAGAGTAGGTTTGGCAATAGCTTGAGGGTAGTGGGAAGGTACGTCAACAATTCGACGGCCTGAGATTCCGGTAGTTGCTTGTGCAAGTCGTTGCTCCAGACGAGCCGCCTAATATGTTGCCCGTACCATACAACACGAGATGTGGACCAATCTTGAGAGTGGATGAGATGTTGAGAACGCTAGACCGTGTCTTTCAGCTCCGATACCTCGTTCAAGCGACATGAAGCTGACACTTACCTGTGGGGCATTCCCGTCGTCTCGCACTTGCATCCACATACCGTACGGTATCAGAGTGAGGAGAGGGACTAGAGTATCCATCTCTTCCCACAGGACCGCGGTCGCCCCCGCATAGAACTCCTTACTCGCGACAGCGAGATTGGCGACAGATCGCTTCCCTTCTCCTTCTCCATGGACAGCCCGTACTATCAAGTCGAATAGCTCGAAAACAGAAAAACACGCGTAACAAGCAGACATGTCCCTCTGGAATGGAGGCACAGTGCTCTATACAAAGCACTTGTCAGGAAAGAGCATCAGCGATGGAGTGGCAGACGTACCGGGCTAGACCCGTCACGGTCGCTCCTAGCCAGTGAGGGCAGCGACATATTGCGGAGGCTCGTATGGGGGGGATCCAGTGTGGCTGCTCGGGAGTTATATACTGGAACTTGGCGCCTACATTCCTGGGGATTGTGCGCTTCTGTGGCCGTGGTCGCTTTGATGCCGCGACGATTACATATGTGGCCACAGAGATAAATCAGGATAAAGCGTGGTTGCCACGGGCCTACCCAGTGGTCCCAAGTATCCCGCACGTGGGACCGCTATCGTTAGATCGCTTCCATTGGAGCAATCGCACAAAGGAAGATACTAAATAGGTAATTCTAGAGCTGGTACATGAAACATCTCGGGGCGAGTTGTGCGGTCTTCCCCGGATGAGTGAACAAAGCACAATTTTGATCAAAGGGCATTGTTGAGGGCCAGCCACCAATCAAAGCGCTCTCACAGAGTGAGCGGCCTATCAACGCAGTGTTGGCCCTGGCTAGCGTAGCAAGGCCATCGCGAATGTCCTCTAACGCATGCCACACGCCAGGGCAGTTGCCCAGTGGGTACGTGTTCATTGAACATGTACACCACTCCCTTAGTTCTGCCACTGCAGTACTTAGGCCTTTATTCAAAAGCTAGATTGCACTGCTGTTGAGAAATGATCGCCACCGTGATAGGTTTGACGGCTGGCCCGGGGAAGCTTCGAGATGATGAGCCAACCTGAGTAATACTAGTAAATAAACTTGAATGGGACGAAAGTTCGGACGGTATCGCCTCAGACGTACCATGTCCCCCACTTCTCCGCAGCAAAAGCAGTAGTTCGACATAATTAAAACAATTTAAACGACCCAGATGTTCAGGCTGGATGTTGTAAGGACGTCGGTCGAAAGTGGCACACGACTTACGTAATGATGATTCTGATGGTAGAATCTGAGATCTAAATCTGCGCATCCCTCGAGCGCTGGTTAGTCCATAGCAACAAGCCACAGCCACAGCCACACCACCCAAGTCCGAGTCCTAGACGCGAGGGCGGCCAAGGCGGATTTACAAGTTGACCTTTCACTGGTACGTACTGGCAGGAGATCTGTTGTCATATTCACGGGTCGAACTACGTCGTCTGTGCAACCTCAAGATATTTACATCCACAGTGTCGGGTGCCAGTGGCCGCACTTGCTATATCAATCATGCCGGAGGTCGTGCAGGTCGTGCAGAAGTGCTTGTAGTGCAATGGCGTCTAGCTTTTGTGAAGCTAGTCTACGTCTGAGGCTGATCATGGGCTCGTGCAGCGGACAACGATACAACGGCACTGCGAACTGTTGATTTTCGATGCAGGAAAGACATAATGCAGTGATGAGAACGACTAGGAATAAAAGGACCGACAGAGCTCTACGTTGTTCCTCATGCAGCATCTACAACGAGAAGGTCCGACCTCATACCTTCCGCCAAACTTCTAGGATCGACGACCCAGATCGCAGCCTTCTCTACACCTACCGTACTCTCTGCCCCGTCTGGAGCCGTGATGCTGAAACCCGCGGCACGCCCCCTCGTTTTGAGCTCGCGCAGGATCGCCTTGACGCTCGCACGATTGGCAGTCATGGTCGTCCAGCCTTTGGTTGCTCCCCACAGCAAACTTCGCACCGTGTGCGCCGTCAGGCGAGGATTCGCCCGCGTCGTGGCCGCACGGGGGATGGGCTCGCCGTCGCCGTCCACGCCATCAGCGTCAACGGGTAGCGGGGGTAGACCTGACGGCGGTGCGTTGCCATCCGAGAGGATAGCCTTGCATGTGTGCGCAAGCTGGCGCGAGAACTCGGACCGCGTCGGCAGTGTCGTTATCCCCGAAGTCCGCTCATCTGGCTCGTCGTTCTGGGGAGGTTCGTCCGACGGGAAGACGCGTATCGGCAGTAAGGGGAGGTAATCCTTGGGGTACCTTGATCCCTGCCAGTACGCTTCTTCCGCGCTCGCTCCGCTCATTGTCGGTTCCACGAGGCTTGCAAAGAGCGCACGCACACGCCTCTGCTCCCCAGCACCGCCGATCTTGCTCAGCACGATCCGGAGACAGCGGTCCCGCGCCTCGGGGGTTGTCCAGAACTCGACGTTCTCGCAGAAAGCCGGAGATTGGAGGCGGTCGCGCATTTCTTGAAGAAGTCCACGCCCCCTTTCCTGGATCGCCTGGTTGGCGAGCGCGCGGGAGTGCTTGGCGGAGCCCTCTGCGGCGCTCTCATCCGTCGGCGCGCCCATACGCTCGCGTTTCCACGCAACGTACGACGGCGGCGGGACAAAGCGCGCCTCCGCCTCTTCTACTGAGTGCGGCGGTGGAGCGTGGGTGATGTCCGATACCAGGGCAATGAGTAGAGACAGGTCCAGGTTCACCTTCAGGGTAGGCTCTAAGCGCGAAGGGCCTCGTCTTTTTGGCATGAGCTTGGGTACAGAGTTTGGGTCACGCTCGCCGAGTTGGACTTCGAGTCCCATATCCCGAAGTGCACTAATCGTCTGCCCAATGCGGATGTCGTGCTCCTTGGGGTCTGAAGGCGACGGGTCCAACCGCGTTAGGCGAAGAGTAACGGACGGTGGCTTTGGAGGGGCCGTGCCCGGGATGGAATTTTGCTGGGCTGCCTCTACGAGAGCACGTCCCATGCGGAGCAACGAGTTGTCGAACTCTGTCTGTGCCAAACTGGGGCGGTGGCCGGAAGATGTCGAATGGGAAGATTCCGACTCAGAGTCTGAGTCGGTGAGATACGAGTCGAGCTCGCGAAATTCGGCAAGCATGCGCGAGTTCTTGACGCTGAACATGCAGCATAGACTCTCATTGAGCGAGTCGAGCGCAGTGATTATACAATACACGCGAAACTCACGTATTCACGCGGATCCACCTATGCCCGTTCTCGGCCACAACGTCTATCTTGACACCAGGAGACTTCTGCGATCCTCGCGTTCTTGGCGCAGGATGCACACTGTCGTAATAGGTCTGCCAGACACAGACGATTGGCGGCGGTGCAGCAGCACCTCATTCCACACCGCAGTGAGGTATGGCGCGTTCGTTGAGAGAGCCGGAAGATATGCGCTGTTGGGATCAGCCAGGAACTACTGAAGACAAAATCTCAGTCATTTCCTTGCGTAGACAGGGTCACACGAGGTTCAACCACGACTCACTTTCTCTAGGACGTCCAGATCGCGCTTCACCGCATCCCTCAACGCTCGCAGACCTGGCACCGACTCATGGGATGCTGTGCTTTCAGTTTTCTCCTTGTCAACATTAGCCGAGTCGAAGGAAGAATCCAAAACCGGTGGTTTGGATACGATTGGTCCGAAGTCGACGAGATCGCGTGAGATCGCATGTAGTTGATCTCGCAGATGGTGTAGTTCAAAATGTATGACTTCGTCTTGTGTGGAGGAACTTGAACTAGTCATAGGGTAGTGTGGTGGCATTCAAAAGTAAGAAAGTCAAACGTCCGCCTGGAGTGGATGATGGAAGGAAAACAGAAAGACGGTAGCGAATCTTCCGAGAGTCAGTGAGAGTTCCGAGTCGGTCTTTGGGCGCTTCCGCTTTCGGAAATTGTAATTTTTATATATCTTCACCGCGGTAGATACGTTCTGTAGTTCTGTTGAACTCACGGGAGCCTGACAGAAGCTTTACTTCCTGCATGGGCGACTTGTGCAGGCTTGATGGAGGGTCAACCCATACGGCGGAACGGCTACTACCGTCTAGTGCAAGAGTACAGTCTGAAAGCATGTGGTAGCGGTGACCCATATATACTTGACTCGGAGTCGCTCTGGCTTCAGCGTGTACGACCTGTTTTGCTTTTGCCCAATTACGACTATACACAGGAACCCCGTCATTGTCCACCGAAGATAAACTTACCGCAATAAGTGTGTGCCAGCCTCGAAAGTCCCGAGATTCATCTAGTGTGTATGCTTCTACGAGGAGCTGAAGATTTGTTCCGCACTTCGCATATGTGATGAGTATATGGAATCATGATCGGTCTCTGGAAGTACTCACGCGAAGATCCACAGAGCCTGTGGATTCATGTACGTATCCGGGGTGTATGGGAAGCGCACTGGACACGTCGATGTGTTATTGACTGCGACGCAGATGTACATATTATAGCGCTAACTCACGCTGAGGAAGGTCAGAGTAATACGCTGGTGATCCTGAGATGAGTATTGCACTCCGGTGCGAAGATTAGGTTTCACTCACCAATTGGGGTTTCCTCGTCCTCCCAGCTGTATGCTGTGCACATCTAGGGTCAGAGTCAAGTAGCTGCTGCTCTGGTTGTACACTTACCGGTTCTCCAGTTATGACTGCATCGAAGTCACAGTTATGCTCAAGATGTGAGTGGACGAGAAGAGCAGTATATCACCTACCGGAAGTCAGCGTTCACGAGCCTGCAATCATGAACGTCTTTGAATGTGTCGCATCCCATGTGAAGCGTACTCACAAGTCTGGGGGCGCCAAGGGGTCCTATAATTCAGTCAGTCACTAGCCCTCGCAGAATCACCAGAGGATACGGACGTCCTGCAGGCCAGCGGTCTTAATCTCCGAGTCGATGTCGTACCACTCCAAAACCTGTTCGCCAGCCATGCCCTTGAATTGCATCGTCTCGTTTGGCTTCCCGCCGAAGATCGCGATTGTCGTGTTGTGTCGCTCGTACATCAGCGTACTGAACTGCGCACAAGTTGAAGCGCAGTCGCCGTTGCCCACTACATTCGGACATGATTTGGTATGTTGAGGCTAGACACAGATCAGCGAGGTGCGTACCGATCGCAACCTTCGCCAGATCAAAGGGTGGCTCTGCAGGAATTGTGACGTTGAACGGCGTGCAGGCGTCCTACACTCAAGCAATCGGTGAGAAGTGCGCTGCGCCGATCGGACCACGTCTGCACTCACGTAAATGCGCTGCGACTCGTAGTACTCCACGCCGTTGATAGTCTTCGTCACATATGGGGTGATATAGTTGTATGATTCAGACAAGATGGTGTCATTCCCTGGGTAGGCCCCTGTGTTCACCGTCAGCTCAGGGATCGGGTGAGCGTGCACAGAACATACAGTTATCTGGAGGGTAGAAAGCGTAGGAGTCGTTGACACCCATGGCCATGTCGGCCGCAACGATCTTCTGGGCAAGGGTGTTTGCGCGAACAGCAGAGGAATAGCCTCTGTGAGATGTTTAGCCTGGCATATAGTCACGACCACCGATGGATTATGCTCTTACGGGAAACCAAAGTTCGCGCCTGCGAGATAGGAGTGGAGAAACTCGCCCAAGCAGACGTAGCCACCTTGAAGCGCAGTAAGTGATCTTTGCCTGGAAAGGTGACGAGACATGTACATACCACCGTTGTTCGACAGATCGATCAGCAACTGTGTTACACCCGCTTCTTGGAACGTGGAGATGACACTTGCAACCTGAGACTGGAACCCATAGTAGTCCTCAGGATCGAACGAGCCAACAAACATCTATGTCATGCCATTAACGTCCCGCAAGTGCTCTCATCGGACTGGGAGAGATGCATACCACACCAGTTTTGTTGTCCGGCAAGATATAGCTCCACAGGATATCCTCCCCATCGATCGCGGTCAAGTTGGGTACAAACTGCGACGGTATTCCTACACCCAGCGAGCTCGATGCCGCCAGCGCTGCCCGGGGCTGGCGTGTCGCACGTGAGTGGGCAATGGCAGAGCCCTGGGTCAAGTAGTCTACACCATTCGTCTCGTTGGTCGCCGCACAGTTGCTTGCCCAGCTGCCCATAAGAATCTGGTCATTCTGTGCATCAGACCACTAACATGTCCGTACGCACTAGGATGCAGCATCCTTGAACGGCTTTCCAAGGTACGATGATAAGTAAGGAACCACAATGGTCTCCGGTTCCGTCCCGTTTGCCAGGATGACCTCCATGGTCAGATTGTCCAAATCGGGGTATACGGGGCCAGCGAGATCACCGAACCGTTGCGAATAGTTGCCCGCGTTGATCCTGTAGCTGCTGAGCACGCTGTTCACCCGCACACCATGATCCAAGTAGTTGCCCGAGACCGTGTCGGCGATGTAGTCCACATACGAGTACGCAGACATGCCCTCGATGTTCACGACGCGTGCGCCTGCGAGCCGAGTCCAGTCGAAGCCGATCGAGTCGTAGTAGCCTGTGTAGTTCGTACCGAGGAGAGAGATGAACTCTACGAGGTCCGGAACGACATAGACGTCTTGGGCGCCGTCGACTTCGAGAGACACTACGGGCGCAGGGAGCAGGTTCTGGAAAGTCTGCCAATAGCAATAAGAGTACCAGCCTGTATGGCCGTCATTGAGGCTGTTCACCACATCGAAGAGATCTTTGTTGAATGCGTAGTCGGACTTTCAGGTCATCAAACGTCCAAATGAGCAATGTGTGTCAATGAATCACGTAAGACGTACGGTGTAGCTCGTGCTGTTGATTCTTGCCAATTCATCGCGTATGTGCACCGCTGGTTGGTCGAACACGGAAACGGGTGCCAAGTAGTAGTCCTCGAATGTGTAGAAGTCGAACACCTTGGAGACGACATCGAGCACGTTCTGGCGTAGCGTCTCGTTGAACGGAAAGTAGGACAGACAAGCTCGCGCGTCGGCAGGAGGAACATAGGCCAGCCCAGCGATCTTCGCGCAAGGATCTTCCTCCCGCGACTCATACGACCTCGGAGATGCTACGGAGCTACCTGGAAGTACGGGTACAGCGGCAAGAAGAGTGAAGCCTGTCGTTATGAAGCGCATCGTGTGAGGACACGGACCGGCAGCTACTACAAGTTCCTGCGTGCGGTCGAACACAAGAACAGGGGAATCACCGCAGCGAGTGTACTTATACGTACGGCGACCGTGAGACCTGTGTCACTAACATACCGCAGGATCGCATCCGGGACACTAAATTAGATGGCCGACCATGCTGGCAAGATGCGAGGACGTCCAAAGGGACAAGGAAAGACAAACTGGGCTATCGCTCGTCGAAGTCACATGGGCGTTGCATCCCAAGCCCAGTGTGATCATAATAGGCTGCGAGCTTGAGACGGTACCTATGCGGCCGCTGTCAGGCTTGTCCGTCTTACAGAGGCGTTGATGAGATCCTACGCTTAATTTAGTAGCCTATCATACACAATCAGCGAGGATCCTAGGACCACTCTCCGATTACCAAAGTGAAGATGCTTACGGCTGGTGTTGTCTACCCCAAATAGTGGTCCCGTCGCTTGGCATGCATTTGGAGTCGAATCTTCGGAAGCGTTGAATGTGGCGCATTTGATCTATCCCAGAGCTATCTAACAAAGTTGTTCGGTATGATTGTGATGGTAAGGGATTGATCGCAGAAGACAGCTGTATTATTCTGGGAGCACAGACTTACAGAACCGTGTCGGGTCCCGGGATAGATGCAACGGCCTGAAGGTGGTTCGTGAGACCCCGATGAGTCGGATCCGGACGCGCGGGGACGGCTTCCCGCACTCTGGACGCTGGAGAGCTCTAGACTTCCACCTGAGATTAGTGTCCGATGCTTGTCAGACGCTATGAGAATGCGGAGGGTGCGTAGGGCTAGAGATCGTCTGAAGACGGCACCCAACGACCGTGTGCTGGCGGTATGGACCGAAATCTAGTGAAAAGCTTTCAAGCCCAGATAGCCACTCCACTTCCATCTACTTCTCAGCGAATCAGAGAACGCTAGCTGCCATGACAGAGTCGGGGAGGTGGGCATACCAGTGTCGACGGCAGGATAGACTGAAGGCGAAGTTCTTCCCCTATGTACATTCTTTCGGGCAAGAATGCAAAAATGAGCAGATGCCGCGCATATAAAATTGCTGATCGCGGCGAATCAGTACGACAGGGGACGGAACATCGTAAATCTGAACGCGCACCAGGTTTGCTTGTGGCTCAGGGCCCACAATTTCCATTGAATGTGCGTGTCTTGCAAGGCTCGACGGGGGCGAACTTGTTCTGTTAGCTGGACCATTCCCCGTTCATCGAAGTGGTCAAAGAGTATGATCGCCCGTGCATATACTTTGGTTCGTTTAAACGAATCAGCACACGGCATCGATCATCCACAGGACTGCATACGCACCTGATTGACTCATGCTCCAACAGTAATGCCTATTCGGAAGTAAAGAGGAAAGAAGGAACCGAGAACGTCAAATGCGAGGTGTGAAACGAGATGAGCATTGTATGCGCAAGAAGCGTGTGTTTAGAAGCTCGGACGTGCGATGAGCGGTTTACAAGACAGCGATGGCAATGTGGATGATGAGACGAGGACAAGTAGTTCGAGACAGTGGTGGGAGAGGTATAACAGCAAGCAAGGAATGGTGGATCGTGGATATCGCTGGGAAGAGGGGTTACAACAAGCAAACGACGTATAGATTAGTGCCGATAGATAGCAAGTTAATTCCAACCGTTGGTCGGGGTATAGAAGAGAGTGTTCCGTTCAGGGATGGTCGATTGTGGACTCGTCCGCCTCAGGTTGAGGCTGGGTCGCTTCCCTCTTCTCCGCACTATCTGCCTTGCTCTCCGCACCCTTCTCTGCAACAGCGCTCAGACCGGGAATCTCCTCGCCTTCAGCATCTGCATCGCTCGTCTTCTCGTCCCCGGCAAGAGGTTCGGTAGAAACTGTGACAGGTGCAACATCGTCCGATGCGCTGGGCGCCTGTTCGGTCGTAGTCGCTTCCACGACAGGCTCCTCCACCTTCTCCTCTGTCGACTCTGTCGACTCTGACTTGACCTCCTCTGCCTCCTGAGTAGGTTGCAGTGTCGGCGAGTCAGGAAGAGGGACTGCGGCAGCCGTTGCAGCCGAAGCTGCGGGCTTGTCCTCCAGCTCGACCTCCTTCACGCCCTTCGTGACCGCCTTCACCTCGGGTTCCTCCGCCTCCCTCCCAGTGCGTACGGGGGTCTCCTCCCTCGTCGCCTGGCTATCATCCACAGACTCTGAGCGCTGTTTTTTCGCGGATGGTTCGGAGTCGGGCTCCGTCGAGCTCAACCGCCGCTTCCGGCCGATCTGCGGTGCAGAGGACGTCGCTGAGTTTGTGGGCACGCGTCAGACGCGTGTTCTACGCGCAGAAGGGTCTCCTCACCGTCTTCGCTCCAGGGTCGGTCGGGCCGAGGGAAAAATGAGCTGGAGATGCGGCGGATGAGCTTGTACATCGTCGTGAGCGACGCGGGGCGTGTACAGGAAGCGTGACAGCGCGTCGTGCATACCAAACCCCAGCTTGTGTGTCCTTGTTTGCGTCCCATACCCGTTTAAGCTCCGACAGATCGGTTGGCAGCGGGCCGGGAATTGCTGAAGGCATGGTCGTGGGTCGAATGATTGAATGTATGTTTTCAAAACATTCCATGACGGTACTGAGCTGGCTGCTACATTCTGTCATGAGCTGAGGAACGCCGCACGCAGCAAGGCAGGCTTGTCGCAAGAAAAGTCTTGGATAAACCTCTTTCGATTGCCCGATCGGGCGTGATCGTTTACCTAAATGATAAGTAAGATAAGCTGCTCGATCACCAGATCCAGAAGTCTCGAAGAATTGAAATGAAATCGATGACTCGGTAACTCGGACTTCGTTTCTACCACTGCAGCCTCAGCGGAGACCCTCTACTTGCATCTATCCACCGCATCCTACAGAACTCATCGACCATGACGCTCGACGTACTTCATTTCATTGACAACAAAGGCGGAAATGCGGAGGAAATCCGCGAGTCGCAGAGGAAGCGCGGGCTATCCGTAGAGTTGGTAGACGAGGTCATCCAGATGTACGCAGACTGGGTCAAGAGTACGCCGGAATCGAACCTCCTACTCGCCATATCTAACTGAATGTCAGTGGACTTTGAGTCAAATAATACTAGCAAGCAAGTGAACGCGATACAGAAGGAGATCGCTGCTAAGAAGAAGGTAGGCATCCATCGCCGTCGCGCGTTCGTGGACGGGCGCGTGACATCGTACTGTCCAGGCGAAAGAGAATGCGGACGAGCTTGTCGCGAAGAAAAAAGAGCTCGATGCACTTGTGATTGCGAAGAAGGCGGAGACTAGGGAGTTCGAGCAGAAGATGCGGCAAAAGGCGTCGACCGTAGGCAACATCGTTGGGCCCAACGTCCCTGTTAGCATTTCTGAGGTGTGTCCTAGACTCTTTCCTTTTGATATTACACTGAGTCACGGCAGTAGGACGACAACAAAACAGTCAAGACATGGCATCCAAAGGGCGAGGGTGTCGAGGTCGAGAAGAGAACAGACATCATGCCGCATCATGAAGTGCTTCTCCGGCTGGATGCTATGGACCTGGAACGAGGTGGGACCTAGCGCAATTCACGGTTCTGACTTCTCACAATCGAACACAGGAACTAAGATCACCGGCCATCGAGGGTACTTCCTGACCAACGACGGCATTGACCTGAACCAAGCCCTTATCTCCTACGGACTCGACTTCTTGCGCAAAAAGGGCTACAAGAAGGTCCAGCCGCCCTTCATGATGAACAAGGAGATGATGGCCAAGACGGCGCAGCTCGACCAGTTCGATGAGGAGCTCTACAAGGTGATCGCCGCCGAGGACGAGAAGTACCTCATCGCGACCTCCGAACAACCCATCTCTGCATTCCACTCGGATGAGTGGTTCGACTCGCCCGAGACGCAGCTCCCGATCCGCTACGCGGGCTACTCGACGTGCTTCCGCAAGGAGGCCGGCTCCGCCGGGCGCGACATGTGGGGCATCTTCCGTGTGCACCAGTTCGAGAAGATCGAGCAGTTCTGTTTGACTGAGCCCGACAAGAGCTGGCAGATGCTCGACACGATGATAGCGAACTCGGAGGCGTTCTACCAGAGCTTGGGCATCCCGTACCGCGTCGTGGCGATCGTCTCTGGCGCGCTGAACCTCGCAGCTGCGCAGAAGTACGATCTGGAGGCGTGGTTCCCGTTCCAGGGCGCGTACAAGGAGCTCGTCTCGTGTTCGAACTGCACTGATTACCGTGAGCACGTCCGGTCGTTGGTGTCTTACTCTAATATTGATGGATCTTGCTCCAGAGTCCCGGAAGCTTGAAGTGCGCTGTGGTCTCAAGACCAAGGACCAGTCGCGGAAACTCTATGTACACATGCTGAACGGCACGCTCTGTGCGACGGAGCGGGCGCTCTGTTGCTTGGTAGAGAACTACCAAACACCAGAGGTACGTCACATCCATAGTAGTACTCTGCTCACAGCTGACAGTGACACTAAAGGGAGTTGTGGTCCCTGAGCCACTCAGGCCGTACATGCAAGGCCGAGACTTCCTACCATGGGCGAAGGAACTTCCGAAGAACTTGCAGCGAAAACAGGCATAGGCACGACATGAAGAAGATGGAACAGGTGCCAGTAGTAGATGTACTGTATGTATTCGTGCGACTGCATTGTGTCAATTTGTACAGCGTGCTCTCGACCAGCCGAAGGAAATCCTCATATTTACACTATAAGCGCTACACGACGAGAAGACCCGGAAACGCAAGCACGAGCACTATTACTATAGGACGATGGGAGCAATGCGTGGAGAATAAGATACAATGATGCAGTGCGGATGAGAGAGCAACGGAGAGAACACCGGAGAAACGGGGTATGGACGACAACGGCGACGAGACTGATCAAATAGCGTCTAGTTGAGGAAACCGCGACACTTGGCAGAACCACATAAACAAGGGATCTTGTCCTGTTCAATAGGGAAGTGATAATCTGGGTCGAAATGTGTAAGTCTCCTGATGTGTTCAAGAGCAAGTAATAGGCACACCATAAGTAATTTCGCTGCCCAATTCAATGTCTTGCTTTGCATAGATGACGATCTTTTTCTCGCCATTGATCGTGATAATCCTCGCCGTGCAATTGGGCTCGCATGAGTGATTGATCAGGCGACTGCGGTATCACAATGAGTAAACTCGATTATATGACACCGCAAACATCCACATACCCAAGGTTCCCCTTCTTCGTCGCGTCCACCACCAAGTCTTCATCGATACGGAACAAGTAGCTGCTGCCAATACCCTGGCGCTCATACGCTTTCTCGCGCTTGTCGGCGACCTGTGCACGGATGATCTCGCCAACATACTCGATGACCATCTCCCCGCGCGAGATCTTCTCCATGGCGTACAAGCCCCAATCGTGGATAGGCGATCGCGCGAAGCGCAAGTGCTTCTTCCGCGTCTGCAGCTGATTGAACTTGATGAGCTCCGTCGCGGCCGACTCGCCCTTCGACAGCGCCATCGCACGTTGAACCTGGTTGATCTCTTCAAGACCTTGCGCACGTCGACGCGCGTTGGCACGGTTGGATCGCGAGGAAGTGACGTTCTGTTGAGCCGGCTGCTCCTTCTCGGGCGCCACTTCGTTGACCGTACTGCGAGACGCGTATTGGGCCACATACGCAGACTTCTCGGCATGTGAGATCTTGTAGTAGCCCTCCGTACGAGCGGAGCCAGTAACATGAACTCGAAAGGGAGGCGGTGCGCCAGGGTCGGGCGCAGGTACAGATGAAGGCTCTAGCTCGGATTCATCGATACCTATTTCTCGCGCTAGGGCAAGCTTTGTGAAGTACAAATCCTCGTCGTCATCGCAGATGCCTTGTGCGAAGGGGTCCGGGAGTACCAGCTCGCGAGTGGAGACAGATAGCTTCTTCCAAGTGGGCGATGCAGGAGGGGACGCTGAAGAGTCGAAGTGTGGCGTAGGCGTTACTCTGACTTGCGCGACCTCTGGTACATCGAAATCGAAATCGTCGGGCAGGACTTCGTGAACAACCTCCTGGACGACGGCCGGGACCTGGGCCTTCTTTGTCGCCTTCTTCGATGTCTTCTTCGTCTTCTTCGGAACAGGTGCTGGACCAACGACGTCGCCTAGCTCGTTCAGCTCGGGCTGCGTCTTGAGCCGCTTCCTGACAGGCTCCTCAACATCGGTGACCTCAGACGTGGACCGTTTCCGTGTGACATCCGGCAGTATGGGAGTGACCGGAAGGGAGAGGTCCTCATCTTCTGACTCGACGTCTTCGTTGACAACTGCCTTGGCTATGGTCACTGGGACGGTCTCGGGCACCTCATCCTCCGACTCGATATCCTCGTTAGTACCTTCTTGGTCACAGCCTTCTTGAGTCGCTTCCTCGGTCTTTCAACCACAGCTTCCTCCGCGAGAGACTCGATGTGTGACTCTGACCGAATCACTGCAAACTCCGGCTCCAGCTGCGGTGTTGCCAGTATAGGCGTATCGCGCTCCTCCCTAGGTCGCTTCCGTTGCTTCTTGAACGACAACCCGCGAAGACCAGCACCCCACTGCTTCGCCTCCTGCTCACCATCCGGCGCCCTAGCCACCCGTCTTGCCCTTTCGGACAGAACGAGCCTTTGGACACCGGTGCTGACTACTTGTCCAAGAGGTCCTTCTCAAGCGTCGTTCTGAGCTCCTTGATGACCAGACTCGCCGCCTCGTCAACCAACTCGCTGTCCGTCCAACGCTTCCGTGCAGGTGCAGACGGCGGAGCCGGAGCAGGGTGAACTGTCACATTCACCGACCGCGACGCGAGAGTACGGGAACCGTGGTTGAGCACCATCGCTGCACGCCGTGCGGAATCACTCGTCTCGAAGGTGACATACCAGCCCAATCGGTCTCTGAGGATCTGCGCAGAGCCACCGTGATCAGCGCGCACTGCAGACGGAGAAGGACGCGGAAGCAACGCGGGAAGCGTGCAAGCGCCCAGCACTGGCGACTTACCTTGTCAACCCTGAACCCTTGGAAGAACTGCCGCACGTCCTCTTCTCGCACTGCACTACCCAGCTGCCCACCGTGTCCATCCAAGGTAACATGTTCATACCCGTTCTTCGCTAATGCCTCTAGAACAATCTCGTGGTCCTTCTGGTACGCGTTCCGGGAAGACTGTCCCGGTCTTCGCATCACAGGTGACGGAGACCGCGATGGCGAACGCGACCGTGCGTCACGCTCGTCACGGCCACGGCGAGCCCAAGAACGAAGAGGCGTGGAGGACGATGATTCCGAGGCAGGTAATGGCGGTCGCGACGATGGCGGTTGTGCAGTGATCCCGTACTTGCCGACCGACATGAGTCGGGCGCGAAACGTCGGGGGAGCAACCTTGCGTACGCGCACAGGTGGTGCTCCCCTTGGACCAGTCGGAATACCGTTTAGATGGGCATTGGCAGGAGACGCGCCAGGCACGTCTACGGGCGTAGCGACTGGCTTCGGAGGCAGCTTCGCGCTAGCAGGCGCGGGTCGCATTGTTCCGCCCTTCTGCCATGGAGCAGGCGGGCGAGAAGAGTGAACCGAACCTATAGGTGTGTGCGCCGCTGTAGTGGACGGCGTTCCCCTGGCAGAACTCGCCTCCTTTGCCTTCTCTTCCCTCTCTTTCCGCCTCTTGTCCTCTTGGGTCTTGCGCTTCCGTGCGTTGAGCTCCTTCAGGATCGCCTGCAGCTTCCTTCCCTCTCCATCCAGTACAACCGTCATCTCCTCGCTACCTCCAGCAACTCCGTTCAGAGCAGTGAGTTTCTTTCCATGCTCCTTCTCCACGCACTTCCGTGCCTCGGCGTGTGTACTGTATTTGATGTACACTACCCAAGAGCAGCGCCAGACGTCCTGTCAACCTGCGGTTCGAATGAGTGATCGTGCCGTGTATTGAGAAACACCGTCGAATGTGCACGTTCGGCGTGAGCGGGGAGAGTCCCACACCAACACAGCAGTGGGAAGGGGAGGTCCCGTCGAGTTCGCATCATGCTAGTAACGCCGTCAATCCACGCGTGACGCCTCAACAATCGACTCACGTACCTCATACTTGACAGGGACCAAATCCGCCGCACCGGCCGCATCGTCTCCTTCCGCTTCACCTTCGCCTCCTTCCTCGGATCCCTCGCCACGGCCGGGTGTTCGCCCTCGATCACCTCGCCCTCATACCGAACACATCTCCTTCCCCTTCCCCCTCCTTTCACCCGCGCCTCTTCGCCCTGGTCCAAGCCAGCTCGCGCAGCTTGTCTGCTAGCATCCGGATTTGGCCATCGCGGTCCTTGTCGACCACGTGGTCGAATAGCACCTTGTAGTTCTTGCCTGGAGGGTACTCGGACTGCGCTGGTGGCCATGGTGGTAGGGGTGGAAGGGAGTAGACTTTCGTCTCTGCTGGGGGTGGCGGTGGTGATGACTGTGCGGAAGAGGGGTCGGCAGCGTGCGCTCGGGACCAGTAGGTAGAGGTCGTGATGAGGAGTCTGCAGGAGGATATGGGACATGGTTTCGAGGCGCAGTCGGGGGCAATCGTGGAGGGACTTCTGAGGGCGGTGGTAGTGGTAGTGGTTCGAATGTTGGAGGTATTGGAGGGACGGAGTTTAGGAGCAGGTAAGTCGGTGGTGGTGGTGGTGGTGGCGGGGAGGTTCAGATGACGGTGGTGGTGGTGGCGGGGGAGGTTCAGATGACGGTGGGGTGGAGGGTCAGACGGTGGTGGGGGTGGTGGTGGTGATTCGGATGGTGGAGGGGGCGGAGGTTCTAGGTCTGGTGGTGGCGGTGGTGGCGGTGGTGTTGAGCTCGGCGGGGGAGGCGGGGAGGCTCGGTCGTTGGTGGTGGTGGAGGTGGAGGTTCAGTCGTCGGTTGAGGAGGTGGTGGTCGTAGTCGAAAAGACACAGGCTGCGATCTATTGTTCGTCAGTCCGATGGCCTCGCCATTGACTGTGCTGGGCCCAGCGCCGTTTGTCTGAGGCACATGCGCGTACGGCAGTCCTCGCTGGGTCGTCCCCGACAACGGTGACGGCGTGGTGTCGTGTATCGCGCTCGGACTAGCGTGGTTTGGCGGCGTGTCGACCTGTTTACCTTTCAACGAGCTGCTCGGGCCTGAAAGCGGCGAGGTTGTCGCAGGACCCGCAGGGATCGAGCCGTGGCCATTCAAGTACGGCTTACCGCGTCCAGTGCCCCTCGCTCCAGATAGCAAGCTACGCGGTCCAGTGGGCGGTGTTGCTCCTATCCTCGAAGTGGTCGCCGAGGTCGAGGTCGAGGTCGAGGTCGAGGTCGAGGCTGTGGCCGAAGATGAAGACGCCCCGCCCGGAAAGGAGCTCAGCAACGCGCGAGGTGCGCGTGGGGGAGCCTTCCCTGACATTAGCGGCCAGGGCTGGCGCGTACGTAGCGTGGAGAGGAAGAAAGGCGATGAGGAGATGGTGGTTAAGAGCGAAGAGCCGGCGCCGCGCTGGCCACCACCTCACTCACCTCCCGCGGCGATTTTTCTCAAAGTCCACAACATTATTCTCGCTCACTCGCGACAACTTGTCGTACTCAAAAAGAGTGAAGGTCCTAAGAAAGTCCGCTATGCTCACGCAGTTGAATATGTATTCGCCTCGCCAGCTCAGCTCTACGCCCCAGAAACCCCCAAATCGCCCCCATCAGCACGACAGCCGCCGCAAAACCTTCCTCCCTGATCCCATGCTCCTCCACCGGACCACACAATGCTTCCAAAGAGGACATTCGAGCGTTGTAGCGCAAAGATGATGATGGTTGACGGCGAGGAGGAGATGGGCGAGTTGCAACACACATCGTGGGCGCGAGTCAACTTGTGGGCCGGTGGCTGGCCCGCTTGCCACCTTCGTCTTGAACTGAAATGTCTGCCTCTCGCAGACGGTCGCTCTTCCGGCCATGCATCGACTTACACAACGGCCAAGTCAAGCAGATCGTAGGGGGGACGCTCTCAGAGAACGACCCGAGCACGCTGCGCACCAACTTTGTCGCCAGGCGCGTTTTGCCCTGATCGCACCCGTCTCCGTTCGACTTACGAGAGATCCAGCCATCCATCTGCGTATTACGCCGAGCTGTACAAAACACACGGCCTCGAGGGTGGGCATGTCATCAAGCTCGGGCCAGGGAACAATGACGCCGCGAGGGAAGCATTGCGAGCATGGGAAGGTGCGTCTCGGCGTATTCTGCGCAGGCGACCTGCTGACCCGCCACGTCGCACAGGCCACTTGCAGGTCGGCGGGGGTATTGACGATACGGACTGCCGCGAATGGCTGGAGGCGGGGGCGAGCAAGGTCCTCCGACGATGACAGGCGATCCGCGACTGTGTTTGACTCGTGTGCCGCAGGTCATCGTCACATCGCACCTGTTTCCTGACGGCAGGTTCTCTCTGGAGCGGCTGCAGCGAATATCATCGTTGACGGGGAAGGAGCGACTCGTCGTCGATGTCAGGTGAGACTATGCTGCTGCTCTGATAGTATCCCACTACATCGCGCTGCTACAGTTGTCGACGGGTTTGGGACAGGTGGTTCGTCGCTACGAACAAGTGGCAGATGATCACAGACATGGAAGTCAACAAGGTTGGCTCGGCGCCCCGCCAGTTAACTGAAGCTTCCTAGATTCGCTATGTGTCGAATATTGCAGGTAAGGCGTGAACAGTGTTTGCGCCGAGACCCGACCATCTTCACAGTGAATTCTGGTACATGCCGCGATGTGGAAGGCCTCTGCGAGGGAATCGATGAGAGCTTGTACCAGTACGTTCGCATTCAGCCGCGACTTGCACTGAGTGTTGGCTTTAGAACTCGGTGAATGGGTCACCATACCGACTACTATGCAGGAGGAGCAAAGAGTGAGTCGATTCAGCCTTACATCTGTTCATTATCTGACGCATTCTTGAGGCATCGACGACTTGCAACGGTCGATCGCCTCTCAAATGGTCGAGTAGACCTCACGTACGGGAGGTGAGCATTCCAGCCTTTCAATGTACCGCGCTCATGTCTCTCAGTTCGCTGGATATTTTGGCGGCACGCTCGTAAGTTGAGACCTTGTACAGTACCACAAGCCGCGAACAGACACGACGAGTAGTAGAGTGTGGCTGATCTGCTCAGACTATCTTTGACAGCTTCGACGACGCCGCAAGGGTCATTTGTCCTCACGAAGAATACGTCGTATTGCACAGCATATAGCGATGACTGTCACGCCTGATGCTGCGACGACCGATTCGGAGGCCTTTGCAACAACATTGTGGTCACTCGCACCAGCGTCGTACTAGCTCTATTTGGATTTTGTGACATCTCGCCCACGCATTGAGACAGAGTATCACCTTGGCAAACAGACCGCCTTCTCGGAGATACGTCTGCGCATCACTGGATCTGGTGCGTCCAATGTTTGAACACAGCTTGTCCGTGCGCGCTGATGGGTTGGCAGTCACGAAGGAAGAGCTGACTGTCGCGTTCGACCCACGGTTGACCTGGTCCAACCCTGGTCCGAGGCTTTTCATTGATCACTCGGGCGAGGCGGTAGGTGGGGATTGTGTTGGATTGGATCATAGTCTGCCAATGCAAGCCAAGTCTGGACTTGACTTTGTCCCATCGACGGCATGATGCCGGCGCCATACCGGCATGATTGTTCGTGCACGACATAGTCGCAATGCCTGACGTACGGCACCATTCCTCGCCCGAGTGATTTGAACGAGCTAACACTACACTGGGCACAGTCTTGTGACCAAATGTCAATGAGCGGGAAGAATGAGTCGGAGGGGTTTTCCAAAGAAATTCGGTGACAAGTTTGAGCTGACCGTTCCTGATCCCGCCGTGATGGGCGCGCCGCGGTGGCGCGCGGCCTTGGGCGACTCAGACTTCCGACTTTTATTTATTCGTTGAGGTTGAGCACGGCCTTGTTATGATCTCTATAAAACGGCAGCCTTTCGTATGTGGAGACCGGTACAGACAACCAGGATTTGAACATTGTGAAGGATTCTGTGATCTGTCCGACGGACGACTAGACGGTCTCCACTGAGCGCCTGCTTTACGTCCGCGCCCGGTAATTCATAAAGCGGGCCGCCGACAGACCACGACCATCTTCTCCTTCTCATCCCGCATCTGGCCAGCTCGTCTTGCTTTCTCCTTCTCCTCCTACCGTTTGCTTGCTCTTCTGAACGACCCAGAAACGTATTGTCCCGTCTATCTGCGGCAGCCCGATAGTGCTCAGCCACCAGATTGCGCTTCTCCCACCGGACCCTGTCTCACGACCCATAATCTCCTCTACCCTGCCCTTGGTAGCTCTGCGCGGCTTGACTGGACTCTCTGACATGTCCTCGCCGTCCACCTCGCGCCTCAGCCCGTGCTGCGAGCGCTGTCGCACCGCCAAGTACACCCTGGTCGCCCTCTCGCTCGTATGGGCATCTCCAGCAAGCGCAGCGCCTGCTGTCGCCCAGGAACTGGTCAGGAGGGATGATGGTGGCATGGCCGATGCTGGGCCTGCTGCAGTGGCTGTTTGGGTGAGTCTTCAATCCTTTGGAGCTCCCGTATTGCGTCGATTTGGATGGGCTTTGCTTGTGGTCTTGTGCTCAGCCAGAGCGTCTACAAGGAGTACGAACGTGGGCTACTGTTCACTGCACACGATCGCGGTCACCGCTTACAGCCTGGACAAGGCATGTTGGCAACTAAATCCACATCGTCGGGTCAAACGCACCTAGGCGGAGTACAGTGGGTTTGATATGGGATGGCGCCGGACTTCGACGGCCAGGTTGAGCCAGGCCGCCGCAACCTTGACTACGGTGGCCCAAGTTGAGCAGCAGTGTCCGGATTATTGAATACCAATATCCGACGACCTCCGCTTCTATGCACACTTTGTGCGGGGCACAACGATGTAGAAAAGGTGTATCTGGTCCACCCCTGTAGCAAGCCCTCGGACGCCTGTCTATGCGTTGCGGAGGCTCGGTGACATTCTGGCCGTTACGTCCAGAGAAGTTCCGAGATATATGGTACTGGGCAGCGCACTCGTGGATGCTCTACGACGGGCACGATTCCCTCGGCTGGTCTTGCGCGTCCTGATGGACGATATCGCGTTGGCGTGCAGAGTCAGAGATCATGGGTGTCCTACGCCTGGATGCCCGTCAATCTCCCCGGATGCGACAGAAGTCTGGCATGCGTCTTATCGCGCTACTCAAGCTGGGCACCCGAGATGTCCTGGACAGCGAGCCCAGCGCACCGCCAATGACTGCGTTTGTCGCGCTCCGGTCCCATCATTTGGCCTTTATACAGGTTGAATTGACCGAGTCCAGTCGCACTGCCCAATTTCGCGTTTTGGTCGGTGGTTTCTCTATATACTTCCTGTCATGAAGCTGTGCTACGCGTCGTACAGACCGGATGGTCGGGTGTGGGGCCATTGGGCGCTTAGCGCAGGCACGGTATATTTGACTGGGCACACTCTGAAGTCTATCCGCGGAGTCACACGACAGAGGGCGACGCTGCAAACAGTGGCCTTGTCATAGCTACAAAGGGACTTGAGTCCGTGCGCGGCAGGCTCAGATACGAGCAATCAGTGGTAGAGCCGTGCGACTAGCGGTAGCCGTGACCATGAGCCTTGGAGCACCATGGTGTGGAACCTGCTCTAGATTGCGGCAATTGTAGTATTGCTGTGGGCTTTGCTCACGAATGACGCGCCGCTGTGCTGCCCGCCACACCATCGGTTTTCCTCGCACAGAGGTACTCCAATCTCCACTGGCATGCTGGAGTTGCGAGGCAACGCCATCTTCTCGTTCGTCGCAGAGTGGTCACAGTGCGGACCAATTTGCAACGAATGAGTGCAGACGCTTGGGACGCTCCTAAGCTGTGTGCGCTCGCCCCTTTATTGGCAACGGAAGCTGTCGTCGCGATCGTCTATCTTGCCTCAAGCGTTCAGACGCTGCGGAGCTCGCAGAACTTCTAAATGGCGGTCTCGTTGTTGCACCGGAAACCCCCCTTACGCCCCTTGTTGCCCTTGCGAAGCCCATCCAAGCATACATCACTGCCCGTCCTCGATCTGCGTTGAGTCTTCTTACTGACCCTGAGCTGCAGATCCCAATCGTCGGTGTTGGGCTCTTCATCTTCGCGAGCGCCATGGCGTACCGCATGCGGAAACGATCGGTTACACCGACGCGGACGACGTCGGCGACGAGCCAGACGTCGTCCCACCAGTCACTGATGAGTCGGATGCGGGCATGGAGTTCGCGCCCGGTCACAGTGCCCGGCATGCAGGCGCGCGAGCTCACGGCCGAGCAGCTCGCCGGAACCACAGGGCGCAGCAATCGACGGCGGCGGCCGCACAGCACCGCGTCGACACGCTCGACGAGGAGCTTGCCGCTGTACATGAAGGAGCCTGGCGAACAGGAGGTCGTTGTCTTCAGGTGCGTCCGTGTGCCGCTTCCCAGGCGCCTGTCGTTGACGTCTCCACAGGGGACGCGAAGACCTCACCCCAGGGAGCGCGAATGCGCTGCTCTCTCCTGTGCAAGAAGGCGCGACGCCCGACACGCGCCGCGACAGTATCTCCAGCCTCGCAGAACCCGACACGCCGCTGCTCGACAACGCGATCCCTCTCACGCGTGCGCGGACGGAGGACTTGCGCTTGCCGTCCACGATTCCGATGCGCCGCACGATCAGCGTCCGCCCCAGCATGGATACGGTCGGCGGAGACAGCTCAGAGTCTGCGGCACCCAGTGAGGATCAACACGATCACGAGCACGAGCGTGGCCCTGCGCCCCCATATCGCGAGTCCATTGGCCAGGACTCGGGCGTCGCATTCGACGACTCCACTGACGCTGGCCATACCCAAAGCTTCCCCGTCATCGACGCTGACGGTTCTGCGGCAGAGGTAGACCATCCTTCTGCACAGCGTGGAAGCAGCAGCGGTACGCTCCGCCGGCCGCATCTCTTCGGGCGCGGCGATCCTTCGTCGGGGTCGGGCAACACTTCTGCTCTGTCCGTCCCGCGTCTGCTCTCGCTCTTCAACCCGAATCGCCCGAACCCCGGCGGTGAGAGCGCTGTGGAAGGCCTCCCTCGGTCGTCGGATGTCGGCCCGCTTCCCCCGACGCCGCCGTCGCCTGTGACGCCCCGACGTCGTCCGCGCGGCGCGACCGTCGCTACGCCGCCCGGATCACCACGTCCCGGCTCCTCCGGCTCACCCTATCGCACACACCGTCCTTCGCACTCAGGCTCGGCATCTGGCCTCTCTGCTATGTTCCGCTCGCGCTCGAATACTTCTGGGACAGCCCTCGGTGCCGCGCTCACCTCGCCGTCGACGTTGTCGGTTCACTCAATATCGGCGCCACTTACACACACGGTCGTGCGTACGGAGCTGATGTACCCGAGGGCGGGCCCGACGCCCGACCAAATGAAGTTGCTCGCGAGCGTGGAGAGCTTCAAGCAGTTCGGCGTGCCGTATGGCCCCGATGCGATCGCGTTTGCGAGCACGAGCCGGGTGGACCTGTTGAACCCACCGCCGGTGTTCGAGGAAGTTGTAGGACAAACTGGTACTGGCGAGAGCGGGCGGGATGCATCCGCATCAATCTCGAGGACGGGCGGCGAAGGGCTTGCATCAGATGTGCGGGAGCACTCGCCAGGGTCGTCGCCGTCGAGCAGTCCAGAACCATCACCACAGTTGCCGCCTGGTGAACCCGCGGCTGTTGCACGCGCTTCTCAAGACGACTCGGCGCCATCGCAGGAGACCGTGGAGGAGTTGTCCGGGGAAGGCCGTTTGCAAGACTCACAGCAGGAGGAAGCACAGGCCAAGGCGCCCCCGACTTTGTCGCCATACTTGCCTGCTCAAGTAGCGCCAGCGCAGCCAAAGGAGCCTCTCACAGCGGACGGTGTCAAGAAGATCCTCCGACCCCTGGCCCCGCCCACGTCGTTCAAAGGTGCTTCGGTGCCTGCCCCTCTGGCAACACCTGGCTCGGTGCGTCCTGGCTCTAGGGCGAGTTCCTGTATGACGTTCGCAACGGCCCAGGAGGGCGAGTCCGTGCCGCCCACGCCTGCACCGGAGGCTGAAGGTCCCACAATGACCGAGGACGGACGAATGCGCGAATCGGAGGAGGATTTACCCTCGATCTCGCCAGCAACGCCGAAGCGCAAACGCGGGTCTCTGCTTGATGCTGATGCGACCTCGACGATCCTGGATGCGGAAGACACGAAACCCGACGAAGCCGAAACGAGGATAGAAGAGGCTGTGGTGGCATCCTCGTCGGACGACGCGATCCTCCGCAAGTCTCTAGACACGACCTCAATCACGCTGCCGTCTCTGCAAGCTGATGCACCGCCCTTTGTGGCAGCGCAATCCGAAGAGGTGGCAGTGTGATCTTCATGACCCGACGACGCGAATCTCAATGCTAGATCTATTATTGTGTGTACTACTAGGGCAGCTTGGTCGGTTCATTCCTCTTCATGGACTGCATTTGACCATCACGCCTGCATCAGGACAATGTCCTTATTTCTTACCTGCGGATCCCTTTCCTATTCGACTGGTCACTGAATCTGACTCCCATCATTTGACGCCGCCGAAAGGCGTATGTCAGTCGTCCAATCATCTGTAACCGGCGTCTTAGCACAACTCCTATGGCACACCTTGGTTACCCGCTGCTATACGTCCGTAGTGCCGTTCCGTCCGCCCTAGACCCTGCATCCACCGCGACACCTTTAGCCAGGGAATGGAGTATGTTTTATGATGCTGCAGTTGATCGCTGACGGGAATTATGAAACTCTCAGCGGCCAGCACTCAGTTGTGTCTTGCAGTCGAAATAGAGGTATCCCGATGGACGCCAGACACGTCCAAGTAGGGTCGCCACGCCGTTGCCGTGTCAGTCAGCGGGCAGTGTCTTTGCAGCGTATGCACACGAGGACATGGTGGCGGTCGCGGATGTGACGGGGAAGTGTACTTTCAGTACCAGTGCGTCACTGCTGTCTTTCCTTCATTCAAGATGGGCCTCCTATGATTGGCATTACCTCGACTCTGAAGATCTACCCATCTACTAAGTACTATTAGGCGTACGTCCGCTATTCGACTCTCGTGTCTTGGTACTTATCGTATGAGCATGCACGCGGCACTCACTGGTAGGCATGGTAACCACGCCAAGAAGGGGGTTCCATTCATACTACGGGAGTCTAACGGGAGTGCTCTTCACTTGGCTCGCAACTATCCACATCGCTTCCGTCACTATGTGACTCTTTTGATAGTCTCCACCTAATTGGCTGTGGTTGGCCTCCCGCCTGCCCGAGCCTCATCTGATAGATGCGCTCAAGCAAGTCTGATCTCGCGCTAGTCCGGTTCGCCTCTACAGATTGTCTCCAGATCCTCATTTTCCGAGGCCCCGGCATCTTTCCCCGACTGCTGATATGTATAAGTTGTGGTTATGCCTACGCTCCGTCTCACAGTACACATAAGGACTAATACGTCCTAGACATAAGGTCCTCAGGCACCTCCTGCACAGGGACTCGGGCAGCCGTCGGTTTTGGTCCTCGCACGATGCATTCCATAACGACCGGCCTTGCGTTCCTCGTCGCTGCATCTCTGCTCCCAGGTCACTCCGTAGCATCTGTGTTTGGCTCCCGGGAGGATGATCCTTGCGCAAAGGTTGCGGGGCAGCCCTACGTTCCTCCTGCGGATGCGCGAGCTTGTCAGACCTCCTTCCCGTTCAACGAGACTCTGCGCCAGAACGTGCTCGATGTCATCTCCAAGGTGTTCGACTTCTACACTTTCGAGGACTACTACTTGGCTCCTACTCCCGAGTTCAACCAGCCGGCAGTGAACATTCGTGACGAACTAGCCAGAATCAACACTACGACCTATTCGGTACGCTTTGCATTATCTACAGGACAATATGTGTATCTCACCCTTTATGAACTCACAGTCCGACCACGCATTCAATATGGATCTATTCCACACGATTAACGGCCTGAACGATGGTCATACCGGCTGGTATCCGTACTGCTACTGGGATACCTTCCAGAACGTGCTCCCTGCGCCCGTGACATCTCTCGTAGTCAACGGCGCTGAAGACGTCTATGTCGTTCCAGACCTCGTAGAGTTCATATCTCTCCTCGGCACGAACTACACAGGCTACTTCGACTCGATCGGCTTTGACTGGGCCCGGCTCGCAGGCGCACGCGTCGTGAGCATCGAGGGCGTGCCTGCGTACTCGTATGTGGACCACCTCGCCGACACGGTCTCGGGCAACTACTTGGACCATGGCGTGCGGGTGAACAGCGTGTTCAGCAGCTACAGGATCAACACGGGTAATTACTCGCAGCGGCTCGGTGACCTTGCAGGTCCGGCGTTCCCCGACCTCGACAATCTGACTATGGAGGTCGTGCTGGCGAACGGGACGGAATCGGAGACTGTTGTGATTCCGTATCTGGCATCGTACGTCGGAAAGCCATTCACGGACGCCGCATCCTAGTACGTGCTGGCATCATCGAGACTCGATGCACATATGATAATCTAACCCTAACGGATAGCTGGGAAAACAACTGCGCGGCGAACAACGAGACGAATGGTGTCAACTTGCTTGTCGAGGGCGTTCCGGAGAGTAGGGAGAGCATGATTCGCCAACCCCGTGCCGCGCTGGCAGCGTCGCGCTCGTTGGGTGTCGGGCTCCCGTCTCAGTTCCTGCCGAACTTGACTACGCTTGATGGGGGAGACGCTCTCTACAGCTACGTCCTGCCAGGCAATAAAACCGGTGTGGTATGTTTTCACATCCACAACGTGAGATCGTCGCTGAAGGTCTGTCGTGTGGTATAGATGTTTGTCGGTACATTCGAGCCCGAGGATTACGTTGGATTCCAGTTCCAGGTTGAGAGCGTTGTATCGGCATTCAAGAGTGCTGGTGTAACTCAGTTGCTGGTTGACTTGTCGAACAACGGCGGTACGTCCGCGCCTTTGCCTTCCCGATTGATAAGTACTGACTGTGCTCCAAGGTGGCTACGTCTGCTTGGGTCAGTTCTTGCATACCTACCTTGCAGGCGCAAGCTTTGGTTTCCCGTAAGCACTTCCTTACCGGTGCTCCTGGCTAATCGGACCGACGTCTCTACCGCAGGGGCTTTTCCACCACTGCGCGCGCGAGCGACCTTGCTCAGGCGATCATTTCAAACGACATCAAACAGGGCTTGAGCAGCATCTACTCTCTGTACGCGGGTAGCAACTGTGGGTTTCGCATGTCCCCTCGCCTGGTCAATGTGCGCTGACATTGGAAGCAGGGGGTAACCCGGCTAACGACTCTCTCTTCTCCGATTCATACAACTGGATTGAGCCGGATGTGACGAAGACTATCAACGGCGTGGAATACGACGAGTCGCAACGCATTTACGTGAGTGAGCACGTAGTCAGATCGACCAGGCACTAATGGCTGACGCATCACGCCCAGGACATTTGTACTCCGTGGAACGTCACGATCCCTGAAGACCCGCCATTTGATTTGTCAAAGGTCGCCATCGGTTCGTGCTTCATGCGTACGACGCGTTAGCATGCTGATTCACAGCCCGTTGTAGTGGGCAACGGTGACTGTGCGTCGACCTGCGCACAGTTCAGCACGGTGATGTACGAGCGGCACAACACGACGGTCGTGAACTTCGGAGGAAAGTTGAACGAGCCATGCAATACAAGGGCATGGCCGGCGCACAGGTTCTGGAGTGGGCTGACATCGATACGGAAATCAAGACTACTGGCGTGAAGAATGTGCGTAGTTCTGGCAGCACAATACGGCTGAATGCTAATAAGCAGATGCAGGACACGCTGGCGCCCCCGGATCTGTGAGTGCTGCGCTATGTAGAATGAGTCAATCACTGACTTCGTCCTTGCTAGGCTTGTCGATGCGAACTTCCGGTATGTCTTATACCCTCTGTCTTGTTGACCACAGGGTTAATCTCAACGTGGACTCTGATGCAGCCATAACTGGAGAGCAGGTGGGTCAAGGCCTGATGATAATAATTGTAATGCTTCTGACATTCGCTTCACGTAGCTTACAGTTGGCGTGACGGGAACCAAGACACTCCGATTGGTGAGTAGCATTCACCTTTCCTGCAGAAAGCACCACTCAATTGGAGATCACTAGCATACCTCTCGGAACATCCTCAGTGTAGGCTTGAATCGTCACATGGTCCTGATCGTCGCTCCTAACACATCGACATTACAGTGCGGTTCCCGTACACTGTGGACACATACATGAACCCCCAAGCCCTCTGGACATTCGCGTGAGTGCCTCTTTTGTTCAGCTCTGAATCTCATGCAGACCCATTTCCCTACGAAGTGCGGAGCAAGTTTTCGGCTCGTCCTAGATGTGAATTAGATGCAAGTTGAGTGTCGAGCCCTGGACTGTTGCGTAGTTATTGGAACGGTAGTATTTTTATGAACGGATCTAAGAGGACAGTCTTCGTGTAGTCGGCATTCCGATCGCTCGCTCACTTCCTGCGTCTGTAACTCACTTCTCAGCATGTACCTTCTCTGCATCGACGCGGACTTTAGCCTGATGACTTAAATAGGCTACACCACTCGTTGCGTACGTGCCTTTCGTACATGTAATGCACATTAATATTCTCCTTGTCGTGCCATCCTTCTCATGACTGGTTGGATGGGCGCAGGTCGAGCTGCGAGGTTCGGACATGGCCGTAAGTGTGCTTGCTGCGCATAAGACTATATATTGGAAGGTATTCGCATCGGGGGATGATTTTGGTCATGTACTAGTAGGTTGAAGTATACGTGTAGTCCTGTGATCGTTGTTTCGGAGGGCTCAGTTCGCAAATCACTGAGCGAGAGTATCTGTTTGGTCAGCAGCGGAGACTGTGGACACTGACCTGCCTGTGTACCGCCTTGTCGTCGGGATGTTTTGCAGCTTGCTCAGGTACGTACTTTACTGTTTATTCATAACCTTCCCGTCTCCGAGCACACACAGATGCAGTCAAATTGTCTCTCACCTGTCACTTCTATGGAGTCATATCGGCGTCACACCGAGGTGTGGCTACTACTTGTACCCACATAAGCATGCGGTCGGCCACGGGCGGCAGCGCTCTTGCCATCCTCTTGTTGTTCTGTCGAATCAGGTACAGTGCCGAGCCTGCGTATGATACCCTATGAAAAAAACCACGAGCACTAAATTTTGCACGACGTCGGAGGACATCGTTCGGCGATGGACATACTCATTCTGCCGATGATCGAACAGTCAATTCTGAGCTGTCATATGAAAAAACAATAATTGACGAATCGAGAATCCGGATGAACATAACGAATCGAAAGGTCACCATCATTCCATGCATGCCTACAGCATACGAACCTACCTTCAAGTTATCGGTGATGGCTGTGAATCCGTGAAGACCTCGCGAGCGCCTGCCAAGCTTGAATCATACACGTCACGATCGCAGAGCTAAAAGCCTAAAGCCACTAACTGACCTAAGTTATGCGTGGCAAACGTGCAATTCTCGTGGAGTCCCAATGAAATGGATGCCCGAGATCGACACCGCTACAGCCCATGGGAGGTATAGTCAGCGCTGCGAAAAGTACCCGAATAAATCTGAGTTTGTCGTCCTACTGACTGTAGGGCAGGGCGGCGAACGTGTGAGGTAAAGATGTTGGGAGAGCAGAATAGGGGTGTTATTTCCTCGTTTTGCATGATAGGCGGCCTTTTATATGCGACGATTATAGGAGGTCAGCCAAAGTACTGTTGCGTTGTAGACCGAACCGTCGGTCAGCCGCACGAATCACAGAGTTGCCTAATCCGGATCTGATGCGCCCGGGCGTCTAGCAAGACTGGCCTGGCGCAGTGGCGCTGCTGATGCTGCACAGGCTTGCCGCTCGCCGCCAACAGTCAATGAAAAGATACAATGTTATTCTGCATATGGAATGCATGACTTTCGATTGTGGCAAGGCAGTGACGCGAACGAGGCAAAGTATATGTCCACGTGCCAAGCGACTCGGTGCGTATGAAAGGTGCGTGTTGTTGCTGCTTCACTGCCCCCAACGCTACCCTTCACCTCTGTCACTATCAGCCTCATATACGGCACGTAGACGGCACTCATTACTTTTGTACACAACTCACCATAACTCACAGACCCAGATGATCGACCGAGAGAGCCACTCCGATAATTGTGCTCTCAAAAATGACCGACAGTTTGAAGGTGGACCACCCCGCCGACGCGGCTGCGGCGTACGTCTTCTGTCAGCCTCCGAGCTGTAAACGAGCACGGCGTCACGCTACCCAGATACACGAGTTCAGCTTGCCTTCTCGGTCAGGCATCGTGGCACGGCTCGCCGGTACTTAAGCCTCTTCCCGGACCCAAGTAAGCTTCGAAGTATCTGGACCTCTCATCTCTCGCCCGTATTCACCCTTCAGGCGCCCGCAGGACGGTTCTTAACGTCGAGCAGGATGCTCAGCGCGCTTACCCGCATGCTGCAGGCCAGTTCTGCCTACAATCTCGAACAGGACCACGCGTCGGAGGAGAGCGCGAGGGAGGAGGACACGAAGGGCAAAGCGCGCGCGACAACGATTGCAGACGATTCTGGTCTCGGACTTGAGACGATGCAGCTAGAGCGAAGGCCATCCGTCGATGCTAGCGCGGCTATGGATGCTAGGCGGCGTGCGCCCTCGCATGTCTCGTGGAAAACGCCCAACGCGAATCCGAGCCCGAGTCCCATCTCTGATTCGGTATGGAGCTCGCAGTATGAGAGCCATTCAGCATCGGCACCGTCGTTGCTGTTGCTCAATCCCGGCTCGGCAGCAAAGACCTCGTCGATACATCGGCACAGCTCACAGTCCTTGCGTACCCCGTCTGTCACGGGTTCTGAAGACTGGTCTAGACGGAACAGCCCCGAGAAGAGGGAGAGCGCTGAGCTGCAGCCGGTGAGGCAAGCTCCAGCATTGGACCCACGCGTGCGATTCCCTGGCGGGAGACGGCCCTCAACAGATTCGGTACCTCTCACTCCGGATTCGACGAGGGTACATGACGGACGTGGGTGCATCTTACATCTTTCCCTGGAAACACTCACCGATTAGGCACTATAGACCTGGCTGCGTATCCCGGAGCCTTCATTAACCGCCCCCTTAACCGCACAGTTAGTCAAACATCGACGAGCACAACTGCCTCTGTTCCCACCATTCCTCCTCTTGACCTTCGCCCCGACTTCCAAAGAACTATCGGCCCTCCCATCAGGAAATCGCGTCTTCCACCACCCACCCTACCGACCGTGGTCGGCAGTGCGCACCCCGGCAAATACTCAATTATATACGAAGACGGATCTTCCGCGCGAAGCTCCCGAAGCTTTGTCACCGCCCCTTCCGTGCCTCTACCCATGACATATCCACGCCCGAGCCTGGCAGCAACGCTCACCATGCGGAAGAACCCCCGGTCCGCGCACGGGATTATGCAGTGTCCAATGCGTCAAGCGTCGATATCACGCCAGCGGTGCGGACGAGCGGTTTGCCAGAGGGGCTGTACGACGTGGACCTAGGCGAACCTTCGCACGCAGGGACCAGCAGCCACGCAGCGAGCACCAACGCCAGCCCGCGTCTCACCCAGCCTCTCCTCCCCGCACCCCCCTGCGCAATCCCGCGGCGGCCGCGCTCGGTCTCCTCCAGCGGCTCGGACGCCTACATCCACAACCGCTGGCTGAGGGGCGTCTCCTTCGGGAGCGGGAACTACGAGTTCCACATCCCCCGCGCGTCCTCGCGGAAGCGCAGCCGGGCATGTCTTCCGGAGAAGCTGACGGCGACGAGCGCGTGCTTCCTCTTCTGGCTCGGCTTCGTCGGCCCATGGTGCTGGCTCATCGGCGGGTGGATGCTCACCACGGAGGGCGAGCTCGAACCTGAGTTTAGGCGCGATGCGGACGCGAAGGGCGCAATCCTGCCCCAGTGGTTCAGACATGGAAAGAAGCCCGACGCGGCAGCGGAGAGGGACAAGGCGCGCAATCTCCTTGCGTTCAAGCTGTACCCGCTGTGGCACCGTCTGTAGAGAGCCTCACTCCATCTGCGCATAGCGGGACATCAGCAGCATCTGCACGGAGGCTACGGAGAGGGGCGTTGCGAGGGGTGGATGCTTGGGTCATCCGATGTCGTATCGCAGCCATTATGAGCGGGGTCCTGATTTTGGCTGCTGTCATCGTCGCCCTCATTGTCGCTGCCTCTCGCTACTAGTCGCCGTGGGACATCTGCGCATGTATGATGCATTCACACTGTTGTACCTATACTTTTGGGTTATTCGGACTGCGGGATTCGTACAGAACATTACAGCGGACCCTGCACTTGTTATTGATAATGTTGCACAACCAGACAGACCAACATATATGTATGATCCAGTAGGTCCATTCTAATGTATACTAGCACAGACAGCATTGCGATATCCTTAGACTTAGAAATACAGCATGACAAATAAATCAGACGATGACGAGCGAGGAGACGGGAGTTCAAGAGGATGCGTGCGATCAGTCAGATAACTCAAAATACGTGCGGAACATGGATTCGCTGCGGAGGGTGGAGTTGGCGATGACGGAATGCACATGGAGGAAGAGGAGGGGAAAGCGTCGTGTGAAGTATGCAAGGAAGCCTTCTGGCATAGAGCCGAGGAGGCGCTTGACGTTGTCGGGGAGGTCTTGGTAATGGTGTTTCTGGCAGGGAAGTGAGCAAAGAATCAAATATCAGGTATACAGGCACAACACACTTTATTCCGCAATGCACGCAACAAATCTTGGACGGACTTGCCATCATACTTTCTGAATTTGCCCAGATTTCAATGAAGAGCTTGTCCAAGCGAGAATGCCAATCATTGCCAACGACTTCAACGGCGCCCGTTTCGAGTACAACCAAGTTAGCGTCTCGGGGGTCCCGGCACATAATTTCGAACCGGTCAGAGGCATCCTGGAGGAAGGTTAACCGCTTCCCAGGATCCCAAAAGTACGGGTGTAGTAAGCATGAAGTGGTATCCGGCCTGATAAAGTGTAGTCAGCGAAACCACATATGTATTTTACGAGCCGAAGGAGCTGACGTACCGATCATATGCTTCTGGACTCAACATCCGGGTGATCAGGTCAACGCCTTCTGAACCCTCTTCCCCAAAGCATTGCAAGCCTTCCAGCGACTTCGCATTCTTCATGATGTTGGCCTCCCTTTCGAACCGGTCGCCGAACGGGTGTCCACCATTCGTAAGGACGTAGTAGTACAGGCAGCCCAGCGCGAAGATGTCCACCGACTTGGTCAGGCGTGCCGGCTTGCCCGTCGGTGTGCCCACCCGCGGGGTGCCTACAGAGCCCCGGGAAGAGCCTGATTGCGAGTCATCTCCGGTAGTCTCGTCGAGTTTCACCTCTCCCCTCAGAATCTCCGGAGCCCGCCAGCCAATAGTGCCAGCGCCGATTGTGCCATGTGCAGTAGGCAAAAAACTCGTCTGGTCAAAGTCGAGCTTTTTGCACAGGCCAAAGTCGGAGATGAGCATCCTATGACCGGCGCCGCGCTTCGCATGAGAAATGAGAATATTTTGGGGCTTGATGTCTCTGTGGACAACCTTGAGAGCATGCAAGTGCCTCAGGCCGGCAGTCACTTGGCGCAGAGCGCGCTTGGGGTCGAACGCGCCCACGATCTCCTGGAACTCGTTGGGGTGCTCGATGATATCTGCAAGTGAGGCAGGGCAGAGCTCGAGCGCGATGTATAGGAAGTTGCTGCGAGACTCTTGGTAATAGTACCGGATGACGTTGGGATGGTCGTCGGACTCCTGCAGGACGTTCACTTCTCGGGACGCCAAAGTGACGAAGTCTTGCAAGAGACGCTTGACGGCGACGGCACGTCCTTGCAGAGAGCCCTTGAATACGACTGTCCCGTGGGACCCAAAACCTAAACCAATACGATGAGCTGAGCAGCGTTGTGATATCCAATATTGTAGACTCACCCAAGACAGTGTCCGACACGACCAGAGACGGTTCGACAGGTGTCTCTCCAGATGACGGAGAAACAGCGACGGCGGATTCACCCACCACATACATCACGTCCTTGCCCCCGTACACCTTGGCATTGGCATTGGGCACGTCGCTGTTAGCCACTTCCTCGCCGTTCTCCTTCTCGTCCTCTGCTCCGCCACCAGTAGCGCCTCCCCGCTTCTTCTTTCCGCGCTTCCTGCGCACGCCCTTGCGTTTCGCTGGCAGCTCCGACTCGCCGTCCTTATCGCTGTCGTCGCCTTCCGCGGGATCTCCGTCTAGATCAGCTGGTGGCTCCGGTATTGCGATGGCTGACGGCCTCTTGACAGGTGTGCCGGGACGCGGCGTACTAGGGCGTGATGCTGCCGAGGCTGTGCGTTTGCGATCAGGTGAATCGATCACGATGGGACCATCGCGCGCCGAGTTACCATCCATGGGTACAGGTGTCACCGCGGCATTCTCTTCAGCGGGACTTTCTCGCTCCTGAGGCTCCGGAATGGGACTGGAGAAAGCAGGCGGCGGCTTGCCTGACTTGTGCCTCAGACCCATCCACACGAAGGCCATGAGCAACGCTAATGCGCACGCTGCAAAGGCCGACAGGGCAGAGCCCGAGGTGCTTGCGCTCCGATGCGGATCCAACAATAACTGAGCCGACATCGTGTGCTCCTGACTCGTCTGTGTGTTGACGTTAGCATTGCGTTCTTCGGGTGCGGAGGGCACCGACGGGGCGGCGTCCAGCAGCCTGCTGAACCGAGACTGCGTCCCAGCTTCCAGCCGGCGTACGCCCGTCAGACACCTCAGGTCACTGCTTCCCTCTGTGCACATTTTCCGGAGCCGCCGCTCTCGCGCCCGACGCGTGACGGAGTCCAGATCCTCTGGTAGGTCCTCGTCGCGACCGAACTCATCATCGAAGTGAGTGTCGCGCGGCGCAGCGTCGAGGAAGCGCCCCACGCCCGCGTCACCGAAGATCGCGAGCGGGAACGTGTCCGGGCCCATGGCGTAGAGCGAGCCCGTCTCTTCGACTATACCTACGAAGGCTGCATCGAATGGCATGCTCTGACGTGTGGCAGCTTTGCGAAGCTCGGCGGAAGGGAGGATATCCTCGAGGTGCAGACGCGGTTGGAGAAGCACGAAGGGCTGTTGACGATGAGAAGAACGCAGAACATCGAAGACAGCGACGCTGTCTGACCGTGAGTCACACCCAGCGTTTATAGCGAGCGAAGCACGTACATGGGAGTAGAGAATGCCCGACCCCATTCGAAGTGGGTATTCCGTGCCATGTCGGAGTCGGCGCTCTGTACGGTGTCGGATGTGAAGGAGACGATCTCCCCGTTCGGAAGCGGCTGTATGTACGCATTGTCCGCGGTGTGTCGATATGCGGACTGTATGCCGAGGTCCTGATTGTTGGGCCCGTACACGGAGAATGACAGGTTCTGTACGGGCGGCCTAACGGATGACGCTCGCGACGGGCGGGTATGTATCGAGATATGGTAGTCTGCAGCGGAGCATGAACGCTGATTTCGCGCGAACAGCATATGCCCAACTCACCGGTGCGCCCGATGTACACTTCGGTCGGTTTAGCTCTCTTGGGCGGCCCGGCGCTTTCCAGATCATCCAGGTCGAGGTCGAACTCTGCAGGCTCGGCCAGGTCTTGGAATGGATCCCATGGGCACTCGTGGTTCATCGTCCTCACCCTACCCGTCTCCAGTTCTACCAACAGTAACGACGTTTCCTTCCGACCCACGAACATCCTTCGGTCGTCGTCCGAGGGGAAGCTGAACGGAGACATGTCGACGAGCTGAGGCATAGAGAACGGAAGTCGTTGCAAAGGGCTGTCCGGGGTAGACATGATGTAGATGTCGCCAGACTGTGGTTCGACAAGATAGACCTCTCTGTTCACAGAGTCATCATCCGTAAGGTCTGGATCGAGATCCGGGTGCTTCGTGCGCACGAGAGGGCCAAGGGCCGCTGATTCAGTGCCCGAGGCCGTCTTCATCGACCAAATGAAGTCTCCCGACGTCCTGTTGAGCGCATGGAGCCTCCCATCAATAGAGGCGACAAGAACAATGTTCAAGAGATCCAATCCATTGGCCGCCGTCGAGCTTGGTGCCAGTCGGTAGGGGTTATGCCGCAGTTCAACAGCCGTAGAGAGGTCTCGGTTGGCTGTCCAAGGTGAGACTACGGGCTCTCCGAGACACTTCCCAGCCGCAAGCAGCGCAACGAGGAGGCCTTGAATGGTCATACTTCATATCCTCATAGTCAGAATGAAGGAGGAAATGGGAGATGGGAGACGAGAGATGGAAGCAAGACGAAAGATGGGCGTTGGTGAAGCCGTGAACATCGCCGCAGGCTAGCCTGCGGAGGGTCGCCAGTGACATGTGTGACCTATTAGGGTGACGCGTGACTTGGGATGCTATCTTCCGCTTCTCACGGAGCGCCCAAGCCAGCTATCGGCGGCTAACTGATAGTGGGTGAACTCAGAACTCGTCTTCAAGCTTTCGGATCCTCCTGCGTACCACACGATGCCTGACATCAACGTCGGCACACAGATCTTTGACTTGATCTTCCATCCTTCCAGCTCTACTGTGTATGCTGGTCTACTCACGGGCCATGTCAAGGCATTTGGCTACGACGACGACGGAGAGCATGACAGGAAATTCACTGTCCGACCATCGAAGCGGTCATGCCGAGCGTTAGCAATTAACGAGGATGGGGGCAGGCTGTGGGCGGCCGGAAAAGCAAAGGCGGTGTTGTAAGTCTAACCACAAATGTTCAAGGGGGTTTGAGCGTCTCATTCGCAGTCTAGCACACTTGATACGGGTACAGGCCAGATAGTCGACACTTGGTCCAACGCCCACGAGTGAGTCGGCGCCGGCTCACGCCTACGTATATGCGTCCTTGCTAATAGACGGTCCATGCAAGCACAGCCATCAATCGACTGAAGAGCCTTACGCCGAATCTACTTGCTTCAGGAGACGATGATGGAGTTATTAAGGCAAGCACATTGGCCGAATTTCTGTGTTTTCGGCTGACAGAACATTGATGTGCATACAGCTCTGGGATCCGCGAAAAGCAACTTCAATACGACAGTATACCCACCATTTTGACTTCATCTCAGACTTCCTATGGCTAGCAGACAGCAAGCAGCTCGTCTCGACAAGGTGGCTCCTTACACAACACAACTTCGATGCATATGTTGATTTCGACCAGTGGCGATGGTACGCTTTCCGTCATCGACGTCAGGTCAAAGAAGACCGAACCCGTCGCGCAGTCAGAGGACCAGGAAGACGAGCTACTCTCCATCGTGCCATAAAAGGGTACGTTCCGCTTCCCGCTTCCTGCTACGCCATCTCACTCCCGCCTAGCGGTCAAAAATTCGCTGTCGGCACTCAACTCGGCATCCTCTCCGTCTTCAACCGCCGTAGCGGCTGGGGCGACTGCGTTGACCGCATCCCCGGGCACCCCCACTCCATTGATACGCTGGCGGTCCTCCCCACCGCCTTCGCCCCGTCACAGACGACCATCCTCACGGGCTCCTCGGACGGCATCCTCCGCGCCGTTCAACTCTTCCCAACGAAGCTCCTTGGTGTCGTCGCGGACCACGGCGAGTTCCCTATCGAACGGATTGCAGTGGATAGAGGCGGTGAAGGGCGTTGGGTTGGGAGCGCGGGCCATGAAGAGGTGCTGAAATTGACAGATTTGCAAGAGGTGTTTGCAGACGACGATGACGAAGCGGAAAACGAAGAAGAGGGAAAGGACGCTGAAGAGAAGGGAGAGGGAAAGGCCAGTGAGAAGGATAGCGACGAAGACGATAGTGACGCTGAGAGAGAAAGCAGCGAGGAGGAAGGCCCGGGCTTGCCACCGGCTTCTCCGAAGAAGAAAGTCGAGACGGAAGTGGAGGCTGAGGCAGAGTCTGATGGTGAAGCAGCCGCTGCGGACTCAAGTGACGATGAGGGTGTGGTGGAGAGGAAACGAAAACGCAAGCAGGACAAAGATCCATTGAAGACCTCAAAACGGTCGAAAGGACGGAATGAGGTTGTCGCTGAGCCATCCTTCTTCGCTGACCTGTAGCCCGTGGGCAATCCTTCGTCCATTTGCCGATCTCCCTGCTATTATACATCCGATCTCTAGGTTCAGCCGCTGTTGAAAGGGCGAGAACTATACATACTGTCTCGGTCATATCTAAAGGCGTGACTACTGGTGGGCATAGAAGGCTTCATGACCCCTCTCACAGCTTCACCTTGACCCACTCCTTCACACCGGTGAGTAAAATGTTCCCTTCGCCAGCATGTCCTTTGCGAGACCTCGCAGTTCTTTGCGGAGCAACTTGCCACTGGGATTCTTCGGTACGCTTTCGACGAATTCGACGCCCGCTAACCACTTGTACCGCACTTTGTGGTCCGAGACGTGCTGCACGGACAACATCAGACATGGACATGCCTAACGAAATGCAATATGGCGGTAAGATGGACACACCCTCAGAACCGCGTCTCTGGTTTTGTCTGCTTCCGTGGTGGACCCCTTAACGCGTCTCACTGCTTCCGCACTGAGGACTATGAATGCGAAGGGCAGCTCGCCGTTGTATTCATCCGGGATGCCAACCACACAGACGTCGGAGACATCAGGGTGGTCGAGGAGATGCCCCTCGAGCTCGGATGGTGCGACTGCATGCCGAATTATGTCAATTCACATCTCATTGAATATCCTCTCTTAACTGACCTTGGAATCCTTTGACCTTGAGTATCTCCTGCAGGTGATGTCGGTGTGACTATCGTACCACTAACTGACCTCTTCCGTACGAGCTTACCTTGATACGGTCCGTAATGAATACCTCATACTTGTCGTTGATATAGACCTCATCCCCGGTGTAGAGCCAGCTATGGCGAGAAACGTCAGATCACATCATATAGCTAATGGGGCAGTTTTCATACCCATCGACGAAAGTTTCTTGTGAGCTGCCCTGCAGGTCAGTGACCATAACAACGAGCGCTGCAAACTCACGCTTTCTCATTATTCAGATACCCCAAAGCGACCGCATCGCTCTTGATCGCCAGCTCGCCCAGCTCGCCCAAGCCAGCAAGCGACCCGTCAGGCTTCACGACACGCACGGTAAGACCGGGAACTAGCCGCCCTGCGCTGCCTGGCGAGCAGATCTTCTGTTCGAGCTGCGGGAAGCAGACCGATCCCACAGCCTCCGTCATACCTGGTCCAGTCAGCTGTGTACGCCATGAACATCATAGGCAGTCGTACCGTATCCTTGTCCGATGCTAACCCAGGGTAGCCGAGCAGACAGTTGGTTGATGAGCTCAGCGGAAAGCGGTGCGGCACCGCACATGATGAGACCTAAGGAGGTCAGGTCGTAGCGATTCACTTCGGGGTTCTGTCAAGTTCTAAGTTGTTGCCTCTTGATGTCATAAGTCAGCGACAGCGACAGCATTCACCTTACATAGAAGAACGACGATGGGAGGCACAGCCCTGCGACTGGTTAGCACGTCACTCGTCAGTTCGTCAGGTTATCACACGTACGGGAGCATCCTGATTTTATGTCGTTGTATGCTTTGCAACATTCCTTCGAAACTGAACTTCGGGACTACTACGAGTGTTGTCTGCGCAAGTAACGCGTCAGTTTTGGATGGACACAGAAATACGATTGCTCCTACTCCATAGAACAACGCAAAGTGCATGATGCCAACAAGACCGTATATGTCTGGCAATCGTGAATACATCTGACTTCAATATACACGCTTGGAAGACTCACGGAAGAACGGCAAGGCTGTATGGAACACAGAGCCTCATTGGTCAAAGGCTCACCCTTCTATGCTAACGCGTTGTACTTACCGGCATACCAGCGATCGCCAGGACGATATTTCCGCTCGTCCCAGGGAGTAGTGTCTTGGATCACCAGATGGCCTTGTTGAATCATTCCTGCAATTACTGCGCTGTGGGGAATGCAGACTGCCTAGTAGCAGTAGGATTCACTTCTCGCAGTAGTACCTACCGCTAGCCTCGTCCTCACCTTGGGTTTGCCTGTGGTTCCGCTTGAGAGGTTGATATAGGCTAGTTTTGACTTGCCCTCATTCGGGCCCAATCGACATTCAGTGAAACTCTGTGGCCTCGAGGATCCTTCGTTGACAAGTTGAGAGATGGTGAGATGTGTCAGTGATGCTCCACCACTCTCCGCCACGTCGAATAGAACGATCCGCTCAAGTGGTAGTCCTACCGCTTTTGCCGCGGCACGACCCACAGCCAAGTTCCAAGGATGCACGACAAGGAGTTTTGTATTTGTGATTTTGAGCTGGTACTCGAGGTCGCTGATCGTGTATGCAGGGTTTGAAGTTCTGAACCCAATTGTCAGCATTGTATTTGATCATGACTTTCATGATACCCACGTAACAACAGCTCCAAGCTTCTGTACAGCGCTATGAAGTGATTGATTAGTTTAAGGGTTCCAGAATGGACACTGAGAATGCCTCATGTACAGCGCGACTACTGGAAAGTCTATGGGGGTAAGACATTAGACTGAGAAGGGCAACTGAAACGGTGTACCTACCTACGTGGTTCGGAGTACAGATGCAAACTGCACCAAGAGGCAGTCAGAACGACTCAGAACGTCAGCGTCAGCACCGAGATTGCCGCACCGACGTCGTTGTTCCCTATAGTACACAGGTTACAAACATTCACCAAACAGACTCGACCACCAGCTCACTTATTTGACAACGGGAATGTAACGCATTCGCGAGCGCGGTCGTACGCGTACGAACCTAGTATATTCGTTCATAGAAGCTGAATCAGCGTATCGCAGTGTCTCCAGGCCGGTAGCACTAACCTCATCGAACGAGATTGAGCGACCGGTCGCATCCTCGATCATACACGGAGCGCGCGACAGCAGCTTTGGCCTCGCCGGGTGCCAGTCTATATTGAACAAGAATTGGGGAATAGTGAGGTTGTAGGGGACCTCTGGTATGGGTCCACCGGGGGCATGTATCACGGACATGGCTGTCGGGGACAAGGTAGAACCTCTTCTCAGTGCGCCTGCTCCTTATGACGCTGGGAACATCCTCGTCCAATAGGATGCGATCAGCATATGTACCAGAATCACACCCGCGGGTGAACAGAATATTCGTCGCAGGTGTTGAGCCGCAATGCGGATGGCACGCTCCCGTGTGACACCAAGCCCTGTTGCTTCTAATACTACAAGGCGGACGAACCGATTATCAATACACACATGCAGTGCTACACAGGTGACAGAGTACAGTACATCGCAGACACTATGCATAACATGGAATGATGGTCCGTACCCAGTCCTTTGCTCAATCTTTCCTATGTCACCTTGTCCAAGCAGTCATAGTAGACTGGAATCCATTTTGGTTCTCATATGAAGGAACGATCCCACGGCCGCCCACACTGAGCTGATGCGTCACTCCCACCGTCGACAGGCTGTAAACGCTTATGGACGACTGTGCGTCGATGTTGAGTAGTTGACTCTGGCACGACGAGTCTTTGAGGCAGGCCTGGCCATAGCTACTGAAGAAGCTGTACAAGCCAGCACCTAATCCAACTATTTAGCATTTTGAGAGCGAGGGATCGGAACGGGAATTACCGAAGATCAAGATGCCGTGCGAGTCCTGCACGTTGACCGCCCAGGCGGACGATTGGCCTGAAGGGAAGGTCGGATCTTTGTACCGGCTCTCGATAGCGAACGGCGCGGGAGGAGGTGGGGATGGCTGGTAATACGGCTGTCGTTCCAAGATTCGAACAGTTGGGAGAGTCAATGATATGCATGATAGGTCAACCGAACAAGAGGACTGACAGATTCCGTCTGCAATAGCCCCAGATAGTGGTCCCGAGCATTGACGAAGTTGTATTGATACAGCGTGTGATGCTCAGCTATATTTCCGTTAGTTCACCACTCACCAGGGTTGAGACTCGAGACGCACAAGCTATTATGGGTAATCTTGTCTGAGTGCGCTGAATATATAACACCAGACTCACGACTCACCAGTTCCAACCATCCACACGGGTCCTTGCGACTCGGACAAAACACCTCGACCGCTGTATACCGTGATCTGCGACTTGCCGTCGCCGTCTAAGTCGTGATCCGCAAGCCAAACCCATGTGCCCTGTGAAGTACGATCAATTGTCAAGAGCTGGTGAAGTTTTGAGGAAATTCACTTGCCTCCAAGTAGGCATTCGATTGTGGCGTCAGATGCATTGCAAGGAATGCCGCATAGCACTGATCAGAATTCGGCTGCAGAGGGCACTGCGCGCGTTCCAGGTTTGTTCCCGCCGCTGGACAATCACTCATATGGTCAGCGGCTTTCGCGCGTGTTCATAAATCACCCACCTCCAGCCAGTCTGTACCACATAACGCGAAATGGTCAACACATCGAAATATAAGTCATCTTGGCACCGCAAACACACCGGATGTGACTATCCCACATTCCTGCACCACCCTGCACGTCCGAATGAACATTCCACTCCAGGACGATCGCGCCAGGCGCCGGCCCCCTCGTAGCGAACACGATATCCGAAATCTCCAGGATACCCTTGGAGCCACGCTCACCCGCCCGCACCATCACCGCGGGCTGGTCACGTCCCCGAAGGCTGGCCCACCACCCATGATCACAGTCCACGCCTCCCCAACGAGCTGCGTGCCCGCCGGGATGAACAGCGTGTCCGTAATGTAGTACGTCCCGTGGTCGAGAATATGATCTTCTTTCCCGCGTACTACCACATAGTTTATAGATCACTTCGTCTCGTATTGAAAATATACAACGCACCTCGTTGAAGATGCGCTGCAGCGCCCGAGTGTCGTCCGTCCGTCCGTCGCCCTTCGCACCCAGGCTCTTCGCACTGACGATCTGGTCCACCCCATAGTCTTCATACTGCGGGTGCATCCGGCCAAACACCTTCCCTCCCGCGTCGAGCACGCTCTTCGCCTTCACGGGCGCTTCACGATGGCCCTGCACGAACCTCCTCGCGCCGTTCGCACCCTCGTACACGTTGCCCTGCACCCAGCTCTCGATGGTCGTCGTCCCCCGGGCAGGATGGTCGCGCCGCCGAGGATCCCGACGGCAACGGGCACATTGGTCAGCTGGACGTTGTTGAGCACGAGCGAGCCCGCGAGGGACGTCGTGTGCACGGACGACCGCACGAAGACCGGTGTGTTCGAGACTACGGCGTCGATGATCGCCTCGGCGCCGACCGTCTAACAAGCATTAATAGTCGGCGCGGGCGGTGAACTCGAGCCGATTACCTGCGTGTCTGACGTCGTCCCGCCTGTCTTCAGGTCGAAGCCGACTTGGCAGTTGTTGACTATCTGATGTTAGAACGACTACCATTCCCCAGGCACCCACGTACTTGTGATTCCTTGGAATGTCCAGCCTAGTACACCGTCAATAGCTGTCTATGTGTCTATGACTTGTCGTCACTCACCCCAGTTCCACATTCCATACACGGCTATGTTTGCTCAGCATGCGGACGTGCACTACACAGGCCTGGTGCGCTCACCGGTCTCGCAGTTGGTCATAGTGACGTTCCGTACGGTGAACCTATTTTCGTCAATGCAGCCTTGCCATCGGAGAGACGAGCTATGCTTACTGCTGGTTCCCGACCCACATCCCGAACTTACCTGCCTAGAAAGTCAGGATGACATACAGCATTGCAACAACCTGCACTGGCCTCCGTAGAATTCCATGTCTACGCGTACCCTCATCTCAATAGGCGGTGCGCGGCAAAGTGGCGGGCTCACCTCCCATGTAACCGCCGCTACCGTTCTCCATCCAGATGCCTACACATGGTGTCAGACCGACAGCATCATATTCGCATGCCACATACCCTGGTGAGCATTCCCCTTGCGATCGCTCATCACGAAGCGGATGTTCATCAAGCTCGTCGCCTGCGAGACCTGCCAGTGGATCCCCGTCGCGGAGACGTGATCGGGCACGCGCCGGGTGTCGATTACAAAGTTGCGCACGCTCCGGAAGAAGTTGTTCTGGTTGATGTACCATTGCGCGCCGCCACCTCCGGGGATGTACGGGTCTGCGTCTAGTGGGCCTCGTCAGACGATGTCGGGGAGCGCAGAAACTCGGGATGACGGACCAATGACGGCCATCCCGCTGAAGTTGGAGCCGGCGAGGAGAGTAGGCGGTGCTCGCGCGTCGCCGATGAGTTGGTGTAATAGTAGGCACTTTGAAAGCATGTTAATGTGGAGATAAGTAGGTATTAGGATATCCGACTCACATTATCGGGCTGATACTTTGTATGTGCTGGCAGTCGCAATGATGAGTCAACGATTATCTAGTACCTCCGCTTCAGCTCACCCTTGCGGGAAGTACACGATGGCCGGAGTGACAGTCGAAGATTCGCAGTTCCCGCCTCCACAACGCCCGCCATACGACATTGCCGCACTGCAATCGGTTGCTATTCACATCATTCCCGCAGCTCAACACACGCTAGGGCTTACTTGATGGCCTCAGTATCGTCCGCCCGTCCGTCGCCTACTGCGCCGAAGTCCTTCACATTCCTGAAGACCTGGTACGCGTCGGGCTTCGGATTGAACGCGGCCACACCCTGATGGTTGACTCTTTCCATCCAATACGGCTCGCCAGGCGCTGCGTTCCCCGGTCCAACGGGTGAGTCGTTGAACGTCGGGCGAGACATGTTCGGTGACGGCGTGGGCACTGCGAACGGATCCTCAGTCAAGATCACAATGCCTCCAAACATGGTGGCGGAAACAGGCCGAGAAGGAGATGCAATGAGCTTCGTATGCGAAAACCAGTACGTTGTCATGCAGAAAGCGAAGATGAACTGTACTGCAAGCCAGAATTTGAAGGAAAGACTCGGGCGTGCTGTGGGCATTGTGGGTTGACATACAGGGTGCGGGTGGTTTCCTGAGCTTGTCTTGAATTCTGTGGATCAACTTGCTCATTGCAGGCTGCTGCTGGGCAAAGCTGAGCAACGAACCTGACTGCTGCAGCGCTGCAGGAGGAAGAGCGGTTCACGGCGCGCGCGGGGATTGCACGGAAGTACTAACCCATTGTATCTAAACCATCGGAACAAGTGTTATCGACCTTTACATATGTATTTCGTGCACTTAACATTGGATGCCGACCAATCAGACGGCGTACCGACCAAGTAAAACTCTGGTGATTTGCGACGACCTCGATGATTCAGACAGTAAGTGTTATGTTACTATGAGTGACGGTTTCGTGGAAAAATACTTACGGGCAAGTCTTACTTTCGCGTGATTAGACTTAGTGGAATTGGCGCCCGGCCGACGTGCATTACGATGCGCCACCTGCGAGCCGGTAGTCCTGTGGATGGTAGGTATTCGCGTTTTCTGGGGGGTGTATGTAGTAGATGTCGGGTGTCGAGTTGGTTGGTTTGTACGCACTTATGAGTATGCACAAAATGTCGAAGTCGCGAAGTCTAAGTTATGGTCTCGGCCCGGTATGAGGCGGGTCTCACGTGGTTTGTGCAGTACCGTAGACCTGATTTGAGTACCATATAATCCGATTCAAATGCGGCAAGACTCTGCAACTAAGCAGGTACCATTTTCTGCATGTTTTGTGGAACTTTCGCACTTGGCGAACCTTGCAAAGAGTTGCTCCGGATATAGCAGGTGCCCTTCCTAAATTGGAAGGTCTTTTACGTCAAACTTTCAGACTCCGCCGCGGCTTCTGAGGAGTGAAACAGATATAAATTCACTCGGCAGTTCTCTGATGAAATCACCCACCTCCCGATCCCCGTTCTGCATTGACATCGTAGATGCCCGTAGATGCCAGCCGTTCGACGAGCAAATAGGCAGGCTAATCGAGAAGTCTTCTCACTTTTAGCTTTGGAGGTAAGTCGGCATTGCCTTATCACCTGCTTGTATCGTTGCACTTCTTTTCTCACTCACTGGGCGTGCTCAATTGCGATCGAACCACGCGTTGATATAACGGCCGTAGGCAATGCCTCCTGTAGCTTCTCGCTTGTCTCGGAATGACATGCTGCATGCATCGCGTTCTTGGCTCAGAGGTGAGTGCACTACTGTACAGAATTTATCGAATGTTGACGCATGTTGAGTCTCTACCCATTGACTATATCAGGGACCCCGAGCTCCCGAGAGAGCAGTACCAGCACTGGGAGACGCCATCGATCGTGCGGGATCGAAGTGTCCCTGAGCTGCCGCAGAACCTCCTGTCGGACACGGATTCACTTCACCCGCGCTCGGGTCATGTACCCTCAATCTCGGCTGCATGGTTCAAGGCATGCATGACGAATTTAGTGAACGGCGCCAGCGATCCCGAAGGCTCGTGAACGTCGGCTAGCGAGCCGCTGCGAACACTGGCAGGCACCCAGGGGCCAAGCCCGGGGATCGGGTCGTTTCACGTGCCGCGGGGTTGCGGGGAAGGCAGCTGGTCATTCTCGTGTCCGTCCCTCGCGACCGTGTGAGTCCTGTGAGCGGACAGCTGCCATAAAACCCGCTATGGCTCCGCCTGTCACTCAGGAAGGCCTTCCCGTGGCGTGTCCTATTCTCGCCTTGCACGACGCCCTCACCGAGTTCGACAGTCATGACTGAATTCCACGGGCCCGGTGGCCCTCTTCCCCACGTCCCCGATGATGTCACGCTTGTTCAATTCATGCTCGACTCGGACCACCCTTCGAGGCCAGTGAGGAGAGTCCTGCAAGGAAACCCCTGGATGATCGAGGATGCGACGGGCAGGCAGATCGGGTATGGCGAGGTATGCGCTCATTCGACTGCCGTGCTCGACTACCCTGACGAGGAGCTTAGGTGCGATTGCGTACACATGGATTGGCTAACGCGATGAGTTCGCGCTGGGGCATCGGTGCGTGGGCTTCGGACTGACCGCTCGTTCATCGCTGACTCAGATAACAGTCGAGGACGACGTAGGTGCGCGTCTTCGCTGTCTCCGAACGCGGCACGCTTGACTGATGCTCCGTACAGTTTGCATATTCGGGCCCAATCACGTCGGTATGTTGGCAGGGTCGTCTTCTCTGCCATTTGTCTGATGCAACACTGCCCAGATTACCCAATCGCTGTTTGGTGAGTGCCATCGCGAGCAAGCGGTTCTAACATGCCGACATCTGGGTCTTCAGGTCCATTCACAGACTCGGCGCCACTGCCACGTATGTAGATTACTATGCTACACGGAGTACTGAACTGACTGTGTTGCCAGTTGCGCGAACCCCGCGTACACCGCGGGGGAACTACAGTACCAACTTGAAGCACGAAAGCGAAACTGCTCATCGTAGACAAGCTCAGCTACCCAGTTGCAATGCCGCCGCCAAAGCCGTGGGTCTCCCACTCGAACGCATCGTCTTGTTTGACCCGCTGGAGAACTCGACATCCTCGTATACGCACATACTGTGCACGAGCTCGTGAAGGAGGGCTTGGAGAACCGCAAGCTATGTGGAGCGCAAGCTGAAGCGGGGCGAGGGTAAGACGAAGCTCGCGTTCCTCAGCTTCTCGAGCGGGACGACAGGCAAGCCGAAGGTAAGATGGGTTCCCCGAGATGCGTGTGGATGATTGACATGCTATTGGAACGACAGGCGGTGTGCATCGCCCATTACGCCCCCATTGCAAATGTCATCCAGATGGCGCACCTTGCGAACCAGCAGCCGGGGCCTTGGGAAATCGTAAGTACAAAACTGGCAGTGTTGCCATGGGTGGTATGTCCGAGCGACTGGCATCCTCCGAGTCTATTTGTGGGATGCAGTGCTTCCGTTTTACCGTAAGTACGGCAATCTAGCCGCAGCTTCACCTAATTCTGGATATCAGACATTTACGGCTCGTCGTCATCATGCATTTCATGATGTTCTATGGGGTGCGTGCGACGTGTTCCAGGCATGAAAGAAGCACTGATCTGCGGACGGACGTTTTCAGGCCAGCCTGGTCGTCGTCCCGAAGTTCAACTTCCTAGATTTTGTCAAGCATACAACGGCACAAGATGGCTTCATCCCGTGGGTCTTCCCCCTTGATACCTCCCTCCGGTCCTGCTGACACCAACGCGGACAGGGTGGTTCCCCCGATGGTCGTCCTCCTCTGCAAAGTGGGTACATCACGACCGGTATATCGGGTGGTCATTGAACGTGTCCACCGAACAGCATCCGGCGGTGAAGAACTACGATCTGAGTTCGATCCATGCGATCATGAGCGGAGCCGCACCGCTATCACCCGAGCTCACGAACCAGTTATCAAAGATCCTGCCGCAAGTATCCGTGGGGCAGGGGTACGGTGCGTGCCCCTGATCAATGATCCACCGACATGTGTGCTGAGCGGAAACGAAGGGATGACGGAGACCTCCACAACAATCTCCTTCCCGCAGATCGAGCAGAAGATATGCACGCCGGGCTCGGGCGGGCGGCTTGTGCCCGGTGTCATCGCGCGTGTGGTGAAACCGGACGGTCGCTCGCGGGCTTCAATGAGCCGGGGCACCTCATCGTGAAGGGCCCCGCGAATGCTCTGCGCTATCTGAACAATGAGCAAGCGTGAGTGGTGCCTCGCCGTCGAACGTGCTGTGGTACAAGACGGGACTAACTTCTGGCGCGAGCGTAGGACGAATGAGACCTTCGTGGACGGGTGGGTGCACACGGGGGACGAAGTAATGATCAACGAAGAGATGGAGGTATTCATCGTCGATCGGATCAAGGTATGCACGTCCGCCATCGTTGGCGCATATCGCCTGTGAGACGAAATGGACTGATCTTCCCTCCCTACCCTTACCCCGTCTGTAGGAGCTTATCAAGGTTCGGGGCTTCCAGGGTGAGTCCATCGACACAGCACCACGCGACGTGGATCTGACGCTCGAGCAGTGGCCCCTGCCGAGTTGGAAGGCCATATCCTAGACCATCCAGATGTGGCAGACGTCTGCGTCGTCGGCTTGCCGGACGACTATAGCGGGGAACTTCCTCTCGCGTTCGTTACACCCAGCCCTGCGCTGCGGAGCGCATGAAGAAGGATCCCGCCGAAGCTGCCAAAGTCCGAGCATCCATTATGAAGGTGAGTCTTTTTCTCTGATACTGAACTACATCCATCTGCATGTGTGTCGACTGACCTGGGCTCGGCAGCACGTCGCGGACGTGAAGGTGCATTATAAACGCTTGAGGCCGGTGTGGAGTTCGTAGATGTGATTCCGAAGAACCCGAGCGGGAAACTGCTGAGGCGAGTGTTGCGGGATCGGGCGACGGAGCTGAAGAAGCAGGGTAGGCTGTCGAGACCGCCGAAGTCGAGGATGTAGTTCGGAATTCACTACTGCATGCGCCTCCCCTCGTAGTCCAATGACTTCGCGAGGCGCAGGTATGTTATCAATGGCGGAGCAATGTGCTATCAGTATGGTGAGGGCCAGCAAATTTACCTGTGCCATCATTCAACTTATCTGTCGAACTCTTGGTCGTCAGGTTCGTACATAATTGAGCATATGAATTGTCGCTCCCACACAATGTGGACGTCGTTGTAGGCATCGTGAAGAAACGCCGAGGGGGTACGGCGTAAGTTATGTAAGTACTACCGGCCTCAAAGGTGCTCGCCGGCTTTTATATGGTCTGCAGCAGAGACTGCCGGCTCAGAAATGTGAAACACGGGTGAAACATACGATCTGCGTACGCGTGTGGTCTGCTAAGTCGTGGTGTACAATACATACGGAGATCGCATATTTATTTCTGCTCACCTGCACAGGTACTTTCAAGTCTGTTCCTGTCAGTCGAGTCGCTGTACATGTATCAGTAAATAAGTGAATAGCATTCCCTTACATTGTAAGTGTCGAATTACCGGGGCGAACAATATTCCTTTCGGTACTTAGCTGCAGAAGCGTGATTAAGTTGTACGACACGCCGTTGGCTGCTCCGCTGTCTGCCTCCCATCATGGATGGTCAATTCACTTCTTGGCTGATGATATCTTCTGTGACAGGACGCCGAAATGAAACCGGCGCAGTTAAGCAAGATGCGACACGCCTATGCACTTATAAAGACGCGTTATCGTCGCCCCTGCCTCCGACTGAGTCAGACTATCTCCCACCATGTCGCAAATCGGCGTCGTCTACACCCTGAACAGGCTTCGCAGCCAAAGTACGCGTCCGTGCACGCTCTACGACTGGCAGAACGAGGGGTCACGTATGTGCGCGTGCAATGGGTCGACCTGGTGAACACCGTACGCTTCCGTATCCTCCCCGTCTCGTACTTCACCAGACTTTGCGAGACGGCGCGCCCTGGCGTGGGCTTGTCTCATGTAACGCTGGGACTGGTGGGACTCAACGCGGCCGAGGGATTCAACGGGACGGGCGAGCATCTCTATGTCATCGACCTGAACAGTTTCCGTCTGTGCCCGTACGCCCCCGGGCAGGCGGTGGTGATGGGCTGGTTTCAGGAGAAGGCCCCGCTTCCGAACGGCAGTTTGGCCAACCCGCTGTGTCCGCGGACTCTGCTGAAGCGCATCGTCGACGAGGCTCAGGCCAAGGCCGGGCTCTCCTTCCTCGCCGGGTTTGAGTCCGAGTTCATACTCCTGAGCGCGATATCTCCCAAGCCCGTGACGGTGGTCGATGGCGATTGGTCGTGTTCAGCGAATTCCGGACAGGTACAGTGGGGAACACTGTATTGATGGAGATCGCAGACGACCTGCAGGAGGCGGGGCTTGAGTTGCAGATGATACACGCGGAGTCGGCTCCTGGACAGGTAGCTATCACCCGCAGCTCATTCTAGCGATTTGTATGCTGACGAGCGACTGACAGTTCGAAGTCGTCACTGGCCCTCTGTCCCCGCTCGAGGCAGCCGACGCGGTTGTGCACACCAGAGAGACCATCTACAACGTCGCCAGCAAGCATGGCCTCCGTGCTACGTTTGCCCCGCGGCTGCACGCCGACAACTGTACGTCTTCCTATCAGCCAGTCACCACAGGGCGCGGCTGACTCGCAGCATCCGTCTCTCGCAGGCGGCAACGGTGCGCACCTGCACTTCTCTGTTCATTCAAGCAAGCCTCCAGCGACCGGCGCGCGACCCGACGCCGCGCTCGCACCAACGCTCACAGCGACGGAGCGGTCCTTCCTCCAGGGCATCCTCGAGCAACTGCCTTCCCTCTGCGCGTTCACGCTGCCCACCTCCGCGTCCTACGCGCGCATGGTCGACGGTATCTGGGCCGGCGGAACGTACTCCTGCTGGGGCATGGACAACAAGGACGCGCCGATCCGGCTGTGCGGCACGCAGGGCGCGCACCACTTTGAGATGAAGACGGCGGACGGGACGTCGAACCCGTATCTCGTGCTGGCGAGCACGCTCGCTGCGGGACTGCGCGGCGTGCTGAGCGGGGCGGTGCTGACGTCGGGCGACTGTGCGAAGCCGGTGGCGTTCATGAGCGACGCGGAGCGGAAGGCGGTTGGCCTCGAGAACCCGCTGAGGCTCCCGCGGACGGTGGGCGACGCGAGGCAGCTGTTGCAAGGAGATCAGTACCTCAGGGAGAAGCTGGGCGAGGAGTTCGTGACGAAGTATGCAGCTGTGAACAAGGTGCGTCGTGCCCTGTTTGTGGGGCGACCTGCGCTCACGCACTTCCCAGTTGTTGGAGCAGTACATGAGACTTCCGAGTGAAGAAGAGACGATCACGCGTCTGGTCGAGTACTACTGATGATCCGGCGGCAGTAAGGCCGTGAGCCTGTACTTTATGCACGCTGATCACCCGAACGAGCAAAACCGAGTCTATGGAGTATCACACATAGGAATTCCTCTAACACGAGCTGTGATACTTGCGTCGACTATGTACAGATTGTGGAGCACAGCCGCTTACGGCGATTATATCTGTCCAGGTGTCAGAATCACAACAAACGGCAGGTATCCATCGAGTCCGCCGATGGCAGACGTTGATCCAGCTGTGTCAAAGGGTGGCCGCTGTACGTGACCCGTCGGCACATATGACTAGCAGGGATCGGAAGTGAGACATCTGCCCGTTCACGCAAAGCAGCTCACTCACGTCTACGACAAATGTACCCAGGTGAAGGGCTTGACTAGACCGCGGTCAGACCACGGCTGGAGAAACCCTCGAAACATGGCCTCGAGCTTCCGTTTCAAATCCTCGACCTCAGCCTTGCTGCGGGCCATCCAACTCCACCCTCAGATCCCACATGTCCATCTTCACGTCGACATCCTTCAGCGCATCGAAATATGGCTGGCTCATGGCCTCGTGCAGGGCCCGCAAATCGAGGTGCCGGAGGGCTGATGCAAGGTGCTCCAGGACAGCTGCGAGGGGGACGTCCTTACCGCCGCGCTCAAAAGAAGTCGCGATCACGATGTGCTCGAGCTGGTGGCGGACGGTGGAGAGGACACCATGTAACTGGTGCGCTAGCCTTTTGTTCGTGTCAAGCCCCAGACCTTCTGTGGTGAGGGGGATGCTGTTGATATAGAGACCAAGGATCGCAACGTGAAATACTGCACTAGGTCGCCGTGGACATCTGCATCGTGCATGTGCGTCAGCGGTCGGAGCGACTCGTCCCAAGTTGATGTTGTTACAACATTCGTATCTGTCTGTTGTGAAAACTCATCCAGCCACCGGGCGCGTCGTCTGAACCCCCGTGCTTGCCTGGTCCAAGCAAGGTGAGCCCTCGAACTGTCTCGCTTCCCAATCACTGCTCAACTTCATCAAAGTTGTCCTAGACACGCTTGTATCATACTTCCCTCAGGATGAAGACTCAAACGTCGACCCCGATGCAACCACGCCTTCAGCCGCTCTACCCCGGGCCCCACTTTGTAGCCCTAGTCTACAGTATCTGCGGGCCATGATCTTAACGAGCTCGCTTACATCGCTGGCCAGGGCAAAGATGCAGAAAAAGAGGAGGCCCGCGGAAAAGCAGGCCGGCTACCGCCACCAAGGTGGAGGAGTCGTCTAGTACCTTTCTAAAAGTGTCCGCCAGGTACATGCCAAACGCTTGCGCAGATCCCACAGCGGCTGCTCAGCCCCCTAACGTTCACGACGGACAGACATTCTTGGGGTGCTCTACTCCTGTAGGACAGCGACACAGAAACACGACCCCTGCGGCGCAGTATGCCGTGCAGGTGAGTCTTGCCGGTGACGATAAATACATCTAAGTTTCCGAATGCTAATTGCACCCGGTCTCTAGGTGATCGAGCTCTCTTCGTGCGCCTCCTGATGCGCACTTCGCCGAGTGAGAAGATCGGCACTCCAGCCACGTTCTTACGACACGGCGCTGAAGCTGGGAAAGGATGTCGGTATACTATTGAACAGCCTGATATGGGAAGGTATACAGTATTATAACACGTAATGGGTTCGCGGACTCCTCCAAATCAATTCAAATCGTTAGAACATAAGATAACCCATGTTGTAACCCGAAGTAATGCAAGCGTTCCGACCATCCTGAATTACGAATGCAACGTAGCCTGGGTCAATGAATGTCGGTGTATCCGTGAATGCGTGGCTCAATGATTTACACGAATTACATGTAGTAGGTGGCACAACGAGTGGTAGCGGGCGGAGGGAACATGGCGGGGTAGTGGTGATAGGCGGTGACATGTGTGGGGATCAAGGTGGTGGTATGTAGGTAGCCAATCGAACACAAGGAGCTCTAATCTTCTTCTATGCCAATACGGTTTCACGTCGCGATGCCCATTGGGTTCTGGTAGGCCGCCCTCATCCTCGTCGAACTTGGGGGCCGCATCATGGTAGGGCGCGGCTTCGTCTTTCCGTCAGGCCCAACTGACGGCGCCCTTGTCGCAGTCGTTGGTTGCCCGGTCGGCTGTCGACCTCTGGGGCTACTGCTGGCTATGCTGGCCATGCTGACGTTGCTTGCCGTCGACAGTCGTGACCTGTCCGTTGCGTCTGACCGACGCCGCGAACTATCGACGTCCGCAGTACTGTGGCCTTGCGGTAGCTTTATCGGCCGAGCAACCTCCACGGCCCGTCCATTTGCCCATGCAGTTGGAGGCGCCACGGTACGTGCTGTTGTACCGCTGGGACCTTGTCCGACACTGGTACTACTTGCCGTCCGCGAGAGCGAACTCCGCAACGGCCCCGCACGTGATGATTGCCGCGACAGAGCACGGGGAGCTGGATCAGACTTGTAGTTAGAATCCATGTCCGACGACGATCGCTCAAGCCTGCGGGCCGCAGGAAGACCGCGTATAGATGGACCCGGTGGCGCTGACCTCGGTGTTCTGGGCGTTTCCTCAACATGAGATAGCCTGCTGGAGGAACGCATCGGGCGCATGGACGACATGACGAACGAGGCATGGACACGGAAGACGTGCTAGGTTTTCGGGAGAGGTCAGAGGGAAGGGATGCGCGAGGTCGGCGTTCTTCGTCGAGGCCCATCTCGTTGAAATGTCGAGAGAGTGACGAGGAGGTCGAGGTCGATGAGCGGAGGCTAGCGGGGAGGGACTTGCGACCCAATGTGGTACTCGACAGCTTGTGAGTGAGTGGGGATGGTGCACCCTCATCTTCACTGTCACTCCAGCCCAGTCCGGTGGTAAGACCGATGCCGCCTCGAAGCAACTTGCCGTCACGATGTCGAACTCGTCTGTAAACGGTGTCCCGTCCGTCTTTGAATAGACCAGTCTTCGTCATGACGGAGCCCGCTAATGATTCCTGTTAGATGCTTTCTGTACACGAAGGTGTTACAACCTACCATTCGAAACGACACTCATGTGGCTACCAGGGCGATCGTCGACCGGCTGAGACTGAGACTGCGGCAGAAGCTTCGAGTTAGGTGACAGCAAGCCATGTCGCAACATCAGATTGCTGCGCGGCCGTAAAAAGGTCAGCACAACTCTGAGACATGAACGGGATATCACGCACGGCAAAGGGGTGTGGATGTCAATGTCCGAGTCTGAATCACTTCCCTCCCCGTCCAGCGCCCGGTCCAACTTCTCCTCCTCCTCCACATCCACAATATCCACGGGCGTTCCCGTCGCATCCAGTAGAGAACCATAATCCTCAACGAAAGAGTCGTCTGCGGGTTCTTCAGCTCCCAGCCTCATAGGCAAACTCGGCCGTCCTCGCATACCCTCGCTCGTCTTGCGGGACCTACTGCTTACGAGCGTCGTACCGTCACTAACGTGTCGCCGGAGCGACCGCGCACGCGTACGCGAAACCGAACGAGACGGGCAACCCGATGACTTCCGTCTCGGGCGAGGCGTCTTTGCGAGGATCTGATCAATGTCTGGACTCTCTGCCCCCGCCCGCCGCGGCTCCATGGGCAACGGCGGAAGGGTTTTGTCCAGCAGCTTCTTCTTCGGACTCGGGATCGCCTTCGGCACGGGTTCCGCAATCTCGTCCTCCTTCTCGTTCAGCGGGGGGAGGTCGCGCATGTCGATGGACGAGATCGAGTCGTTCGCGTGGTGGCCGCGTCTGCGGTGCGAGTGTTCCTTGAGCACGGATTCGCCTATGCGCATCAGGCCCTTCTCGTCGTCGCTCATCTCCGGGTCATGAATCTCGTCGAGCGACATCCGTGTCAAATCGGCAGGGTCCTCCTCGCGTATCCTCGAATCGAGTACCGGAGACCTGTCCACACCAGCAATGGTGCCGCGCCATGAGGTCGGCGCGGCCAGCGAGCCGTTCGAGGGATAGGAATGGAGGGACCGCGTCGACTCGCCGCCTGGTGTGACACTTGCTGACGGTGATAGCGACGGGAGGCTGTTGCTCGCGCTGGCGCTGCTCGCTGTCGAGCTGCGACGTGAGTAGGTAGAAGTCGAGTTCACCGACATCTTGGATGTGCGCCTGGACCGCGCCGCGGTAATGAGCATCAGGGTTTCATGCTGGGAGACCGGAGAGGGGCCCGGAACGGGAGGGAGAGGAGTAGACGGTGGCCTCGAGGGTGGTGGGTTCACAAGGGTATCGATCGGCGAGGTAGGGTGATTAAACGAGGGCGGAGGGGATGGCCCGAATGACGAGCTCGAGGGAATGTGAGACGGTGGGAGCGGGAAGGAGGATAGAAGAAGGGGCACCGCGGGGCGACGATCGCGCAGGCTAGTACGAGACTCCGTAGTAAGTGTTGAGGCCATGGTGTGCGGGCGAGAGTGCGCTGCAACAAATCATCAGCTCCTTCACTTCGGAGCGAAAAGTAGAGACCACTCACCGGCTACTGTACGCTGTATGTGACACAGTTAACGAAAAAAATATGAACGGAGAATTCCCGGTCCAGTCTAAGCGAGGTCGTCGTGCCGCAAAGAGGCAGCAGTTGCGAACGAGAGAAAACTGCCTGCGAATAATATGAGCGTCAGCGGGGCCGAGGTACGTGCGACAGATCCGCCGACTGGCGGACTTGTGTCGATCAGCAGCGAGTGAGCGAGCGCACTTGCCTTCCAGTGACAGCGAACGGTGGCGTCGGACTTGCCGTGGGTCCGGACAGGCAGTAGGATCACTTCAAGTTTCTGTCAAGCATCGGGGAGAGCATGAGCCAAGCAACAGGGCCGGTAATCAAAGGAGCACGAAGAGAAGACGTGGGGCAAGCATCGCGAGGATGGCTGCCTCAGTAGGGTGTATGAGCTTGCAGCTGGTGTCCAGCGACCGTGTATCACTACTTATTCCCATCTAGGTCGCGCTCGCCATTAGCAGCCTCCCGCGCACCGGCGCTAAGGCATGCACCGTGGATACCCCGCGCTGCTACACACCGCCCTGGACACCAGGCGCATTTCGCGGTGATGCACGACGTGTCTCCTCGAGGAGAAGGCCTAAGCCACGATCGAACGGAGTTGTACGCACCCAGATGACACCAGATTCACTCTTCAAGGTCTCTGATCGGCTTGGCAAGAACGTAGGTCGTTCGTTGCGACGAAGCCAAAACAATGAGCGGAGGGTACGGTTAAAGCGAGCGACAAGCTAGATATGAGCGCAGGTCAATGCGTCCTGTCGGTGGGTCGCCTGAACCGGTATGCCAATTGTTCTCAGAGCGCCAGGGAGAGCTTGACGCCGAGGGCGCTGGTGTCTGTGTAGTAAGCGTGGTTAGCACTCAGTCTAGCAGCTAGAAGCGACACGAGCGTAGAAGACAGAATGCAGAACGATCCCGCGACGTCAGGCCCACCCTCGGAAAGGTTCAGTTTTCGAGGGGCACTCTCCGGCGTTCCCACCATCACTTCCACACCGGCGCTCGCAAGGCTCTGATGCAACCCCGCGAGGCAGTGAACTCTGAATTGACAACATGCCCCAGGGACGTTGTGGCGACGGAGATACGCGGCGCACGCTCTCTGGACGTACATGGCGGACGTGCTCTTCCCAGAGATACGCCACCACTGACTGTTCGACGATCGCTGCAGTGCAGCGTACTCTATCACAAGTCTGCACGCCGTGCCACCCTGCGCTCCTGGACCGACGGGACACCGATTTGGAATATTTCCGACGCAACGGAGGTGTGCAATGAATGTCATGAAGCCATATGGCAACACAACCACCGTCGTGGCGGCAATTTGTCCACTGCCTGTCTGCGTGATGCATGTTATGCGAGGGGCGAGCACGGCTCGAATGTCAGTGCAACCGCCTTCATATCACCGTACCTGAAGAGGCGACACATACGTGCAGACAATGGGATTCCCATGTTGTCGCCGTAGAAGGTCTCTGCACAGTACACGAACCGGAAAGTTGTGCGAGGACCCGATGCGATACGGCACGCACACGCCAGATGCATGCTACGAGACGTGATGGAAGATCTCAAGCTGCGAGCAAGGCAATGTTCTTCGACGTGGCCCGCAAGATTCTGCGCCCTACAAAAGTGCCCTGCAGTGACAGTCATGTTTGAGGTGCAGTCACCGGGCGCCTCGAACTTGATCGCCGTTGACAGCTGCAGGCCAGTTTGGGTCTACTTCGCCATTGAGGAGGACGGCGTGAACCCTGCGCAGGTGGCGAAGTGACCGTTTCCGGTATGAAGAGTGCCTGCGTAGGTAGCACGGGTGGGGTGGAAGCGTGGCAGGACTGCATCCGCAACCTTGCATGGAATCACGGACCCGGTGTCCCCCGCTCTTGGACCGACAAGCATTGAAGTGCGACTCACCTGGCACCGTACAACCCCAACCACTCAGATGCGCAACCTCCCGACGGCGATGATGGGCGAACGAGAGAAAGAAGCGCCCGATAGCAGTTGATCAAGAGTTGATCAAGGCGGGCTGGGAAAAAGACCGCGCGTCAACGACCACTGCAATTATTACGAGAGCGCCACCTGGGGCGCGCCCTGGTAGCGTATCTCGAAGCTAGGAAATGAAACGTACATGTGCGAGCGACGGATGGTGGCGTTGACTACCGTACCCGAACAGACCCGAACTATTGTCGTAAGGGCGCCTGGGGCGTACCGCGCGCCGTCTGGTGAGAGTAGGCTGTCTGGTCTCGACACAGCTGGCGAAGGACGGACGGGAGGGAGAAATTAGAAAAGAAGGATAGTGTGCCGGGGTATGGAGGTGGGGGAAGGCGGCAAGTTCGCTGGTCGTTCCGCTGTCCGAAAAAGATCCAACCTACCGCATCGGGCGGCCACATACGCCTAGCCAGATTAGGCCAGTCGTAGCCACGCCATCAATGGGGTGCGGGAAGGTGCGGGCGATGTTCGGATTCGCTCAAATTGACATTCGCACAGCTGGGAATTTTCCAGATTCTCAACATTGAAAATGGACAGAGTGTTCACACCATAGGTACGCCCTCTTGCATTTCTTCGATCGCCGTCAATGGTCATGAATGATATGTTTTCGGCGAAAACATCACATCTTGCGCGCTCGCCGCTCTGAGGAGCGCCGGGTATTGAATTCACCCTCTCATAAGACACGCTCGACCAATCATGCAAGGCTTCCGCGGTACTTAGGTTTACCGAAGATTTCCCTTCCCAATTTCCAAATCCTTCTCCTCCTTCAAGTTGCGCTTCTCAGCATCTCATCCCCGCATACGGCATGCGCGAAGGACGGATCGCATTCATCACTGCATAACATAGATACATAGATGTCACACAACGACCTCAGCGTGGATGACGGTAGGCGAGGGCGGTGAGCTGCTCTGCGACCTCTGCTGCTCCAACGCTGCATGCACATGCCATATCCAGGGGCTGCGCGTTCCGTCTACATGGTGACGAAACCGTTAGCGCGATCACAAGCACTCACGATCGCGCTAGTCACCGTCCAGCGCCTCGTGGTTACGGGACGACCGTTGTGGCGTTCCGGTGCCAACGGCCTTGCCAGTGCAATCTCCCCCGCTCGTGGCTGCCGAAGCTTTCCCACCGCTTCTCCCGGGGCAGTGAAGGCTTCGTATACTCCGTTATTGCTTCGTTATTGCTCTATCATCACTCTTCCACGACTTGCTACGGATGCTGAGCATGTCTGTGAGTCCGAGCAGGCTTCGGCAGTAGAAGCATCAGTATCAGTATTATCGCTTTCGTAAGTGTTCCGCACATCTTTACTTCCATGACTAGATCCGCTGACACACAACGCCTACATATATGGAACATCCATTCAGTGTTCACTGGACCACCTTCGCGGCAGCTTCATCATGGTCTCCAGAACCGAGATGGCAAGTATCCGTGCTCCGAAAGGCTTCCGGAGGCGGCTCCCCCGCCTGCGCATGAAGCCTGGCCGCGGCGTAGAATCAAATCCGTCATAACTTATGCATGAGCAGCTGACACGATTCGTACCGGACGCGCCCCCTGTAGTGAGTCGATCGTTAGCAATTGACCTCCAGCACCTCGCTAACGAGCGGGAAAATCCAGTCCCTCTTCAGAAAACATCACTGGGTCAGAGGGCCGTGCTGATTACTTAGTCCATGACCTCGAGAATCCAAAAACCGCGTAGCTCGGTACGTAAGTACTCCTCATATTATGTCACAGAGTCAGGGACAATCCCCCGTACCGGCGATTCATCCACTCGTCGTCAAGCAGACAGCCCGCCGTTGCACCCGCGTCGCACACTGTCGCTAACTTGGCGTGCGGTGCGAATCAACGGAAATTCGCGAGCTACTAGGTGAGTCTCGAGCAGGTCTCGAGCTGTCCGTTTGTCTGATCGCGCCTTCACTGGTCAAATCTGACCTACTACGCGGCTGCCCCAGTCGGTGTGCAGTTGCCGGCGGTGCAATGGCCGGCGGACTTGCTCAAGGCAGTATGTCAGCGCCGGGAGCCAGGTGAGCAGGATGGTTGGAAATTGGTTGGGAGAGCGCGCAGAGGCGCGTAACTGCCCCCAAACTGCCCCCAACGCCGGCCCACGGTCCGTAGTAACTAAGTCCAAGCAGTCCTAGTCGAGGGACACTCAACTGGCAGCACGGCTGAAGCCCGAGATCAGTTTACCCTTCATTAGAATGCATTGAACCCTCGGGTGGTGCAGTCAGATACAGTAGGACATGACGGTGCCCCCCCTCCCCCCGACCCTCGGTTTCTCATTTTGGTCCCCGGTCCATATAACACACTCGGGATAACTTACCTGCCTCAGTCTCCCTTGCCCATGGCGGCCGAACCCAGCAAAGCCCAAATACTCGCATTTCCCACGTCCCACCCCAGAGTTCAATTTGAATATCTGGCGCAACTATCAGTCGTCCCCACCAAGCGTGTCTTCGCTTCCACAGCGACTTCACTGATGCCTTCCATCGATAGCGTCCCCAGGGCAGTCGCATAAATAGACTCCAACACTACTGCTACATTCTAACGGATTGGACGAATGCTCTCGCGCATCTCTTTGGGGATGGAAGAACATCGTTGATAGCGTCGTGTTGCGTAGTACCACTCCGAATGAGGCTACACCCGCTCGTAAGGCGTCCGAAGTCGACGGAACTGGGAAGTCGGAACAGCCGTAGTACCACCTACCGTTCCGAGTCATTAGTTCAGGCTACGGTGTATTCGTTATTCAGGATGGTCGGAACGCTTGCATTATTACTGCGGGTTATGGCAGATTATCTTGACGGTTTGGATCGATGTGGAGAATCCCGCGACCCATTACGTGTTACCATACTGTACGCCCTCCCATATCAGGCTGTTCAATGGTACACCGACATCCTTGGCCAGCTTCAGCGCCGTGTCGTAAGAGACGCCGCACTTAAACGTAGCCGGACTGTCGATCTTCTCACTCGGCGAAGTGCGCATCAGGAGGCGCATCGAAGAAAGTTCGATCACCTGTAGACCGCGTGCAGTAGCATTCGGAGATTAGGACGCTTCGGGTCCGGGCAAGACTCACCTGCGCGAAGATCGCAACGCGGGAGATCTCGACGTCGGTGTACTCCCCGGGCACGGTGTACTGCGGGGCAGGGGGGCGTGTTTCTGCGTCGTTCTCCTCCAAGAGCACCCCAAGAATGGCGACTAGCCTATCCAACGTGAACGTTAGGGGGCCGAGCAGCCGCTGTGGGATCTGCGCAGGCGTTTAACTGACGCACACTAGAATGGTAATGCCATGACTTGCCTTCGTGGCGGTGCCCGGCCTGCCTTTGCGCGGGCCCCCTCCCTTTCTGCGTCTTCGCTTGCGATCATCCAGACCCCGCCCGAACATCCGCACGTCGCTCTTCGGCGGGTTCGTGCTCGCCAGGAACGCAGCGACAAGGACGAACTTCGCCATCCGCGGCAAGTCGTCGACGCCTCTGCCAATCATGCCGTCCGCATTGCCGAGCGCAGCGGACCGGAAGGCGTGAGGAACCTGGGAGGGGTGCAAGGCAAGGAGATCCGGAGGTGGCGCATGCGTGCGCGCCCAGTCTGCGGCGTTGGTGAGTCGGGGGTAGAGTGCTTCCAGGGCTGCGGTGAGAGAGGGCGTGAACAGGCGGAGAAGGCGGAGGCGAGTGTCCTCCGTCGGCGCGACGAGCTCGGGGGGGCCCATCTCTTCGTCCCCTTCGTCATAATCGCCTCGGTTCGCGAGGTATTCCTCGTACTCGCGCAAGCGCTGCCTGTGCTCGTCGAGCACTGGCTGAATGAACCCTGGCCAGCGTGCCGCGGCGATGTAGGCGAGCTCGTTGGGATCGTGAGTGAAAGGTCCGCAGATGCTGTGAACCGTCGCTATAAAATGGGTGTAGAGTGCTGGAAGACGGGGTTGTAGGCGTCGGGATCGACGTTCGAGTTTACGAGAGTTGAACTGTCCTGAGGGAAGTATGATGCAAGCGTCTCTAGGACAACTGTGATCGAGGTGAGCAGTAATACATGGGAAACGAGACGGTTTGAGGGCTCACTTTGTTGGAGAGGACAGGCACGGATATGTGAAGAGGTTCAGGCGACGCGCCCAATGGTGACCGGAGGTCCTCCCAGCGGACGTCGGATACAAAAATCGTGACAATATCAACTCGGGACTGTTTCTCGACACGTTAGAATGGGTGCGTTCGCATGCGAACAAGACTCACCAGCTCAGCGAGCCGTGTGAGAGGCACCAAGAGCTCGGGTGTGTTCTCCTTAAGTCGCTCTGGACGTTCCACCACGAGCACCATTCTGCATCTCTCCCTACCCCATTGCTGTTCGTGTTTGCTCTCTCTTTGCCCTTCCTGCTGGGACTTGCCGCCGACTCCGACTGACCCGCCTCCGCCTCCGCGACCACCGCTCTCAGGCCATGCAGGAACGTGTCGATGCTCTCATTCCACCTCTGCCCCTCCCCGCTCGGCCCAGCCCAGTTTTCGCACCCATCTTCCCAGGTCGGTGTGTGTCGAGCGAGCGCGTTTATGACCGTGTCATAGAAGAGGCGTGGCGTGAAGCAGGCCACGGCATTCGCGAACGCGTACCTGAAGCAGGGAATTTCCTCAGATAAGTGCTCAAGCAGACCACGGAGACATTCGGATGCGATGCGAGCACACTCCGGGTCGTAAACATGGATGAAATGAAGTGGGCTTGTCGCGAGTAAGGTGGCAAGCTGGGTGGTCACGTCTTCATAACCAGGATGTGGCCGCCACGTCTTTTGTGAGTGTACATCATAGAATTGGCACCCGTACGCGTAATCTGAGTGGGCAACAATGTGGTCGCGCAGTTGGAAGAGTCAGGCAGTAAATGGCCGGCTTCAACAAGTTGGTTGAAGCGGGCGATCATCGACCTCATAAGGCAACGGTGTCACGTGGTGCTAGACTGACCACGACAATGGGCGCTAGCAGTGCTAGTTATCCCCACATCGACAGTCGACTCTTGACTTGTACTGGTCTACATCCAAACTCTACCGCGTCTATATACTCTGTATCTACTCCTTTCCTCACGCTGTGCCCACATAGTTCAGAATCAGTGTCGGAATACCCTTTGTTCGCCGCATCGCTGAGGATGATGGCGAGCAAGGCCGGTGTCGCGAGGACGATGGCTCTAGAGGAATGACGTCGTTTGGTCCCGGACTGGAGCGCAATAGTTGAAGGCACGACACCAGCGCGACACTGCACTGCTCCTCTTCACTTGTCTCCCTCAATTGTCCTCCCCCCTCCCAAGTTGAAGAGGTCGTATTTGTGGTCTAGCCACGGGAGATAACTCCTCGCTGTCGTACGATTGTCCATGAGCAAGCTGGAAGTTACAGATTCGTCAACTCATAGCCCTGAATGTGCCTACTGAGCACTCTCAAGCTCGCACATCTTCCTCGACTGTCGGTCGGACTACCTCGCGCGGGAAGACACGCTCCGCATGTAGCTTGGACTCTGCGACGACCCTACTCTGGTCTAAATCTCGTACCGTCGCGGAGACAGCTGCTTGCCGGGGCTTCAAGTCTGCCTTGGACATCTCAAGTCGCTTCGCAGAGGCGATGGGAGCAAACCACCCCGCAAGAGGTCGAGAACACCAATGTGGAACACTCGCGCTTTGTCGCAGAGGCTCCGGCCAAGGCGCGGTGGAAGGAATCGGCGAACGGCATGAGCGGGACTGAGGCGACGGGCGAAGACTTCGAGTCCATCAGCGAAGGCAAAGGTGCGCATATACTCACCCCATGTACCGCAGGACACGCCGTTTACCGGAAGTCACCCAGGAAAACTCTCGCCGACGTCCTCCCACCTCTTCAAGCTCATCCTCCCGCTGGGCCAGCTCCGCTCGCCCGACAGGCCCAACAACAGCATCAAGCCGCCCCCGCCGACCGTCTTCCTCCTGCACCCCTCGCAGCCCCTCTCGCACGTCGCCCGCCTCATCCTCGCCCAGCTCGCGCCCGCGACGCCGTCGATCTCCTTCCGGAGCACGACGCCGAGCATGCGCACCCTCCAGTGGGCAGACAGCACTGACGTCGGCGACTTCATCCGCGACGCCGCGCGTGCGACCGAATTCGTCTTGCGCATAGGCGAGGATGTGGACAGCGCGGAGCCCCGCGCGACCATCCATGTCGAGGTCCCCAGCTTCGCGGACCGCACGCGCTTCCTCCGCCGGAAGCTGTCCGTCGTCGAGGAGGAGCTGCACGAGATGGAGGCGCTCAAGAGGGCGTGCGACCGCGAGGCGCACAGCGGCGCGCGCAGGATGGCGGTGGGCGGGCTCGCGATGCTTGTCGTGTACTGGGGTGCCGTCGCGCGCCTCACGTTCTGGGACCTCGGCTGGTGAGCGCGCCTCTCGTCCGCCCTCTCACTATCGTCTGACCGGGACTCCGCGCAGGGACGTCATGGAGCCCGTCACGTACCTCTCCGGCCTGAGCATGGTCATCATGGGCTACCTCTGGTTCCTCTACCAGGGCCGGGAGGTCTCCTACTCGTCCGTGCTGCAGCGCTCCGTGTCCGCGCGGCGCGAGGCACTCTACAAGGCGCGCGGGCTCGACGTCGACCGCTGGCTCGACCGCGTCGCCGAGCGCAAGTCGCTCCGCGCGGAGATCGGGAGGATCGCGGAGGACTACGACGAGCGCGTGTGGAAGGCGCGGCAGGAGGAGCGGGATGAACGGCAGCGGGACGTGACGAGGGTGCGCGACGAGGGTAATGGTGCGGCGGAGGATGGCGCGAGTGAGCGCCTTGCGCCTGTGCCGGACTCGGAGGAAGGGGATGGAGATGGGGCTGCACCGGCGGGGGAGTCGTCTGCGTCAACGGAGGCACTAGAGAAGCCACGGGATGAGGACGAGGGAGCCCGGATTCTCACAAGACGAACACGAAAGCATAGAATACCACGCCACGGCGCCCAGACAAGCTGCCGCGATCATTTGAGGTGTAGGAGAGAAGCGCGTCACGTCGATGTGAGCGACTACGCCATCGTTGCGGGGGGAATAGGAGGTAGTTCAATTTCGTCATCCAGCATTGAACTACCTACGCGACTGCGACGCGCGCCAGCAGTGCGTGCCACCGTATACTTATAAGCAGTTACATGCAGTCGCGTATCCGAGAGAGGCCCCCATTTGTCTACATCTAGCCTACTGTACCCTATTCTCAATATCGCACAATAACAATTACCATGCACTGGTAGGGAGGGTGGGTGCGTGGTTAAAATTGATGGAAACAATATTCAAAAAAGCTCCAGGCGTCAGTGGTGGTCCCCCGTCACACTGACACAATTGACCATGCAGACCCAGGTGACATTGTATGCAGTGCCACAGCCGTCCCGCATTGCGCAGAAGGCATTCAGCAGTACTTGCTGTATGGTCTACAATCAATTCACTTTTTCACATCCCGACGAGACCACGCCCACGTCCACACCCGCAGGCTCCCACACCGAGCCCAAATAACCTCCACCGCTCCCACCCTGACCCCCGAAAACGCGGCCGCCTAGTTGGTCGTCGCGTCCGTGTACTGCGTCGTCGCAAAGCCCACCTGGCTCGCTCCCGAGTCGTACACAAAGTAGTAGCGCTCGAGCCAGGTCATGCCGTTGATGAACTCGAGCCCGTTCTCCCCGCTCGAGCCCATGTCGCTCACGACGAGGTACACGTAGTCGGTGGTGCCGCCGATCGCCGTGTTCAGCTGCGGGAATCAAATGAGTGCGCATGCGTTTAGAGAGACGGGGCGGAGGCACTGACGGAGCGCGGCCAGATCTGAGCGTTGGCGGTGAAGGTGTACTCGGTGCCACCGATCGTGAAGGTCATGTCCTTGAGATTGTTGTACTGCGACGTGCTCAGGCGCAGCAGGCCGGTGTTGTCATCGAGCGTCGCGCCGGTCGCGGAGACGTAGCGGTTGTACGCGGCTGGACACACCGTCAGCGCGTCCGTAAGTGGACGCCATAAACTCACAGCTCGGGATGTAGATGAGGGTCGTGCCGGTGTCCACGATACCCGCCTCGTTGGAGAAGAGCGTCTCAGAGCCATAGGAACGGTCTGGGTATGCCGACGTAGTCTCCGGCCGGCTCGGTCGACGTGATGTCGCTGCACAGAGTATGGCCGCTCAGCACGGCCCCAGAGCAAGGTGTGATCATGCACGGCTTACTGTAGGTGAGGGTACCGGTGTACAGCTCGAGTCGGCGCCGCCGAAGGTGAGCACGCCGTTGGTGTCCGAGCCAGAGCTGCCGGTGATGGGTGCGAACGAGATGCCGAGCTCCTGTGCGGAGATGAGGCCCTGCGAGTACGCGTTCTGGACGACGGTGGGGATGCACGCGCTCTCGTCCGTCGTGAGCGTGCCGCAGGTGAGGTCCTCCGGACCGAGGCTACGTGACTAGGATCAGATGCTGAAGACAGTGAGGACGTTGGAGAGGGCATACCCGAGAATGCCATCGACGCCCGAGAAGCCCGAGGAGGAGGAAGCGACACCGATGGACTGCCCAGTGATGGCGAGGCCGTCCGCGATCGTGACAGTGTCGGTGTACTCAGTGCCCTCAAATTCACCCGAGCCGTAGGTGACCTCCTGCGGTGCGACGTGAGTGGCAGCCTGCTTATACTGGGCGAGGTATACGCACGACAGTCTGGCCAGTGCTAGTGGAAGTGCTGGTCTGTGTGTATGCCTGGTTGGCACCAACCCAGGTATTCGAGCTACCGGTGTCGACGATCAAGGTGTCTACGTACAGCAATCATCTATAGGAGATCGGGCGGCAGACGGCATACTCCTTACAGTCCGTAGCGGGTGAACCAACACCAACCTTCGACAGGGTCAGGCAATGTCAGGAGATGCCAACGTCTATGCTTACGGTCATGGTGTACTCCACGGCGCCATTCGTCGCGTCGGTGTTGAACACAGTCGCCGCAGCGCTGAGCTTTTCCTTCACCAGCGTCTTCGCATCGTTGGAACACCGGTTGTTGCATCCACACATGAGGTTGGTGATCCGCACGCGGTCCATGTCGGGTACGGTCGACCCGTTCGTGAAGGTGAACTTGCGCGTGAACGGGACGCTCACGGGGGACTTGTCCCGCACGAGGGGCGTCGCCGTCGCGGCCAGTGCGCCGAGGAGGGCCAGGTAGCCGGAGAGGCGAGACAGCATGGTGCAAGAAACCGGTAGCACACGGTCAGGGAACTTACAGGGGTGTGCATAGCTGCTTTATAGTGGGGCAAAGGCCCCCAGGCCACTTACGAAGATAGCTCGCAGTGAGAGTTTGCAAGGTCGAGTGCGCGCATTCAGAGCGAGGCCGGAGAACACCCGAGCAGTGTTGGGGAACATCAGAGCCGGACACAGTCCGGCGGTACCAGAGGGGGAAGTGCACATGCCATATGTACGGCTGCGCAGGGATTGGCGGATGGAAATAGACACGTACTGCGATAAGGCGTCGGATAGGGAGCTATTCACAGTTGTATTCAGACATGTTCGAGGGAGTGTCGATCATATTGCTCGTAGCAAGATGCATGCCCTACAGATCTCATCTAGGACGTTCGCTGTTGAGCAAGTGAAGATGGTTTTCTCAACGGTAGGACGCACATTCCGAGGTTGAAGCCTGCTAGGGATACCTCGTGCTTGAGTTCTGGTTGAGTTCATACCGAGATTTGTTCGGCAGAGCCCGTCTGCACTGCGCTCATTTTGCGGAGTGTCCCCGGCGCGGATCGAGAATGGAGGCCATGTCATTCTCAGGCAGTCGTCTTGGCGAGAAGAAGTCCAAGCTCGAGGTTGCGCGGCTGCCGAGCTGCCCGACGACAACAATGTACGAGAGCCGGCCTTCCGACACTAATCGTATTCGCGGTACCATCGATATCAAAGTCGCTGTGGATCTATAGATACGGACTGTCGAGAAAGCCAACATGCTCTTGCAGCTCGGTGAAGCTGGTTGACTTTCGGCCTTCACGTCACCACGAGTACCTGTCCGCTGAAGACGCCATCTCCGCTGGTTAGGTAAAGCCTATGTTCAGAAGTAATGAGAGCATATCGCAGTGACGGAATCGTCAAACTAAGATAAACGCGTACCTAGATACGTGGCCTAGAGGACATCTTCTGTGTCCCTCGGACGATGATCACCTGAGCATGCTTGATCCCAATCAATACAATCCCAAGGACCCACTGCATGGCCCATGTGGAATCCTGGGACACATACGCATGGTAGCACGGAGGATGAACGTGCGAGGGTGCACTGTGTGCCTGAAGAAGTCGGTCGACGTAGTCGATCCTTTCGGCCTTCCTTCGGTTACGAGGACGTTCGAGTAGCTGCATTCAGAGAAACCGACTTACCAGAGTGTCTACATACATACTGCCAGTGGGTGCCACTGTCGAGTCGTGTGAACGACAGGGATTGTTGGGATTGTTGCGGAGGCCGCGGGACAGGGGTTGCTGTGTACTGTAATGGCTTACCTTCAACACTTCATCCGAACTGCGGACAAGCAAACGCTGACCCTCGTGCTCGTGAACTCATCCTGTCCACGTCCAGAATCTCTCGCGGGTCATGCTGGGTGAGAGAAACTCATAACACGAGGTCAGCTTCATATACATCGCATCCTTGCCGGTTGACGAAGACGGACGACTGAGGCAGGCCTAGAAACAAACCGTGTCTCGCCGCATTTGCCATCTCTTTTGCAACCTGGCTGGACCATCTGATATACCACAATGACAGAGATGTCCTGTGAGAATGGAACATGCGTGAGAATAGACATTCACTGACTAGATAGAATGTATACTACCTGTCGCTCGAGCGGTTCCCTCGAAGCGGGCACACGGACGTGCCGATGATCCCAGACGAAGCACATAAAAGTACGAAGGGCGTCCTGTCGATCGACAGAGCAAACAGCGACAGACCCTGGGTTGATCGCTGACAGGGACGGATGGAGAATCAAACCTCGTCTGGGAACACAATGCGCATACATTCGATAGCATGAAAGCGGTACGACAGCAAGTCTTGAGATAGGATAAAATATGGGACTCGCATGCAGGGTAGATGGCTAGAAGTCGCCAGGAACAGCCCAGGCGCGGCAACGCAAATTCAGAAGCTGGCTGTATGCGCAGCGTCCAGATAAAGGACACCGTCTTGGCGGATAAGTCGTATAGCCCAAGAGGGTGTAGCTCTGGCCGCAGAGGACGGCGAGATTAGCTCGCTTGGTATCTTCACGGATGGCCGTGCCCAAGTATGATGTGAAGGTGCTCAGGCTCCGCACCTGGGAGTCAAGCAATCTCCTCTGCCCAACGCAGAACATCCTCGGTTGACGCGCTAGCCTACAACCGGACGCATTTTTAGAGGGCACCCAGGATGCTAGATACATGCTCACCGTGGACGTCCCTGGTCCTTTGTCACTACGCGAAGAGCTTTGCCTCCGAGCCTTCTGCACCGTCCACGCATTGCAGCTAACTGTGCCTCCAGCCCGTCGCATTTACTACACATGTCAAAGGTCAGCGACACAGAGCGGCTGAGAGGCTGAGTCACCACGCACTCATGTATCGCTTTGGTCTCCTCCTGCGCACTCGAGCTGCCTCCGCATCATGAGCTCCAGGTTCCGCGAGCTTGCACGGGACGCAGGTCGTTGCCGCGGCCATGATGTTCTGGCCAGAACGGTGACCCACTCCACTTGTTTCTGCCATTCCGGAGGCGTGGCGGACGACGCGGTGGGTGGTGGCGCGAGTAACGCATCTAGGAGCTGCGAGTAGGTTACGAGCATGGACCGTAGGATGTTGCTGAGTGCAGGTCGGCGGTCTGTGTGGCTTTAGTGGGCGTTACCGTGGCTGTCGACAAGCGACTTACCGACGCTGGGGTCCGCCGGGTACAGTTGATGGCCACCAAGCTCTGCGAGTGACGGTATCGTCTCCTTGACCTGATGAATGCGTAGAATAGTGAATATATGCGCAGTATCTGAGTAGGGCACGTCCGTACAAACCATGTGTCTCCGAAGACCGTATAGTGGCCCCTTCCAGTATCCAGTCCACTCTCGGCTTTTCAAGCTGCACGAGCGGCCAGTCTGGTACGTCCGTCTGGTCCTTCAACTCCTCATATTGGTTGACCGTTGAGAGGTCCGTGTCTTCGAAGCGCTCGTGGAGGAGTCCGAGCAGATTGAGGTTGTGCGTCGTATACTTGGTGTAGTGGGAGGGTGGTGAGGGGAATGGATTCCTCAGTTCAGTCTCCTCATCGTCTTCCATTTCAACTCAGAGAGTACAGAGTGTGAGAGTTCGTTGAGAGGCAGCGTCGTCGTCAGAGTTCATCAAGTCGAAGCAGCGAGCAGTTGCAGGCAGTTGCGCGCTCAGCTCACCGCGAACAGCGCGTAGACGCCCCACCTCCTGCTGATTTAGACGCCTGTCCACTGCTCGCGCTCATTCGATCATACACTGCGCCTCACACATATCGCAGCCGTTACTTTTGCCCCACCATGTCTACAAGGAGGAGAGTCGGCTTCAGTAACACGACCTCAGAGGCGTCGCGGCGGCAGCTGATGCAACCGGTGCCCTGCTGGGAGAAAGTCTGGGTGCTCCCAGACAACGCAGGGCCAGGTTCGACTCTGAAGATATACAAGTGGGTGAAAACCGAAAAGAAGCAGGTCTGTTCCTATTCTGAGTCTTTTATCTCGTTCCCATTGACCATATGGTAGCAATTCAGTGACGATGAGAACGAAACCGACCAACCGCTCGCGCCTCTCCCCGAACCAGATGAGGTCGAGGTGGTCGATGGCGACGAGGAGATAGACCAAGACGAGGCCAACACGTCCATCGCTCCCGAGACTGCCGCCGCCTCGCGCGACGTCTCCGAGATGCCCATAGGGCCCAAGGACGACGCGCTCTCCAAGCCAGGCACGCCGAAGCCGCACCCGCTCTCCATGTCCTTCATGCCGGAGCCAGACGTGGACGACGCGCTCGACGACCTGCTGAAGCCGCGCGAGGGCGAGCTTGACGCAGCGGTGGGCGCGGACGGGATGGGCGACATGGGCGGTATGACGCTGGACATGTCGGGCGTGGGCCCGGATGGGGAGCCGTTCGAGGGCGCGACCCTCAGTCAGCTCCAGTCGGATGATGCGCTGCTAGGTGCCGGTGGGCTCATGGATAGCAGTATGGACGACCCATTCGCACCCCCTTCCTCGTGAGGCAATTCGGAGACAATGTCAAGCAGAGGCAGTTCGCAGTGCGGCACCCTCGTTGTGATCAGATCCTGGACAATACCGACGGTCGACCAGGAAGAACATGTCCAGTCAGGAGTGAATAGTGCATGCTGTGGGGACGTGAGGTACGATAGGTTTTGTGAATTTGCGTTGATGTTGTATGCTCAGGGAAGTGTGTACGGACGCAAGACTGCCAGGGGACGGACAATAGTACAGGAGCCAGTCGCAGCAAAGAGTGTACATACATTCGCTTGAAGGACGCAATGTTTGTTCGCTTGGAACTTTCTGGATGAACATATGAGAACCCGTACCATCATCTGTACGCACACCCGCTCCTCCGTCACCATTGAGTAGTTGTGTAGCCTGGTCATCAGGAGCACGACCGCTGCGTTACATACTAAGCCTGCGCTATTTCTGCATGAGCGCTGGCTCACACTGCAAGATTGTTGTATCGCATCATGGCATAGGCACAACAAGCAGCCTAATTACACGATAATCTGGATTCAATGAGATGAACTGAGAGCATACATCGACTGAGTTAGTATACATTATAATCATGGTACCTGCACAGGCAGAGGCACTGGCCCGTTACTCTTTGAGGGCCGACGGTGACGAGGGGGAGGTACGCTGTGACCAAGGCGGAAAACGCGACGCTGTGTAGTAAGAGGGAACATATATCAGCCATACAACTCGGGGAGGGCATACAAAATGATGTAACGCACAGCACGGAGGTGATAGGGCTCGTGCCGCCGTCCTTCGTGCGTAATGGGTGCTGGTTGATCATGCTGTTGAACGAGAGCACCAAGGCGGGCCATGCAAGATATCTGACGAAATACACGGTCAGCGATGGACTCGGAGCTAGTTTGAGACAGACGCACCGGTTACGAGTGACCATGATCAGACCGGTCGCGAACAATGCTGCGAACGTCCGGCACGAGCTCAGCCGCTAGCACTCCATCCACATATTACTTGATACTCACTGGTTGCGCTGAAACCGTCTGCAACAGCTCCTGTCTCAGCATCGCTGACACGAAGCTAGGGGCACATTGAGTTACTCACCGACCGAGTCCGTCTGCCATGACTCTGGGAACGTCAGAGCAACCTCCGCTGAGGCGTCTCGCGGGTCGTCGGCCGGGCGAAGTGAGGAGGGAGTTTGTGGGATGCTAGACATCGCTGAGTGTCTGGGCGCAGCGTAAGGTGCTGAAGAGATGCTTGTAAGTATTGTACAAGCAGTCCCCGACTCCGACCGGAGGGAGGAGGGCTTTGTCGACCATAAGTCGTTCGCAGCCGGCGATGCCGCTCCCTCCGTGGGAAACACGTGACTCATAATTCCCATAAGCGGTATCGCAGCAATGCTCGAGTGTCTTACGAGGCAGCGCGAGGCGGTTGGATCCTTCCGTGCTTCTGGCTGCGTCTGGACGCCTGGATCTTTGACCATCGAATAAGTCCTCCCAAAGGTAGGAGGGCCTCTATTATGTTGAGAGCCCTCGCATGTACTGTAGTATGTATTACGGTAAGTAAGTTCGCCGTGTGGCTCAGACTCGTGGAAGCCCGAGACGCCCGGGCGGCGAAGCCGCCGCGGGCGTGAGGGCTTCCAATTGAGTCTCCATACCATTCCGATGGTACTTACAATATTAAAATACACACATAATATACTATGGTGCCGCTGTGGCAGGCTGAGTATAATAGCTGTGTGCCATGCAGGAGTCGGGGATCGGCGCTTGCGCCGCTACGATACGACCGTGACGGCGGTAGAACATATACAGTACGAGCGCTTGTATGGTCTGTAGCGATCCACGTGATCGCAGTACACTTGGGCGTCTCCACGGGCACGAAGGATTTCAATCCTCTACTGTTCCGAGACTGAATGGCTAGTATCATACCATGATCCATCGTGTCTGTTCAAATGCCATTGTACAGTTATCAACGACCTTGATATACTCTCAGGCGCATAGACAGGTCTACTTAGTGAGTCTGCTAATCTCTCGCACACTGCAGTTGCTCATCAATAATCTATCGACGAGACTTCAGATGCCTGGAATCTGCCTTGGCGTAGAACCTCAACCCGTGATAAGTATCCTTGAACAACCGCGTGGGCACCGACCAGGCACCGACGCTCATTCTTATCGTAGTGCATGGAGCTCGAGTCAGTACTAGTGTCAATCAAGGGACGATAACAGCGCTCACAGAAAGCAGTCATATGAGAAGTTTCGCAGGGCTTGAATATGAATACGTGTTTACACCGCGCCCTTGGTCTGACTACTACCCATCAGCTTCAGCTCTAGCGATGAATGGCCAAGCGGACATCACGAACGACGTCGAGAGCATCCGAAAGGATGCATTCTCCCCTTCGGTGCAAGCAGGGGACGCAACGGTCGATGCCTCCGACAAGCGGCTGCACGAACTGGGCTACAAGAGCGAGTTCCGTAGGGACATGTCTCTCTACGGCGTGCTCGGTATCTCCTTCTGCGCTATTGGAATCCTGACGGGCATGAGCAGCGCGTTTCAGACGGGGCTGTTCTCGGTGGGCCGTTGGGCTTGTTTTGGGGTGGAATGTATGTTTGTCGGTGTCCTTGCGCCAGGCGTCGCATTAATGGTGTCGTTTTGGTGTAACAGATATGCAGTCTGTTTATGTTCCTCATCGCCTTGTCGCTCGCGGAGATCTGCAGTGCATAGTGAGCCCAATGCTATACTATACTATGTATTCCTACTGACAGTATGTGTGTCAGTCCAACCATGGGAGGCTTGTATTTTTGGGTATGCAAATGAAGCCGGATCTTCCTGTGTTGGGCTGTGAGTCCACTCACCCGACGCGTCATTCTGCGTGCACGACCTAACATCGCTTCTCAGTCTGTGTTAGTGGAGAGCGTCTAGGCACGTTCGGCGACCGCTAATTGTGCAATCAGACAGGATGGATATACAGCATAGCGATGGTCTTCACAGGCACGTCCGGCAACCTCAGCGTCGCGCTCTACCTTGCGAGTTTGGCGGAGGTGGGGCAGGGTCGCACGCTCACGCGAGTCGAGATCGCTGCGATTGCCTGGGGCGTGAACATCGCGTCTGGGATTATCAACACCATTGGCACGCGCGCAATCGGCGGAATGAGTACATTCAACCTGTGGTGGACACTCGGAGGGACGCTCGTGCTCGTGATCACGCTGTTGGTGAAGGCACCGGTCAAGGTATGCAGAACGTCTCTCGTACAAGGGCTGAAGTCTGAGCACGATACCATTATAGAACAGCGCCGATTTCGTTTTCACGGACTATCAGAAGTACGCTTTCCTGCACTCTCGGCCCTACTACCACATTAACATACGAGGCGTAGCTTCACAGGCTGGAGTAACAAAGGCTTCGTCGTCCTGTTGGGGTTCCTACAAGCCGTCTACACCCTTGAAGGCTGCGAGACTGCCGCACAAGTCGCTGAGGAAGCCCAGAACGCGGCACTGCTTGCCCCATTAGGCGTCGTCTTTCAATCGTGGGCTCCTGGCTATTGGGCTTGCGTACATGCTCGCGCTCCTCTTCGCCGTGCATCCATCGCCTCTGTGCAGGGGACGTCGTTCGCGCTGCCGATCGCGCAGCTGTACTACGACGCGGTCGGCCGCCGCTTGACGCTCATGTGTCTGTCGTCGTCGCGCTCGCGCAGTTCATGGCGCTGTGACTGCGTTCACGGCAGCTCACGATGATGTACGCGCTGCGCGGGACCGCGCGATGCCCGCGAGGTCGAAGTTATGAGTTGAACCGGTGGCAGAGCCCGTATTGGGGCGTGTGGGTATCAGTGTTCATTGGATGGTTATCTCGTGGCGTATATTGGGTCTGCAATCGCGGTACGTGTTCTTCCATGGAAGTTGTTTTCATGTTCATGTTGATCCAGTTCAATGCCATCCTGTCCTCAGCAGCGATAGCCGTCATGCTCTCTTATTACAGCCCATTTTGATTCGCTCTTCTGGCCATCTACGTGCGTCCCATACAAACAAGGATCTCAGCATTCTCATTGTTATGCAGGACTCTCCTTGACCTGGCCCTTTCCACCTCGGACGCTACTCCTGGTACATCAACCTCGCGAGTGCACTTGTACGTGATCCCCTTACCTACTATCTTCAGACGGGACTAACGTGCGAATGCGTAGTTTACGGTGTTCATTTGCGTATTGTTCGTTCTGCCGACAGCATATCCCGTGGACTCGCTCAACATGAACTACGCTGTGTGGCTATCGGCGCCGTCATCCTCATAGCTCGTTGTGCTGGCTCGTCTGGGGTCATAAGCACTTCACGGGACCAGTGAGTACGCTGGCTGAGGAGGTAGAGGAAGGGGATAGGAAGATCGAGTAGAGGCGACTTCAAGAGTCGAGGATTGGATGCTGAGTACTTACGATAGTCTTCGTCACCCTGCCATATCCGTGCATTTGGGCCGTATGTATAGCTCGGCAGGTATCACGCTCAAGTCGGCGCGAACATAATGATCATACTGGTGTGTACTCGGAAATGTCTCTTCGCTCCGGTGACCAGAAATTGTCGCTGACCAAGGGCAAGAATGTAGGTTAGAATTGTTGACGTGCACAATCGGTAGCATTCACCACGCCGGCGCTCTGCCTGAACGTGGAGCGACCCATGGATGTAGCTGAGCTGCTGACATGCATTGCCGGCAGTCTGTCTATAAATTGCAGGTGCGATTGTGCGGCGCCTCGACTACCTGGCATCATGGAATCGAGAATGGAAGAGGAGTAATCTTACCGCGAACCTAAGCATGACAGCACGCAAACCCTGTCGGAGGCTTTGGAAGGTCCTGGTGCGAAGCTCTCATCGTGATAGCAATGTTCCTCCAAAGAGAGCTCTGGCCACAAGTTGGCGTCTTGAGCATCTCAGGCTGAAGTCTCCGATTAGCAATGCACGCATTCAGCTTACCACTGTCCTCGATCGCAGCTGCACTCCACGCGCGAACGTGCCCTGCACGTCACTTCGTCGCTTCCTTTCGCATTTACCATGAAGTGACTTTGTTTTGGCCCCACTTCGAAGAAAGGTGCGACGTCTTGTGGATATAGCTTAGTGTGCAAACCTACTGCTAGATTTCAGACTCGGAAATCGTGTTCCCAGGTCGCTGCTTCAACATGCCACGGTTGGGCAATGGAGCAAGGAGCTGTGGAGTCTCGACGGTCTCTGCCAGGGGAATAGTACAGTAGGTACGCTCATCTGACCTGATACCCACTTGCGAAGGCTGATGCAAGGAGCGACTTCCATTCCCGCAGGGATTCTACACTCCGTTATGTTATCTGGCGATAAGTGACGAAAGTTGCGGCCTCCCGCTGTCATTGCTCAGAAAGTGTATAAAGCGAGGAGCACACCAGCAACGAAAAGACATCGCCTTGACCAACAGTGAAGACAGCGAAAATGCCAAGCGTAGTGCGCCCTGCTATTCCCCACTACATCGCAGCTCCTGCGACGAAGGAGAAACGTCAGTCTTCCACTGTGCCTCTTGTGATGAATACACACTCACGCTGGTGATGTTTAGTCGAGTATGCCGACCTTGCGGTCCTCGATTTCTCGAAGATCGGCACGCCAGAGGGACGTGCTGAGCTGTCCGTGCAGCTGCGCACTGCGATGACTACCCACGGTTTCTTCTACATTGTGAACCACGGGCTCACTCAAGCCGAGGTGATTATCTTTGTGTGCTGTCCGCAGCGCGGTCGTGACTGAACATGCTTGGAGAATGATCGCATGTTTGACGTCGCCGACGTCGCGTTCTCGGGAGTCCCTGAGGAAGAGAAACGCAACTACTTGGCGAACATCAAAACGGAGGTCTTACCAGGGCTACAAGCTCAGGGAATATGGGTACGTTCTCCAGAACTCTGACCTGATGACTGAGGCTCACGGCGATACTGGTCGGTCTTGAAGCACATTGACGGTGGCGTTCGTGACCAGATTGAGCATTACAACAGTACGTCGGACCTCTTATTCTTGTTACGTTGCCGAAAGCTAACATGTTCCTCGGTCAATCAGTCAATCACGATACAACCGGAAGCAGCATCCGCAAGCGGTGCGCCCTCTCTCCCGGAGATTGAAGAATTCGCCAAGTTAACCACTTCCAAGTGCTGCTCCACTCTTGCGGTCTGTCTGGCCATTTGATTTACCGTCTATGCAACTGACTCTTCATGTTGAAGCTTGTTTGCCCTTGGCCTGGAGCTCCCGGAAGATACTTTCGTGAACATGCATACCTTCGACGCTACGGGAGAGGCATACGGTAAGTTTCGATGGGCGTGATTACAACGTTTCCGACTTGTGCTGATGACGGGTTAATAGTTCGTCTGATGAAATAGTGCGTAACATTCAACTGGACTCTTAGCATACGTAACACTGCGTTGCAGTTATCCGAGGCCGGCCGAAGACGAGGTCAAGGCAAAGCAAGTGTGGCTGAAGGGCCACACTGACATCGGTAGTATCACCATTTTGTGGAGCCAGCCGGTTACAGCTTTGCAATGCTCATGCCCGATGGCAAATGGCGCTACGTAAGGCACATCGACAACGCTCTCGTGAGTGTCTTGATCAAAATCCAATGTGAAGTTGACTCAGGCTGATGACCTTTTAGGTCGTGAACTCCGGAGATGCCATGGAGTTCCTGTCGGGCGGCTTCTACAAGCCCACCATCCACCGTGTCATCCAACCTCCTCAGGACCAGCGCGGTTACGATCGTCTCAGCGTCATTTACTTCGCCATGACCGACGACGACGTGAAGCTCGTGCCCCGTCTCGAGAGCCCTGTGCTCCAAAAGCACGGCATCCAGCGGCGCTGGTCGGACGACGCCGACGCGCCCACCATGGAGGCCTGGCGCAAGGGCAGGACGAGTGCTTATGGCCTGGTCGAGCTCAAGATGAAGGGGAGCGGTATAGAGAGAACGTGGTAATGGCGTCGCTGTTAAGCATTACAACTGACCGCGCTGTCATTTTTCCCTCGATTCTGCAAAATGTTCCGAAACCTATGTAAATTAGCGCAGCATGCTACGCCCCATGTATATGACTACCAGCGAGCCAAGACAAGCAGAGCAGAGGAAAAGGGCGTCAGATAGTAAGTAACCTTGTCGCGGCGAACCCGTGGTCCCGTTATGGCCTGACTCGATTCAAGCATTCGAACGTCCCATGCGGTTGGTGTCTGCGCTGTTCGGTGCTGACGGGGTGTCCCTGGTGATAGTTTCGCGGTAGCAGACGACCTACCTATCTGGAACGACGGGACACGTTTCTCGAGCATTGCGGTGGAGACACCAGTCAGCTATACAACACGCTCGACGTGAGGCATAGACGCGATTGTCGACCAGTCTCGTTCAGATGTTTCATAAGCTGACTGAACCTGCGCATTTCAGTCTAGCTGTAAGTGAGGTTGTACAAGTCTATACCAACTTCGTTCAAACGCTCAATCAGCTTACCGACCGCTCGTGACACCGACCTCCGTCTGTAGCGATTGGATGACGTGTGTGTCTTCAGCGCGGAGACTCCTGGGTGTGCTGGATGGCTTGACAGGAATAAGAGTGGACAAACGTGTGTGAATGGGCTCACTCACGAGTCACATTCAATAACAATTTCAGCGCCCCCACTGGTAGGTGACGGTGACTATGCCAGGGCAGACCATGGTTGTAATATGCCATGGAACATGGGCTTGAGCTTCTGGCTGATGCTGGCCTGAAGGATATGAGGGCAAAGGTACATCTTCACCTCGACACTCCTCAATGTGTCAAAGTATGGCTGCCTCATGACCTCGTGCAGGTCCCGTAGGTCAAGCTCTCGAGGACAACCGGGGCTGCTGAGACGCGAGAGTGCTGTCGTCGAAGTGAACCTCGACGCGGACCTCAATGTGCTCGAGCTGGCGGCTTCGAATGGTGCAGAAGATGCCGTGCAACTCGTCCGTTGCTTTAGTCCACGCCGCGCCAGGCCGCTGGTCTTCGGCCTCGTGTTTGATGTGATGTAGCATGAAGTCCAAGGATCGCAGGCGGCGTTTTGCGACAGATTACCGTGGACACCTACATTTTGCATGTGCATCAGCGGCGAAGTTTGTGAGCAAGACATAAGAACTCTTACGGTCATCATTGTTAGAGTACCTCTCGCAGAAACGGGTCAACGATGCCCCTGCCGTTTCGAGGAGGTTGTTAAGGCAGGTCCGTGCCATGGGGGGATGGTTGGACCAGAATGTCAGATCCGCAAGTGAGGTGCAGAGGTTTGAGTGCGCCATCCAGTCAACGGACATCGCCATGAGTTCTTCGTGCACGACGACGTCAAGGTATCGAAGACGCATGTGAGGTGGTAACTGAGATAGTGAGGCTCCCGCGTGACTGGCAGCACCTCGCTGAGCGAGCTCAACATCTATCGTGAGGTCTGTGAGCTGGGGGAAGGCACAGACAATCCGTCGCAGCTGTCGGACATTGTTCAGTTCACAACTTTGGAGCGTCAACGACTTGACAGACTTGTACTTCGATAGGGCGAGGAAGAAATCCGTGCAGATGAAACGAAGTCCTCCCTCCCCGACGTAAAGACTGCGTAGACGAGGCATCAGACCAGCTAGCGCGGACGGAAGTGTCTGAGGGGAGTGATTGTAGCTATTGCTCTTGTTTCCGCGCTGCGGGGATTCCATGCTCCCGTCTTCGTCCTCACTCGAGTCCGAGTCCGAGTCGTAGTAAGCCTCGTCTGCCACCAGCTTGTATGTGCTCGCAAGCCACTGCTTGACGCGTGGTGACGCACGACACTGTTTGAACAGCATGTTGAGGCTTGTGCGGCTGCGAATCTCGAGACTGTAGTAGAGGTTGCGCATCGCTCGAGGATACCAAGTCGTACAAACCAGCGCCGCGGCGGCCAGTGTGGGCTGATACATGATCGTGTCGATGATGAGTATGAAGATCTCGAGCGGGATGCGAGCGGAGAGGGCCACGGGCAGGGTGCCTTGAAAACGGGTGTTCCGCCAGTTCCTCTGTTCATCACACTCCGTCCACGGGAGGGATTCAATCCGGCGGCTCTCGATACCTCGCTATTCTGTTCATCATACTGCTCCGGTGAATGTCGATATGCCCGTCGGCATCCCATTGCATGAATTGTGCGTGTGAGGCATCATCGAGGGAAGGAGGGAAATGCTAAGTGAACGGATGAGTCGTGATCATGAGCAAAAGCAAGATGACCTACACTATTCAGCTGGAGATCAGACATCTAGGCACTCGCAATCTACGAGTGCGCGACGCGAATGCAGACTATGAGGAGGCGCAGTCGGCGTGAGTGGAGGAGCAGTGCGGGTGAGCTGAGCCCTCAGGTAGCAAGGAGGCCTCGAGGATGCGGCGAGACTGTCGTAGCATGCGGAGTGAAGTCCAAGTCCTGCGACCGTTCAGCTGCAATGCAGGCAACTTAGACTGGGTGGAGACGAAACAGTAGTAGTGTCACGGTGTTCAGAGAACAAGGAGGCAGGAGACTTGCCGAGTCTAAACTGCCAAATATGGTAATCCTACTGAACGCCACATCGCAGCCACCCAGTTGGCAAGCTTCACTCCCGACCACATGCTCTCTCGGACAGACTCTGAGGCATCTTTCATCCTAGTCGGCTCTGAATCAGTCACAGATGACAAAGGCTCTGATGCCGAAACACCTCGGGCTGAGCTGAATCGCAGTGTGAGTGCCCAACTCCACGAGTGTTACCGGTGTCCCGTTTACGACGGCATTGTCCAGTTAAGCGGAGCTCAGCCTCTCAAGCTTCAAGACCACAAACACCCGAGCAAACATTTGCGCACGACTGGTCTGCTGCAGGTACTGGTGGGAGGCTGTACATTCACGGCCGGCACTTCGTCGACGCGCACGGACGTGTATGCAACCTCCGCGGCGTGAACTTGTCCGGGAACTGCAAAACGTACGTCATACACCCCACGCCTGGCTGATGAGCTAGGAAGAGGCACGAGGCGTAGCGCTAACATCTACTCTCGTTGACAAGGCCAACGAACCACGACCATGACAGCTTTCCTGCCAACCATGCGGATGTGACATTCGTCGGACGACCATTCCCTCTTGAAGAGGCCCCGGACCACTTCGCAAGGCTTCGTCGATGGGGTTTAACGTTTAGTGCGTGATTTATACATCGTACCATACTTGACATCTCAATCTCACCTGCTTACAGTCAGGTTCCTGGTAACTTGGGAGGCAGTCGAGCATGCAGGACCGTGAGTATCTTCAGTCCAAGGTACGAGTGCTGGGTATTATGGCCCTGTTACTTCCAGTGGGATCTATGATACCGACTACCTATCCTACATCCGTAATCTCCTTTCTCTCCTTCCGCAGTACGGCTTGACGGCCTTCGTCGTTTGCACCAAGACGTATGGTCGCGCTACTCTGGCGGATCCGGAGCACCGGCGTGGACACTGGAGGCGGTCGGCTTTGACCTGCATGGTCTCGAGGAACCGGGCGCCGCATGGCTGAGGGGTGTGAAGGGTGGAGGACACATCGAAGACGAGCGAGGGCTTTGGCCATGCGGCTACCAGAAGCTCGCTGCTGCTACCATGGCGTGAGTCGGATGTCTGAACTCCGTGCGCGAGGGCGATACTGATAGTTATCGGTGGATTGCAGAACATGTTTCTGGGCAGGCGACACATTCGCGCCCAAGTTGAGGGTCAAGAACACGGAAGGAGAAGAGGTCTCGATACAGGTGTTCCTCCAGACGGCCTTCCTGAACATGTGGAAAGTCCTCGCCCAGGCCGTCGGGGATCTGGAAGGTGTGCTAGGCTTCGAGGTCAGTACCCATCTCCGCAGCAGTAACGCCATCCAGCTGAGATGCTACGGGAAGATTATGAACGAGCCGCACCGAGGCTACGTCGAACTCCACTCCATGCACGCGTTTGACTACAACACTGATCTCCACCTTGGACATGTCCGTGAGTTCCAGCGCGTTGTAAAGCTCACTCAGCCGCTGAGATATCACACGGAACAGCGACTGCATTCCAATCGTTCATGCTCGGCGCTGGTCACCCGGCGACAGTCGGCTTCTGGACGCGCTCCTTCCCCATGCCCACGCGGCGCACCTCCACGAAAGTGCTCAACACCGCGCGCCAGAAGGCGTGGCGCGACGACGGCCCGACCAACGGACTGTGTATCTGGGAGATGCACGGCGTGTGGGGCTGGGACCGCCGGAAGGACGAGGGCGTGGTGCTGAGGGAGAGCTACTTCACGAAGGACCCGATGACGGGGCGGAAGGTCGACTGGTACGAGGACTTCTACTACCCGTTCGTGAAGCGGTGGGCGAGGTGGTGAGAGGTGTAACGAGCCCCGAGAAGATCGTGCTCGTTGAGCCTATACCTAACGAGGTGCGCCGATGCACGTCCGTGGACCAACTTATGTTGACTGATAATGATCTGCACAGTTCTGTCCGGCGTCGTGGACGGCCGAGCGACGACCTGCGAACATGATCTACGCACCACACTGGTACGTGAACCTCCTCTCGAAGAGCCGTCGTTGATGACTGATGTGAGCTAGGTATGATCTGAACGGGCTGTTCACAAAAGCCTTCGGCAACTTTACCGTGAACGTGCAAGGATTGTCTAGGGTAAGTATGTCAAGCGTATCGTTTAAAGAGTGCCTAACATCTGGTACGAAAGGGCATGTTCCCCCTCAAAGCTTTCTACTGGGGTCACCGAGGCGCCCGAGACAACTTCGCTCTGCAGATCCAAAACATCGTCGAAGCTGGGTATCGCTCTCTCGGCGAGAGGCCAGTTATCATCGGGGAGTGCGGTATTCCTATGGATATGAAGTAAGTCCATCTGTTGGAAGCGCACCATCGACTAACGTCCCATTCAGCAAAGGCGAGGCTTTCAAGACGGATAGGTGGCAGTGGCAGACCTGCATGATGGACGCGATGCTCACCGCGCTAGACCGCGCTCTCATCGGCTTCACGTAGGTCGCTCACCCCCAAATCGATACAACGGCTAACGGCACCACCCCAGGCTGTGGAACTACAACCCAGACAACGAGGACCACACGGGCGACGACTGGAACGGCGAGAACTTCTCGTGGTTCAGTCGCCGCCGCGCGCTGACCGGCATGTGGCTCGACCACGCGCAAGCGTCGCCCACGCTCGACAACGGCGCGCGCATCCTCCGCGCCTTCGTCCGGCCGTACCCAGCCAAGACCGCGGGCATCCCGATAGACTTCTCGTACGAGATGAACACGGGCGCGTTCGAGTGCGCATGGGTCGTCCCTGGGCCCTCCGCCGACGAGCCCGCCAGCCCCAGCGTGCACAGGCCGCCTACCTCCGCGGACGCGCACCCAGAGCTGACGAGCAAGGTCACGGAGATATACCTGCCGTCGATGATCGCGCACGACCGGAAGGTCGTCGTGGAGGGCCTGGACCCGGCGACCGGTACCACTACGACGAGAGCCGGCAGACGCTGAGCATCGAGCCTGCGGCGCTCACGCCGGGGCAGGTCCATCGCGTGTCGGTGAAGGTGGTGCCGCCGCTCAAGGCGGAGTTATGGTGAACAGCTTCTGGGAGACTTTGGGACCCACGTCGTCGCGGCTTTCGTGCTCTTGTTCTCGTTTTTGATCGCTGTCGTGTTGGTCATGCTCTCCGAGACGGCCTGAAGTTATATGTAGTCGGGACAGTGCGTGGAGATTGATACATCGGATTTATGTCAGTGCTAGATTCACGTAGAGATGGTCGTCCGTATATACCCGCTATCATGTGCTTGCAGCGTTCCGCAGACCCTGCCTCTTCTAGTACTGCGTCGCCTCTAGATAGCACCCTTCAGCCACGATTCGGGATCCCAATTCATCCACCAGAGTCTCCCTCGCGGTCCTTGAACGCGGTGCGCGCATGCAGCACTCGGCGGTTGTCGAATACGACCGCATCGCCTTCGCGCATCAGGTACTCGAAGCGCAAGGCAGGGTCTTCCAGCAGACCGACGAAGCGCTCGAGAGCAGGATAGAACACAGGAGGCGTGGAGAGCGGTAGCGGCGCCTGGAAGGGCGGCGAGTAGTTGACGTGTGCGATCGGGCGTGGTGTGTCGGGCGTGGAATCTGCCTGCGGCGAGGCGAGCTGGATGGTGGGGTGGGAGTGGTGCAGGTGGTGCCCGTCGTTGATGTAGTGAAAAGCGACGGGTGTATCCGCGAGGACACTGAAGTCCTCTGGGTGCGTCTCGCGGAGCGTCTCGGCGCGTGCAGGGCGTCGACAAAGTAGGATGCGCCGCCGTCTACGCGGTTCCGGAGGGAGTGGAGGATCTGGAAGCGTGGTGGATGCTGGAAGTAGAGGAGGTCCATGTGCAGGCCGAGGTCGACGTTCGTGTACGCGATGTTCTTGCTGTTCGGGACGTTCTTCACGTCCCACGTCTGCCCGTAGAACGTCTCGCGGAGCTCGCCGAAGCTCCCCGCGAGCGCGCGCAGCTCGCAGGCGTCGTTCGAGGTGCGCGCGGTGGGGACGTTGGTGACGAAGAGCACGCCATACCGCGCGAGCTGCGTGATCGCCGCAAGCAGCCCCGCCGGGGCCTGCAGACTGGCGTACGGCAGGAAGAGGTTGCTCACGGACCGGATGGCGACCCCGTCCCATCGCTTCGCGGCGACCTCCTGGTGGAACGCGCGCAGCCTCTTTGGCGAGGCGTAGAGCTCGAGGAAGGTCTTCGGATAGTGTGATACGTGCCCGGACGCCCAGGTTATCTCCACGCTGCCGTTGGACACACGCACTCCGTCGCTGGCTGGGAGTGTGTCTGCCGGGATGTCCGACGTCCTGTGCAGTTTCTGGCGTGTCGATGGGTGGACGCAGCTCGGGCACTGACAGGAGTCGCGCAGCCATCGGTAAGGAAGCAGGGAGCCATTGTGGACAGACTTGGTAGATGATCGCTCGACGTCGAGGCATAATGGGAGACGACCGTCGAGTACCTGCGACACCGAGATGTCTGAGGCCTCCGAGAATGCTAGCCCGCATGGTGCGCATCGTCTTGCAGCTCACTGGACGTTGGGTGGACAGTCAGTCCGTCGGACGACCGCTCACCTTCGATCCTGTGACCGGTACCAGTGACAGGGGCCTCCGGCATTGCTCATGATTCTCGTGGTAGGATTCTCCGGAGCAAAAGCTGGCGCAAGCTGTGACAATACGGCCAGTGACAGTAGTGGACATGAGAGTACGTGGAGAGTGAGTCCGTGCAGATGGTACGGACTTTGAGACATGTAGAGTCGCGCCGGGCCTTTACCTATCCCATTTGGTACTTATAATCGGTATAAACGCCCCAGCCTGTAACTGGGCATCGATATCGATATATGTACCAACCAATCCCACTGTACAACATCGTAAAAGCCGATTAGCGTGCCTTCGACTAAGCTCGCAGTTCCCTCAGTGCGGCACCTCCACATATTCGCAGGGTGCACGTCCACGAGTACCCTTGTTTAAGCGGGATCCTGCTCGGGCAGAGGGCCTGGCTATGGCGTAACATCTAGGTCGGCGTCGATCTGCGATTCGCTGTCTTGTCAAGATGGCCGCATTGAGGATCTACCCACGGAAGACCAGCGCGAGAGCTTTGGGGACAGGTAGATGATCGCCCACATCGGGTGAATCGCACTCATATGCAATCAATTGCAGTAAGTAGTGCTGCAACAGCATGGCGCGCTGATCTCCTAAGGATGCGATTCAGCAGTGCAGTGATGTGGGGAGGGCTCACGTTTCACGTTTGAGGGTATAGTTGTAGGATTTGAGAAATTGTTCGAGGCAATGTTAGCATACTGGCTAGTATGAGCCAGTGCATGCATGGGTTATTCAGAGCTGTCTTCAAGGTGTATCCGGTATCCGGGTCTCCTCCATCGCTGATCGCGACGAGTGTCTCCGAGAGAACGAGGACTGCATTTTCGTGAGATCAGGAAGTGTGAGTGGATTCGCTCGGCTTACGCGCGAACGGATTGAGACGAGCGCGTGACCGCGTCGTGGGACGCGTCGAGCGCCCGCTGGCACACGCTGCGATTCCAAGCCTCGTGTCTCCCGCGAGTCCGCGACTGCGTTCGGTCCAACGCAGCCTCTGCGTCTGCGCTTGCCATACATATCTACCGTCCCATCTCTCCTCCACTATGCACTTCAAACGCCTCCGCCCCGTGTCCTTCTTGTGTCTCCGGATCTGATCCCCTTTCATGTCTCTCCAAGCCGACACCCTCCGCCTGAAGAGGCTCATCGAGCCACACAACGAGCGGCTCACCGCCAGCAATGATGACGAGGCCTGATACAAGATCAGGACAATCCACGAACTGTACATCACCACGGTTGGCCTGGTGCTGTACACTGAGGTGTGGCCTCTCTTTGCAGAGACATTGTCTTCCGTAGTGACCATCCCGGGAGAGGAGGAGCTCTTGACGGAGATGCTGGATGCATTGGAGAGGTTATTGTCTGTGGGGTGGACCGTGCGCTCTATTCGCAGCACACCAACTACACTGCCCAGATCAGGCACCAGGGCAGTGTATTTGGTGTGCTGCACATGGAGTGTACTGTCCACTGAGGCCTGGGTGTTCAGGCCGAAGTATGAGGCCAAACGATGAGTGGTCGAAGCCCAGGCTGCTGCAAAGATGCAGAAAATGGATACAGCTGAGCTGGAGAGGGCGACACAGGAGGCAGAGAGGTGTGAGCAGGAGGCAAAGAGGCACAAGCAGGAGTCAGAGAGGCGAGCGATGGAGGCAGAGGCACGAGCGCGGTCCCTAGAGCTCCAACTGCAGCAGCTTAGGCTCCAAATCGAGAACACGGTGAGCCATGCCCTCTTCTCTGTCTGTCCCTCTGTCTGTTCTTTGCTGACCACCATTTCTCGTCGGTCCACGCAGCCAAGCATGTAAGCACCACGTCCGTGTCGAGTGCGCTATTCAAGTATCGCCGGTACGTCCTCGCCTTACCGCGCGCAGGATGGTCATCCATCCCACCTACATATCCATGATCCCATCGTCGTTGTCGCGACTGCGTTCGATACGTTGTGTTTGTTGTCACTATCACTCGTGCTTTCTTGCGCAGTGTTCCAATCCCCACTGTATAGCTATCATTCTGCTTCTCGCTCGCTGTAATCATTACCTCCACATATATCACATCTAGGATTTGGCTGCTGTACTATAGCTTGCGTTGTGTCATTATGCCTGACAATCTACTGTGCACCAGAGCACCCTCTGCTCGCACATTGTGCTTACACGCTGTTTCCTGTGATACCATCGTCCCCGCTCTTCGTCGCCTCTATGATACTTGGCACACCACTGGTATGTATTGAGAGTTGTGCCCCCTCTGGATCAAGCATGCATTTCACCCATGCACTGCAACCGGGAAAAGCCTTCGTGGCGACCGGAAGTTTGGATACGGTACATGACCGCATCATATATCAATGCTGAGCACCAGGAATACGCGTGACTGTACATCTATATACTACACAAAGCTCCGTACGGATAATAACGAGCTACATATACACAGTCCCGTAGAGATTCAGTCCATGAGCGACCCGTCGAGCATGCTCCGTTTGCCGATCCGCACGTTGCCCTTGAAGGGGAGCCCCGTCAATTGCATCTCGCCGTCGCGCCCGTTCTCGAAGGGCAGCCCGTTCACGTGCACCGCAACAGCGGCCTCGCCCTGCAGGCCCGCGAGCGCGCCCTGCGTCCCGAACACAACCTACACGTGGGCATGAGACGTCTATCCAGCGTACACCGTAAGAGAGAGCGGCGTACCTTCGACACGAAGTTGCTGAACTCGCGTTCGCGCCCCGGGAGCACCTCCAGCGGCACCTCCACAATTTCCGCAGTCACGTTCACGACCGTGCCCTCCCCGGGGCCCTGCTCGCCCGGCACGCTCAGCGCGGGCAGCCAGTCGTCCGGGCGGATATGCGCGAACGCGCGTTCGGGCAGGGGGTCCGGCAGCGGGGGCTGCGGCGGGACGTCTCGGTCGCCATCGTCCACCGGGAAGTTCAGCACCTTGAAATCGGGCCTACGCTCGACGCGCGCCCCGCCCTCGGGCACCTCGCCGTCGTAGACGAGCACGTCCGGGAACACGCGCACGACGTCGATGCCGACCTCGATCCCGGGCGGGAGTACGACGCGCGCGAGCACGGTCCCGCTCGCGACCATGCCCTGGCCGACGGGCTTGACCTTCATGTCCTTGATCTTGACGTCGTGCAGGATCTGCGGCGGCGGGTGCGGCGCGGGGAACCTCGTCGGGACGCGCACGTCGGGAAGGAGCGTCGTCTCGAGCAGGATGTCCGCGTCGTGCGCGGAGACGTACGCGCCGAGGAAGTCGGAAAGCGCGCCTGATGCGTTGCGCGGTAGGGGGAGAACCACCCCAGTGAGGGCCAGGCTGATGTTTCCATAGGAGAAGGCAAAGGGCGGTGACTGTACGTGGGCTAGAGGCACGGGCGGCGATGTGCCATTGGGAGGGAGATAGACAATGAAGGGGAGAGAAGGTACAGTTGCGTTGAGGGAAGATTGAATAGGGTTCGTGATGATTGCGTTTGCAGAAATAGTGAGTGTGTCGTTAGCAGATTTGATAAGAAATGATTCTAGGTTGACGAATTGAGAAGCATCCGGGAGGTCGTCTCCTGGGTGGGGCAGGCCTGGCAAGCGGGGGACTACGCGCGTTACTGCTAGAACAAGAGAGACCAGAGGAGAGAGGACACACTGGATATGTGTACCGCCGTCTGGATGTCGGAGTGCGAGATCCGTACCCGTCGCCGCCAGCCGCCGTCGGAGAGGCCACCACCAGTCACATTGACCTGCTCTATGGACGCTTGCACCCGTATTGTCCCCTCTTTCCAGCTCTGGCGCACGAACCGCATCAGCGTCTTCGCATCCTTTGTAGGGCGGATGAGGACTGGTATCGCGACTGGGGTCAGCCAACTGTTGTCTGACGGTGGGTTCGCGGTGAGAGCTAGCTCCAGCGGCGGCAAAGTGATAGTTGTGAGTGTATTGCCGGGGTCACCCTCCGGCACGACAGCAATGGTAGATAGGTTTACGGAAACCTTGTCTAGCCGTCGAATGCCCCAGCGGCCAATGGCTTTCCACGCGTCCCCGACAAGACTATCTCCTTCGGCCGTGTTCACTCCTGCGACGTGCCCAGCATCGATCCCAACTCGCCCGTGAATCTTCATCCATATTCCTCCGTCTCCTGTCGTATTCAGGACGTCTACACGATCCGGGCCACGCAGCACGAGTGCATGTCGTATAATCTCGTCCGGCGAGGCACTCACCGCGCGTGCCCGATACGAGAGTATGATGATAATCAAGAGAAGCAGAGCAAGAAAGCATAGCGACAGCGAAGCGAGGAAAACAGTGAGCAGTCTCGAATAGAGGCGGCGAGTGTGTGGCGGGCTCTCGGGGTCGACGCTGGATATGTATGATCCGCTTGTAGAACCGAGGAGCGGCGTGCTTTCTGTTGGATCAGGAGAGCGTGCGCGTCCCTTCCCTTTGTCGACGCGGTGACCAGCAGGCTCAGAGTCCGAGCTCATCGTCTCTGACGACGGCGAGTGAGTAGTAGCAGAGAAAGTGGCTGTAGCTATTTCGGAATGAAGTGGTGCAGAAACAATGTATATGGAAATGAGTCTTAAGTAATGCAGCCTTAGCAATGCTAAATAACAGCGCGCTTGAAGACAATACACAACGTATATATTATACACGGTATACCATTTACTGTAACTTAATATTTACTATATTACTGTACAGTAATTTACTGACTCGGTCTCAGTGCTCTTCGTGCGCGATTCCAGGGGAGCACTGTTTTATGTCTTTAAGCCTCATAAACACGGGGCGACTGCAGCATTGTCTCGGACTGTAGTGTAGGATGAACTCTGATGCCGAATTGTCGTACAGCTTCAACACTATTTATACACTTCAGGTTCAAACTTCTACGTATACGTGAGTGACGACCGCCGTGACAGAGACAGATTTATTGTAATGCGTGACGAGAACCCCCTCGACGACCTCCTCCTCGTGTCCGCTGTTCGAATTCAACTTCAGCTCCGCCACGCCGTAGCCCGCTGTGCGGCTCTTGCGCCACTCCAACATCGTTGGCGCGTCCTTGTCCTCGCAGAGCCGCTTGATCCCCACCCGCTGGAGGACCGGACTCTCCGAGAAGGGCACGAGCTTCAAGTTGTCATCCGCCTTGCAGAAATAGAAGACGCCGAGACGTTCGTACCCGCGCTGGTCGGCGGGCGGCTGGACGACGCGGTGGATGGTTGCCTTGTAGAACCCGCCGGAGAGGAACTCCATCACGTCGCCCGCGTTGATCACCTGTGGCAAAACGTTATTCACTGCGGACATCATGATATAGCCGTGGTACATACGAGAGCATTGTCAATGTGGCGGATCCAGCGCCACTTGCCATCTTGACCGAGGATCTGCAGCGCCGAGATTGGCTGGCTCCAGAGGACGGAAATGCTGCCGATGTCTGCAAGATCGACGTTGTGGGCCCAAGTTCGCACCATGTCCGACAACGCTGAGAAACACACCTGTGTGCCCTTTGAGCCAACTCCGTCAGTCTTGACCTCCTCATCTTGGGTGCGAGGGAAGCTGTGTCAGGGTGAGTCTATTGGATGACTCCCACAGGCGAGCCCTTACTATTTCATGAAGCGCGCTAATAGGGTTTGGGCGTCGGTAATTTTCTCGCAACAATAGCGCTACACCTACCAGCAGACTCATTACTCTCTGAGAACTGGTGAACGTTGACGAGAGTGTCCTCGGGGAGCTCCATCCGATAGCCAATATTCTAGACACGCACATTCTGACGTCAACACGCCATTGCAATGTCATCAAGTAAACTCACCTCAGGATGTTGTGAACAACGTAGTGATGACAGTGACGGGAGAACGCATCTATTTCAGAGAGGAAGGGCCGGAGGGGCTTGGGGTGTTCATCCTTCATGATATCGTGATCAACTATCGACACTAGATCAGTGGACGACTACGCAGACTGTGGTGCAGACGCACTGTTATACTGTTCGATCTGGTCGCTAACGCCGCCTTTATATGCTAGTAGTACTCCATGAGCATGGACTCAGTGACGGTACGAGCCAACCATACCCATTGCTGGCGAGGCTTGTAACCGAGGTACTGTCCAGTCTTCTCAAAGGATGTCGTGTAAGCCTGCTTCTCCTGTTCAGAGACGTGGTCGAACGCGACGTTGGCGATGTCGAAGATGCGGTCATTCTAAGAGGATGTCATCAGAGAAGCGCACGGTCAAGGGGACGATCGTCGCTTACCTGAGCCTGCGTGAGCCCATGGTTGATGACATAGAAGAATCCTATTGTTGTCATAGCCTCTGTCACTTTTTAGCAAGTTCCATGCGGCCCTCATAGGTGTCGGCCTTCGACAGGTCGATGATCGGGAGGCCAGCATACTCGACTGAACGGCGCGAGATACGATGTCAGCGCCCGTCTGTTTTACAGCAGGAGACGCTACACACGATTTTCCTTCGTCACGGGAACCCTGGGGTACTGGGGGATCGAGGCAGCTACGGGGACGGGGACTGGCATGCTGGGTACTGTCTTGGGTCGGGTCGAAAGTATCTAGAGGGTAGATGCAGGTTGATAGGCCCGCCCTCCATGATTTATGTGGTCGGCGTGCGCACCTGGTATCGTTCGCTGAGCTCGAGGTGCATATTACGAACACATTGCTCAAGGCTTCGGAGGGGCCAGAAGTAGCTATTGCACGGTCCGACGGGAAGGCGAGCAGCGTCTGCGGCCGAAGGATTGTTCTATCGTGGAGAACGCATCTGTATAGAACAGCGACTCGGGAGGGGAAGAGAGGGTAAACTGTACACGTAAAGCACCTGAAAGGGAACAAACGTTCCGCCCTCGATCCAAGCTCGGTAGATGACACAAATGACGCACCCGCGGGTTGAGTAGCACTCCGAGGGGACCATCCAGCGATGGCCATTCGCCGGCCACAACGAGCGCAACGCCCCTTTCGCGTACTTTTCAATATCGTCCAAAGTGAGTGGAGACACCCTACGCCAGAATGTTCGCTTACTTGGATGAGGCTGCGATAACTAGATAGCCCCGCGTGATGCGTACATTGAGCGCAAAGCCACCGCTCTGCTGGACTGGTATCGCTGAGCCCGAACTGGAGGTGCCGCATGATGTCGTCTTATCGTCGCGCAGCTGATCATGACCTACGCAGAACCATTCGTCGAGGTGGTGAGTCGTTGTATCTACCGGTGAGGCGCCGGGAACTGACTTTAGTTGTTTGTACCCAGAAAGAACCTGCGAGAACCTGGATGGTCAGCGTCAAGGACGATTCCTATGCATCAGGACGCAATTGCGAAGAAGTCAGCAAGGCGTCAAGTTTATTCGTTGGTAGTAGCATAGTACCCACCTCTGCCAGTGTATCACCGAACGGCTGCGGTCAACCTCTCCTACTTAGCCGCAATGCATGACGGAGAAACCCACGATACCCATCGGGACGGTCACCGGATTAGCATTTGGAATGACCACCTACGATCTCGGATTCTTCGAAGTGAACTGAGGAAGAGGACTTACGGCGTGGTGCCTATCGATACAGCAGCCCCCGGCGTGCGCCGACGGATACTTGATAGGACTTAAGGAAGCATTACTCGCTCCCAGAGCAGAGCACTCCTGATGCGCACTCCTGACTTGTAGTACATGCGCAATCAGGTTTGCTCCGAGTCGAGACTCCCGAGAAGGGTCTGTTGTCTGACCCTTCGCACCGTACGGCCCTATCAAGATCTTCAGTGCCGCGAACCGAGGAGCAAACTCAGCTCAGGCTTCGCAAGGTTGCTCCCCTTTCCCTCGAGGGCGTCTGCGTCGGCAACGCAAGGCCATTCAAAGAGATGAGTCGTAACCCAACGTGTGTTATGAATTCAAAGTAGTTTCAAATTCCGAAAGCCACATAGTAGGCGAGTGGCTGGGTGGTCTTCGTAGAGTCCAACAAGCATGCACCAATGGCTATCGCGGAACACCGGCTGTGCGAACCTGAGTTTCGGCAGTTCATGGATAGGCAATACAAACTCACATCTTTTGCGCAAGATACTCGTCTAATGAACATTATCAGTGACTCCGCAGCACGTCCTAGTTCCAATGCTTCACGACCACCCCGTTTATGATCTCTTCCTCGACACCCTTCTCCTTCGCCTTCAGCTCTGTCTGCCCATACGCGCTCGTCCTGCTTCTGCGCCACGCCTCCATAGAAGGCGCGTCGGCGTCTTCGCAGCGCCGCTGAATGCCGACCCTCTGCAGGACCGGGCTCTCGGCGAAGGGGACAATTTGGTGTCGTCATTCGGCATGCAAAAGTAGAAAACGCCCAGGCGGGTGTAGCCCTGCTGATCGGGAGGAGGCTGAATGACGCGGTGGACGGTACCCTTGTAGAAACCTCCAGACAGGAAGTCCATCGCGTCGCCCGCGTTGACCACCTAGAGTGTATCGGGTATGAGTACCATTCATTGTCGCGCATGAACATAGTCCAACCAGGGCATTATCTATGTGCTTGATGTTCTTCCACTTGCCATCTGGAGAAAGAATTTGCAGTGAAGCGACGGGCTGGCTCCAGAGTATGCTGACGCTCCCAAAGTCTTGTGGAGACAGTTTGAGGCCCAATAAACCACAGTTGTGGCGTGACAACTCACCCGTGTGTCCCTTTAACCACACATTCTTCGTCTTCGTCTCTTCATCTTGGGTCCTGGGATAGCTGTTGAATCGATCATCATCCAACCAAAGGAACATTGAAGTCTAAAGACGACTTACTATTTCATGAATCGGACTGTTGGCGGATACAGTGAGATGCTGATGACCATACAGACGCGCGGCTTACCATACGATTCGCCGGCTGCATCATATTCGTGGATGTTGACGAAGGTGTCCTCTGGCAGTTCGAGACCGAGCGCGAACAGCCTGAGAAGTGCATTCAGTTGGGAGCCCGTGATGGCAGTGTCTGTAATAGCCGCACCTGAGTAGAGGATGTAAGACGTGAAAGTGGTTGAACTTTGCAAATGCCTCTATTTCAGGTATGAGAGGCCGCAACGCTTGCGGATGTAGCTTCTTCGTGACATCGCGGTTGACTGCAAGTGTTGAGTGCATGCGAAGGATCAGTAGACGGAACTTACTGTTATAATGCTCTATCTGGTCGTGGACACCAGCGTCGATATGCTAACACGACATCAGCTGCACATCCGTGATATATAGTAGCGTGAATAGGTACCCAGTATTGTCTGGGTTTATATCCTTGGTACGACCCCGTGGCTTTGATATTGGCCACGTAGGTCCTTTTCTCTTCGTCTGATACAGCCGAGAAGGGTATGTCAGCGACGTCAAAGATGCGCTCGTTCTGTAGACCATCCAAGTCAGATTGTTTCTGTATACCTGCCTGCCGCATTGTAGACGTACCTGAGCCTGAGTGAGCCCGTGATTGATCACGTAGAAGAAGCCTTGCGTGACCATTGCATCTCGAAGCTGTACCGCGAGCTTCGTCCGCCCTTCATACGTGTCCGCCTTCGACAAATCTATAATAGTCAGGTCTGCATATTCCACTGGGAGGTTTGACGCCGCGATAGTGATTGAGCCTCAAGCACAGCCCACAGGGCTCACAAGGTTCCTTCGTCTGGGGAGCAGGCACATAATGGGGGACGGGAGGAAGGACGGTGGCAGGCATCGTAATCAAAGTTCAGACGAAGCTGTCCGTCATTGCCACCACTTAGGGTCCTATATATCCTGGGCACGTCCAGATATCGCTAATGATGTTCCGGCATCCCGGTGGATGAGTTCTGTAGGCACATGAGTCTGTCGTGCTCGCGAGTCTGAGTGTCGCACGATTGCAGTGATTCTGTAGATACGATGTAGCGTATCCACCACGTCTTCTCGGAACGCACGTCATTCGGAGGTAGGATGAGCACCATGGAGGCCCCGTGACAGCCATTATTGCTCTCGACCTTGTAGCACAGTCCAGTCACTGCTGCTCATTCAACGAGATCAGCACTCAGGCTGCTACTCGACATGCGCGTGAACGTTCACGACATACGAGTCGTAAGTTGATCGTCCATCACTAGCATGACGTTCAAATTGTTAGCTGAAAGCAACATATCGAAACACATTGAGTCGCAGACCTTAGACTTCGGTACTGCAATTCTGACTCGGAAGTGTCCATGTTGATGTAGATGCCCGTGCACTCAATGATACGTAGAGTAAGTCGATGGATGTGGAGGACGACAGAAGAGCCGCATCTGCTAGATTTGATCGGGATGGTTCACAGTGTCGGCTTATGTAAGTATGTCATCAGTCAATCATTAAATTGTCTTCAAGTTCAAGTTGTCGCCGCCGCATCATCACCGCATGCCACCATACAATTCACTGGAGATCTGGAGGTGGGCCGAGTGAGATGACGGATTATGGCAGAGAAGAGAAGTACGAACTTACCGTGCTCCGCCGCGGGTGATGTCTAATTCCAGTGCTTCACCACGACGCCGTTAATGATCTCTTCCTCGACGCCCTTCTCCCTGACCTTCAGCTCGGACTGTCCGTACGCACGCGTCCTCTCTCCGTCCCACTCCCGCGAGGTAGGCGCGTCGGCGTCCGCCCAGCGCCGCTGTATGCCGACCCTCTGCAGGACCGGGCTCTCCGCGAACGGCACGAGCTTGGTGTCATCGTCAGGCAGTGCGAAGTAGAAGATGCCGAGACGGGTGTAGCCCCGCTGGTCGCTAGGGGCTGAATTACACGATGGATGGTGCCCTTGTAGAAGCCGCCGGAGAGGAACTCCAAGGCGTCGCCCGCGTTGACCACCTGGAGTGCACCGCGGATGAGTTAATATTTGAAGCGTACGGATTGGGTCTCACCAGGGCGTTGTCTATGTGCTTGATGTTCCGCCAACTGCCGTCGGGATACATGATTTGTAGGGAAGCGACGGGCTGACTCCACAGGATGCTGACACTCCCGAAGTCTGAGTAGATATTGTCAGACCAAGGGGATGACACGCGAGAAAAGAAGTGTACCTGTGTGACCCTTCAGCCACACGTTGTTAGTCTTGTCTCTTCATCTTCCGATCTTGGGTAGCTAATGAGGTATCTAAGACAATTGGCAAGAACGCGTATGCGATGTCACCTACTACTTCATGAAGCGGACTGTTTCGGGCATCAATATCAACGTGGAAACGCCAAATGGATGCGCCGCTCACCAAACGTTTCACTCGCCGGTTTGAATTTGTGAACGTTGACGAATGTTTCTTCGGGGAGCTCCAGTCCGAGCGCGAACAGCCTGATTAGCGCGACTCAAGCCAGGATTCCACAACAATAATATGTTATCAGCCGTACCGAAGGAGGGGATGTAAGATGTTGAAGTGGTTGAACTTCACAAACGCCTCTATTTCAGGGATCAAAGGTCGCACCGCTTGCGGGTGCTGCCTCCTCGTGACGTCGTTGTTGACTGTACGCATTCAGCATACGCGAAGGACGAAGAAGAGGTACACTCACTGTTGTAATGCTCAATTTGATCATGAACTCCAGCGTTGATGTGCTAATACAACAGTCAGCTCTCATCCTGAGTTATGATGGACAAGCATTACCCAATATTGCTTGAGTTTGTATCCCTGCCACGAGCCCGTTTCCTTGATCTTGGCGACGTAGGCCTTCTTTTCCTCGTCCGATACTGCCGAGAAGGGTACATCGGCGATGTCGAAGATACGTTCGTTCTGAGATATTGTAGAGGTTAGATCATCCAAATGCGCATCGTCGCGTCAGACACGCACCTCAGCTTGAGTGAGTCCATGGTTGATCACGTAGAAGAAGCCATGTGTGTGCATCGCGTCCCGGAGTTGGGCTGCAAGCTCAACACGCCCTTCATAGGTGTCTGCCTTCGATAAATCTATAACAGTCAAGTCTGCATAGTCCACTGGGAAAGTGTATCGGTGCGATCAGTGTACATCGTTCTTCGAGCAAAGCCTTGGAGACTTACAGGGTTCCTTGGTCGGTGAGGCCGGAACATAATGAGCAATAGGTGGAAGGACTACGCTAGGCATCGTGGTCGCGGTTCAGACGAGGCTAATTCCTGGTCGTTATCCATACTCCCACAACGCTATAAAACTCGTTCTGCCGAGTCCAAGCGCTTCCGTGCTTCCACATGAGCCTGTCGTGCTCCCGGGTCTGAGAGTGCGCACCGGTCCAAGAACTCTGCAGATATCATAGGATATGACGCGTCTTCCTCGCCCTATCGACACACGCAATTCCGGGATACGATGAGCACCTAGTGATCCCGTGACGGCAACTGGGGCGTGCGCTGCGTCGAGCTGGTCCCTGGAGAACCGCCTTACGAGACTTGAGTTCCATGTTCTTCTCGACGTTGGAGTTTGTCCGAAGAAGCTCGTACCTTAAGTGTCATTCGAAGTGAGCGTGCACATCTAATAGGTCGTAAGATGGGCCTTACAATCGATTCGAGCGCTGAGATGACACGCCGGATTAACAGTTATGAATGGGCTCTCAAGTAAGCTCCTTTGTAGCTCCAGCAGATATTCGGGTTGATCTGTCGATATCAATGCCTGTACATGTCGCAAGACTCAAGCATGGCTGGTGCAGTAACACTTGTAGATGATGGAGATGAGCTCAAGCGCTCAAGGGCCATAGTCCAGCAAGCGCCCGTGCGACTTCGGTTACTTACCGGTATATTTCTCCACGTGACCGCGGTTGTGTCGCGTCGTTCTCGCCGCGGCGGGTGGTAGCATGTTGTTAGTCCCGTCCCGATACCATTCTACTTGTCTGTCTGGCTTAGATCACTCACAGCTGTTCTACATGTCTGTCTAGCTCTTTGATAGGAAGGTTCTGCGTTTCAGTCGTCCGACACTACGCATCCGGGGGGCTAGTACGCAAAACTGCATTACGACCGTGTTCGACTACCTCTCTCAATCAAGCTGCGTCTGGAGGCCTGAGGGTGTGCATAAACGACTCGCCTCAAAATTGAACGCTATGACCGACTACAAGACGTCGAAAGAGGCCTTCGTATCTGGCATGACAGGGTCCAGCATCGGACACATTAACATGATCTCTCTGGCTGCACTCGTGAGTCTCGATGTGTTCTGTAATCGCGACATACAACTGATTGCAATCTCTAAAGTCCTCTATTGCATTGTACTCTGCGCTCCGGACGCGTCTGCCCCCCAACAGGTCCGAGCATTTTGCTTTGGAAATGCTCACGCTCGTCCTTCCGCTCCTTCTCTCGATAACCCTTTACGCGAAAGCTCCTGTAATTCTCAATATCATGCTGCTTCTTCCGACTACGCTGCTGCTACTCATACCGCGCCGCGAGACTGGTATCCCGCTACCATCCACTCTGCAATCAAGCCCCTCGACTTCGCCTTACCGAGGCAGACCTCGCACTCCAGATCCCTCTGGCGGCAATTCGCCATCTACCAGCGCCCTCATACCACGACTGCCGGCTCTGACAACGTATCGTGCGCACATGCTGCTGTTGACGTTCCTAGCCATCCTCGCTGTCGATTTTCGCGTGTTTCCGAGGATGCTCGCGAAGTGCGAGACGTATGGTGTGTCGCTGGTGAGTGGTGCCTTTCTCGGTATATGTGCCAGGCGTGCTCATGTCGTTCAGATGGACATCGGCGTAGGGTCGTTCATCTTCTCGCAGGGCATTATATCCGCCGTACCTCTGATCAAGAACCCTGCGTATCTCACCCAGCCGCTCTTCCCAAAGATGGTCACGACGGCCCGCAAGTGCCTGCCCATCTTCGTGCTGGGCTTCGTGCGGACGTTGTCCGTCAAGGGCGTAGAGTACCCCGTACGTGAGCTTGTCCATAGCTGCCGCTGTAGGGCGACCATAACGGTCCGTCCTAGGAGCATCAGACAGAATATGGGACCCATTGGAACTTCTTCATCACGCTTGCCTCCATACCTATCCTTGAAGTCCTTTTGCACCCGGTGATGGTCCGCTTGCCGATCTCGCTTCTAGGCGTCTCAGTCGCGCTCTGTACGTCCGCACGGGCTAGCAACTTTCATTCACTGACCAAAAGCCAGTGCAACAACTCGTTTTGAGCCACGGCCTAACGGACTATGTTCTCAACGCGCCGCGCACCGGCCTAATCAGCGAGAACAAAGAGGGCATCGTCTCCCTATCTGGTGCGGGTCTCCCCTGGACATACTCTACCGTGCTGACTCCGAATCAGGGTATCTTGCTGTTCACTTGCTCGGGCTCTCAACGGGGACGCTGCTGCTCCCGCCCACGCCGTCCTACTTCCGCAAGCGCCAGCAAGAACTCGCCAGAGCGCCCTCGCCTCGCCGGTCTGCGCACACGCACGACAGCGACTCCGAGAGCGATGACAGCACGGGCCCACGGAGACCCGGCCAGACGACTACAACGGCCGTGGAGCGGCGCGAGAACGACAAGACGGCGATCGAGCTGTGCTCGTACGCCGTCCTGTGGTGGGCCCTCCTCGGCGGGAGCAAGCTGCTCGGCATCGGCAACGGTGTCTCCCGAAGATTGGTAAGCGCACCTCGTGTCTGACGCCACGGTATCCCGCTCACCGTCTCCGCAGGTGAACCTGCAGTACATCCTCTGGATCGCGGCGTACAACGTGAGCTTCATCCTCGGCTACATGTGCCTCGACCTCGCGTTCTTCGCGTCGCCCCTCTCCAAGTCGACGTACTCGCCGTACTCGAAGCTCAAGGTGCAGCACGATCCCGTGATGCTCAAGAAGGACGACAGGCATGGGCACACGGTCGAGGGGAGCGCGCCGGCGCTGCTTGACGCGATCAACAAGAACGGGCTGGCACTGTTTCTACTGGTGCGTGTACGATACGAACTGGTTCGGGACCCGGTGTGCTGACGTGGGTGTGTTGCGCGCAGGCCAATCTCGCCACCGGCGTAGTGAATCTGTCGATGAAGACGATGTACGCGTCGGACGCGGTGGCGATGGCAGTGCTCTCTGCGTATGCGCTCGCTATCTGCGGTGTCGCGTGGGTATTCAGGAATAGACGGCTTTGGCACTTTTGAAACTCGTGCTTTGTGGACGATGGGTGGTGGTGGACGGATCGCTCATCTGAGAGTCAAACGGGTATGAAGGTCAGTGTTCCAGGTTCACGTCGTCCGATGTAACCTGAAACTGAGCGTCGTATTTGGTTGCTCTCGTGTGCTTCAATCTTGGTAGGGACCTAGGGTTCTACGTGCGTGAATGATCGTTGATTGGACGGTGTTCTCTGTTCGCACTCAACTTCGTACGCATGACACGTCTTTTTTTCATGGATGCGTCTCAAGTTCACGACGCTGACCGACCTTTCCAAGAACTCGCGATCCGATATCGATATCAAAGTGTCCGTGATCCGTCAGGAACAGGGTTAAGAATGAAACACCGGATTAAGCCTGTGTTTCCTGATGTGCTCTCACTTACATGGATGACGTACCCTTTAACCCTGGACTGTTTCATTTCGGTCACCTGTGAAGGTGGGAGCAGTGATAGCTGCCAGCCCCAAAAGAAGTATCATTGGAGTTTCAATTGCACTTGGGGTACAAAGTTAAAACACAATTTCACAGCACATGTGTATGACACTGTAGGCTAGTGGTGATCAGCTTCTGTACAACTGATGCACAAGTATACTGGCACATACTATTGGTCATACTGAGAGAGATGATACACTGGTAGTGCTGTTCTGTCGGGTTCTCAAGTAGTAGCCACTGTGATGTACTGACTGTGTTGGTTCTTGAACACCAGGATACTCAGTGTAGTAAGTTCTGCATATGCCACATGATAGTCATTGAGAGGAATTTCAAATGACTTTGGCATTACTGCTTACCTTGGATTGATGCCATTTACATCTATTTTTTGGACCTTGTCCCACCATTTGCACGAGGGCTTGGGTAGATGCAGACTTGAGAATGGTATCTTGCCAACAGCCACTGCAAACCAGCAAAACACAGCCAAGATTGGACAACATTTAGTTGAATATGTTGGTGACATATATAGTGTGTCCTGGGTTTGGCTTGTATCTCCTCGGGCAAAAAATATTGTGTACTCTGCTGATGACAGTATTGCCAACTGTGTTCTGTTATACACCATTTGTGTCCATACCTGAATTGTTAGGTTAATACAACACTCAGTCAATGACAGATGTTATTGCAGACCTGAACAAGGATGCGTGATGGTGTATCATTGTGTGGTAATGTTGTAGGCCAGACAAACTGTATGGCAGTGCCCTCAGGGATTATGACATCCATGGTCTCAGGCAATGCTTGCAATGGAGCAAGAAGATGAGATATGCCTTTGCCTTGCTTTGGATTATGTCCCAATGCAGATGGTGTCTTGATCTCTATAGTGAGGCCAGCCTTGGGGTACATTACCATTTTCCCATCCTCTTCAATCTCTTCATGTGCCAACACTAGGATCTTGTCTGCGATCACAGGTCCAGATGGCGCTGAAGAGATATATGGAAAGATTTGCTGATAGTTATGATCTGGCATGTCATGTGCATGTTGAATATCTTGTGTCCCCATAAGTGCACGAATTGCAGCCATAGCTGCCTCAAATATTGTTTCCTGTGACCAAGTCACTATGTCGACTTCAGAGAATATGACTTGTGGCAGGTCAGTTGCTGTGTGGGCAGGATGAATGCGGCCTGCATTGAGTAGCCCCCATGGATGGTGATCAGGCTGATCGAATAGAATTTGCTGGCTGGCCTTGACAAAGGGATTATCTTGCAATTGTGAAACAAGCCGTGGTAGGTAGACAATTTTTGCCAGTGCATCGTCTGAATCTTCAAGTTGAATCTCAGCTTGACTCATCTGTTTCATCCCTTGCAGCTTTCCTGCACCATATGGTAAAGGAATGCCAGGTAGAGACACTTTCATGACATCATGGAGGTTGTTCAAAAATTCTTCTTTGAGTGATATGAAGTCCCTGGGCACTGGCCAGGGCTTATCTCCCTACATGTCCATGAGATACCTCAATATCATATTCATATTATGATGCGAGTCTTCCATACACTTACCCCTAGGTGAACAGTATGCTCATATGGACCTCCTGCTGCCAGGACTGTCTGACGAAGTTGACTATCTTGAGTTAAATGTCCAAGATGAGATTTTGTGGGTGATTCTGGCATCTTAGCTGATGAAGTAGCTTGAGGTGGCTTGGACTTTGGTCTTGGCGTTGGACTGCCAGGAAGAACCACTGTAGATTTGTTTTGCAATGGTGTAAGTGGCACTTGAGACATTTGAGCTTCATCATTATGATGGCTAGCCATGTCAGGAGTACTAGTTTTGGACTTCCTTTTAGTCTTTTGCTGTTGTGACATAGGGATTGAGCACTTGAGTGCTATGACTTGAGTCTTGGAGTAGTAGCCTGAAGTACTACTAGGAGTGAATGCCTGTTGGGTCTGATGCTGAGGTTGTGCCAGCTCAAGGTCAGCTATATAGCCTTGTGTTGCACAGCCTTGATGAGGTGGACAATTGGCAATACAGTTGAGCACTATTATCTGGTACAATTGTCACAACTTGAGTTTCATCAGTCCTGGAACATATGATGTTCCCAACCTCGTCCAATGACAATTGGCCCGGGGGAACATCATATGTATCAGAATCAGAATCATTGATTTTTGAATCTCTTTATTGTCCGCGAGGCCGGGCCCTATGTAGACAGATTCTCTATCTCTAAAGGTAAGTACATGTGTGTGTTCTGTTAGGATCATCAGGCTGAGCATAAGCTCGTCACCGAAGCGAGAGTGAGGGGTTGTACAGTGGGACAGAGAAGTAGGAGCCTTAGGGTCATGCTGTCTGAGTCGACGTCGTTAGTAGTAGTGGTATGTACAGTAACTGGTACACGAGCGTAATGTATTCGTCCTTGGGCCTACTAAATACGGGATAATGGACTCCCGCCCGCCAGGAGACGACACACGTTCGATAGGGCTGCCGAGGTGCGCGGGGCGGTAGCATACAAAAGCAACTACTCAAGATATAGATCAATCGCACATGGCTGCACACACTGGCTACCGCATGATCATGTTTCGAATCCGCGGAGTCTCGCTGCTCCAACAAATGATTATGTGTACTACAATAAATTCACGATTATTGTCTCACGTTGCGTGCACCCGAGGCGGAAAGTAGCCGGAAAGTGCCACGCACGCATCACAGAAAGACGCACTGGCAGTTAAACCAAGGTACATCGGCACTATTTATTGCGACTGTCTCCCTCAGGCTGACACTACCATCAGCCACTATCCTTCGCTTGCCCTGTCCGTTTCAGAGTCACTTCGAGCCTATTCGCCATATCGTTCAGCCATGCCTTTGCTATCGGAGAGGTGGAAGTCCCGCCGCGCCCCTCCCGATCTATTCATTCCCTCCATTTCCGACTTCAACACGCTCCAGAATGTCAACGGCCACGACCGCCGTACTCTTCAAGTCTCGGCACTTCTAGAGTCAACCAATGCCAGTGTGCCTAACAGTGGCGTGCAGTTGGTCGACTGGGCAACAGGCGAGCGTACACGCACGGTCTGTCGTGTCCTCATGCAAGTCACAGCCGACAACGGAGAAGGCGTTAATTGTAGGACCGTCATCTGCAAAGTGATTTACGGCGGCAAGCGACCGCGAGCGGCACTGCATCATGAGAAGGAAGTCTACGACGTACTGGAGGAACTTCAAGGGGATATTATACCCCGTTGCTATGGACTGTTCGAGGGAGAACTAGGCGGCGAGCTAGCTACCTGTTTAGTCCTTGAAGAGTTCGGGGAACCTCTGACTCGTGACAAGTCGGCACACGAGGACGAGACATTCAGGTGCGTTGAACCATGCTTTGATGGTTCGCAAGACAGATCTCATTCGGAAGGTGCTGTTCATGACAGAATTTATTTGATGTCTGCCATTCTCGAACTACATAGAAGAGGAATACAACACAATGACTTAGTGCCAGGCAACATTCGCAAGAAGAGCGACGGAAGTGCCGGTATCATCGACTTTGAGGCCGCTGTGATGATTCACCATTGCCCGGTGGCTGATGCGCACGCTGTAGACAGCGCGGCAACATTCGAATTCGGCAAGCTGGCACTTAGAGAAGTCGAGCTCCCTTGTAAAGAACTGTGGGAGACCGCATCTCACATTGCAGCAATCTGGAAACCAAGTGAACCCTCCTTCTGTACCTAGTATCGTAACCCCGAATGCTCATCAGTCTTTGTACAGGCACAACGGGCTTCGGTTCCCAATTGATCAGTGTTCACCAACTGTCGCGCATAACCAATCCAAATGACCGCCAAATCGCTGAAATATGCTACGCGTACGAAGTCGAGGCATGGGAGCAAAAAGTCGACTTCACTCGACAGGAGTTGTTGAGAAGGTGGGACGCCGCCGGGCTGGAGAGACCACTCAATGTGTAAAGGGATTCATGGTTGTGTGTAATCCGCAAACCGGGTGCTATGTGTCACTATACATGATTAGCCCCGGTCTTGCCAGAATGAACGGGGATCGGGCACACATAGGGCATAATCACTGCCAGCATGGGATTACGAGCTAACAATGACGACTCCACGTCTGATAAGTGATATGACCAGTACTGTAAGGACTGACCGACAAACAGAACAGCCTGAGGATCCACTATGAGCACCGTGGATAGCGGACAGCGCTACCGCGTCCTAGACATGCATCGCACTATTCATCGACTTCGCCACGCACATGGTGGGGTAGCCTGAGCAGAATACAACGGACAGATGTTCTAGAGCCGAATCGGTCACATTGGTGACATCCGGAGGCACTGGCATGATCCAGAGCTTCGCTCGTAGTGAGCTGCCTTCACAAAGAACTTGTAGTTAAGGAGCATGCATCAGCAGAGGATGCTACGTCTCCTGACGCCACGTCACAGGCTCAACCGGGTCCACTTTTATCTTCGACTCGCGGGAGTTCGATGGTACTGATGTCGTCTTCGGATTTGTCTTCATGTATGTTACCCAGAGGCGATGAGATCCATCGAACGATAACTGTGAGGCACAGGCTACTAGGATCGATTGAACAGCATCATCGAACTTGAGGTGACGAATTGACTTTGCTGTGTAGCCGCGTCAAGACCTGAAAGCGACCCGTGTTAGCCCGTATTGTCGTCGAATCGTCGCTTCAAGTTCTGCGACATCAATAAAGAACTGACAAGCGTTACGCCGGGCCACATACTCTTGTAGTCCCATCTAGTGAGTTCTTGTGGCTTCGAGCGTCTCTGAAGCATAAAAGCCTGCATGCCACGTACAGCACTCATGGAATACATTGATCCAAATCCCACGACCCTGTCATACACGACAATGTCCGATGCAAACTTGTTGCGGAGAGAACACCCTACCGCTGTGCTGAACAATGAGCTTGATATGCCACAGCGCACAAACTGTCGTGAGACTCGTACCTCGTCAAGAACCTTGCAGCGCTGTGTAGCAAGCGAAGCCCATGCTCTCCCAAAACGGCCCCGTCTTAGGAAAGCGCCTAGTATATTCAAAGAGGCGGTCCTGGGCCTTCCGTATGTGCTCGTAAGGCAACCATTGCACGTTCTCGTTCCTGAGCTCTGCGCCCACACGACGAGCGATATCCAGAAGCTCTCGGATGTCCTTGACGTCCGATCCCTGTTTCGCACGCATGTACCCTTCGGTATGATTCCGATGGTCGTCCCAGCCCTGTAGTTTCAACAGGAGCAAAGGCAGAATTGGTAAGACGGGGATGCCATCCCGACTTTCGATGTAGGCTGGAGGGACAGGTGGGATATTCAGGGTCGTGACGAGACCCGGGATGAGGATGTCGACCTTGCAGCGACGCTCGGCCTCGCCTCTGATGCGAGGTAGTTTGTACCAGAGGACCTTGTATGTAGCTGCGGGGTCCTTGGCGTCGACGAGATAGAATGATGAGTTCGCCTGGGGCAGCAGCCTCTTCAGGCGTTCTGTATCTAGTTCGTCTACGAACACGACGAGATCCACGTCCTACGATCGACGTGGAGCACCTCAGTCACGCACAACGGAGGCAGCATGAGCTTACGTTCGGTGTTCTGGTTGTTCCATACAACGCGCATGCGGTGCTTCCGAAGAGGCAACATGAATATCCATGTCTCGTGTATATTGATACTGCCTCGCGGGAAACGGCGCAGATTTCTGGGTATGTTGGCGGGCGGGACTTCATCTTTCGAGCTTCTACTCGTTAAGAACTGTTGGCGACGTTAGTAGTAATGGCTACGTGGTCGCTGTGGTACCACTCGCTAGAGCCTTGTCTGAGTGCGTTAGAGTTCAAACGTTCACGTTCAGTTCACGTTGTCAATCCAGGTGGCTGAACCTAATTGACAGTCGGCTTATGTCATCATAGCACAAGTCGATACAGTTACTTCAGGGCGAAACCGTTCCGGTACGTGTTCAAGTGTATTGCAACTCAGTACAGCTGAGCGTAATGTCTTCAGAAGCTATGACAACAGCGTGGAACATAGTGCTAATGATCACAGCGCATATTCAAGACAATCGGGGGATTTCAAGTTGGACCACATCAACATCTATCTTGCGATGCTCTACGACCCTGTATATAGCGAGCCGACTCGGATCACGCTAAAGGACGAGATTATCAGCAGGGATGTCTCTCGACAGAGCACTCTACTCGCACCTGGAGTCGGCGATGAATCCAGACTTAGTATGATTCGAAACCGAGAGTCTGCCATTCCAAGGCTGAGTGCGGGAACTCGTCCACGTATTCGTAGATACGCCCCTGGGCGTCCTGGACGAAGTCCGCGGGCAGCCAGCTGAGGCTGTTGCTGCTGACATGTGTGTGTGTACCGCAGGCAATCGACAGGAGCTCGTCAATGTCCTCGACATCGACATGTTGCTTCTCCCGGAAGTCCCGCCGGTTGGAGTCGCGATGATCCGTCCATCCCTGCAGCTTCAACAGCAACAGGGGGAGCAGTGGCATTACGGGAAGGTAGTTTTTGCGCTTGACCTGTCCTTTGGGGATGTCCGGGATGTTCAGATCGCCTGGGATCAGGATGTCTACCTTGCACTGACGCTCCGCACCGCGGCGGGTGGATGGTAGCTGGTACCATAGCACCTCGTAATTTGCGCGACGATTTCTCGAGGGTACGAGGAAGAACCGTCCATCATCGTCATTGTCCACCAGGAGCTGCTTCAAGTATTCGGTGTTCTCATCAGGCGCGAGAACAACGAGATCCACATCCTATGATCATGACTGTGATCAAACAACATCGAGTCATAGGAAGTGAATCTGCGCGTACGTTGGGACATCTCGTCGTGCCAAACAGTGCACAGGCTGTGCTTCCGAACAGGCAGCACTCATAGCCCTGATCTTTGAATATGGTGACAGCCTTACTGGCGATATCGCAGATTTCTTCATACGTCGGAGGGGGAGCCATCGCGTTTGCTGCTAGCCGTGTTATGTGTACAGCGTCGATGGAGCAAGGGTGTACGAATGTACGAAACTACAAAGGGGGACGATAGTAGCTCAGTCCACAATACCCGCTCAGCAGCCGCTTCGAAGCACACCAATGGGTCATTGAGATAAAGCCTCGTGTACCTGCTGTTGAGGGTGAGAAGAAACCTTGCTCGCATTGTCCTCGTGGCTCACCCGATTCCGTACGACGCGCACATCCCTCCATGCTACTACATTTATGGAGAAGTTACATGAACGCTAGCAGCGCACGTGCGCAAGGACGACTCGTTTTCACTCGCTCTGGCAGCCCGTTAGATACGAGCAGCAATTCTCCACGCCTGTCAAGTCCTCAGGCGGCAATGACTTCCTCTATTGCTGTTTCTGATGCCTTCTCGGACACGGACCCTTTGTGGTCTCCCTCGTGCAAAGGCCCCTCGATAGCCTCGGCGACTTCCTTGGCCAGATCTTTGTTATCGAACAAGGCCGCGGTTTCTTCCAGGGTGCGGTTCTTGGTTTCCACGAGCAGGAAGTAGATGAACACGAACTCGAAGGCGATCCAACAGCAGTAGAAGATCTGGGATGAGTCGACAATGAGACCGTGAATGGTTATACATGACGACCGATAGACGCACGTAGTACTTCCAGGCAAGCCTCTGTAGGGCGACTGGATTGACATATTGGTTGAAGATCAATGCGAGCGAAACGCCGACACTGTATATGGTGAGGCCCTTCGCCCGGAGCGAGTTCGGCATAATCTCGACGGTATAGGTTACAATTAGAGGCGTGTAGGCAAGACTGGTGGATTGCATGTCAATGGTTGCGCGCTTCTCGTATGGGAGAAGAAACTCACTCATAGAATCCGTAGTATAGGAATATGAACGCGATGACAGCGTGCGCAGCAGCCGGCTGCTCGTGGAGCGCGTATTGCGCTGAGCAGATGGTCTGCAGAATGAAGAATACAAGACTGCCCCCGGTCGCCAAGAGGAAGAGGGGTCGGCGTCCGACTCTGTCGACCAGGAACGAGGCACCGATTGAGATGACGAGGTTCCATATAGCGAGGATGCTAAACACGAATCAGTATCCACGTAGCAGAATGCGTTCTGATACTCACCCAGTAATGAGCAGTTGCGTAGAGGTACTGGTAATTCCGATAGTGTCGAATACCTTATTGAGATAGTATGACACAAGCCCATTACCGGACCACTGGGAGAACCATCCAATGGCGACAGCAATGATAAGCCGCTTTCTGTTTCCAGGAGTCTTGAAGAGACTGAGCCAGCCGACGTCCTTGTTTACTAAAGTAACATCGAGCTGAAGCACATAATAAGTTCATAGGGACAGTGGACGTACCTTCACGATCAAACGCAATGGCGGCTCTGATCTCTTCGAACTCGAACTGCACAAGCGGGTCTTGATCGTCACCATCGGCATGGTAGTAAGCGAGGACCTGTAGGCCCTCTGCCTCTCTGCCCTTGGATATGAGCCACCTAGGACTCTCCGGTGCCAGAAGAACGAAGAAGAATTGAATAATTGACGGTATCCCCTGAATGATCGACGGAATGCGCCACGACCATTCATTAGGGATGTAAGCCGTGCCATATGTCGTCCACGACGCGCTATGAGACAGGGTTCTTGACGTCACTGTACGCTATAGCTTTGGCAAATGGGACGTACATCACGTTCCCGGAGTACCAAAGCGAGTTGTACACAGACGTGAGAGGCGCACGGTAGGTGGGATATGAGATTTCGGTGACCAGCATCGGCGCGGCATTAGCTATATACCTATCTCGTGAGTTTGCATCCCAAGCGACAGCGATTTGGCACACCAGCGAAGCAAACACCGAACCCGATGAGGAAACTGGTCACTGTCGTGAGTCATCGTTCTGCTCGACATCAAGATCGACGTACCGTCCTCCGATGAACATGCCAATATTCTGCGCGGCAGACTGGATGGCGACTCCGATGAGAGTAATGATTGAACCAACAAATATCGTTGCACGGCGTCCAATCCCATCAGACAAGTACGGAGCGAATGGATATGCGGCAAGCGAGCCTATATTCTGTATTTCCCTTCAATCACTCTTCCTCGAGTCAAGAGAAATGAAGTGACCTGCATAGCACTAAGAGCGCCCAGGAGAGACCCAGACGGGTTGTTGAAGTAGCCTTCCCATTGCCACAGCGATTGAAAGTTATTCATGAGACTGCCGTCGAATCCATTGGCAGAAGAGATGATGATGCTATGAAAAATGTTTGTGTTACGATAGAACGTAGCCGGATAGCTGTATTGACGTACAAGAGAACGATCCACGCATGCAGAGTAATGAGTCTACGGGAAGTGAATGAGCACCGGCGGCAGAAGGGGAGACACCGAAATGAAAGAGCACGCACCGCCGATTGTTGTACCACTTCCTGTTCGGGTTGAGAAGGTGCGCAACCCTGTAGTCGCTTCCGCAGATACCGTTGCGCCGACCGCCATGCTGGCTTGCGCTCGTCGTGAACAAGAGGAGGATTTTTCAATGAGAACGTGAAAGCTCCAGCCCGCCCGTCCAGGAAGTGCATGGATTTATATTGGCAGGACGTCCTCAGAATAACGACTGAGACGGTCAGATTCAGTGGACAGGTGATACACTGTGGTCCAAACATCCAGGAAACGAATGCCTCATGATCACCCCACATTTCCCGGATTGACATTGCACGAGAAGCACCTTTCGCCTCGATCTCGTGGACCAGGCACATTTGCATTGCCTGCGACTTCGCACTGGTCAGACGGTTGGGAGAAAGGCAACTCAGCTATGAAGTGCTTACGGAGTAACTTGCTGCATTGCGTTTTGCTGCGAGTCGACACTGAAACTCGTTCCAGTACTGGCGCGTGCCCCTGCATGTTATTTCACGCAGAGTAAACAACGCCAACCTACAGTAGTGATGCAAGAGTTACAGGGTCTTCCGAGGGCAAGTGACCTTCGGAAACAAGTTATACGGAACGCCGGCGGCAGATAGAGACCCGCAGCTTCTCTGAGCACTTGCACTCAGTGCGGGCTTAGACACAGCCCCCGGACCAGCGGCTACGACCTGCCGTTGTATACAGTGGAAGCCTTCATGTAGAGTCGCAGGAAGAAGGTGTCCTACCGAGGAACGGGACGTTCACGTAGGCGGTAAGAATGGAGAGTTGCTCCTGTTACCACGACCGCGCCAGCCAGTGTGAGTAGTATGACGGAGACAACAACGCCAGCGAGGCGATTGGACGTGTACAAACGCCAACGTGACCTGGTAGCCGCCATCTTGTACCTGTTCGATCTTCGCGCGAATGCGTGTCTGAACTATGTCGATGGTACGACCAGTCCAGCAGTCAGGATCGCTGGGATTAACCTCGCTGATTCAACGACCTAGGCAACGCTAATTGAAGATCACTTCGTACGACGATGGCTAAACTCACCTTCATTGAAGTTCGACGCGTTTAAAGTCGAGTGTTATCCGAGAAAGAGCGGCCGGAATCGGGAAAAGGTCGGGTCTTCAGCTTGACGCGTGGACAGAGGCTTGATGGTATAAATGGCACATACAGTTGTCTAGGTCGGGTTCAACGCCGTCTTTACTGTTGACATCCGAGGTTCAGCTAGTCTGTGCCTGTTCTGGTAATGTGTAGAACTGGAAACATCATGTAAGGCAGATCCGAGCCACCGGTCCTTAGACCAGGACAAGCATCGTGTCATTCACGCATGAAAGAAGAATGCGACGAAGCAAGTCGATGGGCAGAGTGAATGGACCACCAGCCACACCCAGCCATCTTGAACAAGCACATAAGATTGGGCTTGAATAAGCAGCAGATAAGCGGGGAATGCACGGAAGGTTCCAATGCCTGGACGCAGGATGAGAACGTTCTTCTAATCTGGACGATCTGCGCTTTGCGAAGGCGGAAGGTGCCTTCCCGTGGCACTAGAGTACGGGCGACCAATAGTTGTCGATCTGTCGGTACAATGGAGTAGCGTTGAGGCGCAACAATCCAACTTTCACGTCTTGGTGGCGTTCAAGGGTGAAGCATGCCTTCACTGGCAGCACGAGCCCGTCGTCAAGCTTCATCCCGTCATAGTCGCATAGGCCCTACCAATTGCGGCACAAGCATAACCGTACTTGTCTCGAGACAAGACTGCAATCACCCAGGAAGCATGCGTGCTATCATAGTGCAGGGCAGCCGTCATGGTGAAACCAAGAACAGTCAACGTAGAGCGGCCAGCAGCAGTAGACAATTGACTCACCTACCTAAAAACATTCTCTGGCGCGAAATTCACACAGTAGCGCGAGAGTTGGCAACGCCACTGATGGCGTTGAACTTCACAAGAGTGTTCTAGATCCGGAAGCTGAACTAATTCGTTTTTCCAGGTACTCCGGAGGACATTGAAACACCAGCGCTACCCGGAGATGAAGGCCGAATACGCAGTTACTGCCGGCATATGCACTCGAAATCACTGCGATACTGTGCGCGAGCGTAGACTCACAAAGCGTGCGTTGGACATTGAGCGGACATGACGCATGACAGTTCGTCAAGGAGCGAGATTGCGTACGGAAAAGCTGCCGTGCGACTGGGAAAGCAGTCGAGGTACAGGGCTGAGACGATTTTCTGGGCCGGCAGGGTTCAGCAGCGAACGATGGCAGTTGCATTCAAGGCCCCGGTTACATACCAACCTTTGTGGAAGTTCTGCCAGCGAGGCCGGTACTATCGAGATGCCTTCGATCATTGAGGACAAGTTCAATCGCGGAAGAAGATTGAACTCACCTCAGTTCCCCTGCGGAAGCTCGCTGTCAATTGAGCTCAGCCTAACCATCCAAAGTCTCTATATCGACTTCTGTTCATATCTCATTCGAGGTGCTGCTATCTGATGCAAGCCGCGCCAGCGAGGCGTACCGTCGTAGGACCATCCGTAGGGCAGGCCATCGCGATTGATATCTGTGAACTGTGCGTCCGTAACTCGAGTGTGAATACCTAGACTGTGAAGAGAAGAAAACAAGTATGCACGTAGATACTAGAGAAGGAGGAAAGGTGATCGGCACGTAGAGATCTGGTTGTAGCAAGCCAAACCGTTCCGATCAAATGATCAATCAAACCGAACCGACCCAACGATGACGCCGTGTGGCCGAGGATCCGAGACCAAGCTATGCAAGTAGCCACCGCGACGTATATGAAGACCGGGAGCGAGTATTGCTCCTGCATCTACCCCACTCGGAACTCGCTGGGCGAGTCATGTCATGTCAGACAAGCCGAAAGTAGCACGGCCAGTTTCCGTCGACGAACTGTGCAGCCTAGCAAAGAAGGTCGTGGACATATTCGCACAGCATGACCTTGCGTGCTGTCTCACGGGCGACCTGGCATGTGCCCTGCAGAGCGTACCGAGACGCCCCTACGTGCGCCCATCTGCCTTCTTTGTCAGGACTCGAGATGCTAATTGACCCGGCCGGACGCTGTAGGATCTCGTCGTGGTCGTGGCGTCGGAGGCGCACAAGCAGGAGCAGCTGAAGGAGATGGCGACCGAAACCGACCCCGACTTCTACCTCATCACGCCCAAGGATCCTCGCGCGAAGCACAAGGCCCTCTGCTACAAGCTTCCACACCAGTCCGGGGAGCGCAAGCGTGGCTGCGAAGTCCACGTCCTCGTCCCCGGCATGCTCAACATCCCCGAGGTTCCCAAGGACCGCATCGAGACGCTCCGCGGTCTGCCCGTGATGCCCCTCCCCGTTCTCATGTTCATGAAGCTCCAGACCTGGTCTGACCGACGCGTGTCTGTCCAATCGTACATGAAGACTAAGCAGCATGACGAAGACGTCAAGGACATCCGCGAACTCTTGGCTGTCATACGAGGTCGCGGCGGAGATCTGAGCACGAAGGCGCTATGGAGTGGCTGCCGCTCACAGCTGTCTTCGCGGCGCTGGGTAGAATGACCGAGTTCTAACGTTTTCCCGGACTCGGAAACGAACTGGAGGGTGGTCGGCGCTCTGAAGTGAGGTCGCCACGGTACCTGCCTCCACATCTTGATTTGTCTGGTGTGTACCCTTGATTTTGACCTGGGCCGTGCGCTGACCTCCTTCGTAGATAACGTAGTTATCTTGGACTTCGGAGGATACCAGACGATAGAGTTATACCCTCGTTTTCCTGCTTTCGATACATGCCTCCCCGTAACAGCCTAGCTTACATCGGTCTAGTCCAGTCTTGGGTTTGGGAACATGCTATACACGAATGGGGCAATCACTACCCGGAGACCTACCAGTGGGTCACACCTACGTAGACCCAGAACGAGACGCGACAGATCTCGCCGCCCGCGAAGCTACAAAGTTAGGTGAGTGACATGCCATTATCTAGGACTCTTCCCCCGATTACCTCCGAAGTGACAGCGCAGACCAAGGACCGGGTGCTGAGGCTCCCTGTCATCAATGGGAAGCCCTTCTCATCCTGGACCCTGTGAAGTGCGACTCGGATGTCTGGAAAGGATATGAAGATAGCACTGCGAGCGAGCGCCTGGATCTTACGTCGCGGATACTAGTACTATCGAGGCGTTGACGTCCAAGACACCTCCACTCAGCCGAGGTAGGCAAACCAATGTCCATGAAGAATTCATGAACGCGGGCTTCCACATCGCAAAGGCGAAATTTCGCTACACGTTGCGTCCTTCGTCTGGTACGTCGGATAGGGCGAGATAAGGCAGAAGGACGACGCACAAGGTAAAAAGTCGCTACCAGTAGTGACGGGCCTTCGCCCTCCCACTAGCGGGTGAAGCTTAGCCGGTCTGCCTGTGCTTGTGCCGCGACCGTCCGATACTGTGCGTGAGCTATGGTGACGACCGCGGAGCTGCACGACATCGCGAAGAAGGCGGAGCGCATCTTCGCGCGGTACGGCGTCGCGTGCTGCCTCACCGGCGGCGTGGCGTGCGGGCTCTACGGCACGACGCGCCCCGCAAACGTACGTCGTGCCGCACGCCGTTCATACCCGCGCACGCCGACTCTGTTTACGCAGGACGTGGACCTCGTCGTCCTCACGACGGCGCACCAGCAGGAGGAGCTGAAGCGCATCCTCGTGGCGGCCGACCCGCAGTTCTACCTCGTGGCGTCGAAGGACCCCTACGCGACGTACAGGGTGCTCTGGTACCGCCTCGGGTCCGCATACTCGCGCTACGCCGCGCGGTGCAAGGTGGACCTCCTCGTGCCGGGCATCATGAACATACCCGACGTGCCCAAGAAGTACATCGAGACGCTCGGCGGGCTGCCCGCGATGCCGTTCATGCTCCTGCTGTGGATGAAGCTGCAGGCGCGGACGGACCACCGCGGCTCGCCGAAGCCCTACATGCGCCCGAAGCAGTGGGACGACGTGCGCGACATCGACCAGCTGCTCGACATCGCCCGCCGCCGTGGGGAAATGATCAGGGCGAAGACGGCGTGGATGCCTGCGAGCTTCGTGGACGCTGCTCTGGCGAGAATCAGAGAGTACATCGCCGATTTCCCAGCGTCGAAGGCGAAGTGGGAGGGGATCGGGTATGGTGGAAGGCGCAGCACATCTAGGTTAGTCGGGGTCCTGTGATTGTCAGGATGCTTCGGGCTGACCTGGCGCAGCCGCAGTGCGTCGTCCAGGCAGCACGGCGCACAGGAACAGAAGGCGTACAAGGCTCTTCTCTCACGGGCGGCGCTCGGCACTTGGTCCGCACACGGGCTCGACGACCTGTAGTCGTAGACGTAGGCATGACGCTCGTGGATATTGTCACGCCTGTACATATGTACACAGCAGGGTATTGTAGCACCCGCAGCCTGAGCAGACCTAGTAGAGAGTAACATCGACGATAGCGAGGGAGAGCGACGA